CTCTCTCTCTCTCTCTCTCTCTCTCTCTCTCTCTCTCTCTCTCTCTCTCTCTCTCTCTCTTTCTCTCTCGTGCCGACATAGTCAGTAAGGTCACCAAGAAGTCTGCGAAGGCACCAAGAGCTCGGAGCTCACCATGCTTGATGCCCTAGCTGCGTAGAATCAGAATTCGAGTGACATTGTCTACCATGTATGAACCCATTTCCAGAAAAGTAAAAGCACAAACATTCAGGACGCCGCCCGCTCATCATCACATACAGTGACTGCACCAGAAATCAAATTCGGCCCAAGCAGTAACGCCTTCACCAAGTGCGGATCAGCCCACGAGCTTCGCACTGACACAGGTATTACATTGATTACTCTGCTGCGTGCTGGTACCGTTTTTGAGCCAACAGTTCGCCGAATCCGACGTGTTGCTTGAGCTCATGCTGGCCTGCCACGTGATGCCCTTGCAGGTCTGCGTGGTGTCGTGTCCCCAAGTGGTCGAGAACATGATGGCGTTCGAGCACGCGTACAGACAATCCGTGACGGTGTACGCGAAGAGGCCGACGAAGTCCGCCACCACGAGGTCTGGGTTATCGTCGTCCGGGCGTGAGTTGGCCATATCAATGCCGCAGTATAGATTGAAGAGGTTGGAGTAGTCTTTTGAGGTGATGGTTTCGGAGTCGATGGTGCAGTCGGGAAGTTTGAGACTTTCGACAAAGTAGGGTTCATCGACGACGTAGTTCTGCAGTGAGGATGGGGAGGGTAAGGCTGTTGATGTCCCCGTACCGGTCGCGGTTGCGGTTGCGGCGCTGTCACCGGCTGTCACGGTCACGGTAGCCGTGGGTACACTGGACAGTTGGACTCAGTCAATATTTCTGGCCAGAGGTTTTTGTGACGAGCTTGCAGAACGTACCTTGAATCTGCGCCCGAGTCTGAGTCTTTACCTGACAAGGCACCACCGACGCCACCTCCCACCGCCGCGCCGACCACGATAGCCGTGATTGTCGCGACCAGAAGTCCAAATGTCAAAGGTGACAGGCCCCACGGGTTCCGCTTGCCTGACGGGCCCGGCGCGGAAACAGCCTCAGGCGGCACGTAGCCATTCTGGTTCGGATACTGGTACTGATATTGTGGTTGTTGGGAGAAGGTCGATTGAGGATACGCCGATTTAGGGGTCTCGTATGTGTTTAGTGGGGGTTGGTTCATCTGTGTTGCGACTTCAGGATAGCTGTGCTGTGCATTACTGGCCGCTGGATATTTGTCGGACGTGCCGCTCGAAGAATTGGTTTCTGCCATCTTCTCGATTCATCCGGTGGCAGCAGGGCTGTAAAAAGGCGTATTGGTAAATATCTATAGGCAAGCCGATGCGACAGTGATGAGCTCGATGGCGGACGTCAAGGGTAAGATGCACTGGAAGAGAAGAACGCGGTGAGCCAGATTCCCAGGCAGATGTCGCTTGGTAGCACCACGTTGGTGGCGGAGTTCTCTTGCACGAGTCGTCCCAGTCTTCAAACAGGGGTTCCTTGAGGGCTATCGCCTTTAGGTAGCTTAATCTCGGCAAACTCGGCCGGTCATGAGTAGAAGTCCCATGGTGACCACCCCTGGCCAAAGAAAGCTGTATCAAGACATAAGGCCACCAGGCCCATTGTACAACGTTTCCAGTGGGCGCAAAACGCACCAGAGATTGTTAATGGCCTGCAAGGCTGGATATGTTTGGAACAGCCATAGTCGTGCCGTGCGAATAAATGAAGAGGATTTGAAGTGACCCTTGAGAAAGCATTGAGAACTGAAGACAGTCGTGGCACGACGGGATGTTGGTGAGCGGATAGCTTCAGGGCCTTGGCCTTTGAGCCGCCGGTATACCCCAGAACTGGCCCCCAGCCTTGATCTGCCTAGTAACCGAGGTCACCAATCGCAGCCTGGCATTGCTTGCCAACTAAGGAGTCGTGCTGTTCGACATGCAGTTCTCGGCCCCTATGAATTCCAAAGAAATGACTCGGATGTTGCATCCTCCCGGACAAACGTCCGCCTCTCGCTCATGCGTGGCGGCCGCGATCTGATTCTGGACCGAGTCCTCCGTCCGCGTTGGGTCCATGTAAGCAACGGCGAATGTCTTTGACTAACTTACGTAGTGGCCTGCCTGAGGGTAGCAAACGAGAGCGGCAGATTTTTGAAGAGCGTTAGATTCGGCGAGGTCACATCTACCCTGTCAAACGATCCTAGACTGCGGAGCATAGCGATGATCCGTGTCGAGGACGTGTCGGACTGCTGATTGCAACGATATCTAGCTGTAGGTACCTAGACCGGTGCATATCAGAAGGTGCACTCGAGTTCCTTTCAACCGGGGATATTGTCCTCGAACGCTAGACACGGTTGTTCACCCATATGCAATATTGAGACGTTGAGATTGACTGGGGTCGGCGACAAACACTGGCGAAGCATGGGATGGTCAGGTATTTCAGGTTGACGGCTCAATTTCGCCGTGGTTATATCCATACATATAGTCGAAGCGAAACCATGACGCCATACATGCTCGAAGGAAGTCTATAGTCCTCTATTCGGCAACCCAAACGGCAGCCATGCCCCTGTTGCCGGTATGTTAGCAAGGCCCAGATAGGAAGTGGAAAGACTACGACTTACATTCCTGTTCCTACACACATACTCGTGACGCCAATTTGCTTTCCGGTCCTTTGCAACTCAGTGAACAAGGTGCTCACCTGTCTGGCGCCCGTACATCCTATTATCCAGTTAGCGGAATTGTCGATTTGGTGTGAGGTTGCATACCAAGTGGATGACCAAATGCAATGGCTCCGCCCTTTGGATTGACCTTCTCAAACGGCAGGCCAAGCTCCTTAACACACCAGACTGCCTGGCTAGCGAAGGCTTCGTTGATCTCGTAAATGTCGACCTCGTCTTTGTTGATGCCGGCTTTCTCCAGAGCAATCGGGATAGCCTTCCATGGTCCGATACCCATAAGTAATGGGGGCACGCCGACAACTGACGATGCGACGAATTTACCAAGGATGGGTTGACCGAGACGTTCTGCAGTGCTGCGCTTCATCAGGAGCACGGCCGCCGCTCCATCAGATACTTGTGAGGCATTGCCAGCGTGGATTGACCCGTCCTTAGCAAATGCGGCCCGAATCTTGCCCAGAGATTCGGGCGTGATACCAGGTCTGACACCATCATCTTTTGTGACTGTGACCGTCTTTTCTTCCTCTGTCTTGGGATCTGTATATTTGACAGTCACAGGAGCAATCTCCTCGTCAAACAGACCAGCTTGTTGGGCCTTCAACGCTTTTTGGTATGAGCTGGCAGCGAATGCGTCTTGATCTGCTCGAGAGATCTTCCTGTCTTTGGCCATCTGTTCTGATAAAACACCCATGGGCACTTTGCAGTTGGCAGCTTGCATGTGATTTTCCAAGAGTTCCGAGAACTCCGTCACCGCACCTGGGCCGTATTGCGATGACATGCTCTCAACACCGGAGCCAATGCCGATCTCAATCATGCCGGCCTTGATGGCGTTGGCGATGTCCACACAGGCTTGCAGTCCGCTGGAACATTGTCTGTTGAGGGACTTGAGGGCAGTGGACTCGGGGAAGCCTGCCACCAAAGCAGCAGCTCGGTATTCTGTGGCACCGCCACCAGGAGCAAGGACGCAGCCCGTGGCGATGTCTTCGACCAGCGCAGGATCAATCTTGGACCGTTGCAGAAGGTTCTTGAATGTGAGGGCCAGGAGGTCGGCGGCCGCCGTGTCTTTCAATAGCCCCTTGCCACCCTTGGTGAAGGGAGTTCTGAGGGCGCAGGTAACGACAATATCGTCGGGCGACTTTGAGAGGATGGATTTGTTCGAGGAAGGTGAGCCACCAAGGTGGGAGGAGACCTGTGAGAGGCGTTCCTGTGCTTTGTTTGGTGCTTCACATGTCAGCGGCCGCAGGTGGATGAGGCCAGAAGCGTGCTTACCTTGAGCCATGGTGATGGTATTGATGCTGGATTGATGTGTCTGAGAGAAAGAGAAGAGGCAGGAGCAGTGAAAGTAGGAGTATGTAGAGACAAGAAGAAGAAGAAGAAGACTGAGCTATGTTGATCACGAGGAAGGATTGCTTTTGTTCATGCGGTGCGATGTGTCTCTCATGCGCCTTTGAGGAATTCGAAGTGAGCCGAGGCATGTTACGACGTTCGTCGGCAGCAACCAAATCAATTGCATTTGCTGACATCATTCATGAAAATACTGCTTGTCTGACAGTACGCTTGGCATTATGTTATTTAGAACGATCATTCATTTTCACCACCACAATGGATCTTATTCTGGCTTGTCATGACAATCCAATTCTGACCTGACCTGACCATGCGTGCCATGCTCACTCAACTGTCGGCTTGTCGGCTAGTCGGTCCTTCAAAGCTCCGAGGGCTTCATGTGATTGGTTTGCCATTCCGATGGTCCCTCTGTCGACATGTGCCTTTGTTTTGTGCCTCTATCGAATTTCTGCTTTCTGCTGACCTTCAAATCGGACACTACCATAGATCATCTCTTCGTCACAACGCTATCGTCATGTCGGGTGCGTATTAACTTTTCCTTTCAGAAGGCTCCGCATCAAATGTATCCCAATAGCGCCAGGCTCCATATGCTCAGGAGACCTTCAGACAGTCCAGCTGCCGCATTCAATATCAATCATAAAGCCTTTCTCCCAGCCCTGCTGCGGAAACCCCAAGGAACCCAATATACCGACTTGAAATCATTCTATTACGTCGCTGCAACGGCAACCGACGTTTGCCGTGAGTGAAAGACCCGTGCCAACGTTCTTGAGCCCTTCCTCCCCATCGACCACCACTTCTTCGTGGGAGACCTGCGTTGGGCAGTCGGAAGAGGCCTTTGTGTAACCTCCATGCCTTGTTTCGGCTGCTCCGAGTTGTCGGGATAGCCTTGGCTCAGACTGCGCTGCTTTTTCCACGCGGACAGAGTTTGGCCCATGTGCTCCCGCTCATCATGGCCGAGAATGTAAGTGTGAAAAGACGCAGCTATCACAAGTCAGCACACGTCTCTGCTAGCCCACTCAATCAAACTTACTATCGAAATCGATCGCAAAATTCCTCATATCCGCCTCGGCAAGTCCTCTCGTGGTCTGCTGGACAGCTACTGCCCGTGTCTTCCTGGTGCGAGAATACAGCTTGAGCCGTTCATCAATCTCGCTAACTGGAGTGCTTGGCTCGAGGATCACCCCCAGAGCCAAAGCATCTTCCAGGGCCATTGCAATTCGTTGACCACAATACGGCGGCATGGGATGCGCGGCGTCACCCATCAACGCCATACGGTGAGATTGGAACGTGATTAGTGGATCCATGTCCCAGATCGGTTGATCTTGCAGGTCACTGTCGGATATTTTCCCAAACAGAGCGACACATTCCTCCGGTAGGCCTCCAGTAAGACGTAAGAGTTTCCTCTTGCTCGAAGGATCCCTCCAGTCCTTGCTGAGGTTCGTAAAGGCCGTTCGGTCTTCGTACAAGAATTTGACGCAAACGTTCTTACCGTGCGATGCTGGCGTGATGAGAAGGCTTTTATCATTGTGGTTGTAGCAATGGGCGTGACCCCCATCAGCAACGAATTTGGCGGTGATGGGATCGTTCTCTAACCTTTCGCGTGGGATAAGGGCTCGAAAGACGTGGCGCTTGATACGGAAGCGCTGTAAACTACCCCCAGGCACAAATGACCTGCACACAGAATGCACGCCATCGGCGCCGATAACGACATCTCCCACCGCATCGGACCCGTCGGAGAAGTACAGAATCGCCCTGATAGTGTCGACCCTGCAGACCGATTTCGATGTGATGATTTCGATCTTGGGACCGGGTTTGGAACTGTCGTGAACTGATTCCCAGAGCGCGACAAACATGTCAGGATACGTCGTTTGATGCCATGGCTGCTGTCGGTTAGTGCTGATCGGAGGTATAGACGGGGAAGCATACCCAAGCCTGCGCTTCGAGGTCACTTTCTAAGGTGTCAGAAACCCCATCATCTTCAATTTGCGCTCGAGTGATCTACGGAGTGTCAGCTTTCAGCTTGTGCCAGAATCAACCCTCCATCGGTCTCACCTTGATTATTCTGGTCGCTTGAACATGGTTGGTGTCAATTCCCAGCATTTCAAGTGCCCGGACCGAGTTGGGAAAAATAGTGATGCCGGCACCATTGGTCTGAGGAGTGAATGCTTGTTCGTAAATCTGTTGTCATGGTCTTAGCTGCTGATGAATTGCAGGATCTCGTCCCAAGCCATACCGTGACAGAATGCCCCTGGGCCCTGAGGGCGATGGCAGTTGCGAGACCACCAATACTTCCTCCCGCAATGAGGACTTTGAGGCCGCTAAGCGTGGCTGTCGCTGGAGCCGCCATTTGGGACGATGGCATCGCCGCACTGAATGCGAATGTCTGAAATCTGAGAGCGTGTTGCAAAGCCTCGTTCCTGGTGGTGAAGAGTGAAGAGCACGGTTCCAAATTCAGGGCACAGCACGTTGGAGCAGGGTCATAAATCAGGACAACAGAACGATCGACATAAGAGAACCTCTCCGCTTTTAACCTCGCGATCAACCTTATATCAGGGACCGTGTGCAGCCTTGAGATACTTATCATGTACCGAAGAAGCGAGTTTTCACGATGCCATTTACCATGTCATGGCAGCGTCCCAAGTGTTTTCTTCAGGGACCTGCGTCATGGCACTTGGCTTCAATAAGAGAAGGTTTGCGCACTGACTGGTGTTCCTTGGATGTGTGGGTGTGTTTGGCGCAACAACACAGCATCTCAAATCTTTCCCTTCAAAGGGAGAACAGACTTTGCGCATCTATCAATAGTTGCGTTGGCGGGTATGAACCAAGGACGGGGATTCAACGTCAGAGTGGACATTCGTATGTTGAGCTTCCCGTCAGATGGTTTGATGGTTCAGGGAAGGGATAAAGGCGCGCCGGCTACCACGTGGTTCACAATGCCGAAGGCCCATGAGGTGCATCTCTCAGCCAGCTCTTCCAAATACCTCTCGCCGGACGTACCGTGATTGGTTGAGCCTTGACATGAACCAGTTACTGGTTCCCAGGTCTGGATGGGCTGTGGACAGTGCTTTCACACTCTGACAGCTGCACAGGCCAGCATGACGAATGAAAGTACTCGATCAAAAATAGCTCGCCTTCAAAAATCGCGCTGTTGATCTGATCAATCTGTATCGTGCCCCGTGCGCAAATCTGCTCGTACGATCTGCCCGTACGGACCAATTCCTCGGGTCGCAAATTTTGACTATGGCTCTGGCACCTCTGGTTGCTATGAGCATTGGTTGGCTGCGTCACGGCCAGAGACACTCACAGATGCACGGATGCCACGCTTATTGCCGAAGCAGAGATCTTTCCCATGCAATTCCCGTGAGTGATGTTGTCCTCGTCCCTTCAAAGCTCAAAATGTCTAGCCATGACCACATCCATGGAGGTGTCAGGGAGAAACGAACATCAATTTGTGCCAACCAAGAGATGCCTCCTTCGTATCCCATTGACGTTGCAGGAGTCTCACGGCGGTCATGACTTTCGGAGCCAACGCAGGCAGAAGCAGATGTTACGGGGTGAGCTCCATGTTCCTAGACTTAGAAGACCATCTGCTCTGAGACCACCGCGAGCTTTGGTCAGCCAAGCTGCGACTCAGGTTGTCCAAGCAGAATCGCGTGAATGGGTGTAGCCATGGCATTCTTGAGATGGACAATGCAGATTCGACATCCCACTCAATGTCGTAGATAACATGAGGGTCGCTGTGGCACCGTGGCGCCTTAGCACGGCGGCAGCTCCGATCTTCTCGATTGTCTAAATTGTACTTCGCAAACGCCACATCGCAGTACTTATCCTACCCACATCGTCCTGCGAACGGTGCACCATGCGAGTGCGTCAAGAGCCAAGCCATGTTCCTCACGGCATCGCCCAATTGAAAGAGTGTTGGGATGGCAGCTGCTTCCTAAGCTGCGGCGCTGGGGGACGTCCACGGAAGCTTTCTCCCTCTTGAATCGATTGGCTCCATCAAATCCACCTGCGAGGCTGATAACCATACACCGCACTCACTGGTCGTTCGGATCGCCCTCTGTTGTGCCGTATCTGCAAGCCTCAGGAGACGCGGACTGAAGCATGTCGAAGAAGGAATCTCCTGATTGCACTTTCGTAGCCAATGTGTGATGGATGATTTGCTTTGAGCTTCGTTACGCAGATCCTACTTCTCGCTTGGACAAAGTTGCCGGACGTTCAGGTACTAGGTAAGCAGGAACATGGCTTCTCAAACTTACAGCTGCATGCCATTTTACTTGACTAGCCACGTTCGACAAGACATTTGCATCACAATAAAGTATCAACAGCGGGTGTGGATGCGTTTCAAGGATTTACCACGTGGTGATAGATCCGAATGGATCAGATGTTTTTCATCATCATTGGACCGATCTCGCGATTCACTGCCAGTAGATCGTGAGGTCTGCTTGCTATACTTTCTGCGATGGCCTCATCGTTTCGTAGAAGAAGGATGCCGGAGGTTGACGCCAGTGCAGAAGCTGTACCTGATATGAAAGGCAGACACGGGCTACTGCCACAATCGAGCTGCATGTCATAGACATCGACTTCGAATCTGAAAGGGACGTTGGCTCTGGGTTTATCTAACATGCATGATGATGGACCCATCCAGATTCTGGTTGCTAGGTTGAGTTGATCCAGGGAATGGACGGGCCAGCTGGGGTGTTTCTCAAGTAAAGAGCGTCGGCCGAGCTACGAGATGGAGTGGTTAAGGCAGCTCTCGCCGCGGGAACAGCAGGTTGTCAATTGAGCCGGTCGTTCGTGCAAGCTGCACCGTTATGGCTTCTAGGCACACATGTTGGTATGCTCTGAGACAAGAACCCGTATGGGTGCCATGCAATTTTTCAGGGTGCAGAGTGAAGGGTGCAGGTATGCAGGCTGCGAGCCAGTCTGAGTCGAACAGTGGCAGTCGGAGATTCAATGTGCGCGATTGGACCTGACAGGATGAACAATGGCCTGTTTTCTGGCACTCCACCGAAGACATGCTCACTCTTATTCGATCCCGGCAAGCACTCAAGCCCATACGCCAATGGTCTCGGCTTCCCCAGCCATGCTCATGGCAGAGGTAATATCCGTATTGTCGACGAAATCCGCGGAAACGGGAAGCCAACCGTGCACAAAGAGCACAAGCTTCAATATTGGCATTCCAGCGCGCGCAACGTCCAGGTCTGCGAGGTGTGGCTCCCAGCCTGCGCACGAAAGCACTCGAGCTTGGAATGAGAATCGATCGAGATTTCATTCGAGACTTGACATCCAGTGTCTCCGAGGGAAGCTCACACACGCTTGAGAGGTGTAAAGCTACACGTCATCGGCACTGGAAGCCCGACCTTTGTTGGTGACCAGATAGTCCCAGCTTCACCCTGCGCTGACGCCTCTTTTTCTCTGGACCGAAATACCAGTTCTGAGGGGGTGCATCAAGCCGGACTATGCCTCCAAAGGAAGGTGCGACCAATGTTTTCATGTTGGCCAAGCTACGGGGAAAGCGGTGACGTTGAAACCTGACCTGCAGAAAGAGACACTGTGTCAGCCAGTATCACTGCAATTGGTGAATGCCTCTCGCTCTCCGTCCAATCAATCCGCGAGTTCCTGATTGCAGGCGAAGCCCGGACCTGAGCGTCGATACGATTATGCTGGGATCTTCCACAGCTAGCCATGAGGAGGCGACCATTTCGGACCTGCAGATTCATCCACCTTTGCCTGTGAAGATTCAAAGCTCGTCTTCACTCCGGATCTGCCGTTCCAATTGACGTCACTAGGCATGTGGTGGTCCTATCGGCGAACGCAGGAGGAAGCTCGTCAACGAGCCGATAAGCAGGGATACCTCGCGTGTACGCAGTAGAGTTTGCGGAACACGGGGATGATCCCTCAATCGTGGTAACCTGCCCACGTAGGAACGGATGGAACTTTCCGTGCTGTTGACAGCCCCCAAGGAGCAGATATACTTATTCGTGGAGGTTTCTCATGTGGCCGGCCCAGGGACAAGGTATTACCCTGGGAGACCTGGCTCAAGACCTCTGATGGGGCAAGCTGAGTGGTGAGCGAAACGCAGGGGTGCTGGTTGGGTGCAGTATGGCGCCTGTTGTGCTCTTCTCGCTCTGCCTTGAGGGCCTAATTCAGCAAATGGACCAACAAATGCACCTCGCACTCATTCCTCCTGTCAAACGTCAATTCTGGAGGCAGCGAATCTGAAGCGCTGACTACGCTATAGCATCAGAGTCCACCTTAGCAGAGCAAACAACTGTTCCATCCTATGACTCATTGCAATTTACAGTTCCTTCGCGGTGTAAATGTGATTAGATTTCACAACATCTTGGACGACATTTCGTTCCAGACATTCCAACATCTGGATCCGGGCCTTCAGCTGTGAGATCTCCGCCGCCATATGTCGATTGTCGACCTGAGCTTGGTGAATATACTGGATAGCATCGCTGATGATGTCTGCTTTCTTGATGTCGCTGGGCAGGCCTGTCGAGATTCGATTGTCGCTGAATTGGTACCGACTCAGCCTTGAAGTTTGCTTGGATTCAAGCAAAGTGTGGTAGAGCTGCTTCATGTTGTTGTTGAGTTTATCACGGTACCGCCGTTCGTTTGCCGAGTGTGCTTGCTTTCGCTTCAGCGATTCGTCGTGATCTTCTCTTTCAGCTGGCGATTTGTCTTCGTTCTGTTTGCGAGCTTTTCCCTTGTTCTTTGCGACTGTCGGGTCTTCTTGGCTTCGTTGATCTCTAGATCGTTTCCGAGAAGTTGTAGGTGTCGCTTTTGGGTCTGTCCAATGTATGAAGATGGCTTCACTGTTGTCGGATCCCTCTGACGAAACAGACACAGAACGGCAAGCAGGTGCTGCTTCGGACAATCCTGAAGGATCTCCATAGAAGCAGCTCCAGTAATCCTTTTCGCTCCCCACCAGAGCTACGGCCGAAGTGAAGGAGGGAGGTGGAGCTTGTAATGGTAGGAAGGGCATACCGTCAAGATCCAGGAATTGATGGCCGTTCTCTGCGACCAGGTTGTTGCTTAGGAAAGCAGCATAGTCCGCCATGATGGTATCGTTGCGATCAGAAGGCGAGATGAGAAGACCCGGAGAGCCCATTTCGTTGGTGTATGATAAGATAAGTTGCCAGAGATCAGAGAGAACGACCCTGAGGGTTCTTGTATGTGTGGAAATGGGACGAGCTGGTATGTCAGTGAGGTGGAGCCCGTCTGGAATGGCGGATATCAAGACCGAAAGATTGAAGAATGCAGACTCTAGGAGTACGCGATACCTCTCTGTGAGATCTGCGGCTGAGTCGTTCTTCTTGACTGGCCGTTTCTTCAATTCAGTGTCGACTGCGGGGTTGGATGCTAGCCACAAGGACGCCGAAAGTTGACACCTGCCCACGACCTCCGGCGAGTTGCAAATCGCCCCACACTGCACGCCGCACAGGCGGCATGAGAGTCGGCCAGATGTTTTGCATGTGCTTGTCTCGCAAAGGGCGAAAATGCCTCCCATAAGAGCGTGGTTGAGCAACAAGCTCTGATAACAGGATTCGGCTCACGCCGATTGATCGTGCGGGTTCTTGAGTTCAGAGATCGACGATGGCGATCAACACAGTCTGCAGGAGGGGGAATTATGTAACATCGAACAACATTGAGACCTTGGCGAGGACGGGCAAATCAGAGATCCTCTTGCTCGTGTGCTGCAAAGAAGACCTGTACGCAGTTCAACAGGCTAGATCGACCTCTTACTCATACAAAGCCTCGACGCGTTCGATCATGGACCGCGGAGAAATGTGTAAGATCCCCGTCGCAGCGATCCCCACGACAGCAAACCATAATCTCTAGGGTCTTACAGAGGGTTTCGAGGATTCAAGAGGCTGGATAGTAACATTTGAAGAACATCAGTACTTACCGAACACAAACACTGAAGCTAATCTTGATGAGCTTGATGAGCTTGATGAGCTTGATGAGCTTCCTTGTCGCCATCTCAATTGTTCAGTGTTGTCGCCCGAGTCCCCCCTTAGGTTTGGGGTACATCGCTTAAGTTGTCTGTTTACGTTAGTCGTGGTTAGTGAATCAGCGGCTAGTGACGTAGTGTTTTGATCTGATTTTGAAGAACTTCACATGTTGCCGTATTTCTCATAGAGACTTGCAGATACTCAATGCTTCTGCATCTCTGAAGAGTCTTTGATCTAGAACGAGCTCTCCATGATGGCTTCCTTGAAACAATCGCGACTCTTCACACTTCCAGCGTATCCTCATCCCGCGAACACCGTGCACCGACCGATCCCAATCCTTCAAATTCTCACTCCGATGCAGTCACTACAAGATCATTCTCAATACATCACGTTGACGCCCTTTACTCGACGTAGTTGGACACACTATTAGGGGGGCTGGTTGGTTAAGTGCCAGACCACTGAAGAGTTTCCCACGAAGAAGACAACGTCCGCATAAAGGTGCAGCTCAGAAAGCTTCCCGCTGCCGATGCTCAGGGACTGATGTGCCCTGATCATTGAGATGAGGTCGAGCATTGAGACCCTCCTTGTCCGATGAGGCCTTGTCCATACCACTCAGCCCTGAGTGCGCGACATTAGGACGATCGGTCTTCTTCGATGGCGTAATCATTTGCGTTTCAAGGTCATCATAATCCTGACCTGGATTGGCCGTCTTCCAATCAAATGCCTCGAGAAGATAGTAAAAGCCTGCTGCCAGAAAGGAGCCCAAGAACGGGCCTATCCAGTAGATCCAATGGTAGCCCGGAAAACTGTGGTCGACGACATCAGGACCAAACGCGCGGACAGGGTTGACACCAGCACCGCTATAATAAACGCCTGATTGTACATCAGCTAAGATGGGATTGAGAGAGATCTCCGGACATACTGCACATATTCCCAATAAACAAGGCCAGGCCAATGCCGATGGGCGCCAGGAAGGTAGCTTTATGCTTGATGGCGGCCAGCATGATGACAGAGAATGAAAGCTCGGCTGTCGTGAACATCTCGATGAAGAGGCCGCGAGCGATCGATGTTCCGTCACCAAGCCGGCAGTTGACGGCCATAGAACCGGGGAACAGAGCCGATACAACTGCAGAGGCGGCAATGGCACCAAGGATCTGTGCTACGACAACCACGCAAGCTCGTGTAGTAGGCACGGCGCCAACCAGGAGGAGTGTGAGGGTGACCTGATCATTGACCCATGTCAGTAGATATACAGGTGCTCCACGATGGCTCAAATACCCACCGCTGGATTAAACATTCCGCCACTGACACGATAGAATAGCCAGACATTGATTGCCACAGATGTTCCGAATCCGAGTGAGATGAGGAAGATGCCCAACAAATCGGGGCCAGCGTGGCTATTGGTTGGGGGAGGCGTGTGCACGACCTGGACGATGGAAAGTGCAAAAAAGAGGAACAAGAATGTTCCTGTAAATTCGGACATGAAAGCAGTGGTGTGGTTTCTATGCACATCGGGCAAGAAGCCCATCACAGCCCCCGATTTGGGGTACCCGAATCGAGGTAAGTGAGGTTTGGGCGCCATGGTGTATGGATTGCTGTTGCAGTGATCGAGGGGCGGATGTTGTGAAGATTGCAGTCAATTGACGTGAGAGGCCACCCGAACGACTCTTGAAGGTCTTGCAGACTTATATGCTCCTGCTGAAATGTCACCAGCGGGTAACTGCTCGTATGGGCAAGTAAATGTTCATCGGCTGACCACAGATGGAGTTCGTTCGCAGCACAACATTGTCGTCCACAGGGGGTTTGTCGCCTCGCTCGCACAACCCTCGCTCAACATGGTCGGTTTCGGGCATTGATGAGGCTGCGTCACGAAGCAGAAGATGCGGTTTGCATGGGCGCATCTCACCGTCTTCGCACCCGATGCTCCGAGGCCACTTATCATGTTGCTTGGCTCGGTCATTGACTGTCATACCGCGATGGTTGGATAGGCCACGATCCAGCGCAGTGTGTCACAGTGGGTGGGATGACCGACCTCAACATATGCTGCTTTGTGTTCACACTGATCGGAAAACACCTGCCGACGGATAACTGTGAGATGATGCGCATTAGGTCGAAGTAGAGGTAGCCCATCGAGCGAGGGTCCGCGCTGGAACTATGCGTGGAATCGTGAGACTTCAGTTACCCGAACTTTGCGGATCTATCGTTCTCCAAGCCAGCTTCGAGATCCTCTGCTGCATTGGTTTAACGGCTGTTGGCAGTGTATTGCAATATTGAATTTCTGCATCTGCCGGCATTGTGACACCTACGACATCCGTCCATGTGCGTATGGTGGCCGGTCGAAAGGCACTGGAGTCGGGCTGAAAGCCGTTGCTACGTCGCGCACAGCAATTTGTTGATCCGAGACGTAGGCAACTGTAGGATATTCTCTTAGTCGTCGTATGAGTAAGCACTCCAGCACTCGACCAGCTGTCTGACACAAGGCGCAGTGGTTAGTCGCTGCCAATGCAAATTGAGCGATGACATTGTTCCGCGGACGTTCAGCGGCGGACGCTTTGGATGACACTTTGGATGACAATCTGGTAGCACAAGAAGATGCCAAATCAACCGGATACTCGACGCATCCCCGCCCACCCAACTTACGTGCAAACTGCATCGTCACATGGTCATTTGTCCGACTACGTCTTCATCATACGAGTCGTGCCGCGTACTCTTCTTTGGATCCAATCAAGCAGAGTAAATGTGCAGGGAGGTTGGTTCGACGTCCAACGCATTCTTGCCGGCCACTGTAGGTGTCTCACTAGCGGCCACTCCTACAGCCATGCTCAGAATTTTAGCCACCAGCACACCTAGCCTCTGAGTCCAAGTCGTATCCTGACCAGACTAGACCTGGTCGTTCAGATACTCTCGGGTCCTGTTGAAGTGTCCATGGCAAGGTTGAGGCCACCGGAAGAAAAGCCAGAAGCGACATGAAAGGCATCATGTCCGCTCCCAGAAAAGGCACTTCAATAAAGAAGCCCGGAGACGGAAAATCTTTCCTCCGGCTTTATTCCTGCAACTCAGCAACCTTCGCATCCCAGCATTTCAGCCTCCATTGAAACGAGCTCGTAACTGCATCCGGCCTCAGCCATGGCTACGCATATGACACGAGCGTCGAGGGCAACGCACTGCATGCAGCAATGCCGCAACCCGCAACGTCTCACACCACTACTCTCGATCCGTCACTCCTCTTCCTCCTCGCCATACGCACCGTCAAACTTCAGCAACTCTGCTTCTAATTCCACACCTTCCGACTCATCCAACTCTCAGAATGGCAATGCGACCGCTCCGAGCCTGGCCACCCCCCGTCCATCCTACGCTCACCCTCCGGCCCGCCGCTTCGGCGCCACCGAGATGGCCGGCACAAAGCTCACAGCATGGACATGGCTAAAGTCCCTCTTTGGCTGGCGCCCAACACCAACGTACAAACCAGCCCCGTTCCGCGTGAACAACAACCCGTTCCGGGCACGCAAGAGGTGGCCTCCCGACTTCAACAACCTGGACCCGAAGCAACAGTTCCATTTCGAAAAGACCTACCGCCGACGCGCGGCGCTGAAATGGGCTCGACCAACATGGAACAAGAGTATTAAGATCCTCCAGCAGACGCTGATCACATTCACCATCATATATTTTGTCTTCATCTGCGAGCCGACGCACGGGCAGGGGACGCCGTTCGATGGGTTCCGTGCATGGTTCTTCGACAAGGTCGGCATGCTGGGCCAGTTGCCCGAGTCGACGAGGGAAGAAGCGGACAAATTGAGCGAAGAAGCTAGGAAGAAACTAGTCGCGAGTGTCGATACGTCCAATTCTCCTCCAAACTCCTCGCCCTAATGGAATACTCTGAGGCTATCTATGTTTTCAGGCATATATTGTGCGGAATATGTCCTCCAATATGCTGCAATAAACCGAAGCACCTTTGCGCCACCAGGACTCCTATACAACCTAGCCACAGGGAGAGCATGATACAAGCCTGTGCTGCTGCGACATGTCGAGGCAAGTTCACCTGACATCAACCATAGCGCCAAAAATCAAGGATTCCCGCACGGCGTCAGCTGCTTAGCGCGAGTCAGATGGATAGAAATCTCATCTGCTGTGTCATTCTGGCCCAGAAAGCTTGTGTTGGAAGCAATACAGCACAAATATTGACTCAAGCCTTTCCAAGGCCGACAAGGACCAGCAAGGCAACGTTCATGACCACCAGCACCAGCCAAATGATCACGGCAAGTGCCGTCACCACCCAACCGTTCCGCATGTTGAAGGCCGCTCCGCCGCGAACACCAGTCTCGTCCGGTACCGTCATGATATGACTTCGACAAGTGAACCATACCAGCGGAGCGGTCACAAAGGGCAAAATGACGCTGAGGCAAACTTGGCTGGCGGTCAGAGCCTGGTTCAGGCCCTCTTTCCCTACAGCAGCAGCGATGATGATACTCGGGATAATGCTGATTGATCGAGTGATCAGCCTTCGCATCCAAGGCTTGATCGTCCAGTGAAGCATCCCTTCGGACACCATTTGCCCGGCCATGGTGCATACTATTCCAGCAGAAGTGCCGGAGAGTAGCAGCGCGAGAGCAAAAATCGTTCCAGCAGCCTTTGACAAGTTCTTGCTGAGAAGGTCATGAATGCCAAAGAGATCGGCTTTGGTGGCTTCTGTTTGAGGATATAAAGAGGCCCCGGATACGATGAGGATGGCGGAGTTGACAAACAGAGCAAAAGTGAAGAGCGAAGTGGCCAGCTCTACGATCGAGTATTTGAGACAACCCCGGATTGCGTAGATAGATGGACGATACTTTTCTTCCTCGTCATCTGACGTGTCGCCCATGGCAATGTGACCATTTCGCTCATCGAATTGCTTCAAGCGAGGCTGAACCACGCCCGAACCAAGGAAGATTGAATGAGGCATGACCGTGGCACCCATGATGCCGCAGGACAGATAGATACCATTGCCTTGCACAACCGCTGCCGAGGGCAAATAGCCTTTAAAGACATCCCCAGCCGAAGTGTCTCTGATATAGGACAATTGTATGCAAAAGCAAACCATAACCCCCAACACCAGGCTCATGACGAAGTATTCAAAGATACGTAGCCGTGTCATGGAGCCATCAGGCTTGTAAAAGAGCAGCAGAAGCAAGACGTCGACAAGGGTAATGGCGCACCCTGCAATCAGTGGGATGTGAAGAAGTAGATTCAGTGCTATGGCTGAACCAATGACCTGCATTTCGTCAACTCTGCTCAGGCGTGATTTATAGGGGTCAGGCTCACCTCTGCAATATCGGTAGCTATAATAGCCGACTCCGCGAGAAGATACAAGATCAGATTGAGCCACCTGGGCAGATGCTTGCGACAGTTTTCGGCCAGATCTAGGCCGGTGACGCTCCCGAGTTTGATACACAGAGACTGCAAGAAGATGGCGAATAGATTGGACAGTAAGATGATGAACAGATGGCGGTATCGTGTCGACGCGCCGGCTTCGACATCAGTGGCATAGTTTCCAGGATCGATGTAGGCGACCGCAATCATGAAGCCAGGCCCGATGAATTTGACATACTTTTGGAGAACGGCGACGAGCTTGGTCCAAACGCTTTTGGGGTTTCGTAATTTCCTGAATCGTGAAAAGGTAGTAGTGGGTTGTTGAACAGCCGAGATACCTGGATCAGACGAGTGCTGATGATCATGGGTTCTTGAATCAACCTTGACGGAGCTGGGGGTTTTGTTTGAAGACGACGGAGGTTCTGGCGTGTCGAGAGGTCGTATATTGATTTGCTCTTGCTCGCTGTTGTCCAGACTTGAGTCGTTCTCGCGTTGTTCCCTCAGATTGACGATGCCATTGAGGTCGGCCCTTGTGGTCAAGTCCGCACTCAAAGCGTGTGGGCTCTGGTTCCAGTCTGGGTGGTCCTCGGTGTCGTCGTTGCGCGAGGGGCGGTTCATGATGGCGACGATTGGGTATGAGGGATGGTCTTGAAGATCTGGAGGAGGAGTAGGGGGAGACTTGAGAGGAAGGAAAGTCGGGTTGTCCTCACTTCTTAGGATGATGATTTGATGTCGTTGACGGGTGGCCAGAAGGATCGAAAATCGTAGACACGGTGACACGGTTTTTCCCGAGACAAGAAGAAAAGGGCTTGTGCGGGGTGAGGCTGCCGAATGGGATGACGAACGAATGTTACCACGAATACCTCATCAGCGTCATTCTTTTCTTGGAGGCCAAGGCGATCCTTTCGCCGCAATACGCTGACGAGATGGTGGCATTGCTACGAATTCTTGTAGACCACGCCGAGGGTAAGCAGCCACGATGTGGTTTATATGCATTAATATGTCCAGGGAGCGAATGACAGGCTGGTGGCCAAGGGTTTCAACTCCGAATCCGGGGCACAAAGTGAGACGAGTGGTGAACGAGGATTCCAGTCGACCGTACGGGAGGCGGTGAGAGTTCATGATCACGGATGCAAACCTATCCGCAGCTCCCAGTGCTATCTATCTGGACTACCAGCATGGTGTTCCTTGCGCATTCGCAAATAACAATACTCGGCTATGAGAGGGGACTGCGCAGCCGAAAAGCGGTCGCGTGCCCGGATGCGGCGACGAGATGTGATGTGAGAAGCTTCAGTGGAAGCTGTGCTTCAGGCCTGTTTCTCGTCAATCCTGCGAGGCCAAGTCCCAAGGAAGGATCTTCAGTCAACAAGAGATCAAGCTGAAGGAGAGTCAAACCCGCAGCTCCTCATTGGATTCAGAATACTGTTCCACGCGTCCGTCCAGCGACTAGAACTTGAGCCCGGTCCATACATAGCCATTTGCAATGCTCGACTGTTGACTTTCGGGTTCAGTGCTCCGCATCGTCTTTTTCACGTTGTTCGTTTCGTGACCATCAAAGTCCTTTACTAGACAATATTCCACAATGTCAGAAGGTAGGCGAAGACTAGACTGAAAAGACGAGGCTGTGTGTCTTCTTTCTGGGGGTTCGAGCGACCTGAATCTGGGCCTGGAGTTGGCTGGCTTTAACTAAATCAAGAGCTGGTGTGCCCATAGCTAAAGGCTAGTGAGCCTAGTGAGCCTGTATGGCGAGATGGTTGCCGATCGGCAAAGCAACCCAGACCGGAGTTGCGGGCTTGTCTCATTGGTTGATCGTCTCTCAACCGAAAGGCGGCTGCGACATGCGTTTCTGTCGTCGAGAGGCTGTCACTTACGTCGCAAATCGCGAGGATCGGATCTTGATACTGCCCTCGTCTCATTGTCCGCTACACATCAACAAACAAGCTGCAGCATCGAGCTTCCTACGGACCTTTCCATTGAGCACGAAAAAGTCACTAGCGAGCCCCTTGATCTCGAGTCCGCCTTGCGACCGTTGTGTTGGTCGCCTTTGCCAGATCGCACCACCCCATTTCAGACAGGACCATCGGATAGACTGCCCATCGAACCACTATCTTCATATCCTCGTTATTCGGATCGTCCGCAGATATACGACCAAACCTATAATAACCTCGTCATCCGATGAAAGCTCCATCGAGAAATGATTGCCCTTGAGCGGACTCCTCCTCATTGCGCAGCGGCAAGCCCAACACACCGGACATGATGAACAGCAGCAAGGCGAACTGCCCGCCATTACAAAGACATAGGAGGAGGTCTGACCATGTCTCGCCAAGTTCTCCCTCGGTTTCTCGACGATTTGTCGACCGCCCGAACAGATATAGCGACGCTCTCAGTCCTGCCGAACCCGCGTCGAGCACCGACGACTCGGATAGCCCGTCCCTCAACCTCAACCTCACTCTCTCCTCTCCTGCCTACGAACATCTCCGAGCCTTGCCATCAGCGCCTCCCGCCTTGAAGAATTTCTCATTCGAGCCTAGACATTACCAAAGATTATCCGAAGATAATGGCCGTCCGAGATATCGTACGTCGGACGAGAATGCCCGTCCTGCCACAAGCGACGCCGTGGACGCGAATGCAACCCTCCCGCATCCCGCTCTAAGCACTGCCGGTCAGTACACTGAACTCCCCTTGAGACCTGCTCTTGTGCCGTACAATACCAGTCCCAATGATATCAGAGACAAAATATCATTGGAACGTCAAGCACCAAGGCCTGGAGACGGCGCGTCCTCGCCCAGTTTCCGCAACCACAGCTTTTCTTCGCCGGTGATGGACCGGCCTACGACTGAAGAGCCCCCTCATGGAAAGCTTCATGCAGGGAAGAAGAGCAGATTGAATTTACTGAACCCCATGAGTTTGCTTGCTCGCCGTCGATCGTCGCAAAACCAAAAGCTTGAGGATGTCAACCTCAGTATCAAGACCTTCTCCGTGCCAGCACTTCCAGACGACTTCGACCCAAGTATCAGAGGCAAGGTTGTGCACGATTTCTCGGCTCCGCGTACCCGCAGGTTGTACTCTCAGAATGATATAAGCGGCGCAGACTCCCCAGCGCCACGGTCAGCAGATCCCAATTGTATCTACGAGTCGCCAGGCGGAAGGCTGTATACAAATGGAACTCCAAATCTCAACCACAGTCCCATGTTCAAGGAGCACTTCCAGGATGATCGGCCGTCTTTGCGGCCAGATCGGACAGCATACTTGCATAATTTCAATGCCTCGCACATGGCACATGAACTGCAGGATCCCGACAGCGTTCCTGAATTTGCTAAGCGGCTTCCAGCTGTCATTCCACAGCCCGACGTCGATTTCAAACCTCTACCTTCAGACAAAGAAAACATACCTCTGCCACCACCGCCGGTGGTGCCATCACCCCCACCGCCAACACCGCCGCCTAAGAGCACACCTTCACCAAAGTTTGATCCACCGCCTGCTGCAGCACTCCCTAAACACATGACAAGCACTTCATCACGATTTAGCTTTCAGCTTGGAGATCTGGGGTCCTCAGCTCAGGAAAGACTGCTCGAGGAAAAGCACAAGGAGCACGAGGCGACAAAGAAGATCACTGCTCCTGGTGCTGAAGAAGACGATGACTATGCAGACTATGACTTTGATGCAGATGATGGATTTGAAGAAAAGATTCCTGGGATCAATGCGAACTATGAGGAAGACGATGGCTTTGGGGACGACATCCCTGAAGCAAACGCCCTTGTGGCCCGCTATGGACCTCCTCAGCCTGAAGCATCTGATCTGTCGCAACTTGTGGTACCAGAAACTCGGCCTACGGAGCTGCAAAGGCGATCGCTGCAGGGATTCCACTTCACACCACAATCATTGACATTCAGCCCGACAAGCACAAATAATGCATCTCAACCAACACCACGCGACCACGAAGGATTCCCGATCGGAATCGCCGATTCGAGAGAATCCTCTCAACACGGACATCCAAAGTCTGACGGCAAGGATTCAATCGAGATCGAGCGAGTTTCTCTCCTCGGCGGACTGGGTATCTCGGCAGCCGAAGTGCCCGGGAGGCGGACTCAGCACACATCACGTCCCCAAGGCCAGATTTTCGACGATGAAGATCTATACTTTGATGATGGCGAATTTGGCGACCTGGATGTTGATATTCCCAGCGGCGAGTTTGATGAGCAAATTTTCGACGATGAGACAAGCACAATTCGTGATATCCCCGCGGAGAATGCCCGTAAACTTGAGGCCGCACGGCATCTGGCTGGTGCTGACGGCGAAGTCAAGACCGTTAATCCTTGGGACGACATTGTTGATGCAGAACCCTTGGGGGGCAGTGGCACCCGCGCGAAAGGGCCCCCAGCGTCGTTCGAGCCATCTCAGGCAGAATCGACACCTCCAGCGAAGCAGAATCCTGTCGCTGGTCTCACCGAAACCAATCTCGCGGCTTACCACGATGCCCTAGCCTTGGCTGCCAATCAAGCAGCGTCGGAAGGAAAATTCGACCGAAAAGTGAGCTTCAGCCAGAGTTCGGACGAGACCTCCCAGTCGCCCAGTCAGCGAGGGGTCATCTCGGACGACAGTCGCTTCAGCTACAATGTCAGCTCGGCCATTGCAGAAGATGATGGCTTTCCCTTTGACGACGATCTCGACGACGACCCGATGATAGCCGAGGCCAACGCAGAAGCACTGGAAAACGACGACGAAGGCTTCTATGGTCGTGAGTTTGGATTCTATGCACGTTCTCATTTCAAAGGAAATTCCGAGCTTGTCATTGGCGGCTATTTTGCCGAACGCGGCTCCAACGGCATCAAGCGCAGCCATAGTGGCAAGGCGAATTTTCAAGAGCCTAGTTTGACACCAATAACGGAACGGAGCGAATGGAGCACCAGGAATTCAGTAGTATCTCTTCACCTGCCAGGCGGGATGCCTGCTTCAGCGCAATCTCTGCCTAGTCCAGGGATTGCTCAACTACTTGAACTCGACTCGCCTGGGTTCGACGAGGACATGAGTTTTAGTGCGTTGTTGAAGCTCCGTGGACGGACATTTGGAGGGAGCACATCCAGTATCAGCAGCTCGGCTGCTGGAAACTCGGTCAGTTCGCCGCTGGCTCACTTCTCGAATCACACATTCCCCCAAGGCGATCTCAATGCGGCAAGAATGTCATCGTCTCTGCAAGGTCGGTCGTCGCCCGCAGGTATACCTGAATCGGAGGAAGAGGAGGAAGAAGCCGACAGGTCGACGTTGACCCAGAACACACCTCGCAAGAAATCGGTGGAACCCTTTGTCGTGACATCGCAGGAGGACATGCCTTCCTCGCCTGGACCTATGGGCGGCGACCGAAGAAAAGGGCGTCACAGCAGAACCAGCAGTGGCGCCGAGAGTGTTACATATTCGCGTGATAGAGACGGGCGCTGGGTACTGGAAAGAAGGAGGACTGATGAAGAAAGTGGAGCAGAAGTTGTTGATCGAGAAATCTTAGCAGGAGCCCGTATTTGAGCGTTGGAGAGATATACACAGTATAACGGATCCTGTTGGACATTGGTTTTTGTTCCGGAAGAGAAAAGTACAATACAGACGACGACATGATACCCCATAGAAATCGAGTACTGCGATGCTTCTAGCAAATATTCCCTCTCCAAGGCTGGGCGTTTATTGCCAGTGATGAGTGATGGGTGCTGGGTGACGGATGACGAGTGCCGCGGCGACGAACCAAGTCAAGCCCATCAAAGTCCATCATCCATCAAAGCTCATTATTATTCCGTCCACTCTCCGCATCTTCGGAAAAAGCCTCAATTGCAGGCGACCTCATTGGATCGCCGCCTTAGCATCGTCCCAGACTGCGTCAAAGCAGCAAAGCAAGCCTTCTCGCCTCGTTCATACTCAGACTCACATTCAGTCACTCACTTTTCCTTCCTACGTAACAACTCAAGTCCCGGACTTCCTCGCTGTACCTCCGTGTACAGAACCTTCTCCTTCTCCAGCGCCTTTCCACTCCTTCGTTGGTGGTCGCTGCCGTCCCTCTCCGATCTCGTATATTTCCTATGGATCATTCGCTGTATCATTAGCTCGCCTTCTACATCATGTATCGTTGTGCCGCCGGGAAGCTCTCCCTGAGAGCTGCGCAAGCTTCAAAATCCTTTTCTACTTCTTCGGCCTCGCACGCCTGCGTAGGGAGCCGCCAGAATGCGCTCATCGCTGGGAGAAAACCATTAGCCGTCATGGCCCGCAGCTCACTGCAGCGCAGGGGCTATGCCATGGCGGCTGAGGAGTCAAACAAAGGCGTCGTATGTTTCAATCGGCTTGAGTCCAAGCTATCCAAGCTATCTCACGCAGCTAACCGCTCGCCAGGATCCCAATGACTCCTTTCTTCAGGGCAACACTGCCAACTACATCGATGAAATGTACTTGGCATGGAAAAACGATCCCTCTTCTGTCCACGTCTCATGGCAAGCCTACTTCCACAATATGGAGGCTGGCAATATGCCCGTCTCTCGAGCGTTCCAGCCTCCTCCGGGACTCCTATCGCAAGCCGAGGGCGCAGCGAGCATTGCGCCGAGCGCAGTCACCGCAGGCGGAGAAGACATCAGCAAACACTTGAAGGTCCAGCTACTCGTAAGAGCATATCAGGCTAGAGGCCACCACAAAGCAAAGACAGATCCGCTGGGCATCCGCGGAGAGGCCGAAGCGTTCGGTTACCGCAGACCCAAGGAACTGGAGTTGGACCACTACGGATTCACCGAGGCAGACCTGGATCAAGAATTTACACTTGGCCCGGGTATTCTTCCTCGATTCTCGACGGATTCGAAACACCAAATGAAGCTTCGCGACATCATTGCTGCCTGCGAAAAGACCTACTGCGGCTCCTACGGTGTGGAGTACATTCACATCCCAGACCGAGAACAATGCGACTGGATCAGAAACAGAATCGAGGTTCCTACACCCTTCAGATATTCCGTGGATGACAAGCGACGCATCCTCGACCGCCTGATCTGGAGTTCCAGCTTCGAAACCTTCCTGGCCACAAAATACCCCAATGACAAGCGTTTCGGTTTGGAAGGCTGTGAGTCTCTTGTGCCTGGTATGAAGGCCATGATCGACCGAAGTGTCGACTATGGTATCAAAGACATTGTGATCGGAATGCCACACAGAGGCAGATTGAACGTGTTGAGCAATGTCGTCCGCAAACCCAACGAATCCATCTTTAGTGAATTTGCTGGCAGCACCGAAGCCAATGACGAGGGTTCCGGCGATGTGAAATATCACTTGGGTATGAATTTCGAGCGACCGACTCCTTCCGGCAAACGTGTCCAACTCTCGCTGGTCGCCAACCCGTCTCACTTGGAAGCTGAGGATCCAGTTGTGTTGGGCAAGACCCGTGCCATTCAGCATTACAACAATGACGAGACGAAACACCTCACGGCAATGGGCGTTCTTCTTCACGGTGATGCCGCCTTTGCCGCTCAGGGCGTCGTTTACGAAACCCTCGGATTCTACGCTCTGCCGGCGTACTCAACCGGCGGTACCATCCACATCATCGTCAACAACCAGATCGGTTTCACTACCGACCCTCGATTTGCTCGATCCACTCCTTACTGCTCCGATATTGCAAAGGCCATCGATGCTCCTGTCTTCCACGTCAACGGTGACGATGTTGAAGCCGTTAACTTCGTCTGTCAACTAGCTGCTGATTGGCGTGCCGACTTCAAGAAAGACTGTGTTATCGACATCGTCTGCTATCGTAAACAAGGCCACAACGAAACTGATCAGCCTTCTTTCACTCAGCCACTCATGTACAAACGCATCGAGTCTATCAAGCCAGTCCTTGACAAGTACGTCGCTAAGCTCTTGGAAGAAGGCACCTTCACCAAAGAGGACATCGAGGAGCACAAGAAATGGGTGTGGGGTATGCTCAATGACAGCTTTGATCGGAGCAAAGACTACCAGCCGACTGGCAAGGAATGGTTGACCTCCGCCTGGAACGGGTTCAAATCACCAAAGGAGCTTGCGACCGAAGTTCTTCCTCACCCTCCAACCGGCGTGCCCACTGAAACCCTACAAGAAATCGGAAACAAGATTGGTGGTGCGCCGGAAGGCTTTACCGTCCATCGCAACCTCAAGCGTATTCTTGCCGGCAGAAAGAAGGCTGTCGAGGAGGGCAAGAACATTGACTGGGCTACTGCAGAGGCTCTTGCATTCGGTACTCTTTGCCTGGAGGGTCACCATGTTCGTGTCTCTGGTCAGGATGTGGAACGTGGTACTTTCTCCCAACGTCACGCCGTCCTGCACGACCAGGAGACCGAACGGACATGGACACCTCTGAGCAACCTGGCCAAGGAGCAAGGAGCCTTTTCGATCTCCAACTCTTCGCTCAGTGAGTTCGGCGTACTCGGATTCGAATATGGCTACTCCCTCTCGTCCCCCAATGCTCTCGTCATGTGGGAGGCCCAGTTTGGTGATTTCGCCAACAATGCCCAATGTATCATCGATCAGTTCATTGCATCTGGAGAAGTCAAGTGGTTGCAACGATCTGGTCTTGTCTGCTCTTTACCTCACGGTTACGACGGCCAAGGACCAGAACACTCTTCCGGTCGTATGGAACGATATCTCCAACTCTGCAATGAAGAGCCAAGAGTGTTCCCGTCGCCGGACAAACTTGACCGACAACATCAAGATTGCAACATGCAGGTCGCCTACATGACCACTCCATCCAACTACTTCCACATCCTCCGCCGACAAATGAACCGACAATTCAGGAAACGTGAGTCTCCAGACCTCTCTTGCGAGACGTAGCTAACAGAATCCAGCACTGATCATCTTCTTCTCCAAATCATTGCTGCGCCATCCCCTGGCCCGCTCTGACATTGAGGACTTCACAGGTGATTCACACTTCCAATGGATCATCCCAGACCCAGAACACGGTAAAGCGATTGCCGAACCCGACGAGATCGATCGCGTGGTCATCTGTACCGGCCAGGTGTACGCTGCATTGTACAAGCACCGCGCCGACAAGGGCTTCAAGAACACCGCCATCACGCGTATTGAGCAACTCAACCCCTTCCCCTGGCAGCAACTCAAGGAGAACTTGGACAGCTACAAGAATGCGAAGACCATCGTGTGGTGTCAAGAGGAGCCGCTCAATGCCGGCGCTTGGAGTTTCGTCCAGCCCCGTATTGAGACGTTGTTGAATGAGACCGAGCATCATAACAGGCGCCATGTCATGTACGCGGGTCGAGATCCGAGTGCCTCGGTCGCGACAGGTCTGAAGGCCAGCCACGTCAAGGAGGAGCAGACTCTACTCCAGGAAGCCTTTACGGTCACGCAGGACAAGTTGAAGGGCGAGTGACTAGCCGGCAATGGCATGATAGCGGATGGGGTCACGGGTGCGAAAGTCATCTAGTTCTTTGCTTGATCGAGGGGCCTGGCGGGGAACCTGAGGGACGAGCAACCTGAGTTTTGTTGGTGAAGCCGAAAAGTGCTGGAAGAAGTGCTAGCGAGGCTAGTGGAAGGTGGAATGACTGATTGCGGCTCGAAGGGCTGGAGAATGCCAACGCCACGGGCTTGCATGGCGCCGTAAAAGACCACTGCACATATACGACCCCCATTCCGTAGCTGGCTGATTTGGGTTTGGCTGTTCATTGTTAAAAAGGGCTCAATGCATGACTTGATTGCTTGTAATGCCTCTAAGACCAACATGGGCGTACCACTAACGCTCTAAGCTGTCGCCATACCATGAAGATGCGTAAGCCTCTCATAAAATCCACCCTAGCAATCATGCGGCGCGGCATATGGACGTGTACGGCTTCCTCCATGATGGTGATGATGCTAGTTGAGCTCGCCTCTGGAATGCTCGACTTCCCTATCCACCCACAGTTCCTACGTACTACACCGTCGCCCCGCAAAATGGCAATGATAGAATGCCTACTGCTGAATCAAGCACTGGTCCCCAGAGCGTATAGATGGTTCTCAACAGTGTCTAAGCCGTAGGGAGCTGAGTACATCATCATGGAGAAACTTGAAGGAACGCCACTAAGGGGTATTTGGCCCTCACTGAGCTTCAAAGAATGCTAAAGGGTCGTCGAACAAACTGTACTCCTGGCGCACAAGCTGTTTTCATTGCAACCCCCGGCAAGCGGGAGCATTTGCTCCCCAAATGACATGGCTCAGCATGAATGGTCCCCATCCGTTCTCCGGCAGACTCAAGGCCGAAAGATTTTGTATTGCCCCAATCGCTCATTACAGCTTGTGGCATAAAGGAAGAGATCCGCTCGGATGCGGCCGTGGACCTTGTAAGTCGTATGCTGCTGACAACATTCCCAACTGTTCACGACTACCCGAGAACTGGTCCAAAATATCAAGGATCGAATTGACTGCGGCTGCGGATCCTGCAGAGAAAGCTGGGATTCAGAACCATTTTCCTTCTGATGGTTCTGATGAAAATGGCTGATGGGGTAGCGTGAATTTGACACGAGCAGATTTTGACCGCATCCGCCCTATGTGAAACCTCTCTATGCGTCTCATCGCGACGACTTGGGAGGCTCTAGGGTTGCTGGGTGGCGTATTTGCAGGCATGGGAAACTCATGGTCGGGTCTCAAAGTTTCTATCCCTGGGTCCGAATATCTCGCGGCTTGGAGATCAGGCCGATGGTCAACGTGACCGAACATTGTGGCGACCTGCCCGCTGAGTTCGCCGACTATATGAGTTTGGTGCATAACTCAAGCGACGAGGATTAGACGGACTATCGAAACCTGCAGGGGAAGACGCTCAACAATCTTTCTGCCAACAAGGGTTCGAGTCCGACATTGCCGTTGATTGGACAATCCAGGAGTTTCAGAGGCTGGGCGCTGATTCCTGGTGGCGATTAGTGAATGGCATTGAAAGAGGCTCTCAGGCGTAGGCCTCGCTGCTTTCCTACACTCTTGAGGTGTCTTCGCGACGTCTAGACGAACCTGACTACCCGCCAGGTTTCTGGGCATCTGAACGGCAAGTCCGTCTTTTCAGAAAAACGGACTCGTGTTAACACGGAAAGTTACCAGAGATCTGAAAGTGAGACACCACAATCGGCAGCAATTAGCGGTGCAAACCTCGGGAGAAGAGGCCCAGAGGGCAAGGGGAAAGAGAGTAGCTGATGATACTATCCTTCCTTCCCAAAGGATTACGGATGGCGCCCAAGCAGCCGGTGGCCAGGTTCTGTCTTCTGGCCAGGAACCCAGGAAGAGACGAGGTGGAAAGACCAAGAAATGACGGAGGGAAATGTTGGACGAGCTCCTGGCGCCAATGGCTAAAATGATTTGCCCCTGAATGGTGGCCTTGAGGACGAACAGGCCCTAGGAGGGAGCCTGTGAAGGTGCAATGTGGATCGACTTTCATCGCTGCTGCTGTTCGATATGCTGCTTCACGTCATCTCCGTAGAGTAAGTCGCCATTAGATGGTTGCTCAGCAAAAAAAAGCCCCTCTCAACCGATTTTTGTACCTTTTCTCTTCATCGATCTTTGCCTTTGTCACATCCGCTGCATTCACACTCCAGTATGGAGCCACTATTTGGTCGAAGATCCGCATGCTGCAATGGTCCGGACAGAACAATCGTTGGATATATTCGTTGAAGAGTGAATATAGGCCTTTGGGACTGTTTACGGGATAAAAGTACCAGAAGCTTCCAATCTCCCAACACTTTCTCATGACGGGCGTTTGATACAAGGCGTTTCCCGACATTTGTCTCTCTTCTTGCTCAAACGCGTACAGGTATTCGCTCGCGATCTGGCTGAAGGTGTCAAGGGGCTCTCCGTGCTCGAGCTCCGACAGCTCGCCCTGAAAGCCAAAAAGGCGGGCCCTGGAATTCAATAGGCAGCGAACAGGCCCACTCCAAGTCGATCAGAGAAGTAATGTGACAGTCTTCGTCCACGTATATATTACTCGGATGTAGATCTGTGAGAGTAAAGACAAAGGGCCCGTGCCGATATTCCGGATGAATGAAATGATGAAGAGTAGCACGCATCATAGTCAAAGCCGCCAATTGCTGTTCACCATCGTCTGAATCATGGATTGAGTTGGGTTGATAGTGAATGCGATGATCATGACACGTCAAGAGGTCAAGAACATAGGGCTCCACTGCTGAATAGGTAGATTTCCGGTCGATAGCGGCAGGAATGCCTTCGTTTTCCAAGGACTGGAGGTGTAGTGTCAATGGACGGTTGGTCAGGGTGATACATGCTTGGTCATCGAAGGTTAAAGAGCCGATACGAGGAAGAGGAGTTTTGTTGAATGAAAGAGTAATCCGAGCCAAGTCGTGAAAAACGTTCGAACGACCAGCGATGTCGTGGCGGAAAGAATCCCAACAGATTGAGAGCATTTCTCCCTTTGAAACCTCGCCTATAATAATATAACCGGTCTTCAAGGTATCGACAGACTGTCGCTGGATATATCGGCTGGGAGTAGGTATTCGAAGCCACGAAAACAAGGTCTGCTTCGCATACCACATCAGTCGAGAGATTCGGGGAACATTCTCGGGTACCGTGAACTAAGAAACAGTGTCAGCTTGAATCCGCACTACTTGCAAAGCATCAGACTTACGATCCGGCCGTTGGGGAATCCAAAGCCAAAGAGAGGAGGAATCGGTATGTCTGGACAATTTTGTTGTATCCAGATATACAAGGCAACCTCACACCGAAGCTTCTCATCGACATTGCCAGGGCAGTTTCTCTCTCCGACTTTATACGGCAATGGTACCCTGACAAACACCGTACGTACTTCAGAAGGCGGACGGATGTAAACAGGGATACAGACATTGAAGCTGCCAGATAGCCAAGTCCCCTCGTCAACCGCTCGACATTCATTGACGCTAAGGTGAAATGAGACGATGGCCTCAATTTCGGTCTTCTGCTTGGACAGGTATCTCCAGAACGCTTGTCGTTGCTGTCGATAGCCGATTTGAGCGATATGTTATCATCCTGTCGAGGGCCTGATCTAGTGTGATGTGTCCTCTGAGGAGAGGTAATTCGCACGGCATACTGGCACCGGTAGCCGCGGATGAGAGCATTCCCCTCTGGGGCATATTTTCATGGCGTTGAATGATGGAGCCACACACTTCGCCCCTCAAGCCGCGGAAACACCTTTCTGATGAGATAAGACAATCCTTTTGGATGGGCAAGGGATTCTCGACGTTGCTGATGCAATAAAGAGTGTAGGCTAAGCTTTGGAGTAGCAGGCTTGGCTGGTCTTCTATGGCTGGTGTGCGCCTCACTAGCCTCATGATGCCCTCATGATGCCTTGCTGTTTTGATTCACTTGTGCAGTCCACTTTCCAATTCGTTCAAATGAATACACGCCAGGCATTGTGAAAGGTCTGCTACGCTCAAGTTGTCGATTCAGAAAACCGTCCAGTGCTAAACCCCGGTTGTCATTGGCAATTGACCATTTCTGCACTGATGGCGGCCAGGGACGAAACTATCTTCAAGGATATTAGGCAGCTGCATCAAATGTAGGGGGTAATAAACAACATAGAGAGCACTGAACCAGTTTCAAAGGTACAAACAATATAGTAGTCAGGCAGCTCGAAATCTTGAAAGACAGTCTGAACGCACCAAGCGTCCCCAATCATCAGATGTCCATATTGCCGTCCCATCCTTTAGTATCGGACACCATTTTGGTCCATATCGCCGTCATAGTCAAAGCGAACTCCGTACTCCTCCATATCCGCCGCCGGGGTCTGGACCAAGCGGTACTTCCACAGCTAACAGTAGGTCTGGGGAATTCTTGCCAACGTCGAACCTGACAATCCGAAAATTGCATCCGGGCTGAATTATTCATTCACCATTCTGGTTTTCGTCAATCCTCCGAAGCCCTTTCCCACATTTACGCAATGCGGTGTGCGTAAACGGGGTGTTTCTCTTCCTTCTGGCGTCGAGGGCCGGAATTCGCGCCGCGCCTGACCTTGGTGGTCGCTTGTTGTTGGGAGCCAACGACGTGCTTCTTCATCACATTGAGGCACTGAGTTTGTGAACCTGGATTGGAAGCATGCCTCGCGCATCCCGAATGTTTGGGTCCGCGCCATACTCGAGGAGAAGTCGGACCAGTCTGTGATTGCCAACACGATAGGCCACATGGAGCGGTGTTCCGACGGCAGTGACCACGTCATAGTATGCTCTCGGTTGCCCTTTGAACTCGATGGTATTAGGCGATGCGCCATTGGTCAAAAGGAGCTCGACGACCTCGTCTTCACGGTTGTTCCAAACTGCAGAATGTAGAGGGTAGCCATGTTGGACTGACGCACCAAGCTCGAGAAGGAGTTTGATAGTCTGGCGGGAAGCGGATTGGACAGCCATGGTGAAAGGTGTGATGCCGTATATAGAGGGGACGTTAGGATCGGCGCCGCGCTGAACGAGCCAGCGGACCATCTCCGAGTCATTGAGGGCATCGCTACTTCGTGTCAGAGCACTGTCAAAGCGAGATGGACAGGGAGAGACAACTTACGCCCAGAATGGAGGGTATTCATCTCGGTAGGCTGCGTTGATATCGAAGCCATTGTGCAACATGAGCTCGAGGATCGTGTACGAGCGATTCTTCACGGCCGTGCAGAAGTCGAATGGGGAGGGTTTCACGCCTCTTGCTAGGAGAAGATAGACGATCCATCGATAGTCCTTCTCTACCGCAGTACGCATTGCGTAGAATTTGTCCTGGACCACGGAGTCATGGATGTTGATGGCAGCCGAGTCGACCAGAAGGCGATTAACTTCCTCCATGTCACCAGCCGCGGCAGCTTCGGTCAAGGGACGTAGTTGTGAAGATTGCATTCTTGAAGGCTTGCATCGGTTGCATGAAGGAAGAGGGGAAGGAGGGCGCCGGGGACACCAAAGACCTTGTGTCAAGGAAACCGACACATATTGGCTCGAGTGACTCTTCGACTGTTCGACATCTTCGAGCAGCACCTCATCCTTCAGTCCTGAGCTGCCGTGCCAGAAGGAGAGAGCTGATTCATGGTATTTTCAGCCGTACTTTTAGCACCCAATCATAGCCGGTTAACGCGGGATGGGCTGTGGATTGGGTGATCTGGATCCGCAATCTAGGTGAGACAAAGTGATGTATCATAAAAACAATATTCGATGACCTACTACGGAGTATGTATGTGGCTAACTCTCTCAGTCAAATCAACTTCTGCCGCGATTCTCAACAAGGGACTACCCCATTGATTCGGTGGGTTCCTGTGGAAAATTCCAGCACCGTCTCGTCTCGGACTCTGGAAACAAAACCTTTTGGCCTGGAGATGTTTTGGCGGACCACCCATTTGTCGCTTGCGGTGCTGCATGCTCGAAGATCAGAGGGCGCTTTTCTGACCGGTCTACGGATCCGCCATAGAAAGTGCTGGCTCGAGATTTCACAGACCCTTGTTCCCCAGGAGCACCCATGTATGAAGTGGAGTTTCGCAAATCGTCGAAAGAGGAGCTAACACTCCCAACCCGGGGATGCGAGTGGAACCCTGGCACCTGAGCATGCCAACCATGGCTGTCACTTCTGCAGCTCCTCTCATCCTGCAAGACGACGTGGACATCCCTTGCACCCACGAGTGCTATTAACGGGTTCCCCAAAACGAGGAGGACGTCCGCGCGTGCATGATGCACCACGTTCTGGCTTCAAGGACGTGTATTGGCCTTGCGGCCCGAATAAAGAGCTTGGCCACTGCGACTGGGAAATCATGAATACCTCGTATGAAATGTGGCAATTTTTGGTACCAAACACCAGACCGTTCGACACACCCGCCAGATACTTCACTTCTATCAAATTGCGGGGTGGCTCGCCAAAAGTTAGGAGATTTTCCCAGACTCTTTGATAGGTGCCGTTGAGAGTTCGATCTACGCCGGACTATAATAGCCTCGTCTTGCTCTCGAGATCGGTGGACATAGGGCAAGACTAGGAGCGAAGAGGTAAGACTTTCTGCGACTCCTCACTGTACGTTTCTTTTGCGCCATGATTGGTCACCGTCCACGAAATCAGTGTGGTAGCGTTCGGAGCTTGCTATTTCACATTTGATTCGCCAACCTCTGCATGGTGACTGCAAGCACCTTGGCCCAGCGTACATCTAACCTCCTGATCGGATGATCGGCCGGGGATTCCCTAGCGAGATCGTGTGGCCACAAGAAATGAATGATCGCACGCTCCAAGCCGGACTTCCGATCAGATTCGCAGGCGATCCCACACACATGACCTCGCCTCTCTGTCTATCAAAGCCAGAGAGTCTCATCGTAATACCCAGCTTGTGAGCTGGACATTGCTCGTACGGCCGATCTTGAGCTGATACGCCGACAACGAACTATTATCACTGCAAGAAGACCCGTGACAAGATGATGGATTGACAATTTTGTAAGAGACCCTCGTAGGGCAGCGGCTGTTGGCCGCTGCCCCTGCTGCTATCGTGCACAGCAACTATGGCATCTACCTGGTAGTCAACCGCACGGCTGTCTCAAAGGAGTGCCATGATCCGCCGACCATCTGCCGCCACATAAACCACGCTGCCCATCGAAAGACGTCGCAACATTTCCTCTCGCTTTTCCATGTACAGATACGTATAGTAGTCTTGTGGAATCTGGTGCGGACTGTTCTGCGCTACACTGACTCTCTCCTGGAACCAGACTACCGCGAGCGCTTCTGCGCGGCTCCGTCCGAACAACTCCAGATCACGAGCCAGAGGGTCGATGGGGTTGTATTCCTCCTGTATCATGAAACTTGTGTGTACACTCTTTATGAGGTGGTGGACATGGTCCATGTTCTTGGTTCGGACCATCACCTCCCATGAACCGTCGTTCAGTCGTATGAGGCTGGGTATGAAAACATGGTGCAGTAGAAGCTGGTCGAGTTCGAGCCCAACTCGATCGTTCAAAAGCTGAACCCGTACAATGGAGAATTCCCCGACCCTGGAATGACACGTTAGTAGGTAAACATCACCCAGTTGGGAAGATTCAACAGACCAGGAGTCATGAATGGGTGGCGCGGGTAGCAGACCACCGTTGCTGGCCCACTGAACGATGTCCGAGTCGAGATGGTTCTCGGTGATTCTCCTGTAGGCTGCGACTTGATTGTTCTCGGTGGTTGAGCCACCGTGATTATTCCAGTATTCGTCGTCGTCGCTGTAGGGGGAAGGAATGATCCGAAATGCACGCCCACTTGAGGTGGCGTTGGAGTCACGCTCTGTGAGGGTCATTTGGCCGAAGTTGATGCTGATGTCTATGTCTGGCATGTCTCTGCCCTTGAAAAACTCTTTGTCGTGCATTGCTTGGTGCCTGAAGCGCTTGACAAGAAGAGAAGTACTTTTTGGGGATGGAAAGGGATTCACGCTCTTTTCAGAGCGCCAGAAAAGACAAAATGGGATGGCTTCTTACAGGTAGAAGTGGTGTGAAGACGATAGAATACCGGACACTCGAAGAGCAAAAGCTTTCTGGTTTAATATGCGAAAGCCGTTACAGGAATGCTGTTCAGCTTTGCAACCACCATAATTCACCATAATTCACCACCATGCACGCCCGCATAATCACTGGACCCCCCAAAAGCGCCACTATGGCAAGGTAGGGGAAGTAGAAAGTACGATACGAGGCTGGTTACACCCGAAGTTCGGAGTGAAGGGTCCCACCGATGTTCGAGACAACCATTCAAGACTTGGCCAACATGGGGAAAGGCTGGTGAGGCTTGATCGGGCCCCCTGTATGTCGCTTCATTCTGCTTTCCATTGGTCTGCTTCCAAGTGCCGGCCGTGGGGAAAGGCTGCCCTCGAGCCTTCGACCCTCTGTACGGGCACATGCTGCTTCATCTCGACGATCAGCCTCAGTAGGCATGGTGCTTCAGTCGATCTTCCATTGGTCTCTTCCAAATGCCCGGATTCTCCTCGATTTTCGCGACAATCAGGCCTAGTAGAGGTGAGGGAAAGCTGAGCCGGCGCCTGCATTTTACATGTCGGCCTCACGATTTGTTTCGTTGGTCTGGTCTCTTGAGTCTTCCAAATAATGTTCGGACATTACCGAGACTCCGCACACGATTCTCGACATGCAGACCTGGAATACATTGGGGGAAGCTGAAGCTGAATCCCCGACCCCGTATGTGATTCGTATGTGGTTGCTTCCCTTCATCTCCTTATCCCTTGCGTCATGTCGAGTCATGGATCTCAGAGATGAATGCAACCAGTCAGATAAGGTGCTTTTCTCGTGAGGAATTTGCCACAAAAACCACCTTGGTCATGCGTGGTCATGAATACCAGGGAGGACTTGACCAAACAACATTCGTGCGTTTGTGGCTTTTCCTTCACGTCCAAGGGCCGCATATGTCCATCAAACGGGATCATCAAAGATGGGTCTGCACGACGAGAAGATACAACACAACAACGCACTCTCGCAGTCACCAGCAGTTTCCCAGCCTGACGACATCCAACTTGCTGCCAATGACAGCAGTTCCAGTATTACCTTGCCATCATCACATGCTACTATTCCTGCCTTCGCAAGCAATGCCCTGCCGCACTCAACAACCATCCGACGCTGCGAATTTCCCAGGGCACCAGCTCCTTGCTTCCTCGCTTTGTGATCTATGTCCTCGCATTCGTGGAGAGCGCGTAGAAAGAGGTGGTGACGTGGCATGAAATCCCCCTTGGTCTCGTGAAGCCCAGACTTCCAATACTCCAGGATTTGGAGCAACGCCATTCGGGTGCATAGTAAGCAGACTCACCTGGGGTTACTTGAACCCCAGTTGCCAACGTCGTAAAGCAGAAATTCTGCAAATCAACAAGGACGTCAGTAAGTCTGGAGTCGTATCAACACAGCCTGAACTGGCCGTGGCAATCATGCATCAAGATACCCGTACAATTTGCTAAAATAAGCATCAGTCACGTCCTTCTTGCCGCTGTCATCTTCATCCATGCTCGCATGCTTGCGATGATGCAGGAGCTATGAAAGCTGCCCATTGGTCATGGACACGAAGTCATCGTTCACCGACTCGAAGATTTGCTGACACTGGAATCCTCTCCTTAGCATTCCTTGCCCCAATTCGCCGAGACACTGGCTCCCACACTTGGAGGACCAGCCTGGTGACTACTCCATAGCCTCTTTCAAGACGCCAGTCACCTGTCCGTGGACACTGAACTAGCCGCCCATGTCGATACGGTTATCGTTGAGTACCTGTTGTAGGATGCAAGGTTTTGCGACGGTTATTCGACACTGGACCTCATTAGGCTTGATCCCGTTACACCAGTCTGACCAGTCAAGATTCAGTGTGCAGGCTCCTCGAATGGACGGCTCCTCGAATGGACGCTGCAGAATGGACGATGGCAAATGTGTTTGCGCAAGTCATTCAAATTGCAAGAGCCAAACTCGTCAGCCGAAAGCCTATGGACCTTTCAGTCTTCCAAGATGAGAAAAGTACCTTTCGTCTCAAATGTCATTAGGTTCCGCACCTAGACTGTTCCCACAGGCAATGTGCCTTGCATGATTGGCCCCTTCAGGCACTCGTTGCCCTACTTCTTGAAACGCCTGTCATTCTCATTCACCAGACTGTATCTCCTCTTGCTCCATGTATCGTTTGATGGTCCAATCGAACACATGGTCATACTCGAACCTTCGCTGGACGAAAAGCGCCTTGAAGACTTTCCGGAGATAAGAGTAATAGGGCTTGTCCCCGAATTGTAGAGCTCGAATGCTCTGCATGTAAATCCCAAACTCTCTTGGAGCTTCGCCACAGAGCTCATCAATGCTTATGCTTTTCTTCATCTCCATCATCAGCCTGTATTTCTGTTCCTTTGTCTCTGCATTTGACTTCTGCCAGGGGAGGTTCCCCCGAAGAAAGTACGGCAGAATGTATCCCAGGCTCTCCAGATCGTCCCGCCGGGATTGCTCTGGTCCATGATCAGCCCGAAGCAACCACAGAAAAAGCAGAAACCCCACCCACTCCCATATGACCGGCGATGCTGGCGAACATCGCCGTGCCGAGAAGATGAGGGTCAGAGGGTGCAATTGTTGGTGCTCGAGTGGGACGATATTCCTCGGCCAGGCCGAGGTCCGTGACATAGATGCAGTTCCCATTCCTCCGTGTCCCCATCAAGAAGTTCTCGGGTTTGATATCTCGATGGATTACGTCTTTCGAATGGATATAGCGTAGTCTGCTGATCAGCTGATCCGCAATCATCAACACAGTCTTGAGAGAGAAGTCGCGTCCACAGTAGTTGAACAGGTCTTCCAGACTGGGTCCGAGGAGCTCAAACACCATGGCGCGATACTCGCATTCTCGTCCGAACCAGTAGACTGTCGGTATCCCAGCACCTCCGGCCAAGGACTTGTACACCTCGACTTCCTCACGCAGGAGTGACGGGTCGATGGACTCATGTTCGAGCTTCACAGCTACTCCTTCGTTGGTGTTGACATCAGTAGCTACAAGAATGACGAGTCAAGATCCAGGCTTAGCTCCCGGGCAGCTTACCGAGATAAACGTCGCCGAAGCCACCACCACCAATCCTGTACTTCAAACGGTAGGTCTCATGAATGCGAAGATCCGAGGATTCGATCTTAGAGTGCTTGCTCGCCAAGTGGCTCATACGGGCAAATCACCAGAGTCTTCATGCTTGATCATGCGCATTCTTTCGGTACATAGTCCGCCTCAACTGAGGGCTGGCAGGGGTCGTTGGTGCTGGGAGACCAAAGCACCCTTAGGGCCCAGAGAGCCGACCATCAACGAAATAACGCTAATCCATCCACGGCGATGGAATAGGCAGTCACTGCAACCACTGCGCCCATCCCGTTCCTGCAACCTGCGACCTGCCAACTAGTCAGTGAGGCGGCAACTCGCACGAATCACTCTACTGCGCCATGATTCAACAGCACGTTGCTGCAATGTTACAGCTGGAAATGTCAGTACGACGTTACGGCTTGACTATCGACCCCCCTTGACCTCCCAGCCCTGGTCTCATGCGCAATGAATTTCGATAATACCTCTTCAGCCTCTCAGCGATGCCTCTTCTTCAGGCTCAGACAGCTCGCGGATCGGAAGCGAAAACGTGCACCTGAAGACACAACCCCGCCTCCCGTGCCTCAGTGGAAGAGAGCAGGATTCCGATCGGCAGAGGAAGCAAAGATCACGTTTTGGGACAATCTTACCACAGTACCCCTTTTGCCTTGGGCACTCAGGGAGTTCGATCGACGGTATCGCGTATCTGTTGGGCCTGCGAGCAAGCGTGTCACCGGATCTACTGGCAGACCTGCTGGCCGTGTTACGCGGTCTGCGGCGAGACGGGCTGCTGAGGTGAATCCGGCTGTTCGCCAAAGCATTGTCTTGCAAGAACGTGCAGCTCAGCTGAAGCATTTTGCGAAGCGAGGCGGCCCAGATCTTCACGATCTCAGAGGAGTAATGCTGACTTGAGTTAATACACTGAATCAGTGCTAATAACTTCAATGCAGTATTCCGAGCCTGCAGAGGCATCTCGGGCCATGCCACCAACGAAGACTTCCTACAGGGGCCTCTCAAATTCGAGCCAGCTCACCTTTCGCGGCTCAGGAAGAACGTCCGCATATGATTCGGGCTTCAAAGAGCATCTTATCATGCATGGCATATATCCCAACGGTGTTCGTCGCCCTGACGGCAGCCTTGCTCCGCGGCCAGACAATTGGGGAGATATCCAGCAAGTAATGAGGCGACGCAGGGCGTCTCTCTCACCTTCTCGATTCTCTGATGTTGCTTTCGAGGCCTATGTGGAGCAAACCTACGAGGCGATAGATCAGGCTGGCGTGATAGAGAAGGCGTTTCCCATTCTGAAAGGCAACAGTGGCATGCTGTCTGGGAGCAAGAGGACGTTCAGCAGGCTAGCCCCGCTTACGGATGGCACCATCGGCGATGCTCGGCCGGATTTCTATTACGGAGCCCGTCCAGACCAGGCAAACCAGCGTGTCCAGGATGATCTGAATCCATACATCATACCCTCCGGCAATGACAGCGCCCCAATCTTGCCCAACAACTTCACTGACCTGTTCGGTCCTGATGAAAATCCGGCTGTTGTGAGACGTCAGGCTTGTTACGATGGTGCAATAGGTGCTCGTGCCCTGCAGCACCTTCAGTCGTATGGGCTGCCAGAACCAGTCTTGGATAACAATGCGTACACCATCACCTCCACTTTTGACGGCCAGAATTTGTACATGTACACCACCTATCCTACCGCTCCTGCCAGTCCCGAAGCTCGCCCTGAGTATCACATGAATCAGGCTGGAGCTTTTGCCTTGACGGGCAACGCCGACTATTGCCGCCAAGGACTGACGGCCTATCGAAATATGAGAGTCTGGACGGAGAAGAAAAGAGACGAGTTCATCGAAGCGGCAAACGAGAGGCCGGCTACAGTGATCCCTCCACTCCAACAAGTCTGGCTCCGGCCATAGAGTCCGAGACCTCGGCGGACGAACCCGCCCTAGATGAGGTGCCGGTTCCGAATCCCGCCAAACGGCCCAGACGAGGAGAACCAGGGACGGAATCCGAAACTCGCTGTGACGAGTAGTGCTGGATCATAGTGGCAAGATTTGGGGGATCCGAGGAAGATAAGCCTGACTGGGAAACGAGTTCCTGTCAACAACAAGAAGGGATGGATCAGGATCTGAGTGTTCCTCGCGACAGCGACTGGGATCGCACTTTTTGAAGTACGTTCATTTTCAGTACCCAAGTACGAGCAATATGCTCATGGCTTTCCGTCAAATCTGAAATCTACCTTGCTTCAATGAATCTGTGCGTACACTTGTTGGAGCTTTGGTTGGAAGGTAGGAGCATGATCTGATATATGCTAGATGTGTGAAGGCCAAGCTCTCCCTTCCTATTTCGAGGATCCAGAGCCAGAATGAACATTTAGTATCCGTGGTAGTATCGACTTGTTGAGTGCAGTGATCCCATTACAGCATCCTTTCATACGCATAAGCGATTGGCAACGCCAATTGCGGACAGAGGACACAACGGGATGGAGAGTTGCGACCCACGCGATCTCCGTACTTGCTCAACGTCAGGCTAGCCCCTTTCTGGTAGCCTTGCCGTCTCACGAGGAGAGTATTACGAAAGCAAGCCTTCGATCCCAAGTGCGTTGGGTCGAATTGGTGTTATTAACCACCCGCCATATATTGAGTGCCCTACCTCCTTGTCTGAGATCAAGCACCTCTGGTCTCCGTACTCTCCGGTAAGGGTGTTGCTTGCTAGACATCTGCCAATCAACCGGGTTTCGCTGTCAGAATCCTCTCGAGCCCAAAGATGGCGGACGTACACCTCTACTATGCTCAGGGCGCCTGCTCTCTGGCACCTCACATACTTCTCCACGAAACAAGTTTGCCGTTCACAGTCACAGCACTATCTGTGAAGTCAGGGTTCCCATCCGAATTTGAGCACATCAACCCGAAGAAGCGGGTTCCCGTGCTAGTCATCAATGGACAAACCATCACTGAGAATCCCGCCGTCATGCTGGTAATATCTCAGCTCGTGCCTGAGAAGAGTTTGATGGGAAGGACAGACGTCGACCAGGTGAGGGTCTTGGAGTGGATGAATTGGGTTTCTGGTACACTGCATGGTCAAGCATTCGCAATGGTTTTGAGACCGGCGCGGTTCTCGGATGATGAGACCTTGTACCCTGCTATCAGGGAGAAGGGGCTCAAAACTGTAAAGGACTGCTTCGAGCAGATTGAGGCATGGTTGGGAAAGATTGGAAACGAGTCCGGAGGTGTGTTCACGCTGGGCAACGGAGAAAGCTTTACTGCTGTCGACGGGTACTTGTATGTCTTTTATCGCTGGGGTATGGGGATGAAAATGGGTATGCAAGGGCTGTATCCGTGTTATACCAGACTTGCGAGGGCATTGGAAGGAAGAGAGTCTGTCAGGAAGGCATTGGCAGCCGAAGGGTTAGAGAAAGTGGTGGTTACTGGAGAAGTGAGGTTGTGAGGGATCGAGGTGCTGGAAGCGAAGCAGTGGACACCATCTCAACGGCAGCCGACTCGTCGATGTCGTGGAATGGCAATGAGACAGTACAAATGTTCTGGTGTTGTTGAGGTCGATAGCTCTGGCTGACGAGGAATCCATTGCCCTGCACATCGTCAGGAAGCGTGTACCCGGTAGAATCATGAATTGGTTGTCCAGTGATCATTGCAGGTCTACGCCGCGTCGCAGCTGGAGAGTTCAGATTCGCTAAGATCGTTCACAAAGCGTCTATGATTGTCGAGGTATGTGTTCGGATGTACCCAAGGCACAGGAAAGGCATTCGTGGCATTGATTGTTGCTGATCTTTGGTGGCAGTGAGAAGTTTGGCGGCAAAGAACGATGTTCGCTGCGCCTGCAGTGGCCTGCTTAACTAAAACGGCTGCTTAGGCCTCGGCAACCTACGGCTGGTGCAGGCTATTCCGGCGCCCATAGGCTGGCCTGCCTTACCTAAGCTGAATCCAGTGTGCCCGGACTCGGCGCATCCTTGTCTTGAGACGAATGATGGCCCTTTTCCACAGCAAACTGGATGGTGTACGTGACGGATCTCTAAGACCGCCTAGAGTCTTCATGCAACCAGAAGGGTTCCAGCGCCAGTCTTAGAGATGGTCTATTGCTCAGACCGGCTCAAACCTAGAATCGTGAGGCGACGACGGCTGTGTCACAAGTTGCCCGTACCCAGAATCGCTCAACAACGTGAGACTGAAAGACCCAGATGTCCTCAGTTCAGGGCTTTCTTTCAGGCCGCTGAACCAGATATCCCTCGGCTACATACTACAAATCCAAGTCCGTCTTACCATCTGCCCCCTGACACGTTAACACGATGGCCTTGTGCTTTGATTGCGGGATGCTATTTGGTATCGAGGGTCTCAGATACGGCGACATCCTGCTGAAAGAAGATCTCGCTGAGCTCATTGCGTCTGCCGAGGATGGCTGTCAATTTTGTCAGATGTGTTGGGCTTCATTCCAAGAGCAGTGTGAACAAGAGATGATCGAAAATCATCTACGGCTCCTGCCTGATGAGCTTCTGCGAGACAGTGACGTAAAAGTCCATGTCAGCATGCGGTTGGATGAATTGCGATACAACGACGACAAGGAACTTTGTGATTCAAGGACGTTCTCCAACTGTCGACTGGCCATCAGCACTGGTCCGATCAATGCTGCCCCGGATGATTACACGTTGCAATTGAAACTCGAGGCCGAACTGAGCGTTTTTGCGGATCCAGGTAAGCAAGGAAGCACTCAAATACCCCGAAGATGCATGTATCGCCGGGAGGGTTTGCAGTTAACGAGAATACACAGGCACGCTTGCCGGGGAGTTCATACGGGGCAGACACTTCACATTGCCGGCGGATCTTGCTCATGCTATATCCTGGATCAGAAAATGCCTTTTGGAATGCAATGCTTGTCACAAAGATTGTGCACCAGTTGAACATCGCGAAATGCCCACCCGTGTAATCGATCTTGGGCATACCGGACAGCAGACACCGTATATACTTGAGACCAAGGGTCGCCTTGGCAAATACCTGGCATTGTCTTACTGTTGGGGCGACGGTGTCAAACATCAGGTTAAGCTCAAAAAGGCAACCTATACTGCAATGCTGCAGGGTTTTGACGAGAGTCCTCTGACCACGAGCCACAAGGAGGCACTCCAGATTGCCCGAGAACTGGGATTCCAATTCGTCTGGATCGACGCTCTTTGCATCATCCAGGACGACGCAGCCGATTGGGAGAACGAGAGCTCAAGAATGACGGAATGCTATCTGAATGCGAACTTGACCTTGGTGGCAGGACGGTCTGCCAACAGTTCCAGAGGATTCATTGGGACCACTTCCACGCCTTCCATGGAGCCTTTGCGGTTCGAATATACTCATGAAATGCACCCGGGGCAAAAGAGTTACTGGTGCATTTGCTTGCCTAGAAATATCGACACAGGGCCGGTAGAGGAGAGGGCGTGGTGTTTCCAGGAAGATATCTTGAGTCGACGCAGCCTAATATTTGGGGTAGACCAACTGTTTATTCGATGCCAGGAAAGACTCTACCATGAGGCCGGTATCGTCGTCAATCACAGCATACACGAGGTTGATGGTGAAGATCTTATGGATCTGACCACATTTGCCAGTAAATGCAACGATCCAGAAATGGCGAGGGAGAAGATGCTGCTGCAATGGTATCGGATTGTTGGACAATATACGGCACGGACTATGTTCGAGCCACATGACGTGTTTGCAGCTTTGATGGGTCTGGCAAAAGTGGTACAGAGGGCGCTTCGTTGCCAGTATCTCGCAGGGTTGTGGGAGGACGATCTGGTTCGCGGATTACTGTGGCAAGGCCGGGGTGATATGTTTCCGGGCGCGGGATTCACTCCACTACGAAGGCCTGCGGAACGGAACACGAAGAAGCCAGAACGGCTGGGCTTGCCTGCCATCAGAGCGCCGTCATGGTCATGGGCATCAGTGGAAGGAGGTGTCACCCATTCGCCGTTCCATACGCAGGAGAACGACAAGAGAAGATTCGACGAGGAGAATATCTGTGTGCGCCCCCTATACGGCAATCCCCCAAGATGGTCTCCTCGGTCTAATTGTGAGGTCGACAAAGCATTCATGCCGAATTGTGAGTTGGAAATGCTGGGCGTTCCCAAACTGGCGAACTGTGGCACAAGACCCGTGCCGGACCAAGCTGGAAAAGACGCTCCTTGGAGGTTCGCCGGTGCCAGAGTTGGAGAGTTCGCGACGCTGACTGACGTCCGACACCCAGACAATATCGTAGGAATGGGCTTGTTTGATGTCAAGCAAGAGCAAACGGATTTGTTATGGTGCATGCGCCTGATCAGAGACCGTGGACTGATGCTCCGCCGAGATCAATATGGAAAATTTCACAGATTGGGCAAATTCGTCGTGGTGGATCAGGCCTTCTTTGAAGACGAACCGGCAATGAAAGTAGCACTGGTGTAGGGGAGGAAGGTAGGTGAATCCATTGCAACTATCATTGTATTCAGCCTTGCAAGCGCTAACGCGTGGCGATCAATCAGAGGTTGAGCACTCGTGACAATGTGCTTGACTCTGCAGGGACTGTGCGCGGTCGATATCTGCCTCGGAGAGTCTCTGCCTACTTCCTCTGGGTCCATTTCCAAGCCTTCCGAGTATACAATGCTCGCTCAAAAGCTCGATGATCGAAAGCAAAGTGTTGCATGGCTCATAACTCGTACATGTCATGCCCACAACCAGCGTGGCATTCTTTTCTCACATTACGCCATATACTCTCTGACCGTCCTCTTTCTCGCCCCTCTAGTGAGAGCTTGGGCAGCAGTATCATTAGGCGTTGCGTCGCCGAAACCGCAACCTCCATCTCGGGTCTGAGCAATAATGGCACCTGCACACTTGCCGCTGTTGAAGCCGCAGCATCCAGACGCACAGTCGGCGTCACTCAGGCATTGTCCTGTGATGAATTGCGCGCCAGCACCATTTCCGACGTTGGCGGCTCCTGGGATGCTGCTGTCAATCGCTGCGGAGGCAGACTCGGTCGCAGATGGAGCCTCAGCAGCGCCACTGTTGCCTGTCCCTGCGCCTGCAGCAGCGGTGGCAGCAGGCGCTGATGCGCCGCCTCCTGTGAGGGCTTGAGCGGCGTTGGAGTTGGGAGAGGTGTCGCCGAAACCACATCCGCCATCACGAGTCTGCGCAATGACTGCACCAGCGCACAGTCCGCTGTTGAATCCGCAGCAGCCAGAGGCGCAGTCGGCATCGCTCAAGCATTGGCCAGTGATGAACTGCTTTCCGGCTCCATTGCCGACGTTGGCGGAACCCGCAAGATTACTGTTGACAGCTGCAGAAGCACCATTCGCACCACTCACAACACCGGCAGCGGCGGTGGTCGCAGGGGCAGCAGCAGTAGCAGGCGAGGTGGCCACTGGCGCGCCGCCGGTCAATGCCATGGCTGCGTTCGCATTTGGTGTCGGGTCGCCAAAGCCGCATCCACCATCACGTTCTTGAGCAACGACAGGTCCAGCACATTTCCCTGAGTTGAAGCCGCAGCAGCCAGAGGCGCAGTCGGCATCCGATGTACAAGTGCCTGTGATGAATTGTGTGCCTTGACCGAAAGCGAACAATGCGACTGCAAGGCAAAGATGTCAGCCTGTCAATCGACACGAGCAGGAAGGGCAAGCACTTACGGTTCAAGAATAAGAATACAACGGCGAGGGACCTTGAAAGAGAGTTGTTGGCCATTTTGTGTAGATTTGGTCCGACTGTTCCAGCAGTTGGTAGTTCGAAGGAGTGCAAATGTCCTCAAGACGGAAATGAACGGAATTGGCTTCAAATGATGCAGAGAAGGAAAGATGCTGTAGATTGTAGTCTGGCAGAGAGGTCTCCTTTGGGGACCAGCTCATATTTGAAGGGAGGGACTTACGCATGATGCCTTACCTTGGGAGGCTCCTCTCCCTCCTTCGTGGCTCGTGTCCATCACATGATGGAAAAGGAAATGGCCCAAGCAATGTCGATGAATGGATACAATGATTTCCCTCAATGACGGATCTGACTAACAGCACGCGCGATGCAACATCAGATCCAATGGCCAAGCGAGCGAGTGAGTGACGACTTGATTCTCAAACGAGGCGTGCAAGGCTGAGACTGGCAGCCTTGTCCAAGTGTTGCAGGTTGTTCCAGTTGCCAAGGGGCTTTGTTGGGGTCATCCCATCGATTGGCTGCACAGTCACCAGCCTCGTCAACATCCTGAAGCACCAATCGTAGCAGCTTTGGCGTCGTTTGAGGTTGGGTTTCATCTTCGCAGGAGGCTCAGCGTTGAAGGTTACCGTTGGATGTCACTGTCCCTATTTCTGTGGCTGGGGAAGGATGTTGGCAAAGAGCAGCCATGTCCAATTTGTGCAAAGGGGATGTTGAGGTCTTGTAACCAGCATTGTTCCGTGGTGCGGAGCGAAAAGGCGGCAGACGATTCGAGGCCACAGCCACACACAGCCTCCCTTACCGTTTGCCAGGTGGCGTACAGTACCTAAGTAGGCGTCACCACCACAGAACCTCCAGGTGAGCCCAGGCGCCAGTCATCCCCCTCGTGGGTTGCATAGGAATCTTAACTAAGGTGTTTAACTAATGCTTTAACTCAAGTAAGCACTCTGGGCGGGCTCTAGTTAAAGAATTTATGCCAAGACCGGGACGCAACAACTTGACCGCGAGGGAGATAAGCCTGCAATAGTAATTACTTATGACCACCTGGGACCCAGCCGTCGCGACCGTCATGCTCTTCATTTCCGCTGTGAGACTCCAATTTGTGAGAATGTACTCAACGTTAACGGGTCGTTCCGGTCGGGTGTATGTGCGAGGGAGGGTCCTCCAGACTCATCCTACCAAGCCAGAACTCAATGTCCATTTCGCGACGTAAGTCACTGATTTATCCGTCATTCCCTTGAGAGATTTGGCCTATGTCTGATCTGTTCAAACGTGGAAATTCAGTTCTGAAAGCCGTGCTCGTCCCGAAACCCATTTCCAGATCGATATTCGAACTCTCTCAAGAGCTTAAGCACGAGTTTGGAAACAGTTCTTACCTTCGGTTGCATCTTGATGACAACGAGGAGGAATGTGTTCTTGTTTACGACTACTACCAAGACAATTTACTTTCCTTGGTGAGGAACAACCCGGACCTTCCGATCAAAGCAAGAAAATTCATCCTACGAGAACTCGGACTGGGACTTAGAGATCTTCACTCCAAACAGTGGATACATCTAGGTGCGATTTGCTGAACATGAAAGGGGGACCATCGTTAACCAGAACTAACTCAACATTTTAGATACAAAGCCTAACAACGCGATGATTGACTGGAACCTGGATGAGAAGGGACGATTCAGAATAGAACGAGTGGCTTGGGGCGACTTGGACTGCGCTCTAAAGCTGAAGGGCGAACGGCTTCTGAACCACAGAATTGGAAACGTCATGTGGCGTAGCCCAGAAGGGCAAAATCTTTTCCTTTGGTCTCATTGTGAGTAACCTTCGCTGGGGTGACAGTGCCTTAACTGACCATTAGTTCCAGTGTCTCTACACAATTACAGGGGTGGAAACGCTACACCCTGACTTCGAGCAACTGAAGAAAGACGGGACGGAGCCAGAGCAAGTGATTTTATATAAGTTGCTCTCGATGTTCGGGCCAGCCTCGCCTGAGCTTATTGCACACGTCGACGATCAGTATGGGGGTGAATTGTTAGCAGCGTTGTCGAGGGTGGTAGAGGAGGAAGACCCTGGCCTTACGCTTTGAGCAGTGGGATGAGAGGGTTTTCCCGAATCTCGATTCTGAGGCTAAGAGGGTGGTATTAAGGATGACCAGCCTCGATCCGCAGAAGAGGGTAACCATGGAACAAACTCTGGAGGATCCTTGGTGGGAGCAAGGTGAGGATCGTAGAAGGCATGGCCCTGGTGACCCTCCTACTTCCAGCGCTGGAACCACTACCTCAATCCTCATATCATGTTGACAGAGTCGACAGAAGTCTTGAGCCCACGACCCCAGCGGCCACTCAAAAGAAGATTCTTGGATGATGATACCCACAACGGACCCCTATCCAGGACGAAGCGCACCCTCCACGATCTCTTTCCAGCGTCCCATTCCGCATCACGATGTCGCTCCGACAGCCTCACAGAGCGAACAAGATCGCCGCACTCGGAATCCTCATCATCTGCCTACGGCCTAAATAGGTCGCCTGTCTCATATCGAGAAGGTGCATCCTCCCCTGCAATCACAGCGTCCCTTTCCTTCTCGGAGGAGTCGAGATCGTCCTCACGCGTCCAGTCTCCTACTTATCGCAACGACCTATTCCACAACAACATTGAGATAGACCCGGACCATGTCTCTCGGTCCGTACAAGGCTATGGTCGTCAAATTATCGCTCAGGCCAGAGACTCTCCGGGTCTGCAGGAATCTCAAGCACAAGATCTGGTCAAAATGATGCGCTCACTCAAAGATGCGGATGAAGATACCATCAAATCCGGATACATGTTGATGCAGCTTTTTGCTGACGCAAGTCATTACTCGGAGAAAATATGATGGGCAGCAATACCCCGTTCGATCCAGCCTCGCTCCCACACGTTCCTCCAGCTCCTCCCCTTGCAGCTCCCAAGCCCAGTCAACACTACTGCTTGGATCGTAGGAGCTTTTCCCTCGAAGAAGACAATAAACAGGCCGTCAAAACATTGCGGCGACTTGCGAAACCAAGTACTGCCGGTTGCTGGCCGTACTTCACAGTCGAGTTCAAATCGGAAGCGCGCGGCGGAACCTTTTGGGCTGCAGAAAATCAGAATGCTGTGAGCGGATCCCTATGCGTCAACTGGATGGAGAAATTACTGTCCATTGTCGAGGCGGGCCCCACCGAAATTGATTCGATTTCCTTTTCGTGCAATATAAGCTCGAGAAACGCCGATATCTGGATCCATTATTGCCAAACCCAACGGTTCTTCAGCGCGGAATTGGAGCATTTCCACTTGGGACGTTGGAGAGATGTTGTCTGTTTCAGGAACAGCCTTAAGAACATCGTTGACTTCGGGTGGAAGGACCGCCTTCCACAGATTCAAGCCCTCTTGGCCAAGATCTCTCTCTATGAGGTCTTGCATTTGCGGACAAGAATCAACTGAATGAAAGGCAGACTGGGATGACTTCGTTCAGACGAAAGTCGTCACACAGGCAAACACAAGCACTCCTTGAATGAAGATGAAGCTAAGGATCTACCGACGGACGAAGCGCTGGTGCGGCCTCTTCTCAGCCCCAGGGACTGCCACCCGCGCCGTTTACACATCGGCACACGATCCTGTTCAGGCACCCGTAGAAGCAAGGATGGGACCCACCAGAAAAGATGTAACGGCCCGTCCAAAGTTGATAGGCACAGTTGGATTCACAGGACATGCACCCTCAACTTTCAGAGCAGTATCGGATGATATAGCATACGAAAAATTGATACTAACGAATAACGAATTGAATGAGATCAAGGACTGACAGATACCATTCCTGCTGCATTCCGTATTCATCGTCTCCAGAAGAAGCAATCCCAAATACTCGTGCCATCGTGTATGAGCGGCTTGGCTACTCTTGCTAACAGTCCATCCCTTCCTTCACAAACAAAGCCGATTACCTGGACACCGAAGGCATCGAACATCGGCGTCCACAGCCCTGTATACAGAAACGACATGAACTTTCTTCAGAGCGATCTCGAATCCCTCACCCCTCATCGTCACTGAGCATCACTTGCGGGAGCGATGAGCCTGTGATAGTTCACAGCCTGAGTCCGAAAGAACAACAGGCTGCAACACGCATTTCTCACGCCACCGTCGACACTTGTGGTACTTTTCAGAGCAATAAGGAGCCTTGCGAACAGATCACCCTCGTCCGCCTCGCCCATGAATACACGCTGTACTAGCTGCTTGGTCCGTGCTTGCCCGTGGCTTCAGCTGCAGCTTCACAACGAACTTCAATCGTCTCGAGAGGTTTTGCGTAGGAGATCGTCTCCAGGAAAGGCATGGGAAGCAGCAGTCCTCCACAAATGAATACAGGCGATGGATCTGGATCTCGGCCAGAATTGCAAGGAAGCACTCCGAGAGTTACACGCCTCTGGTCTCCTTCACGGCGACTTGGATCACAAGCGATGGGCCGCAATTTATTGATTTCGAGAACTCGCCTCTTCCTCCACCACCTCCTAACGGACATCGAACGCTGGAACACCATGAAGCAGCAAGACAGCGGCCTCGAAGGCCCTGGTAACGGTGCGATCGCTCGCGAATATGGAGCCCTCAAAGCTCGGGCGGTTCGCTGAATCGTGGCTCCCATTAGCCTCGAATGGACTACCTGTTTGGGAATGGGAAAAACGCCATCGACGTTGATTGCGAAAACACCACCTGGAAAGCCTATAAGACTTGCCCAAAACATAGCCTACCAGTCTACTGGCCTATCCCACAGTTCCAACTGCGCCCACTACCTTGCACGGCAATTCGCGTTCAATCCCCATATTGGGTCCCATGCACGAGACAGCTTGATACACTCAAGCTTTTCAAGCCTTTTTCCCTTGTCCTATTCGTCTTTCCCATCTTCTCTGCTTCTCTTGGCAACGCGTAACTGCTACCCACTGACTCCACTCAAAAGCCGTCAATGGCCTCACTCTTGGTCTGTTCTGCATACGGCTATCTCCAGGAGGAGGCTTACCTAACTTGCAGCGATGCCGCGAGGGAGGCCTGAACTTCGCTTCAGAGCTATGGCTCCACAGCCACTGTAGGTGCTTCGAATACTCGAATATAAAACAGCGGAGAGACTCAGAACTGGCTTCCAGCACCATCATCATACAGCACCACCATAAGCAGATATTGCTTCGTCACGTCACCTACAACAGCCTTTCACAACCTCTACACCCAACATGTTCGCGGTCAAGCTTGTAGCAAAAGGCGTGACCGGCGCCTATGCGATCACCAAGGAAGCCCTGCATGACCAGGAAGCCAAGAAGAGTACCTCCACTCAGTCCCATCTCAACGTCCCGTCGCAAGAGCAATATGACGGCGCAAGCTCAGATGATGCTTCTTCGATCTCTTCAAATGACGAAGAGTTGACGCGAGAGCTCGACGAAGCGCAGCAGAAATTCGGCCACGGGAAAGAAATGTCAGGTCTTGAAAAGGCCGAGAACGTCGATCAAGTGGTCGACACTTTCATGCAAAATCATCCACCTCCCAAGTATTCACCTGTCGCTGGTAGACTCGAACTTCCGGTTATCTTGCCCCAACGGCGGCCCAAGAACAAAGAGCGTGGCTTCGTCCGGGCGTATGCGCCAATGCTCCAGACATGTGGTCTTGAGCAAGCCGAGTTTCTCGATTTCTTGGACGGGTTTGGCAAAGCGATTCAGGTACTTTCTCCTTTTCTCCAAAGAACCACTCATCTCCCTCGACTGACTCTGGATCATAGCTACACCCGCTATTCCATGCCTTCAATCTGGCCTGCGCAGGAGCAGTGATAGCTTCTGACGTCGTGGCTGGACCGATGTTCTTCGTCCACGTCGGTGCGATGGTCGTCCACACCAGCGTCGAAATCTCACGAAGACAATATGTCAAATATGAGTAAGTCTGGACATGCTCAAGTCGTCCACCCGGCGTCTGCATACCTGTACTTACATTCCGGTCAAGATCAAACAAGTACCTCGACAATATGAACGAATCCTTCTTCAAGCCTCGTGGCCTCTATGCGCTGGTTATGGCCTACAAACCCGAATCCGACGACCTCGTCCAGACCGCCGACATGAGCACCAATGTCCTGACATCCATTGCGGCCCGCGACTCGCGCAAAGGCAGTCGCTTCGCCAACCACTCGGGAGCAACCAGGGAGATTGAGATCCCCGAGTCCGCGCCATTGATTTTCCCGGGCCTCGACGCCCTGCCCGAGGGCGAGAAGGAAAACGCTTTCAAGCGGACCGGGCACCGGCTCGGAGACTATTTTGATCGTCGCGCCCAGGCCAAATTCGAAGCCTCCAATCCCAACTCAAAGTTGAACATCCACCAAGAGAGACACTTCGCCTCTCGGTTCAGCGACCCGAACCATCCCGCCAACAGCGGCAGCCTGGTGGCTTTGGTCAGTGGCGGCGCCATCGACACGAGGGAGCAGGATCGCGCGAAGAAGGAGCGGAGAGCGATGAAGCGACAACGGAAGGATATGAGACGCGTGTCACGCGGTCGTGAGCCCCGATGGGATGCTACTGGGATGAACAAACGAGCGCCGCAGGGTGGCATCAAAGGAATGATGAAATCGGACATTCTGTACCTGATGATTGTGAACTATCCGAGCGAGTCGGAGTTGAAAGAGGCTGCACAGGCTTTGGAAATGCTGGAGCAGCGGAAGAAGCAGTTCTGATGGCCGTAATTTCAAGATGCTGTTGAGAACGGCGTTTGGAGCTTTTTGAGGGTGCAGAAGGTCTTACCCACGGCAGTCACTGACTAGAAATCAATGCTTCAGACGTCAGACACTAGGAATGGTCCCATAAGCCTACTTAATCTCGAGTCATCAGCGGAATGCAGCTTTTATATCCAATCCTCAAGCTTTCTACTCGTGTCTCACGCCTCGATGGCTTTGATATAACTCTCTAGCCCCTTGCCCTGAATACTCATCCGTGCTCATGCATCTTGCAGCGTCGCCGCGCCTTCGTTCCATTGCACGTCCAGATCTTGCCCACTTCAGGGGCGACAGTCGTGTCAGCCACGGCACCTGGTCCGCCAATTCCGGGCGCGCGGAAGCTGGTGCTGGTAATGAGAGCATCAACAGGGCATCTCTTGCCGGCAACGACGACACGAGTAGCCGTCAACGAGTCCACACACTTCCTATTGGTATCGACAAGTCCCAGATGTAGTCTTGATGGATTGAGACCGGTACCCAGTACATATAAGTGCATATTGTAGTAGACAGAATCGTTCCAGATTGGGACAAGGCAGGCCGCTTCAAGGGAAGCACAAGTGTTCAACGCAAGAAGTCCTGAAGTTTCGGTTAGCGTTGAGAATTCGAGTCCACACCAGACATTCACGGGAACAGGTAACCTACCTCCGATGTGCCGTAATATTGATTACACTGGAACGATAGGTACTGATGCTCGCATGTGGACTCAGTTTCTAACATCATGCGCCTTATGGATGTGCTCGTCGTCAATGTTCAAGTGAGCTTCGTCTGTGCTGTCCCGCGCTACTTCTCTTTCTTCGGCTCTTCGTCTCCGTCGGAAGCCATATCCCAACTGCTTTCTGTTCCAGTATCAACACCCTCGCTTGCGCGTTTTCTGCCCCTTTCACGCATTGCGCCACGAATGCGTTTGCTGACCTCGTCAAAACTCTCATTTCCACCCAAGGTGCTGAGAGCTTTGATTGGCAAGCCAGCAGAACTGAGTGCTCCGCCTGCGGAGCTGCTTCTACTCCGGCTTTTCGGTGTCGCGGGCCTGGATGCAAAGAAGCCGAATCCGCCAATGTTGCCGAACGATTCATTTGACGGTAGCAGTAACCCGTAGGATCTCGCTCCAGGTGATTCCGGAACCGTTTCAAATGCGCCAGACGTTGGTGTCGAGGGTTCGTCACCATCGAGCATCCTTGGCTCCTCTGGCATCTTCTTGTAACTGGACTGGTATGCGCCTTCCCGGAAGGGATCGGCAATAATCCTCTCGGCATCAAAATCCGGGAAGACTTCGGGTCCCAGAGTATTGATGAGATCCGTCACCTTTGCAGACAATGCCTCTCTGGTTTCTCGAAGTTTTGCAATCCTGCTTGACGAACGGGGATTGAGAGCGATGAAGAGCGGTGGAAGTGACTTGACCACATCCATGCCGATCTCACCAATTCGCAAGGCTGCAAAAGTGATGCAGATACACAGGATGAGGAAGAAAATGGCAAAGAACCAAATAGGAATAAAGTCGGGCACGTAGGTCCGAGCGACCATCCACCAAGGCACCTGGTGGGTGTAGTATCCATCTCGTCGATTGTACACCAGCCACAAGGATACAATCACGGTGTAGTAGACGTAGAGTGCTGGTGCAAAGGCCATGGCGACAAGCAGCTTCCACGTGGTGATGACATCCCGGCCCTGCAGCTTGACCGTTGAAGCCGCGAGTGCTTCCCGGGACTTTTTGACAGAGATCACTTTGGTGGTAACGAAGACCGGCCAGAACATGGCCAACCCAGGAAGGGTACCAAGGCCCAGTACCAATAGCTCACCAAGTCTGTAGATCAACGTACCAAATACAAGCCACCACGGGCGTTTGGCTGCATTGCCCCATTCAACCTGATGATCACGAATACCAAGTGCTCGGAGCCGTCGGTTATAGTTGAGCACATCCTTCTTGAGTTCGATGACTCGGGAATCGTCCTGATACTTGGTATAGCCTTTGACGAGGCGTCTGTTGAGCTCAACAACCAAAGGCAAAGGTAACTTCTTGCCCCACGGATTGTATAACCTTCGAGCCGCCTGCACAAGCATCAGAGTATCATAGTCGGGGCAGGCTTGAGTGACGGCTAGAAGGCCTTGGTACACAGTTTCAAGGAGGGAGCCGACTGCGTTTCTGCGATCGCCAGCTTTGTATGCCGCAACCTGATCAGGATGTACCTCGATGGGATGACCGAATTCAATCACAGCTCGTGATCGAAATTTGTGTGCATGGAAATAATTCATGCCGATGGGAATGATTTTAACCCCACAACCAGGATGGTTGGCTTCTGCCCCGAGGGCCATGATTGCAACGCCCGCTTTCAGAGGAAGTAGATCCGGTCGGTCATGGCTGCCTCCTTCTGGAAAAATCCCAATACAGCCACCAGCGTCAAGTTCTTGGAAGACGGCGTTGTAGACTTTGGTCTGATCGACGAATGGAGCGACCTTGAACGAACAGCCGCGAGAATCTCTCTGGCTAGGATCGCCATCGCTTTGAGAACCAGCACCGGTAAGTGCTTCCAATGCCTCTGGCGTCTTGAATGGCTTCTTCAAGCGAAGTTCTGTAGAGGAAAGAATCTCCCCAATTTCGGTACTGGGTGTTTGACCATGGACCTTAGGCAGGACGATCAGACCACCAATTTCGAATTGACCGTTCTTGAAGTCAGTTCCAACCCCTCGGATCAAGGTTGGATCATTATCTGGGTCAGGGAGGAATATTTTCCCCTCCGCAGGCTTGACTTTGTCAAGAGCTCGGCCCACTGGTATGGCTCCTATCGCCTTGGACAGTGTCCCAATGAATTTTCGTTTGGTAGATTTCTCCGCCACTAGATATGATATCCTTCTTCTGGCTTCGGTCTTGAGGATTCGCATGAGGATCAAAGAGTCAACGAACTGGTAGCTGTCAGTACTATGTCTTGCTGAGGACCAGACATTCATACCTGATTCGCATGTGGTGCAGCGACAAGGATGACAGGACCCTGGCGAGGGACTTTCCAAGCTCCACGTGGATGTACTTCACGGAAAAACAGGTCGATCAGGACAGACATGGTCCATAGTACTAGGTCGTAGAGCCATGGTATCATTAACTGATTCCCTCTCTTCTTCTTGTTCTTGCGCCCAGCCTTGACAGGCTTCGTCATGCCACCGTCCGCAGGTTCTGGCATGTCTGGCAGAGAGCGATAAGGTAATAATAGGGGCTTTGGTAGTCTGGACTCGTAGGATAAGGCTTTCGATCAGGAACGAAGGCGGATGGACGAGCTTAGCATGAACTGTTGCATCGGAAGAGGTTGAGGAACCGTCGGACAGCAAAGATGCGGTTCGGTGGGATACAGGAACGGAGAAGGAAATCGGCTAGGTAAAGGGAACAAACATCCAGTCTGTGAAATCAAGGTGCAAATGAAGAGAAAAGCAGGTTTGTTAAGGGTTATTGCAGTCGTTCGTGTCAACGCAGTAAAGCGCATTGCGTGGGGTGTTTTCTTTCTGCGGTCGATGAAGTCACAGTCTATTTCCGGGGACCATCATGGACTACGGAGGAACGTTTGGCTTTCTCCAGGCGCCTGTTTGGCGGATTGGCACTTAAGCGGGCACGGCGGGGCACGCCGAGGCACCAGCAACCGCATTGAGACTTACCCAGAACCCCCGTCACCCACCAGTGCCACCAAAGGCCAATTACCACGGTCTTCCAACATCCGACTAACCCTCTGAACACCCTGTCTTCCCAACGAGATTCAATGCAGTCAACATAAATAATATTACGGAGTATTATCATTATCATTATCATTATCCTCATCATCATTCGTAACTCGAAACCCAAGATACGAGTACAACTCTCGGCAGCAAATCGCAAGGAGATGCACGACCCCAGCCAGTCAAAGAAATGGTACCCCAATGTATCCTGGAATTGGTCTCAACGGTTTTGCCATCTATCCGAAAACAAATACCGTATTGATGAAGCCACAGTACGGAGCCCTGCTGGCCCTACTGAAGTCTTCGTCTTTCGATGCCCAACGCCTTTCAAACAAAAACAGCCGTCAAAGCGTGCCGTGTTATTTCAAACGAACTTACAGCAAACTCTGAGCAGAGGACAGTGATGGCTGTCCTTCAACTTGGCGTCAATGAGCCGTCACTGTTGGCTTCTTGCTGGCATGGCTGGTTGGCTCTAAGCCTCTCGATGGTCATTTGTGCAACTTCTTCAATGCGCCGCATTCGCTCTCGCATGTGGAAATCTCGGTCCTTCCACCGCGATTCCCACAAGTCTTCAACCTGATTCCTTGCCTTTTCAAGCATAGTGTCAACATTCTCTTCCAGGTTGGCCAGCCGTTTTCGGAGGTCGTCGATCAAGAAATCTTTCATCCGCAATTGCTGCCGTAGGACTGTATCTTTCTCGTGCAATCTCTCGCGCAATTCGGCCAGTTCTTTGTCCTTGAGATGCAGTGCCTTGCGATGCGTATAGTCCAGCTGCCGCATCATCTTTGCGTAATGCAGGCTGATGTCATTTTCGCTGTCCATTGGCAATGGAGTATGACCAGGTGTCGCATTAGGACTCCCAGCAAATGGACGCTGTTCAACTCTGGAAGTCCTCTCCATGAGGATATCATCCACCGTGTGACGCGAATACTGAGTTGCTGGTCTCTCAGGTAAAGGGAAAGCTCCGCTTGCGTTCCGCCCAATATAGTCTGGTGACCGTGGCTCCGAGCGATGATCCGGCACAGTTGACAATATGGCGCCCGCCGACCGGATTTGGATAGGTCGTTGTGACATTCTGGCCGAGCAAGGTCCATGCCGCTGAGGTAGAGTGATAGTTTGATAACTGCTGCTTGGCGAGGTGTCTATCGCGGGCAGCCGGTTGAAGAGTCCTCTCCTCCGAACTGGTGAGAGTGGAGTCGAGCTGGTCAAAGGAGATGAATCCCCTTGCGCGATGAGGCTTCTGCTGCCCGGGGTTTGTCCTGCTTCGTAGAATGCTCCGCGTCCGGGAGGTGTTCCAACCTGGCTTGACCGTGGCTGCTCGACCAGCGTTGCAGATGACGGACGGGGATTATGTTGATCGTGCCCTAAGGGCGAGGGCATATTGAACTCTGCAGGGTCGAGTATGTTGGCACTCATTCCAGGCTCGATGTTGAGAGCAGCGAAAGTTGACCTTGGTGTCACTGCTCCATCGGCGGGGTAAGAGTCATCACTCGCCTGTTGAGGGTCGACACCGCCAGTCTCAGCCCCCTCGCTACTCCGGAAGCGAACTGTCTCTCCTGGAGGAGCGTACGGAGGTGGGTCATCGTTGGTGATCCGAGAGCCGTCCCGGCTGATTCGGAAATGCTGTCCAGCTATATTAATGTCAATGCTTCGAGCATCTTCCTGCAAAGTTGTGGTCGAATATTTCGTCCGAGTCGACACAACAGACGAGGCACGACTGTGTCTCGCCGACCCCATATAGTTCAGATCTCTGAACCATTGAGGTGCAGACGAAGCAGAGCTTCCATCTTGGAGTGTAGATATAGCAGGCGCAGCTAGTGGTGGAACTTGGTCCGACGCCTCATCTGATAATGATCCACTAGTGCTGCAGTCCGTTCGGCCATTGTTGCTCACGCCCAAGCCCGAGATTGCGTTTTTGAGGCGAAACATACCTGGCTGTGTTCAACGGGTGCTTAGGAGTACCGGAGTCGTAAGCGACCAGAAATCTTCAATGGAGGGCCAACATCATGGGCAGGTTGCAAGTACGAAGGCTTGCTTTCGAGTCAATAATGGGCGAAGCAGAAGGATCGTGAAGGATATTCATCTTCCAGCTTTTGAGATAAGAGTGAGATCATGGACTCAGGCAGAAACATTTGGTGGTTTGTACCACAGTAGGTCAAATAAAGCCAGCCATCTGACGGCGAGAATTAAGGATGACCTATGCACAATTCTCTGATAATGAAGCCACACACAATTCGTCAGGCAAAATCAATTTCAGGTCTGGCGGCTCGGTGGCTGGCCTTAATAGCGGGCCTACTGGCATTGCACCCGTGTGCGGTGGCTGAGCAGCGACGAGGCTGGACTATCATTTTGAAAAGCCGAGAATAGAACGTCGAGGATGTTGTTCCATCTGTATCGATGATCGCATCGAGGTGACCTTCGAAACAGGTCTCCTTGCTAGCTGCGAAATTCTCAACGAGAAGAACCGGAAAGAAGTGACGAGGCTGCGAGGCTGCGAAAGTCTGCTAAAGCGGCAAGCCAGAAAGTCCCTCCAAGTTTCCATCTGATAATGCGGAGATCCTTGCGACTCTGCCACCTCAAGTCAACCACTTTTCTTCGTTTCATGACCTGCTCGAGGGTGCTTTGATATCCCTTGTACTGGACGGATACCTCGACCACCTTCGCTCCCAGAACTCCTACTCTCTGCCCCCATGGCATCGAACAAACCTCCGCCGCCAGGCCCCGACCAGTCTCGAAACGAATACATTCCCTCCTTCATCTCAAAAAGACCCTTCTGGGCTGAAACAACCTCCGATGCCGACTACTTGGAACATCAGCGCCTCCAGTCAGCGCCCAAAGACACTCTCGACACCGCAAAATGGTACGAACGGGGACGCAAAGCCGGTCCCGCCGCCACCAAGTTCCGCAAAGGCGCATGCGAGAACTGCGGCGCCATGACGCACAAGACGAAAGAATGCCTGTCTCGGCCGCGCAAAACCGGCGCCCGCTGGACCGGCCGCGACATCCAGGCCGACGAAGTCATCGAGGACGTCAAGTTGGGCTGGGACGCCAAGCGTGACCGCTGGAACGGCTACGATCCGCGCGAGTACACCGCCGTTGTCAAGGAATATGAAGAACTCGAAGCCCTCAAGAAACAATCCTCCACCACACCCGCCGATGGCACACCGAACGCTGACGCAAGTGGTGACTCCGACGCACGATATGCTGAAGAAACAGACATGGGCCGCTCACAACCCACATCCACGCGCCAACTGCGCCTGCGCGAGGACACGGCAAACTACCTGAAAAACCTCGACCTCGAATCCGCCAAATACGACCCCAAGACCCGCACAATGGACACGTCCGCCCCCGACCCCGACGCGGTCGACGTCTCCGATGGCTTCATGCGGCCGAGCGACGACGCCGCCGCCGAATTCGAGCGCGCCCAACGCTACGCCTGGGAAACCCAAGAAGCGTCTAACCCCTCGACCAAAAGACTCCATCTCCAAGCGAACCCCACGGAAGGCGAGATCCTGCGCAAGAAACAGACCCAAGAATCCGCCGAGAAAAAAGCAGCCGCCCGCAAGGCCCTGCTCGAAAAGTACGGCGGCGTCGAACACATCAAGCCCGCCGACAAGTCCAAGTCCAATCAAGTCCTCGCCTCAGAGCGATACGTCGAGTACGATGAGACCGGACACATCAAGGGCGAGCAACGAACGGTCGCACACTCAAAATACCCAGAAGACATCTTCTCGAACAACCACACGAGCGTCTGGGGCAGTTGGTGGCACAACTTCACGTGGGGATATGCATGCTGCCACAGCACCGTCAAGAATAGTTATTGCACGGGCGATGCCGGAAGGGCAGCCTTCGAGGAGGCCGAGGGCCGGAGGACGGGCGAGGCGCTTCTGCTTGACTACGGTGGAGCCGAGGACGGCACAGCGACCAAGACCGAGGCTGCGATTGGCGACGAGAAGGAGCAGCTTCGTCTGCAGCAGGAGGGCGAGGATATTGCCGAGAGGAAACCCGTCGAGGAAGCAGACACGGCGAAGAAGAGGACGCCACAAACTTCGGGAACCCAAGCGAAGAAACGCACGCTGCAAGAATTACAGGCTGGAATTTCAGCAGAAGAACTAGAGTCTTACAAGCGCAACCGTGTGGCTGCGGATGACCCCATGGCTGCTTTGCTGGGGAAAGACGAACTCGTGGAGATGCGGTGAATCCAGAATGAGTGCGTGACGAGACAGCCTGTTGTTCCTCTGGCAGAAGGCTTGCAACATGTACATTCCAGGCATGAATCATCAGTCGAGCGTTCAAGCGATCGGTATAACAATTTATTTGCTTCGTTAATGCTAATTCTCTGGCTTTCTTATTCGATCCATGGATTTAAATCCCAAGACTGTTCCTGTCGCCATTGACCACGGAGATCCTGTCTCAAACACGTACAGGCCCAGAACGAATAACAGCAGTCCTCCAGTCTCTCCCCGGCACGATTCCAAAACTTCCTTTGCTGCCTTCTTCGTTCGTCCAGGACCATTTCCCTTGCACGAATCCGTTCTGGATCTTCCTCAATCTGACTTGTGCTATCCAGACTTCTTAGCGACAGAATAGTGGAAGGAGTATATCCAGGGCCATATCTCATCCCTCCAGGTTGCATTGGGGGTGAAGTCGGACGTGCGGTTCCATCCCGTCTCGGCGGAGGCGTCATGAAGTTGTTTCCAGGTCGCATATGCTGGGTGATGTTCCGTAATTCTTGCTCAATTGCTTCTTGAGAATCCATAGGAGATGTTGATCCGGTGGGTGGCGAAAGCATGATTGATGGACTGTGTTCAGATCCACGTTCTTCTGTTGGGAATCTCTGGCGAAATCTCTCAAGTTGTGACATATGTATCGACCCCTGTTCTGAGGGAGAGGTGAGAACAGCTTGCCCGGGCGATCCGCTCTCAATGCTTTGACTGATGGCACTCTCCATATCGGCTCTGTCACAAGCCTTATCGATTTCTCGTATTTCCTCATCAGTTCCGCTCGAGCGCCCAAGTGGATGCGAGTCTAGATTTCTTCCACCGATACCATGACCGCTGGCCCGAGGACCGAAGCGGCCTCTCATATATGTACCGTCATCAGCGCGAGCCAGGGCACCTGGTGTGTTGATGGTATAGACTCCTGATGGCAGGCTCGCCCGTGGTCCAGTCGAAGACGGTGGCGGAGGGCTCACCACGCGGGACATCCCTATCATAGCCAGGGTCCGTCTGAAAACTTCACCTGGCGGACTCGAAGGTTGGTTCGAGGCCAATGACTGTGAGCTCAGTGAAAGTGGGCTGACAGGCTGTGGCTCATCGCTGTCCTCCTGAGAGTGTTGCCAAAGCCGGTTCCACATCCTTCGGAGAGCAGGTCCCTGGCGAAGCCTGTATTCGGTGGCTTCGTCCGTCCCAAAAGAAGGTAAGCCAGGCGGTGTTGGAACTCTGTACGGTGGAGGGTGTACTGGTCTGTTTGGGTATGTTGGGTAAGCCGCTGGCTCTTCGGAAGCGTCATTGGACGAGGACGAGTGTGGTGAGGGTTCTTTGGTCCCAGACGGTTCCGAGATACAGCCCAGGTCAGGCATTGAATGCGAGCGACGTCGATAAAGATGCACGGAAGGTAGGGCAGGTCTAAGTGGCCAAGGTGCCACCTGCTTGGGATGGATTGAATGAATGGACTTTTGTGGTTGCACCATGTGTGAAGTTCTTTCAGGACTGGCCTTCAACCGTGGCAATGAGTGAGAGTTTCGAAGAGAGCTGATGCTGTTCTGCTCAAGTATTGTGTTCAGCTGTGGTGATGGCCATCGACTGTGGGATACGGCGGCCTCCTTAGGACTTCTAGATGACAAAGGCCGGGACAGAACCGTGACAGCCTGCGGTGTGTTACCCTGGTTGGCCTCCTGTGCCTCCTCTTCTTGACTGACATCTTCACTTGAAGGGACTCTTTCCGCATTGTAGATAGAGTCGTCTTCTGGTAGGCTGTCGGATGATGCGATCCGACGCCTGAGGGAGCGAAGTGATCTCGTTCTGCGGACGGTCTTCTGGGGATGTTCCTGATGACTTCCCCTCGGAGACCGACTCGACGCGTCTTCGTTCGTGATTTGGGTTAGGGGACTGGAAGTGGTGTGATCGTCGTGCGTAGATGCCATGTCTGTGGCGTGTCTTTCTAACAGCTGTCTGCTTTTGGAGGCATAAAGAATGACTGTGGTAAGTGGGCTGTGGGCGAATCAACATGGATTGCTGTAAGAATAGGTTGAAGTCAGGATGATGAAGTGCACCGGGAACAGAAAAAGGCATGGAGCTGCCACCATCGAGGGCAACAAGGGAAAGTGCAATAGGATGAGTTGTGCTGTTGTCAGCTCCAGCTACAAATTGGCAGTTGCTGCTATCCTACCTGCCTAGATGATCTTCCTCCACACCCAGGTCCTCCTTCCATGCTTCCTTGCTCCTATGCTGTTGTTCCGAGTATCCAATGCTGAAGTATTAGAAAAAAGTACATTGTTTTTGAGGTTCCAACCAACACCCAACTGTTGATACAAGCTTGCTGGATTTGTAATGAATTATGCCGATTAGCATTATCAACGCCGAACTGCGCTTCTCACTCGGGCGCGCCTTTGCTGATTGAGTGAGTCATTCGATCATGAGGATTTCGTGATGGTCGTCAGTGGATTAAGAGGCCTCTAGGACACGTTCTCTGCGACCGGGACATCCTTTTGAGAACGCCGCTGCTGGAGATCTTTCCGAAGGCCTTTGATGATTGCCTCCATGCGACGCCGTTCTTCTTGTTCAGCCTGAGAAGAGTGAGTGGTCTGGGAGAGTTTCAGGATGCGTGGGTGCTTACCTTGAGGGTCTTCAAGTTCTCGGCGCGAGTTTCACGCATCATTTTCTTGAACTCGTTCTTCAAGACCATCGTGGAGGTCGTCTCGATAGGCGACCCAGCCTTTGCGCCTAACCATTTGACCTTCTCTTCGTTGAGTTGTGCCTCGAACGTTTCACATCGTTGCTGGAGGGAGTCGACTTGTTCTTCCAGACGTTCTCGTTCTTTTTCATCTTCTATGCTTTGCTTGGTCATAAGCTCATATTCTTCCAACGTATCCTTCAACTCCTGCTGGAGCGCGTTGACCTTGTTCTGCAGTTCTGCGCTACCCGCGCCTTTTGTTTCGTGCTGGGTCTTCAGAAAGTCGAGCTGGCCCACCAACTCGCTGTTGCGTGCGTTTAAAGTGTCAATCTCCTTTTGGACAGCCGGATTCATAGATACATCGGCTGCTCGCTGAGCACGTGTCCCATATGCGCCGTCCAGCTCAGCTTTTACCAGGGTCAGTTCTGTCTGCGCTCGCACAACGTCGGACTCGAGCTCCTTGACCTCTTCACGAACTTTTGCAAGCTCTGTGTCTGCATTTGTCCTGGCGGTTTCGAGATCGGCAATTTGCTTGCGTAGCGAAGTCGTGGCCTCATCCCTGCTTTTCAGATCGATATCAGCTTGGGCCTTTGCTTTCTTGACCTCTTCGAGTTGCTGAAGCAATTGTTGAAGTTTGGATTCGGACTCGTTGCGTAGCTGGTTCATCTCAACCTGCAGCTGACCAAGCTCTTGTTGTTTGGCCTGGAGTTCGGCCAAGAGCTTCTCTTCCATCTGCTTGCGAGCAACGCGTTCTGCGTTGGCAGCTTGACTGTCGCTAGCTCCTCGTTGTTGTTCCAGAAGCATACCTTCTTGCTTGGCCATGTCTAGCTGTTCCATGAGGAGACTGATCTGGTCCTGAAAACGTTGGGCCTCCTCCTCGCTAGCAGACTGTACCTTTTTGTACTCTTCTATCTCCTCCATCAAATCATGAATCTTGGCGTCACGTTGAGCATCCGACTTGCTGTTGAGTTCTCGCTGCTGCTGAATTTGCCGTGTAAGAATATCTTTTTGTTCCACAAGTGTCTCGACGCGTTGATTGAGTCTGTCCAGAATATTGGAAGAAAAGGCTAGTTGAGACTGCAGGTCTTTCCCCCTTGGCTCATCCTGCGGCAGTAGGGGGCTATGGCTGATGGAGTTTGTCCGCTCAAGCATATCATGGAGCCGCATGTTCACGTCTTCCAGCCGATCTTCGTGGTCGAGGATAGAGTTCTGCCCCACATCGAGAGATCGTGCTTGTGCTGCTTCCATTGCATCTAGTCCTTGAGACAGATATCCTAGGTGGGCTTGAATTTGTGCACCGACTCGTCCCACCATACCCTCGTCGTCGGATCGCGGAGGCGGCTCGAAATGCGCCTGTGAGCCTGATTGGGTAATCATGATATGCAATCGGGAGTTGAGTTCTTGTAAGCGAAGAGCAAGGTCGTCGATGGGAAGCATTTCCTTGTTTGCGAATTTGCTTTTGCTCAGGCGGTGCGATACTTGGCCAAACTCGGTCACATAGTCGGGCACTTGATAGAGGCTGCGTTCGTCAAAGTCGCCGATGCCATCAAGGCCTGAACTCCGCCCATTGGGCTGGCTGGTCATACTCTCCGGACTTCTGGGCAACTCGGACCTTCGAACATTCTTCTTCAGTCCCTTGTGTGTCATCTGTAAAATACCTGCTGTATGCTGCAGGATCCGCCTCTCCACTCGCTCAAGCTGCTTCTCCTCTTGTGACAGCTCCAGTGTGAGTTCCTCCACCTTTTTATTACTGGCAGCATATTCGTCGTCTGCCCGGCTCAGTGCCTCAGTTCCGCCGCTTTTGATGTTTCCCAGAAAACTTCTCCGGGTCCTTTTCGGTGAGCCTCCTGAGCCATCGCTCTTGTCCTTGACAGAATATAGCCGGTTCAGTGACTGAGCAGCATCCCGTAATTTGCGTTCGAGTGCCAACTTTCTTCTCGATGTCTCGATTTTGCCTCGCAGGTGAGCCCTTTCTTTTTTCAACTGATCAATCTCCTCAAACGACAGGACTTCGAAATCCCTACTGTCGCTCATTGCAGTCTCGGCCAACAAGTGCATCGCCACTGGGTCGTTGATGTTCAGGAGGGTGGAATTTCGTGGCTGCTTCGGCATCGGCTGCTCGACACGTTAGCACGAAGACTCAAGGACGGATGAGACTTTGCTTACTGGTGCAAAGCGAGGGGTGGGTTGGTCGTCAGTGTAAGGGCCTCGCAAAGCGCCAGACATGAAGCTCTGCGTATTTCCAATGGCGGGAGAGTCGTCGATCGGTCCAGGGCCGCTGTAGACAGAGCTGGGAACATAGCGACTCCGATTGTCGTCCATACTCTCGGCTGCGGACTGTCGAACTCCATAATTATAAGACTGCATTTTGTTGATGCTTCCGAACGCCTTCTCTTTGGTCGTATCCAATGCCTCGCAGTCAACGTTCGTAGGGGTAGGGGTAGGCGTCGGAGATGTTGCAGAACATTCGAAGAGGCGGCTCAATGGCGCACATGCTTGAGTGTTACAATCCAAGTGGTGTCAACGACGTTGCGCAATCATCGTGTCTTGTCCAACGTTGACTTGATACTAACGGAAAGAACGGTCGCCGTGGACAAACACATGCGCTCGTTTGAACAAGAAGGCGTTTGCGGGCTCCGCGCACAATGTTTAGATGGTCAACTATCATCAACCATTTCTATTATGGACTCGAAGTTCAGGAGAGGCCCAGGGGAGGGAGTTGAGAAGGAAATCAGCTGGAGACGCGTTCAATTAGCGATTCGATAGGCGCAGACATGGGTCATACCACGAGCCCGGGAGGGCTGTCACAACCAGTGAGCATTGACCGCTTTGCCATGGCCTTGGTGGGCGGACGAGGGTCGATGCAATTTGAGCCAATCCAGACGAAAGTGGAAGCCAATTCTGGAAGACTGGAGCAAGTAAAATGAGGGTGTGAGGAATGTGGCTGATGACGGAACCTCGCCTGTTAGGTACCTGTCGCCCGGAAATGCACTCGCCGCAGCGCCCCTCACTCGTTCCGGGTAAGCCTAGTGAGCCTAGCGGGCCTAACACAGCGAGCCTAGGTCAGCCTGGTGAGACCCAGCGAGCCCAAGGAAAAAGAAGCAGCCGATCTCTCATCCTCCCATCTTGCTTACCTGACATAAATGATGATACTGAGTCGTCGCAAGGAGACCATCAATACCAAACTCAGAAGCAAATCACGCGACTATTCTCGGCCGTGTGTCCTTCGATTAATATGCGGTTACAAGTCTGTAGCCGCCTCCTGTTGTGGACTTCAATTGCAGGCGCTTCGAGCCTTCTGAGTCTGACTTCCAATCCAGGCACATTATGCATGACGCCTCCAGTTCTGGCCAGGGGAGGCGTCTCTTCCATCCTGAATGTTTTTCATCCAAGGCAACCCTCAGTGAACTGCCTGACTTCACAGATCTCGCGAAATGTCAGGTATCAAGGCCGAAATTGAAGGCTAGTGAGGCTCACTGACTGTCACTCGAGCTGCCCTTCAACCGACTCGGAAGGCTGTCGCAACGCCCTCTTGACGGACCTGGGCATACCGTGGCGTCGGGCGCAAGCGATTGACTATTCTACAACCCAGAAGTTTGGGCAGATTTCTTGACTCGTGCTATGGTACACGAGATTTTCGATGCGGCCTCGAGCGCAAGCATGCGGTTAGCCGTCATGGCCGTACACATACGGAGACCCTGACACCGACCCAAGCAGGCTGCAGCACTGACCGTACTGAAAGATGCTGGCTTCCCTCGTCGCTGTTTATTCTCACCTCAGGTTGTATTATGGACAGGATAGCGACCTGGCGGCTGTCAGAATCTTGACAATGCCGGTGTTTGCAAACGTTTTCCCCCCGAGGCCATCAGGAACCCTCCACCCACCACCCACAGAGACGAAGCTACTTGTTGCGCTGTGAGAATGCATGATTTTCATATTCCGCCCAAACCCCTCCAATCGAGAGGTAACAATGTGTACGAAGCAATCCGGTGCTGACCCGGTCTCATCTTTGCGATCGGGCATGATTTTCAGAGTCTCCAACCCGAGGGAGATCCTAGTTTGGTTGCTCAGAGTGCTCCAGGAAAGTATTTGATGTATGTGAACATTAGCTCCTGATCTCGACTTGCGCTTCATTTCATTTGTCAGCCGCCTCGACACTTAAGCGAGAGTATTGAATCCGCAGTAAAGGGCGAAATGATATACATATGTCGAAATGTCGATGCTCCGGGGAAGGCCTCCGTCGAGCTCTGTACGAGTGCCGGTCGGTATGGAGTACTTTGCTCGTGTTTGCTCTATCTCAAAGGTTTCGGGATCGGCTCGGCCAGGCACTAAGGTGAGTGGATGATCCTGGTGCCCAGCCTGATGATGCCTGTCAACCTACGGAGGAAATCCGCAGCTGTAACGTTCCATCGCTAAATTTGCTTCAAACACTTGCTTGAGAACCCCTCTCTCCTTTTATCAACCTAGCCATTCATCCACGGCGACTGACACAGGCAAACATGTCGACAGCTCAGTGCTACGGCAACGGGGACGGCAATAAGCCTTCCGTTGGTGGGTGAAGCCGACCACTTTTCGTCTACAACGAACGGAAGGGTGAGGACCTTCCGTGGCGAGACCCTCAAACTAGAAATTTGGCGCGTGCTCGTCGTTTTGCAATCCTTATCTCTTGCCATATCCATCATCATGGGTAGACTGCCGGAGCGCAAAGTCGAGCAGCGCGAAACTGCAGGTGCCGGCAGCAGTGCCAGCGACAACTCCCAGTTCCTAGCACCTGAAGCCATTCGCCGACCATCACCAGCCAGACGGACGTTATCTCGCATTAGCACGACTTCCAACGTCCCCTACAAGGTGTACAAACGTCGATTCTTTGGCCTCGCGCAACTCGTCCTGCTCAATATCGTCGTATCCTGGGACTGGATCGCCTTCGCGCCCGTCTCGTCCACGTCGGCGCAGTACTTCCACACGACCGAGACCAACATCAACTGGGTGTCCACGGCTTTTCTGTTCGCCTTCTGCATCACCACGCCCGCGACATTCTACGTCTTGCACAAACATGGGCCCAAGACCGCGATCATCATCGCCGCCAGCCTCCTGCTCGTGGGCAACTGGATCAAATACGGTGCCACCAAAGCCAACAACTTCGCCGGAGTTATGGTCGGCCAGTTGATCATCGGCTTCGCTCAACCCTTTGTCCTCTCCTCTCCCACATCCTACAGCAACATATGGTTCAGCCCTGCCGGACGCACCACCGCGACGGCACTCGCATCCTTATCGAACCCTTTCGGTGCCGCGCTCGGCCAGTTGATCTCACCCTTCTGGGCTAAGAAACCGTCCGACATCCCGAACATGATCCTGTACATCTCGATCATCTCCAGCGTGGCGTGTGTGCCAGCGTTCTTCATCCCCGCGAAACCGCCCACGCCGCCCTCCGCCGGCAGCGTGCCAGACCACATGGACCGCGCGAGCTTGACCAAGGACCTTCGCATCCTCTCACGCAGTGTCGAATTCTACCTCATGTTCATCCCGTTCGTCGTGTACGTGGGCTTCTTCAACGCTTTTTCCAGCTTGATAAATCAGATCCTCGAGCCGTATGGGTCCAGCGAGACAGACGCCGGGATTGCGGGTGCCGTGCTCATCGTCGTCGGGCTGGTCTGCGCAGCCATCTCGTCCCCCATCATCGATCGGTACAAGTGTTATCTGTGGTACATCCGGTGCGCAATCCCATTCCTGGCGATCGGGTATCTGATCATCATATGGGCTCCACAGTCACATTCGCTTGCGTACGTGGACGTGGTCTGCGCCATCCTCGGCGCCGCGAGTTTCGGCCTCGTGCCCGTGGTTCTCGAGTTTCTCGTCGAGATTCACTACCCGCTGGGTCCGGAGCTGGGGAGCAGTCTGTGCTGGTGCGGCGGTCAGTTGCTCGGTGGTATCTTCATTGTCATTATGACTGCGCTGAAGCATGGGAAAGACGCGAGTCCCCCGCAGAATATGAAGCGCGCTTTGATCTTTCAGGCCGTGCTGGCTATTTCCGTTGCGCCGTTGCCCCTGTGTCTGGGTCTCTTCGGGCGCCGCGCGCAGGTCAGGAAGCTGAGATGGGAAGCGGATCGGTAACAACGAGGCGCACTTTGAGCAGGTCGTCGAAGAGCTGGACCACGACGAGCAGACCATTGATGTTGAGCCTACGAGTCCGGCAAGGGGCATTTGAGATTCTGCTGCCATTTGATGCAATGAATATAAGGGCAATCTTGGATATTTAGGATAGCGCGCAATATGGGCAGCAGCTCGGCGATCTCTGAAGAATCTACTATAGTAGGCCACAATTAATGAGAGAACTTCTGCAGTCTTTGGCCATAGTCACCGAGGGCATGTTTTCACGAATAATGGGGCTCGATGGCGGCTATCGAGAGATGTTCCACGAGGAAGTGAGAATGACGATACTGATGTCGGTAGCCGCCAGCATGTACGAGCGATATCCACCTCATGTCCCATGTACGCAGTGATCAATGTCCGGCTTGGTCCTTTTCTTGCTCGAACTGGTATTTAGTATCGGCCATCAGGCGCGGTGAAGCGCCCTCATGCATCGGCACACTCGCTCATGCCCCGAATCAAGATATAAGAAGCTATTGGGGACGTCGAGGGCCAGAAATTGCTTCACGACTGAGACGTGTTTGGAGTGGGACATTCGGCTGATCAGCCCAACTGATAAATGTTGACGAAATGGCGATGGCAATGCAGAGCACATCAATGGTCTTCCGTCGCGACAATCATTTCTGATGTCCCCTAAGATGAGTTAAAACAAGAACACCACAAGGGTGGAGTGAACCGTCAGACGAAAGATAGAGGAAACAATGAATGCAAAAAAATAACTCTTTCGTTTTATTCTGATGATAGCTGTACAGGCGTGACTATTTGTGGGTTGATGTCATTGTTCATCGGAGAGCCAGAAATCCCTCCAGAACCAAAATCTTGCCAGCCAAACGCATATGCGGCCGCGCATGGAGAGGAGACTGGCAAGAAGCTTGCTTGCTGCTCTGGTCCACTGTTCTCATTATCGTGCAGATGCAGTGCTGCAGTCTTCTGTACAAGGGTTCATTCCCATAGCATCCGCAAGTCCGAAAAAATTGGACGTGTTTGGCATCGGTGGAGGAGCGGTTTGAGTGAGGATGCTTGTCTATTTTAGCTGCTTGAACAGCTTGACGGCAGCGCATTGCGTCGCGCAGTGTTGGAGGTGGAAGTCTGCCCTGAAGTCAGCTATGTCCTGGTATACTCGAATGACAGCTTAGTCGCCACCGACTCAGCGACATATATGCGGAGACGTACATTCTTCCACGCAGTCCTCTTTGGGTCCTTTGTGGTCTGGGTTCTCTTCGGCTGAGGTGACCCGTTCGACGCACTCGTCGTAGTGGTGCTTGTAGCCTGAGCATTGCGCGGATTTGGCGCAGTCTGCCGATTCAATATTTGGTCAGCATCAATTCTCGTGTGATAGCCGCAATATATGCGTATGCCTCTGTGACTCGGCGTAAACATACCCTCTTCTAGTTGTGGCTTGGGATCCACGGGTTCCTCTTCCTCTTCTTCCTCCTCTTCTTCTTCATCATCATCACCTCCCTCCTCTTCATCACCACCTTCCTCGTCTCCTCCCTCTTCTTTGTCATCACCGCCGTCTTCATCATTTGCTTCATCATCTCCACCTTCCTTTGACTCGTCATCGTCGGCGGGAGCCTCGGCATGGACGTCCTGGACGAAGGACACCGAGCTCAGCAGGTCGGAAAAGAAATCTGTGATCCCCATCTTGATCGCTATCGCGCCACAGCGCCGCAACTGAGAGGGAGGATGTGTAGGTGGGAATAGGGAGACCTGTCAGTAGAAGCACAGCACTCTGCGGACACGTTGATATGGTCGAGGTGTCCTCCTGTGGTGTACAAGTGGTAACGAGAAACTTGGGTGCAGGAAGAGCTTCGGATCGAGCTTGGAATTGAACAACTCTGATTGGGTGGCTGGATATTTCACAACTTTACTATTCCCGGACAGTGTGCTTGCCGTCTTAAGGTAGAATATGACAGCCTCTCTCGACGTTATAACGGCGGCATCCGTGACGTACTTACTGACTCAACCAACGACGCACTACAAGACAGGACTTCCCGCAACAAGTCACCGTCTAGGACATGTGACGAACAAGTCATGAAGTACTCTTGAAGGACGAAACAAGGTCAAATGAAAACAGCACCGGACATCAAGGGCAAGAGCAGCTGAACGAAACATCTGATGTACGCCATCGCCGTGACACATTGCTTCAGAACCGATCATGCAGGGACATCTCGAAGACTTCGCATAATTTTTCATCGTAGGCAATCTTGTCTTCGACTTTCTTTTTGATGAAAGCGTTGGCATTTTCCGTCCAGTACTGGTAAGTCGATATATAAAAGTCGGTGCTGTCCTCATCCACCTTATGAAAACGCGGCTGGATGCGATCATACAGGAGTGTATGAAGACCGGTCGAGCTTTGCAAGGCAAGCACATACCAGAATGTACCCAGTGTCCAGGTCCTGTTCACAATAGACGAGCATCGAAAGTTATCGTCACAGCGACCAAGGTATCCTTCTTCCTTTTCAAAGATTCCCATGAACTCTTCCCGGGACACGTTGTAGTTATCGACGTCAATCTCGTCCACGGCCTGACTTGTCAGCCAACGAGGAGTCCGTATAAACTCAAGCGGAAGGACTGCAGTCCATTCGAGATCAATGATACAAGTGACATTCCAATCATCGTCCACAAAGATGTTGTGGACATTGAGGTCAGTCAGAACAGGAGCGAAAGGCCCATGGTTGAGCTTCGGGTCAAAAAATCGAGGACGTAAGGCGCGTAGGAGCACCAGGGCGCACATCTGACTGACGCAGTCCCCTGCATCGTTGACTGCGTTGGGCTGATGTTGTAGACGACTGTCGTGACAAGACAACAGAGCATCGACATATGCGTCGGCGGTACAGAATGTACGGCCTCTTGGGATATCAAGAGGAATTCCATCGTTCTCCAAATCTTGTATCTCTAGCGTAAGAGGTCGGTTTTCTAACCGCAGAAGACCTTGGTCGTCGATGATGAATGATCCAACTCGGTGATAATGAATCCGGGTCATTGCCAGTATGATTCGTGAGAGGCTGCGAAATAAATTGCTCCTGAGCTCTTTGTTCATTCGGCCAGTCTCCCATGTATCTGCTAGCGCTTTTCCCCTTGTCTGATCAACATACTCTATGAGTATATATCCCCCTAACTCATGCGACAGACTGGTGTGATGAGGGATTAGGTCGGAGGGAACAGGACGACCGAACCAAGACAGGAACCGATGTCGAAGGAAACGTAGTAAACGGGTGAGCAGAGGGCGATGCGTAACTGCAGTAAACTGTACAACGTTAATAAGAAGTTCCTAATTTTGCCCAGAGCATGGAAGAGGACATACGCATTGGCCGCTTGAGAGGGCAAATCCATAGAGGCGAGGAATTGGGATCCTCGGGCACTCTTTTTGCATCCATACGTAGGTTGCAGCCTCACACCGAACCTTTTCATCAGCATTTCCCGGACACACCTTGTCGCCGACACGATAAGGGAGCGGAAATCGAATAAGAACACGTTTCGAGTCGGCCAAAGTTACTGGGATGCATAGATTGAAGCTGCCCTGCATCCAGTCCTTGGGAGCCGCGACCTGACACGTTGAAGAAGGTACATTGAGATGATGAGCGACTCGCTTCTGAATTAGGATCTGACGTCTGTAAAGGAAATTGTAGAACTCGAGTTGCGCCTTGGGATATGTTAGTTGGTGAACGGTGTTGATTTCTCTTTGTCTGGCCTCCTCGTATGTGACATTTTCCCGTAGGAGGGGAAGTGTCGTGGGCATAGTGAATGCATGGCCAATGCAAGAGGGGGAAGTTCTTCCCCAGTCAGAAGAACTGGTGCTGAGATACCAGAGGTTTAGTGTCCTCAGTTGATTGTCTGGGTCGCATACGGAGTACGGTGTAGTCCTAGGAGTCGAGGAATGGACCATTTTTCTTAGGAAAGTATGCCGATGTCGCCAAGGAACTTTGACCCTGCACGACCCTGGCACCAGACTAGCCAGCCAGCCTCGTAGCCAACCGTCCCATCTCAACTCCAACTGCCACGGCTCGACAGTCACAGTAACTCTCACGAGCAGGTACTTTAGTCCTTATCTTCACCAGGTGGTGGAGGCTAGGATGTGACTGAGGCATCTCGTCGAATGAGCAGAGAACACGCTCAAGTTACGAGTAAGGTTCGACCGGAGCCTGACACGGCAGGGCAGAATTCCGGCAAAGAGCTAGGACAACGCCATCATCAGGCGCTGCTGTGGCCATATACTTTATTTGTCGCTACAAGGTCTTCCCAGTCAAGCGTCCACACCGGTTAGAAGTTACAGCTTTTGGAATGTTTGACCCAGCCATCTAAATTCTGAACTTCCCTGGAGAGACACGACCTTGCTTGGCCGGCGCTGCCTTTTTTTTCACATTGTCGAGGTTGCAATTCCCGCTCCATCCCTTCCTTCCTTGCTGCCTTCGTACCTCTCGAACTCAATATGGCCTACTGTCTATGTTGACTCCCACTGATGGCAATGACGTCTTTTGCTAGTTTTTACACGGGACCGATTGTTCAGCAGAGATATGATGATACCGATATGGTAACTAAGGTCGCTGCGAAAGTTATGCATCGACCAGAAATCTCCATGGTTGCCCTTCTGAACTATTCGTGGACTTGCGCCGTGGCTAATGACGAATTTCGCAAATAAATTGCTCGTCGGCTTCAGACTATTCTAGCCTTCGCCTCCTTCAAAACGCAGCACGGCTATGAGAGCCGTGCCTTCTCCTCCATTGAGCGCGAATTCACCGAAAATGTACGGGGAAAGAGACCATTTGTGGAGGATGATATCACTTCGGATTGCGGCTCAACACATGATGAAGACGGAGATTTTCTCCACCACTCGCCAACACCAAATCGTTCTTCGTCAAAATTGGCAAGTCCAGTATTCAAAGTCCCTCCACTTCCAGCTAGGGTACGAAAACGGGCCGGATTGCCGTCAACACTTCGTTCTGATGGACAGGCCTACAGTATAATTCGGAAGAGGGCTCCCAGCCAAGCACACTCGCCACGTCCGCTGAGTTTTAATCACTATATCAACACCAAAACTCTTCGTAGAGAGTAGGAACGGCAGTATAGGTCACAGTGAGGAGCAACATGGGACAGAATGAGTTCCTTTGGTAGAGGGTGGTAACTAGAGTATAGCCTTATGTGGCTCATTCCATTGACACACAGTGTTACCCCTTTATTGTGCTCAAACTTCAACAGACCTGTGGCTTTGGCACAACCGATCGCTGCTCTTACTGCTTCCATGGTTGGCTTTCATTCTAACCATATATGAATGAAGAGTCCGCAGGAATAACACCATAACTCTCCCCAAGCCGGTCGCAAACTGCCGCTCACAGCGCAGCTTATCTCTCCGACCAACACACAACGCCAAATCGTATGCTCTATCCTCGCCACAGAAGCAACCAAAGCTCTCACGCCCGTTACCAAAAGACACATGGGACAGCCACATGCACATGCTCGAACCAGAACGAAATAACCCAAGCAATAAATACAGACCTCACGCCCACACAAACGACGATACCAGGACTTTCTACTCAACTGTTCTGGAGTTTGCTTTCGAGACCCATATATCATCCTGGAAGGGAGCCAGCTTCATCAGGGATGTAACTTGCATCCAACACACGGCGCAGGAGGTTGCACGCTCTGATAGATGTCAGGCCTGGGCTTCCCGGCCACATTCAAGTAACCGACTCCTCCCTTGTCCAAACGGAAAATGGCATGATCGACCAAGGTCATCGTCCCGGGCACAAGCATGTGCATGTCGACGATGGTTGCTCCGCCCGGTGGAACACTTAAGGTCGAGACAAATTGCGCCGGCGGGCTGACAACATCGCCATCACGATACGCACGTCTGAAATTGCCCCCAATCACATGGAAAGCACTCGTCAGATTCGGTCCTGCATTGCCGAAAAAGATGCGTACGGTATCGTTGACATTTGCTTTCAAAGGCTTATCTCGGGTCAAGGCTAACTCCCTCCCGTTGAAAACGACGGCCTCGGGCTCTTCGCGCAGTGCATTGGGATAGGAAAATTCCACCTGGTTCGACTTCCTGCCGTTATCGTCCACCTCGGGTGGCTCGTGGTACTACTCACTTTGCATCACATAATACTCTTTATCTACAGCAGGAAGATCATGCTCTACTGGCTAGACGTACATCAGCCCGAACATCCCATTGGCGATGTAGACTGACACCGGGGCCGCTGCGCAATGATAGACAAAGAGTCCGGGACACAGTAGCTTGAATCTTGCCGTCTTAGTTTGATTTTCCTCGGTCGTCGTCACCGCCGAACCGCCCCCTGGGCCCAGAATAGCGTAGCAGTCGATGTTATGCGGCATTCTACTCTCGTCCTTATTAGTGAATGTCACTTCTATAATGTCACCTACACGTGCGCGAATAAAAGGTCCCGGAACCTGGTCGTTGAATGTCTACTGTTCGTACTTGTATGTACCTGTCAATTGTGTCTTCTTTATGGTTCTTGTTAGATCCACCTTTAGAACCACGGGATAATCGCGGGTGATAGATGGAGGGACGTTTGGTGCACTCGTCAGTACGGCTTCTTCCACGGGATGTCGTGCCAGATCCAAAGATTCATGTTCTAGCTTCGTATCGATATCGGCCATATAGGCCCTATTCTCGTGTGCGACGGGCTTAGAGGGAGTCACTGGCGCCGTATGTAGGACAAGTCGCTTGTCGTAGCCGTGCGTGTGAGAGTGAGCGTGGTCGCGGGCATAGTGTTTGATGCTAGTATAGTGAGGAGCTTCAGCGTGGACAGTCGTTTGAGAGGAGAACAACCAGAGAGTTGCAGCTCCAGACACGGCCACTACCGGCACAAGCGAATACCGCTTGAAGGTCGCTGTCTGCGTAAGTGTGGTCCCTCTCACTCTGCCCGCGTTTGACTTGGCGATTCCGATCCACGACCTGCTGACCAAGTGTGAGAGGTTGTTCATGGTGAAAAAGTCGCCAGGGTAACGTGCATGGTCTCGTAAAGATGATGAGTTGAGTAAAACCAAAGTCGGCAATGGAAGGAGCAATGAATAATGGCAGATCGAGTCCCTCGATCAATAACTAGTGTGGTATGATGGTTGCATGTCAATTAAAATCCATTGAAATAGCGCGTATTCGACATCTCCGCGGGCATGTCCTGAACTCGGTCGGTGGCAGATCGAGGTATGAGCGGGTTTACACGCAAAACCATTCTTTCTTGCTCCTCGAATGTACATTCCCACTGTGTTGGCAGTATTATCTTGGCTCGGCATCATGCGAATCTCTGCGACAAGAACCTGAGTGTGCTGAAGTGCTCCTATGTGTCTGCGAATTAGCAGAGGCTGAAGGGCGGGACAACTTACGTAACAACCAGTACCAAATCACTCACTATCCAGGTAAGTAGACACTAGTATCACAGTAGTTGGTCAGAACAACGGCATGGAAATATTTCCGGACTCGGTAACGACATGCTGGATTTCGCCAGCCAGCCGATTTGCATGCCGGGCACGCTCAGAGGTGCACTGTGCTTTACCCAGCCCGGTCGCAATAGGAGTAGACTCGTGGCTTGTAGATCTATGCTTCAACAGCATGTTAAGGCCAGGATGGCATATAGGACCGTGGCCGACTTGTACACATTACCTGGCCTGAGCCAAGGGTTGAATCGGCGGCGGCCACATCTTCGCTCTCGGCCATTCTCATGGGCAGATATCCAAGACGGGCAGAAGCACGGTGGATTCCTCTGTTGTCCTTGACGTGGCCTCTGCGTGGGCTGTGTCCAGTTTCGCCCAAGCACAACAAAGTCTGCTGCATCCGAAGGTCAACGAAGAGTAAGGGAGGACAGGAAGAGATGGCTACAATCTCTTGATTGTAGACATCAGAAACTGCGTTCAGGTATTGCTGCGCCGCCAGGCATGTAAGTTGACATTTCGCGGAGTGGTGTTGTTTGCAGCATGCTCGATGCTCTTCTCAGAGTGAGACGTAATGCTGTCCGAACACAGGTAGGAGAGGAAATCACTCGGTCATAAAAAATGTCTCCCAAAGTAGTACTAACTAGCGTGCCAAGTCCCTTATACTTAGCTCTGATGCCCTGAGTACTTCTGAAAAGGAGTCTCTTCCTGCGACGGCGATCCTCTCACAGTCAACGTCTCCACTGACCTCCATCGTCTTTAATGCAATTCTCTACATAACACTTAGTGCGGCGGGGAGGGTTTGGTTTTCGGTTATTAAACTTCAGCCCGCAATCCTATGCCAGCCGCCCGCATCCTTCTTAGGGCACCTGTAGCCGGGTCGGCGCTGATTAGAAGTCCAGATGCATGCGGCTGTTGACCACCGGATTCAGGTCAGCTGCGTCAATGGTTGGTGAAGAGGAGCTAGACTGATGAGTGAGAAAGTCGCACAACTCCTCGTGTGTCCGGAGTAGGCCGCCCATTGTGCCTTTCGAAGCAAGTAATTCATAGGCCGGGGATTGAATATCTACGATGGTAGTCCTCGTGTAGGATACGAAGTGTGAAGTGATGAAGGAGGAATGTCAGGTAGGTATGCCGAGACTGACAAGTCTCCATTTCAACAACAGACTGGGCCCGCCGATCATGTCTGAAGCTACCCACCCTAACTAGGTATATCCGAATGATGCTATGGCCTTGGACTCCAACTCGTCCGTAGTAATTCTCTGTGCGTGATGAAGTCCTGGAGGGAACCGTACTCTCCTAGACAGAGATCCTCACAACTGATGAGCTGCCCCATGTCTACATATGACTTCTCCCCTGGTGGCTACGCAAACTTTACGTGAACTCTTTCGGAGGGTAATACCGCCGCGACGACAGAGTGGAGCAGGTCAGGCCACCAAAAAAGCGATGAGAGACAAGGGCTTTAGGTATCACGAAGATTAGTAATGTTCACGACGACAGTGGTATCCTCAAAACAGGGTAATGCATTGGGCGCTGGCTCGTCCCTGCAATTCCTGTTGGTCCAAGTACGATGAGAGCGTCCTGAACTACCGAGACAGTCGCCTCCAATGGGCCTTTCAACGATGCTGCGGTCTTCTTCGGACTTGATGGGCAACCTTATAGGCAAACACCCGCCCATCATAGGCATTATCGTCTGGGAAGTGCGGCTGCGATCGTTGGAGTGAAACCATTGGCGATCAACTTTTGCAGTGAGGTTGTGAATGGACATACAGATGTGGCGCATAGCATGCTGTGCCAGCTTGTACACAGCACCCGCTGTATGACGCTGTTCCATGTCAATCTCCACCAAGTTGAGATGCATGATTGCAAGACCGACGGAGCAGCAGAGGAGCCGGGTGTCTCACTCGCCACTTGACGATGTTCAATTTTAATGACTCTTTCCCGGTCTTTTGCAAAACTGCAAGGAACGACAGAGGAGCCCACCACGCCGATCATCTTTGCAAGGTGGAAGAAGGAGGCTGACCCCTTGGCGACACCTCAGGTCCCTGGGTCGCGGCGTAGAGTATGGACGGCGGAGGTTCAGCAGTACGTTGTGTAGGTGGCGAAGCCGAGTGTGCCATCGTGGAATAGAAGACCTGAAGGGGCCCACAACAGGCTGCGTCAAGAGGTGCAGGATGCGGAGGAGAGGAGATTGCGGACTTTGACACGAGTGTGCTGGGAATGGGCGAGGTCGGTTTCAAGGGGTCGGTGTAGATGTTAGGGTGGCCTATGCAGGCGGAAGCCTGTAATGCACGACAGGTGCATCAAGGTGACGGAGGTGAGCAAGGAAGCAGATGGAGAGTACCTTAAGGAAGAAACGGACGATTGGGACGATCGGGATGGGACGATGGCGAGGGTTCTTGGAGCGGTCAAAGCGGCGGCGCGCCCAGCCTGCGACCATGCCACACTAGCCCGAAACAGGTGAAGCCGCTCGCTGCCTAACCGAAGGCCGACTTCCTGACAACGACATGACAGCAACAAGCCATCAAAGATATCATCAACTTTACACCGAAAGTGTATCCCTTACCATTAACCCGCTTGTGTCGCTTCCAAAATCCTACAGCCGTCCGCAGGGCGGCGCATCACAAATCTCCAAGGTTTCGCTTCGAGGCCTCCGGCCTAGCTGCCTAAATCTCACATCTCTCACAGCCGGCGTCATGTCCATCAAGTACGCATTTTCGATCGTTTGTACGAGCGAGGCGCGAGCTAATGTTCTTTTGATTTAGCTGGGTCATGCTGGACAGCCAGAAAGGCTTTGTACCATTACCAGGCGAACGGATCATGCACAAGTCGACCCCAAGACTGGCTTTGGCCATCACTACTCCAGCCACGTATCCCGGCAATAATCCCTTGGCCATTCACTGCAACTCGGGCACAGCATATATCACAAACCAAAGAGTGAGTTCATGGTGGACTATGTGCGAGGTGCTCCGACTAATGGGGACAGATCATTTATCTTCCGGACACTGCCACTCCAGAGCTCAAATCGTTTTCGGCGCCACTACTAAACATCCATGACTCTTGTGTCTCGATGCCCTGGTTCGGACCGAATGCATGGCAAGCGGTACTTCAGCCAGTGCCCGGCGGCAACATCCCGACCGCCCATGCCAACATCGAACTCAAGTTGACGTTCAAAGAAGGCGGGGCCCCAGACTTCCATTCGACTTTCGAACGAATCAAGGAGAGACTGCAACAAGTTGTGTCGACGGCCAGGGAGGAAAACCTGACTGGCGGACGACAGGACAGTGTTCTGGACAATGTGAACCTCGACACTGTTCATCTGGACCAACTGCCTTCATACCAGGAGTCTGGAAGTGACAGAGTAGCGTCGTACCAGGGCGCAGACCCTCCTGACCTGCTTGAGTCGCCGGGTGGCATCAGTCAACGGACACCTCCGCAAACGGGCCCGTCGGAACCTCAGCCGCCGCCTGATGCGCCGCCCGGGTACGAGGAGACACAACAGCAGAGCATTCAGGCTGAACTGGAGCGACGATTGTCTCAGTCTCAGCGGTAGAGCCTTTTGAAGCGAAGACATCGGTGTTGAGGCGCTGTGGTTGTCGATTGTTAGCATTCAGGGACTCTTAGTCATCTGAACTCATTACGGCAAAGCATTTTTATCTCGAACCGCGAAGAGCACGTACGGAGCAGCCTACAAAGCCCACGACCCCGGTTATCTGACGACGTCTTCAGCCAGTCATGACGAGTGGCGCACCCTCATTTTGGTGGGACCAAATCAACCTGAGCAATCATCGTCGGGTATCGTGCGCACGTACTGAAGTACATATCCTGCAGTCTCCCTGTCCGGGTTTCCCACATTGGACCATCCACGGTCGTGATCATTATTATCTCCCGTCCAGTTGGCCTCTGCTGCGCAGATCAACTCGAAGTCGCCCTGGCAGTGCGAAGGGCAGTGGTTAGGAGTGTTGACACCTGTACCTAGGTACTACTGTGAGGTGAGCGTTGTTGAAGTCGGCAGACTTTCCAACGGAGGGGAGCTAGTCGAGATAGTCGAGCTATTCCCTTACAGGCCTAGAGCCTGCACGGGCGCAAGTCATGTGCTTCCATCTTCATGCACATCATTATCACCAATCTTCTCCTCAGCCTCGATGTCCCGGATTCTCGTGGATCGAAAAGATTCAGATGAGAAGTCCCTGTCCACGGCAGAACTGGAAGCCGCTTCGCGTCTTATGCTATTGGTGCGAGATTTGACCCTGCGTGATCAAGACATGAAAAGGAATTGCCGGCCGAGCCCGCTCACAGGGCACCGCCGTCACGAGGAAGCAATCTATGACCAACCAACTAGGCTCAATTTGGGATATTCGAGACGAACTCGTTACGACGGGAACTTGGACGCAAGAACTTCGTAACCGATCGACCTTGACGATAACGCCCCTCACTTCCCCGCATGCTTCCCTACTGTGCCAGCTCCCCAGCTCCCCAGGTATATTTGAAAGTCTTGCGGAGGACCAGGTTTCGTCTGCACCCCACAAACGCCGTTTCGAATGTCGATCTCGGCTTTTTGGTCGTCCCGAGCACTTGTGTCTGTTCTACATGGCGAAATTTCGATCCAGAGACGGCTGGTGAGTCTGCCAAAGGCGCTCACAGCCTGTGTTGAGAAAGTTTTCACTGACACGACTTCGTTATGCAGCGCAACCTGTCGAGCGCGACATGTGAAATGTTAGTAAGATTGACTGGGTGGTTGGACAGATCGCACCTAAAGGCAGTCCGCTGACAACAGGGCCATTCTCAGGTGATGAAGTACAACCAGTGTGCGGCCAGTGCAAGAAACGCGATCAGCCCTGCTTACGCGGACAACCGCCGAGTATCAAGTTTCGTGATATCCATCAGCGCAGAGGGGCCTCCACCGCGTCGTCGTCGACGACGACAGCGACGGGATCTGGGACATTCAATCACCGGTTCAGTACAGCGTACAGCGAGACCTCACTGGGTGTTGTGAATCAGTCCCCCTCTAGTTGTCCATTCTCTCCATCCAATCAATACGAGCAAGACGTTCTACGGTCAACATCTGGGACGCTCGCATCACCCAGAGAGTCTCTGCTTATAACTTCGACCGATGATACAAATACAACAAACTCATGGCCCGACGACTACCCCTTGATACCTGGGTCGGAGCTCTTCACAAGCAATAGTATTTCGATCTCGCAGTTATTGCATCCCGCATCCCTTTCACCAGAGTCACAACACTGGATCCCATCCCTGACCAGTGCTGTTCCCCAGTATTCATCAGTCACTCACCAGCAAGGATGTCTTATTCACCACTACAGCGAGAATCTTGGCCGGTGGCTTGATTGCACCGATGCGTCACGCCAATTCACTCTTAAGATTCCAGCCATGGCGAAGACTTCACCGACGCTTCTCCATGCAGTCATGTCTGTGGCGGCAAGGCACATGGGAGACACAGAGGCTGCTGAACAGGCACATCAAGCATGCGTCAAACTCCTCGTAGAACAACTGACTTCTGGAACTGTGGCCGATGACGATGCACTCCTATGCGCCATCGTCATTCTACGTGTCTTTGAGCAGCTCAATGGTAAGTGATCTCTTTAAATTGTGCACTTACGAATGCGTATTGAGTGTCCCCTAACACACCCCAGTGATGGTTACGGGTTTGGATCAGGAACAACATCTCACCGGCTGTTCCGCTCTTATACGCGCGTCACAACCCTCATCCATAGACCCCTCCTCCCCAACGCTGCGACAAGCTGCGTTTTGGATATACGTCAAGCAATGCCTCTACAACGCTTGCGTGAATCAGCAGCCGCCAAACGTAGACAGAAGTCTCACACTCCTGCCTCCGCCCGTCATCGTCGAAAGTGATACTCTCAGCCGACTGCGCGCCGAGACCGCGTGGGCAAACACGATGGTTTGGATGTGTAGTACAGTCCTTCACTTTTGTTTTGGCACAGGCACCACGGATCCGATTGCCCGACTCGGTGAGTGGAAACAATTGACAGAGGCTCTTGAGAACTGGAAAAAGACCAGACCTGCCACCTTTGACCCGGTATGGCACGGACAGGCAGACGAGGGAAGCTCGAATCCTTTTCCCCAGTATTTTTTCACCGCTGATTGGCATGGTAAGTTGTCCCCTCTTGTCCTTTGTTAGCTCCGCTTTCCGTTCATGTCTGACAACGGCAGTGATGGCCTTTGCCTACTATCATCTTGCTTGTATGCTCTTGACCATGTACAAACCCACCCGGTTTGCTGTGCGAAGGATGCATGGCCGGCTTTGGGAATCAGATGTAAGGATTTCCAATACATTAAGACCATGTCCATCAGTTTAACGAAACTTTACTTAGGCCAAAGTAGTCGAGCATGCACGATCCATCTGCGGCGCATGTAAAAACTCCCTTGCGACGGTACCAATGCTCATAACATTGTGCCATGCAGTATTTATATGTACGATCTCCATGACCCCTTCTCCTAACCTGACTCAAGACCGTCGATGAGGTGCTGACTAGGTATCTTTTCAGGGGGCCCACTTATGGTCGACCAACGCGAACGCGACGGCGTCATTGATCTACTCCTATATCTCCAGAAGACACACTCCTGGCCCACCGCTTGGATAATCAGTTCTTTGAAAGAGGAATGGGAAATGCCTTAATATCTGTAAGCGTTGGTGGATCAATGGTATCTAGCACTGTGCCAGCTTGACCATTCTAATCTCAACGGAGCGAAACTAATGTATACCATCACTTCTTGGGTCTCCACGCTCGCTTTCTTTCCCACGTGTGGTATGATACTCGATTCTCAAACGTTACTATTTTCAAGTAAACGATAAAGGTCATTGTTATTCTCTCCACTAATAATGATGGCTTGCAGTCTCCATACTATCTAGCAATAAACCTTGTTGGTTCTCCTCCAGAGCTTCACGGGCATCGGGCCTTGCTTCGCAACCAATGTCTCATAGATGGTCGGTTGCCAGTTTGGTTCGATGAAAGCGAACTCATAGCGTCTGATAATCGTCGCTATGGTCAGACTGATCTCCATGTACGCAATGTTACGGCCCACACAACCTCGGGCACCTGTACTGAAGGGAAAGAACCACTTCTGGAGCTCTGCGCCCCCTTCCCCTAGCCACCGCTCGGGTCGATACTCTTGAGGATCCTCAAACAGCTCTGGATCATGGTGTATTGTCCAGCATGGAGCTGACACTGTGGTGTTCCCGGGAATCCAGTGTCCCGCGATCTCCATGCCGCTCGGGGGCGTGGTGCGCGGAAGGCCCTGGCGCAGTGACGGCCGTTGTCTCAATGCCTCGTCGATGCACGCTCTCAGATACGGCAAGATCTTGAGCTCATCATACGCTGGCACGACTTCCGAGTCTCCGCATACAGCGGTTAACTCTTCGTGTAGCTTGACAAGGCATCGCGGATTCATGATCAGCAGCATCAGAATATTGCAGAGTGCAATTCCTGTCGTGTCGCTGCCTGCGGTCAAGATCAGGGCGACTTCCGCGGTGATCTCACCCACCTCGTGGGGAACAGGCTGCCTGTTCTTCGTCCAGATGAGAGAGTCGAAAATATCATGCAGTTTTTCCCCAGCTCTCTCGCGTGCCAGACGCTGCTTGGTCAGATGGTGCGACCAATTGGTCATGTTGGCGCCTGTCTGCCAACCAGGATGAAAAGCCAGCAACTTGGAGGTGAGCCAGCGCATTTTCCATGACAGACCCATTGTTGCGGTGAGATTTTGGTTCGTGCCGATTCCAAATTCGATATTGGCCTCATATGTCTTCCCACCAATCGTCTCGCACGTGACCACATCATCTCCGGATTTGACGAAGCCCATCTTCTTACTCATTCCAAGGTCGGCAATCATGTCCAGTGTCAAGAGGTTGAGCCAGCGTCGAGCATCAATTGTTTCTCCCTCAGGATGTGTTGTTACGCCAGGAGCGGGCGGGCCGGTACAACGTGCGTCCCATTGCTTGACCAGTTCGAGAATGTCCTCGTGGACACGATGCTCATACTCCTCGATCATCTTCATCGACATGGCGTTGGCGATCAGCTTGCGTTTCCGAGCATGTTCCTCGCGGTCGATGACGTCCAGAACATGTTTATGCGACGACGAGATGGCCTCGTAGAGGTCTGCCTTCAGTGCTGGCGAGGAGTGCCCGTAGATATCTTTGATGGCACGGGGATCTGTGAACGAAAGCTCATTGGGACCGAGGCGCACGATGGGCCCCAACTTCTTGTGGGCTTTGTCGACTGATTGCCAGCGCTGGTAAGTGAACTGTTTCTGCATATGCCATAGATTGGTCACTCCTGCAAGAAATGGTGCGGGATATTGTCGTAGTTTCTTCGAATCATAGAAATATTCGAAAAGAGGTAGTATGATGAAGTAGGCCACAGCGAGCAGCCCACTGGCTTCAGATAAGAGAACGAACAAGAACATTGTAGTAACTTGGGTGTGACGTCAAGCCTTGAGCAAATGTAAATTCATGGAGGTCCCATTTGAAAGTGTTTAACTTGGTTGTAGGTGCATCGCTGCACAAAAGGTGGTCAAGATCCAGGAGGATCAAGATATATCGCGGAACACAAGAGTGGCGGTCTGAAATACCCAGATCCAAAGGCGGGATTGCATGCTTACTCACTAACCAGAACATGGTGCTCACAACATGGTGCTCCAATACAGGCGTGTTCGCTGTTGTCTGTCTTGCACACTACCCTAGTAATCGTAACGAAGAGATGCCCCACTGACAATGGCAACAAACCGAGACGAAATCGATACGAAGGGTGTTAGTGCGCACGGGACGATTTCGAGACGAAACCCCTGGATGGGGATGTGTCCTATCAATTTGCACTTCCTTGAAGCCGCCAACAACCACCGATCAATCGATAGACAAATGAAAAGTCTGTGATGGTAGCGGGGACAGGTCCAGCCGTTGTTGACGTGATGGAGTTTCCAATTCAAGGCGACAAGGCTGCGATTCTGGACCGGAAACAGGTTGTGCCTTGCCACGCCTTGCCTTTGTTAATTACATTTATATCGAGTTCTGGCAATATAACGCTCATAATCAGGTATCTACAACTGAGTCTTGTCGGAGGGCATTCTCAATATGGACGCCGGGATGCAGAGCGTCACTACCTTACCTACATGGATCCGCTTGCCGTCGGCATCGCTCCTGCCGCCAAAGGTATCGCTGTCGTTGCAACATCTTGATTTTTGGGACCAGTTCGGCTTGATAGTCCTGCTGGCGCTTCTCTACACCTTCTTCCCAGGCTCAGGTCCCGAAAAAGGATGGTTCGACATCATTTGGGGCGCCAATGAAGAGGGCAACATACAGAAGGAGAATAGCAGAAACATTGTTAAGGTCCTTGACAAAACGGTACACAAGCCCTTCCCCCTGGATCAACATAACGCTGATATGGCAGGGCTCCGATGTTGTTGTGTTCTTCGGATCGCAAAGTGGAAGAAGCGAGCGTCTCGCTAACAGCCTGTCTCGCGATCTCACCACCAGATACAAAGTCAAAGCCTTTGTGGCGGACCTAGATGATTTCGACCACAACTACCTGGAGACTTTTCCAGGTTCAAAGCTCGCCATCTTCGTTCTCGCAACCTTCGGCGAGGGCGACCCTACCGATAACGCAATCGGATTCCTTGAAGTGGTCTCACGCTGGACTCGTGACAGAGTGGATGCCAAACAAGGACGTCTACGCAATCTGAAGTATTGTGCCTTTGGTTTGGGTAACAGCAGCTACAAATATTACAACAAGTGCGTTGATGTGGTCGATGCAGGACTCTCCCTGATGGGAGCGACAAGACTTGGGCCTGTTGGAAAAGGAGATGAGGCACGAGGCACTGTTGCTACCGACGAGGATTTCATGGAGTGGTCGGACAACATCCTTACTATGATTGCACAGCAATACAATTGGACCGAGGCGGAATCCAGGTACGAGCCGGAGATCTTGATTGAAAGTACAACAGTCGATTTTGCCAAGGTCTACTTAGGGGAGAGGAGTAGCGCTCAGCTCGAAGGAACGACAAGTGCTATCATCAACCATCGAAATCCATACAGCTGTCCGGTTGCTCAAAGTAAAGAACTCTACACAGATCCCAGCCGCAATTGCTTGCATATGGAGTTCGACCTTTCAGGCGTGCCGGAGCTGAAGTATCAATCAGGCGACCATCTGGCCATCTGGCCTGCAAATCCCGAGAACGAGGTCAATAAGATAATGGACCTTCTGGGGCTGGACGAAAACTCCCGGAAAGAACCTGTTGTGGTTCGGCTCAGAGACGATATCGATTCGGAACACGTTAAGATTCCTCTCCCCTCGCCAACAACGCGCGAGAGTATTTTCAAATACTACTTGGAAATTTGCGGTCCTGTGTCGTCCGATTTGCTGAAGAAGCTTCTCCATTATGCGCCAACAGACAGGGCGAAGGCAGCCCTGTCAACGTTGATCGAATCTCGTGAGACTTTCCATCAGCTTGTGACCTTGCGATGCTGGAACATCGCAAGGGTCATGGAATTTGCGGATCCAGAAGCCAGATGGCAGGTACCGATCGGATTTTTCGTTGAGCGCCTTGGGCGTCTTCAAGCACGGTACTATTCAATTGCGTCTTCCCCGGCCATCGAGCCACGGAAACCTGCCATCACCGCAGTCGTTACCACTAAAGCACTTCCTGCCTGCTCCTCTTCGGGAATTATAGCCGACAAAATGCACGGCGTGGCATCAAACTACCTACTAGCTCTCAAGCACGGCATTAATCAAGAAGGTCAGTCATCCAATGGTTTGACTTACGATCTAGATGGTCCACGGGGCAAGCTTGCTGGGGGAAAGGTCTTCCTTCACATCCGCCATTCAACCTTCAAGTTGCCAGCCAACAACAGAACTCCTATTATCATGGTAGCAGCTGGCACAGGCATTGCTCCCTTCCGTGGGTTTGTCCAGGAGCGAGTTCGAATTGCTACGGCCGGTCAAGAGGTTGGGCCCATGCTCTTATTGTTCGGTTGTCGCTCTCCTGAGCACGATTACTTGTATTCCCAAGAATGGGAAAAGACTGAGGAAATGCTGGGCAAAGACAGGTTCCGCATTATTACAGCATTCTCACGACAACAAGAGAAGAGGGTCTACGTGCAAAATAAGCTGGAAGAATATGGTGAACTCGTAGCGAAGATGCTGGACGATGGTGCATACTTTTATGTCTGCGGCTCGACTGACATGGCGCGAGGTGTACGTGAGGCGCTGGTGAAGGTCATGATGCAAGCAAAAGGCTATGATGAGAAGGCAGCGGACAATCATGTAAGATACGAGCTGAAGCAGGCACGGCGGTTACAGGAGGATGTCTGGTCCACATGAATAGGAAGCTAGCTGATACCTTGAAACACAAACGAGACAGGCATGCAAAGACTATGGAGCCAATAATGAGTCGTCCAGACTGAACAATTAATCGCAGGTCAATGCTTCTGGAGTAGAATACCAGTAGGTGGTTATTATGGGTGAATCTGTCTGGCTAAACCCCTTACTTCTTACCATGATCGTCTTGAATCCGCGTCTCGAGTATCACCTGCTGACCTCGAAGGGTGGAGCGACCAAGGCTGCTAAGCCTGTCACCCTTGAACGTCTCGCTAAACAAATGGTCAGTACATGGGGCGCTAGCTTAGAACTTTTTGTAACCTCTGAACTTCAACTCGTATTCGTCTCGAACTCAGCCCGTCTTGCGCCAAATTGGGGAGCTGTGGCGCCACTATCGAATTTCAATAGTCTCCAAATATTTGGGCCAAGATCCTTACGAGTGCCTCGGAAAGAAGTCCCTCCAGTTGCTTTTACCCTTGTACGTTACTAGCTACTGTCTACCCCGCATGTTTGGCCGTCGATTCGAAAAGCTCTCCGCCCCCAGAAGTAATATCGGGGTACAGAATCTTCGCGTGGAGACGAGAGCGAATCTCAGCACCTCGTCTACGTCTCGTCTACGTCTCGTCTCGAAGGCTGTCTGGTCGCGTGGATGTAGTGTCTAGCAATCTCGAGCTTGTGGGGTCCAGTTGAGACTAGGGAGAAGTGAAGGAGGTTGTGCTACAAACTGGGACAGAGACGAATATAAAGATCATCATCACCTCGACGAAATATTTTCGGCCCCCATCCAAAGTTTCTACCTTGCAGTCCTCGTCAAGAGTGCAAAGCAAGATCAATCTAAACCATACATCAAGAAAACTCAAGCTCCGCCAAAGGGACGCAGCACAAATCATGGCTTTCCTCAAAGGTTACTGGCGGCGACTTAGCCAGCGCCAACTCCTCCTTCTTACCGGCTTCGTGGCTGCTTTCGCCGTCGGCTTCGATGGTATGGCACAAGGAGCCATGGCCAGCGTGCAAGCCGCACCTCACTACACCTACACAATGCAGATTGGCACGGAAGATGGCGTTGTTACCAATTCTACCCGACAGGGTGGCATCGTTGCCATTTACTATCTGGGAAGCCTTTGCGGTGCTTTTATGGCCGGCTGGATCGCCGACACGTACGGACGTTCCAAGGCTGTGCATTTTGGCGCGGTTTGGGCATTCTTGGGTTGTGCTCTACAGGTAAGTCGGTTCATCAACACTCCCTCCTGCTGAAAGCCATTTCATCTCACGAAAATACAAGTGTGCTGCCCAGAATCTGAACATGATGCTCTGTGCTCGTATCATCGCTGGCATGGGAGCTGGTCAGCTCATGAGCACCGTCCCCACCTGGACAGCCGAGATCGCAGCCTCTCACCATCGTGGCAAGGTCATCACGGCTACGTTCATGGCAAATTTTGTCGGCATTGCCATTATCGTCTGGCTCGGTTTCGGTATCAGTTTCACAACCTTTGGCGACGGCTCTTTCCGTTGGAGATTCGTGTTTGCCGCCAACATGCTCCCACTTTTCATTCTGGTACCGCTGACCTTGATGATGCCTGAATCCCCTCGATGGCTTGTCAAGGTCGGTCGCCGGGAAGAAGCTCTGGAGATCCTCGCCCTGGCCCGTGGCGAGAGTGCTCACACAACCACGGTTCAACACGAAGTCAACGAGATTATCGTCGCCGACGAGCTTGAGAAGGAGAGCGGCAAGCGCAACTCCTACTGGTCTATGCTGGTGGGCGTCGGCTATGGCGACCTGCATATCGCCCGGCGTGTCCAGCTCGGCTTCTGGTTGCAAGTCATGTGTCAGTTCTGCACTGGAATTGCCGCTGTTCTTATCTACTCGGGCTACATCTTCGCCCTGGCCAATTTCAACGGCATCAAGTCATCCTGGCTCGGCGCAATCACCAACACTGTCGGTATCCCAGCTACTCTCGTTGCCATTTACAGCATGGATTACCTCGGTCGCCGCAAGCTGGCTTTTGTGGGCTCTTCCCTACAGACCATACTTCTGTTCATGGTCGGCGGCCTCATGGTGGCTATCAAGAACAACCCAGACAAGGCAGACAACATCGGAAAGGCCACCGCCTCACTGATCCCTGTCTACATGTTCGTCTTCGCCGCCACATGGCTCGTCATTCCTTGGGTCTACGCGACCGAGATCTTCCCGACCGCACTCCGTGCAAGAGGTGCGTGGAGCTCTTTGAGATTGCCAGAAATTCGTTGCTGGGACTATTGACTGACTCGTTCACAGGAAACGCCTTCAATGTCGCGGGATGGTCTATTGGCTACGGCGGTGGCGGACTGGTGATTCCCATCATGTTTTCAAACATCGGTGCGAATACATTCTTTGTCATCGGCGCCTTCCAGATCATCACCATCCCGATCATCTACTGCTTCTATCCCGAGACCAATCAACGCAGTTTGGAATCCCTAGACCTCCTCTTCGCCTCCAAATCTCCCTTCGTCTGGAGCGAAGAGCGCGAGTTCGCCAAGAGGATCGGTGAGCTTGAACATGCCGTGGAAGCGAGGATGGCACAAGAGGGTAATCCACTCAGTCAGTCCGCAGAAAAGGATGTGGTGCACGCTGCGGAGGTTGAAAAGCTGCCGTCGGAGACTCCTAGCCTGGATGCGGATAGGGCAAGATAGTCCCGCATTAGAGTTGAGCCAGAACTCTCGTCCCATTCTGGGTATGTACAGTATCGGCTGTGGTGCAGCACGATGGAGATTGAGGTCGAGGTGACTCCAGCGAAATATTACTCACGTGACTGGCAATTCATGTGAGTTGGTTGCTGAACATGCACGACATACCTAGATTGCCGGGATTTCCGAATCTTATTTTCGGCCCGATACCCGCCTTGGCACTATTGGAGGCTAGTACTAGTTAGGCAGGTGCATGGGTACTTTGGAGATCTTTCCGTTGGCTGAGCATCCGATGGGCAATGTATGTTCGAGATCAACCAACGGCATCACAGGTGCGAGGTAGTGAAAGTGATCGGTCCGCTGGGAGAGGAGCTCTGGTGCCTGAGCAGCGCGGACAGAGGAAAGCAGCCAAGGCAACGGGCTGCAATGCTGCCTTGTCTGTCGCAAATCTCAGCCTCACTGGCTGCATCCGTATGTCTGTGTTTCATCCCGGTCAGAGCGGAATCAGGCTCTGCAAGGCAAACCGCTTATAGTGGAAACACTGCGTGGCAGATATATGAAGGAATGGATGGACACGACTGGATACTAGCGGGATTTTCCTGATTCTCTGATGCTTGTTGGTGGCATGACATTATCATCTACAGAAAGCAGAATCTGGCCTATACTGTATCCGTAGACACAACGAGCACTTGACATCCTAATGGCGACAAAGGAACCCCGGCTGGAAGTAGCCGAACACCATATGATGTTGCTGGCGTGGCACCTGTGACCAATGATTGGGCAGCCTACTCAATTCTCCTCGCGGCACCGACATCAGGCACACCGACGCCCTCGACGACCTTCCCACCCACAACCTCGTAGACCGGGAGCTCTTGAAGTCTGTCAATGACATGATGCAAAGTCGGTAGACAGTCCCAGTCCAGCGCGTCTATCTTGAATGTTGCCCGGTTGGCTTGCCACACCCTCTGCGTCACGGGTTGCGGCATGTCTTCCTTGTAAGGGACGAAGACGGCATGTTCATCTGCGGCGATACCTTTGTTCTCACGGCCCACTTTGGGCACGTAGCGATAGACCAAGATGCCGTCGTCATCCTCACCGCTGATCTTGCCTGTCACGTTGCTCAAGTCTGTAACCGGCTTGAGGCCCTCCAGCCGGAAATTTCCCCACTGCGAGCCTTGCCAACTGGTGTTGACTCGGTACGACTCGGCGCCCCGATAGATGTCGATCGCCGAATAGAGCTTTGGCATGCCCAGTTCTTCGCGACCGGAAACGATAGGGTCGGTCAAGGACTCGAAGAGAATCGGCATGTACGTCCCGCTGACGATGTCACCGTTGGATTTGGTGTATTCGACACCGTGGATATACAGGCCCAAGTGGCTATAACCAGAGCCTCCGAGCCACTCCATCTTGTTGAGGGTCGTCTGAGAGAATGAAGCGTAGGCGATCGTCCCAGGCGACTTGAAACGGTACTTCTTGTCCCCTGGAGGGAATAGGTTTTGGAGGACGGTGCGCGAGGTTTTGAATTTGATCGATGCCGTGGTGAAGGTCGACTTCAGAGCGTTGCGCGCCGTGCCCTGGTGGTTCTGCCGTGGGCCTGGCATGGGGCCGAACTGAATCGGCATCCGCCAGTAGACCTTTGGAACCTGCGCCCATTTGTACTCCCGCAGCCTTTGAGTGCTGTTGTCAAATTCATCATGGCCGAAGTTGTAATTGGTGTACTCGGTCATGTCCATTTTGACCCCCTCCTTTAGGTCGCGTCCTGCCAGCCTTGAGTACTCTTGGATCCTATTGGCACGGTCGTAGCGGATGGACTCCCAGAGCTTCAGACGCGCAGGGACTTCCTCGGGTGACAGACCGCGCTCAAGGACCACACTCAACGCAACAGCGTCTTCGATGGCGCAGCCTGCACCCTGGCCTTGATGCGGTAGGAAGGGATGCGCGGCATCGCCGATCAAGGCAAGTCGGCTGTTGACCCACGTAGGCAGGGCGGGCATGTCGAGAAGCTTCCATGACTTGAGAGATTCCGGATTGGCTTTGGCAATGAGCGCTTTGACAGCCGGATCGAAATCCCGATATACTTCGAGCAGGCGGTCATGGGTTGCTTGGGTGTTCCAGTCGTCGCTGGCCTCGGATTCGCCTTCGGGATGAATGCATACAAAGTTCAGCAGCGTGTCATGGCTTGTTGGATACATGACTATTCGCCGGTCAATCGCGTACCAGATGATCAATTCGCCGTCCTTTTCAGCCAATGGTCTGGTAACCGAGTCCTCAAGTGCTGCAGATCGTTCGATCATGAACCGGAATGCCGCCTTTCCAGAGCCAAACACTTTGGCATTCTCAGCGCCTGGCACACGAGCTCGGCTCCGTGAATGGACCCCATCAGCACCAATGACAACATCGCCACGCACAATGGACCCATCTTTCAATGTGATGCAGGCGTTTGATGGGTCAATATCGACAACAGGTGTCGAAAGATTGAGCTCAACTGGAATGCCTGGAAGAGTGCTCGAGGTCGCGGTGCGTTTGAGAGTATCATGAAGATGAATTCTGTGGGCAAGTAACCACTCCTACATTGGATTCGAATTGAGCTTTCGTTCTTGAACTTGGTCAAGGGTCCTCGTACTTACATGTTGCCAGTTCTGGTTCGAAAGCTCGAGATCTATCTGGCGTTGAAGTTCACCTGTCGACTTGTACTCGGTCAACTGATCAATATGGTCAGTTTGTGGTCTTTATGTCTGAAGGAAAGAGGTCCCTTCGCACCATCCGCATCAAATTCGCTCCGCTGGCCGCCACGTCGACCCCGAGTCTTTTGAGTACGCCATGGGCGTTGGGTGCGATATGCAATGCAGCACCAGTCTCGACGGCAAATTGACCTTGCTCATATATCTGTTGAGGCACTACTGGTCAGTACACGTCGCCGTCACGCCCATGTCGGCTGCTCATCCACAAGGGCTGAAGGATTTCTCTCTCACATGCACTTCGTGGCCTTGGTGTCTTAGGCCAACCCCAGCAGAAAGCCCTGCTATGCCTGCACCCACAATCAAGATCTTGAGAGATGTTTTCTCGCCTGGGTGGTGGTACCCGTTGACGGCCGCTGAAGACGCCGAGATGGTTTCTGCCATCGAAAGTGAAGTTGTTGGATGGTTTTGGGACTGGGTTCAAGATCAGGTAACTCGGTGACCATAACACGGATGTTCAGAAGGCATATTTGTTCTACCGGTCCACGAAGTGCTCCTCGTACTGACCTGCCAGGCTCTTTGCAATACCTATTCTGCCATATCGACCGTGAGTGGAGGGCCATGTGGAGAGCTATGTCCTTGATTGCCGCAATGCATCCGGTAGGGCCGGTGGTCCGCATGTGGAGGGTAACGATCCGACTGCCACGAATACCGAGGTGGGGCGGTCGAGCCTTCAAGCCGATGCCCGCATGATGCGTGGGGGAACATTGAAACACCCTCGTATGTGTTTCGTAGTGAGCCGGAAATGATACCTCACCATCCGAGGCTATGCGAATCGAGTTGAAGCGCCGTGGTATATTGACATGGTTGTATTACACTATGACAGAAGGGACAACAATTCAGGAGGAGGACCGAAGTCTCACAGCTAGCGTTGAGATGGATCGTTTTCCGCTTCTGACCGACGTACTGTTCGCCTATACTACGACCTCACACATTGTCCAAACCTGTCCCGCTATTTCTTTTCCCTGGAGAGACATGGAGAGAGATCACCGCCTCGGGCGATAACCATGCTGGACATCGTCCCCGTCGATCCACTCGAAGCGGTCACCCAAGAACTTGTGTGCACGTAGATCTCCCGAGCGAGCATGGCCCTCGAACATCTCAGCACGAGCAGCTCGGCCACACAATTGCCCCAGCTTGCCGCTGGCCTCATTGGACCGGACCTCTTGATATGTGACCGTCCGCAGGAACTTGCCTACCCAGAGGCCACCCGTGTAGCGAGCAGCTTTTCGCGTAGGGAGAACATGGTTCGTCCCAATGCACTAGAAGTCCCATGTCAGCCACGAAACTTCCGCACAGAGATAAGAAGATAGATATCCAGTACCTTGTCACCGTACGAGACACATGTCCTCTCACCCAGGAAGATGGCACCATAGTTGTGCATCTTGTCCAATGCCTCGCGAGGATTTTCTGTCAAGATCTGGACATGTTCAGAAGCATACTCGTCGGCTAGAGCATAAGCGTCATCGATATTCTCAACCACGGCCACCTCGCCATAGTCTCTCCAAGAAGTGCCCGCTAGCTCGGCTGTAGTCAGGTTTAATAATAGCTTGTCGACGTGCTCGATAGTCTGGCGGCCAAGGTCTTCGCTGGTCGTGATCAATATCGCTGGAGTATCCGGACCATGTTCCGCTTGGGAGAGCAAATCCGTCGCTACCGTGTAAGGATCGGCACGTTCGTCGGCTACAATGAGCACTTCGGTTGGGCCAGCTAAGAGGTCGATGCCGACCTCCCCAAATAATGCCCGCTTGGCTTCTGCAACATACGGGTTTCCAGGTCCAGCAATGAAGTCGACTTTGCGGATCGTTTCAGTGCCTACCGCCATGGCGGCGACAGCTTGTACACCGCCCAGGATAAAGATCTCGTCAGCTCCGGCCAGGTGCATTGCGGTAATGGTTGCGTTAGGAAGCTCTCCATTAATTGGAGGTGTACATCCAATCACGTTGGGGACGCCAGCCACTTTAGCGGTCAGAATTGTCATATGTGCCGAAGCAAGCAAAGGGTAGCGGCCGCCGGGAATATAGGCCCCAACGGTGTCGATTGGATTATTCTTTTGGCCCAGGAATACCCCAGGTTGTATTTCGAGTTCAAAGTCCTTCAGGGAAGCCAGTTGTGCCTGAGCAAAGGTGCGGACGTTGTGTTGAACTTCTTTGATGTCTTTAATGGTTTGCTCGGGGACCTTTCTCATGGCTTCCTCAACCTGCGCTCGAGTGAGCTTGAACGAGGCAGGATCCCACTTGTCGAAGCGTTGAGAGTATTGTCGGACTGCATTGTCGCCTTGAGCTCGGATGTTCTCAATGACCTCCCTGACGGTGCTTTGCACTTGTGGGTTGACCTGCTGCTTTTTCTCCTCTGACGTGCGCGTACCGGTCTTGAGGTAGCGAGGAGCCATATCCGCGGATCTTCGTTGTATACTCTTGCGCTGCCTGGTAGGTGACCTGTTCGCATGAAAGCTCGCCAGGCTGAAATACCGTTGCTTGTTCGGCTATATAGGGCACCCCCTCTCTTGATCCCCACTCCTGATCTGCCGAACTATTACGGTGTAATCCCCGAGGCTATCTCATGGCTCTTTCTCGCTAAGCCAGGGTTGGTGCGGATGTTGCTACTCCAAATTTTGGACGGTTCACCACTAGTTGCGACTGAGGCCCTTGACCAGAAAAGACGCAGGAGAAGTATAATGAGAGAGCGAGAATGGAGCTGGTGGGATTGCAGAGTCTGCATTATCATTGCATGAAGGGAATCTATGGCTGGTGGCATGGTCTTTGTGCCCGACGAGTCCGAGAATGTTGTAGTCACTAACCGTTTGTGCATATATGGACTTTCCAGCATACCAAGGTATGCCTAATGAGCCCAGATCCCAAAGATTTCCCCATGAGTTGCTCTAGGCACGTCAACAGGTACATCAGACGTTTCCTGCCCATGTCTTTCCAGTCCCACATAGGTCATTCGATTGGGAGCACCTAGCAACTTCGCTTCATTCACCCCTCATGAACTCAATTGCTCCAGGAGCGAATGCTTTCAAAGCATTGTTGACACCCTGCTCACCGTCGACTTCAGCGTGTCAGCACGTACTGCGGACCACCAGGTTCATCAAACTCACAGATACCGATGATTTTCACTTCTAGAGAGGCTTGCGCTGTCCCTGGTTCATTGCGGATGGCTTCCTGAAATGTGCCAACCATAGCTCCAGAACAACCGTAATACCCAACGATGGTATGTTCTCTGGTGATGGTTATGGTTCGCTCATTGGCAATCTCGGCCGTTTCCGGACACACAAGTTGACCTATGGCAGCTGCGCGCTTGTCAGGCAGGAACACTTCTTCGAAGGTCTACCAGCCGTGTCAGTCGTTGCAGGCTTTGAAGACACGGAATACCTACCGGCACGTGCATAGTGTCTCGGTTGCTGAGTTTCTGTTGTTTTGCACTGTCTCGAGCCAGGAACTCGAAGACCTTCTCACAGCCCGAGGTCCAGGCCTTAGCCTCCTTTAGAGGGTCAGAGGTTCTGTACTCAGCAATCGGGCGATCGTTGCCAGCATAGAAGACAGAAAACAAAGCGTTGTGTAAGGTATGAGGGTTCATCGCCGCGGAAGTAGAGAGCTGATCTTCTCTGATTGCGTGTTGTGGCCGATGCTTCTCACCCGGCAGAATCCGAAAGATAGCGATATCTGCTTCAGAATTCAGACTGTGAAGATAGACATGAAAGACGCGCATATCTGTAAAGAAAGTCAATGTCCAAGTTGGCCCCAATGCAAGGAAGAAAAAGGCTTTACCATCTCCGTTGTCATAGTCTTGCTCCCGGGCCGCCCAGACTTCCGACGACACGCGCGCTCGTAACCCATTGGCTGAGTCGTCGATGTCGAGATGTTTGAGGCACTTGAGGTATGTGATTGTGTCGGATTTCTGATGATCTTGAACGCCTTCTTGAATATCCAAGAAGTGTGCAGCGGTAACGAACTTGTCGCCTTGCAACCAGAAGCCTGACATTGTGATCAGACTGTGATTGCAAGATTTGTGGGCGGACAGCTGTTCGGAAGGCTGGCTTCGGCAGGTGCAGATCGGAACCCACAGCTTTCCTGCCGCTTGAGTGATAGACTCCAAAGCCATTCTCGCCTGTTTTGACTTGTGTTTGTCTCGCCCTGCAAGCTGCGCTACTGGGTACTCGGTTGGACTCTCGACCAAAAGTTTACCACCCTCCTGAACAAGGTATGTTTTCAGCCAACTCTTAGTCGTTTCGTCATAGATCGGACCGCCGAAGTAGGTAGACATGACTGGTCCTGCTTCGAGCGCCTTCGGATTTGGCTTCGGCTTGATTTTGTAGAAGTCTGGGAAGGTCTGCCCGTGTGGAATGTAAGGGGACATCCACATTTCTTGAGCGAACTGTGAATCATTTGTAGAGACCTCTACGACCAGTGTCAGTAAGAACTGCTTGACCTGAGCGCACCAAGAGCAAACTTACTGACAAAGCCAACTACGCAGTCACCCTGATGAGGCTTTTGGTGATTGCTAGCTTGTGGCAGCGTATTCTTTGAAGAGGGCGAGTTGGACGCCATGATTGGTGAAAGAAGACAAGAAAGATCTTTGCTGTGGTCTGAAAAGTTGATAACAAGATAATCGGCGCCCAAGACAAACTTGGTTGCGTAGATCAAGATGGCAAATCCCAGGCAAACTAACTAGAAGGTCAACAAAGCAACTGATGGCGGATGGTGATACAAAGCCGCCTTGGCATCACTGACGAAAGAATCCCACCTTCCAATCACTAGGCGTGAAGAACACTGCCTGGTGCGGCATTTTGTGATTGATTGGGGAAAAACTGCCTTGGGCTCTTCACTGCAGGAGTACGAGAATGTAGCGGTTGTATGCTCTCAGCGAATGGGTAGAGAACAGCTGTCAAGCAGCAACTTCAGCCCGGCCTTTCTCCTACATTTCTGCTTGTGCCTTTCTTTGTTCCTAGCTTTGTCTTGGACCTTGACTCTACTCGACTTTGTGGAAGAAAGTGCATGGAGACGAGGGCGATGACTGTAACTGAGGCCGACAGATCGAGGAGTGGGTACAGTTAGCAGCTGATATAAAGTGGCGTCGTATCGTTGAGGACTGTCGTTCGAGGTTGCGCTTTACTAGATGGAATAAAGAGAAGCTCACCAGCTCAAGTCGTCAAGTCGTCAGGTCCCCAAGCTCCCGTAGATGAGTTGTGCGATCAAGCGCAGGCAACTCCAAGTTTACGCTTACCCATCATGGTTAGGTCCATTTTCCCCGAACAATGACGTCGTTTGTTTACTTTTTCACATGTCGCCCCGAAAACGGAGAATTCATGCTTCTACTTGGTTCGTCCAGGTTATTTCGGGGGACAGAAATCTATGTAATCGAAGGTAATCTGAGTTGACGGCAGGCACACCACGCTGGTTCTCCAGGGAAACCTGGTCAGACTGTCCAGATCTCAGCAGCTAGCTAAGTATGGAGAGCTGCATACCGAAGCATTCATTTTGGTGGAATAATTGGCAATGTCAAGTGATTGACATATTTTGGTCCGAAATGAATGTTGTTCTTCCCAGCCAGCTTCTGGTCCGATCTGAATGGTGACGAATTAGCAAGATCAGAAAGCTGCAGTGGCAAGCCATGCACGTACCTATCGACTGGGCTGTTATGCTGGAATGTTCCACATCCCTGCGTGTCTCCCGAGGAGATCTCCAAGACCAATTGGGCTCCAGGCTCAAGGACAACGTTTGTGGGCCACACCTCTACATCCACAGGATAGACCTCGCCCGGCAGGACAGGCAGGACGGAATTGGAGAAATAGTCTCGATATGGCAAGTAGGGTCGATGTCTGTGGTGGTCGACGTTCACTTTGCGAAGGCTCACTCGTTGCCAGCCCTTGCACAGTGGTACAGGGTCACCGGCTGTGCCAGTGTAGAACACTTCACGCCCTGAAGGTCCAATATGCCGAAGGGTCAGGAAAAGGTCGATATCTGTCGGTACATTGCCGCCAATGTCAGCGTTCATAGAAACATTGAGATGTGCAACGATATGCCCAGTGATTTCGACTTCCTTCCCCATTGGAGCAGTGGTGAATTGGATCAGTTGTGGCTCCCTGAGCGTCCCGAGCGCTTTGTAGGTCAACTTGCTTGTTTGCTTGTAGGCCGGTTTCTGATTTATTAAGCCAAGTTGGTCTGTGAGGTAGAAACGCGTATAGAGTGTGCGAGGAATTGGCCATTCTTCTTCCTCTCGCGTAGGGAATTTCTTCTCTGCCTCTGGATTATTGTGACCCGCGTCGCCCTTTCGCAGTACCAAGCCTACCCGAGCTACTTGACCTTCTACCGACCAGCCCACTCTGTCATCTCCATGGAGGAAGGCGTCAAGGAAACTTCGCTGCATCTCGACTTGCTCATGATAGTAGAAAGGCAGATCGTGCCGGCCGACGCAAAATCTTAGATACTTGAACTTCGATCCAGCATAAGTGAAACCTTCGATGTTGCCTCTGAGGTGTAACAGAATTCCACCCCAGTTCCCCACGCTCAGGACAGGCACTCTTATATCTTCAAGGTTATACTCTTTCGAAGCGTAGTATGGCTGGTCTCGAAATTGGTTTTCGACATTGTCGACGTTCTGATCCCTCCGATTCTGCTCCAGCTCCTCCGCGGTCAGGTCACCTTCGATGGTGTCGGGACCCCAGTTTCTAGCCTTTCGACCAGGTAATCCATACTGATTACTTAGCACCTGGCGATCCCACCAAAAGCGAATGAATGCATTAGACAAAATGCCACCGTGGCGGCAGCGGTCGCGGTAATAGTCGCTCATTCCTTCCCAGGGGACGATAGCGGCAAGACCCTTAGGCTGTAGTGCTGCAACTCGCCATTGACTCCCAGCGTAATAACTGATACCCAGGAGGCCCACCTTGCCATTTGACCACGGTTGCTCTGAGGACCATTCCACGACGTCGAAGAAGGCCTCACTAGTGCCTTTAGACATAGTGTCGAGAACTCCTGGAGATTGACCTAAGCCACGTTCATCCGCCCGTACCACGGCGTAGCCATGCGATGTCCAGTACCCAGGATCTGGGGTCTCCCATGCTGAGTGCTCGGACTTATGCTCTTGGTTCACTTCCGAGAAAGATTGTGCGTGGAAGTCCTTGTAGGGGATGTCCTTGCCGTAAGGGCCGTAGGTTACGAGCACGGGGCATTTGTTGTCCTCGCTTTTCGGTCGATAGACGTTGCACCTGACCAATCCTTGGGAGCTCTTGAGGGGAATCGATACATTTTGCTCGACAATGTAAGCGAACGAGCTCCTGTCGATAGAAGAGATGTCTCGTGGTTGAACAGGCATCGTCGCAGTTTCACCAGACTATCTGTACCAATGCAACGGGCAAGGAATACAAGCATCACCTAGTGATTCTTTCATTGTTTACTCCCTAAATTAGTCACAATTTGTGTGCTTCAGGTTCCGATGCCGAGGATGGTTTGCAAACCCCATCGGGAGGTGGTCGAGCACTTCGGCCTTTGCCTGGACCCGGTAAGTGGGGGCCCGAGATGATGTCGGGCAGCGTCAACTCCATACTTCGGTCATACAGATTGGGTCAAATGAAGTATTCCACGCCGAACAGTGGACGGCACGGAGAGAGCAGCACCAAGACAATCTGCATTTCAATCACGCGATCAGCCGCACCACCAGGATTGACTTACAACAGATAAGGCGATGGCTGCATCGAACCTGTGCATCTAAAACCGTGTATCTCTCGCGAATTTCTTCCTGACAGGAACAATCATCATGTCTCAAGTTACCCACGGAATTCATACGCTTCTCGACAATGGCCTGCCTGCCATCAGCCGTTATATAACCGACCACAACTCCGAAGCAAAAGCCGTCTTCTCGACCCATATTGAGGAGCGTTTGCCGTGGCAAGAGCTCCCCGACGGTGCACGATTCTGTCTAGGCTACGCGACTGAAAAGTTTCCAGTGCAGTTGTCACAACAAGAAGACCTTCACGTCTACCAACGGTATCTGGAAAACAAGCCGGGAATCACTATTCCTGGGGGGACCGTCCTGCGCCTAGTCGATATGATGCCAGGAGCACTGTCACCAATGCATCGTACAGTCAGTCTGGATTACGGGGTGGTATTGGAAGGGGAGGTCGAGCTGGTGTTGGACTCTGGGGAAGTCAGACTTCTGAAACGGGGAGACGTAGCCATCCAAAGAGGCACGAACCATGCTTGGAGGAACGCGAGCGACACGCAATGGGCCAGGATGTTGTACGTGCTGCAAGAGGCGCAGACTCTAAACATAGGCGGAGAGACTTTGGGAGAAGACTATGGTGGCATTCCAGGGGTGAGACCCTCTAGACCAGACGCAGCGTCAAAATACTTGACAACGACGGAAGAAAGTGATCTGGCATCGGAGACAAGATAATGGCTGATTTTCTCTGACTCGCTATACACAGGATCGAGGTAAAGTAGGGATTAAATCAGCTTGAGGTTACCACTCTCCACCGATAGGATATTTGAAATAGTCCACATCTCTTCCCAGTCTAGACAAATTCTGAGCTTGCATTAGCCGGTAGATGCGACGAGCATTGAGAGATACTTGCCGCTTGGAGTTGCACACCCCTCAACATGGTGAAAATGAATACCATTTCCATCAGGTTTACTCCCCCAGGCCGCTGACTCCTGTCAAGATTGCGGTTGATGGGGCGGAGGTTTGGAATGCCTCGGTGGTCAGTCGGCCACCACTCGGGATTGTTTGGAGGGTCAGAATCGATCTGTCGTGGATTTGGGTCTTCAGCACGTCCTGCCGATGACGGATCGCCCGAGTGATGCAGGTCATAGTCGGTCAGGGCTTCAAGGACTGCGCGAGATACAGGATTTGCGGTAGTAGTCACGGACATGATGCACAAATCATAACAGGTTGAAATGGATATGAGCCCTGCAGCTAGTGAGCCAAAATGTTCTGTAGTCAAAATCTAAGAGAGTACGTCTTGGAACAGATTAACAGGTGAAGGATGCCATTTGCCACAGGTCTGCGTCCCTGTCAGTAAATCCCAGAAGCCGATGGTGGAGGGTGATTTTTACTAGAGCCGCCCGTCCACCCACTCGGCGGACCGAACAACCCATACCCATTGATCGAAATCTGTAAATCATTGCTGGGATGATCTGAGGCTTGCCACTAGTAGATCTCAAATTGACCTCTCGACGTGCTTCTCAATGGTGTCTTCTTAATATCAAAAAAAAGTTTGTGTTCGACTTCAAAGATATTGACATATCAACCCGAAGCCCGACCATTAAAGCACTGATCTCTGTCTTCTCAGCTCACTACCAGTCGAACCTACCATCTTTGTGCAGAAAATGGGAGACTCATTTCATCAGATTCGAGCTGCTGTCATTGAAGGCCGTGCCCAGTCGCCCCGATACATCCAGAGGCAGCTCACACTCCTACACGATGCCTTGCTAAAGCATCAAAAGGCCATCCGAACAGCAATCAAGCGCCAAACCAATTACACATCGGCCGAGATCGATGCAGAAATCTATCTGACATTGGACGCAATCAAACATGATTACGAGTCTTTCGACTTTTCAAAAGTCGTGCAAGAAGAGTACAGCCTTGCCCAGCTCAAGGACTACCCTTCGCGCCGCGTAGCAGTCGGGTGTATTTACGTCATTCCCTCGGAGCACAGCCGTCTTTATTCGATTGTACAGACTGTGTCGGCAGCCATAACCGCCGGAAATTGTGTCGTGGTCGAAGTAAGTGCCATTCGGACCACCCTTTCGACAGGACGCGGAACCTACGAACTTGACATGCTAACACAGACTGATGCAGCTCGGAAAATCAGCCTCGGATTTAGACTCGCTTCTGGCAAAGGTCCTTGCAGGTGCCCTGGACGGAGAAACGTTTGCTATGGTCGCCGGCAAACCTGATGACCAAGACTTCTTCACCCAGCATTGTGTTGTCGTTGATGCTCGAAAGAATCCCCAGACACCAGGTTCTGCACATATATTGCTCGCAAAGCCCAGCCGATGCATCGCCGTGGTGGACAGGACGGTGTCTTCTGCAGATATAGCGCACGCAGCTCGTGAGATAGCACGTGCACGGTTCAGCTTCGACGGAAAATCTCCTTATGCACCAGATTTGGTGCTGGTCAATGAGTTCGTTCTGCAGGAGTTCTGCCGCGCAGCGGTACAATACACCACTACCCTGCTGACTAGAGGCGTCGAACCAGATCTGGATGACGATAGGAGGGCTATGCGCACGGCCATTGATTTCGTGGACCCGGCAGTCATGGAACTGCAGCGAGCTCCGGGCGTGTCCACAGTTCTCTCTGGATCCCGAGGGAAGATCCTGTGCATGCAGAAGAGGTAAGCAGGAAGTCCGGCAGAATTCGACCCTTCAACGGCCATGAGCACCCTTACTGACTCACATATATTCTGGGCTGACAGGGATGAGTCACTGATGAGCCGCAAAGTCACCAGTCCGGTGCTTGTGATCCATTCCATACGGAGCCTTGACGATGCCATTGATCTGATTAATTCGTGGTAAGGGTTTTCCAGCCCCGTCCGCAAAACAGCCTTCAGAGTCGCTGATTCTCCTTGTTTGCCTGCAGCAACCGCAATGAACGTCATCAAGCGGCCTATTTCTTTGCCAACGCTGTCACAGCCAAGTATCTAGGTCAATTCATTCCCTCACGGCTTTCATACACCAATTGTATTCCGATTGCATTGCTAGGTTAGTGACTCCGTTTCTATTCTACCTATAGTGGGAGACCACCTCACTAGGCCACGAAAAGGCTGACATTCCTTTGCCATACAAAAGTTGGACCCTCTGCACCGACGTCTTGTACAGAGCCACCTTCCATCCAGCCACGGTACACCCAGCAGCTTTTCTCAAACGCATCGCCTGAATACATATCCTCACGGTTGGAGCAGGACCTACTCTGCGATCTCTTGGATTCGTCCTCGAATGTTTCCCGGAGAAAGATCGAAGTGGAGTCGTCGAAACCACTCACGCCAACGAAGCAGGGGTCAGGCGCGGGAATTGGGTTCTTCGAGCAAGGTCTAATCGTCGGCGGCATGGTCGCACTTACAGGAGTTATCACCGCGAGCACGTTGCTTGCGAAATATGCTGTGCCAGTATTGTTAAAGCAGCTTAAGAGGTAACAGGGCTGGTAGCGAAGAACTGCATGAGACTTCAAGAAGGGGCGGACCAGTATGCGATGGATTGCATAAGGTGGCTTCCTTGCACATCGGTCATCAATAGAGGGAATGTTAAATGCAATGGCGATTTTGGTATTGGGTCCGCTAAGAATTCTCATTGCACATAATATAAGAACCTCCACCACATCAGAACTTGGGGCTGTGTCGCACAAGCCCAGGATACTCAAAGCCTACGAAATATGCTAGCTGGCACTTGACAAGAAATTTGCCGTGACCATGGAAACAGTCTCGCATTTCTTGCTACTTCAGGTTTGCGAAAGGTTTGAATACACCGTAGTCAGAAAATGACCTAGAGACACCGTCGTAGAAGCCGAGCCTTGAGCAAAATTCGACAACCCTAAGCAGCCGCAGTGGCCCAGGAGCCAAATGCGTATTGTGAATTGCACATGTTGGTCTGTCAAAGAATGGCGCCGATGTTAGCCTATTACATGAGGACTCGGATGTCTTGAAGTATAAGGGACTTGGGACGAGGACGGGCTTACCAGCTCCCACGTCTCAGCTTTCAACTGGCCGTACGTGCCCTCGTCTTCGTCGTCACCTACGGCACCGGCGACGAACATGGCGCTCATGAAGTGATCGTCGGTGGCATGTGCATCGCGGTATTGTGGATGCTTCATGAGCCTTGTGACGGCTCTTCGCAACCGGGGTCCCGAATTACTCTCAACTGCGTCTTGGAAGCTCTGTCGAAACTCTAGAGCCCAATCCTCGGGCGGAGTCTGCTGGGCAAAATTGTCGCGGTATGCGAGCATGGGACCCCATACGTTACGGTAGAGGTTGTGCACGGCGCCACCGGAACCGATCAGTAGGTATCCCTCCTTTCGAAGCGGGCGAAGAGCAGCGCCCAGAGCTACATGATAGTGTGGGTCGTAGCGCGCGTTCATGCTGATAATTGTGGTGGGCGGACAACCGTTAGGGAACATCCGGATGAGGATCAAGTATGTGTCGTGAATCCAGTTGAAGCCAGGGTTGCCCTCGGCTTCGAACCCAGCGGCACGGAGCATGTCGATGCATCGGTTGCCGGTCCGCATGTCTGGATTGAGCTTGTAGTTGGCATATTTGGAAGGATGGACGTATGCCACTGGAGATTTATCAGGCTTGGGGTTTGTGGCTACCTGAACGACGTCGTTGAGGGCGGCCCAATGTGCGCCCTAGGGACACAACGTCAGATACGGAAAACCGATTAGAGGAAGGGAGGGGAGGTTTGAAACAAGTGATCAACAACAGTAATTGAGGAACGTACCATGATAATAACGCCTTTGATATTGTGAGCCAGCGCTTCATCACCACATTGTTTCCAGTACTGAGCAGACGAAGACTCTTCCCCTAGCATCATTGTCGAGCCATGAGAGAAGAAGTAGACAGGAGTCAACAGGTCTGCACTCAGGTCAGAGAATCACCCGGGAACTAGGTCTGACCAGGAAGCGTACTATTGGAAGCCATTGTGAATGCTGTCCTGCGCTGAGCAAATCGACTGCGGTATCTCTAACAACAGGAGTCCCAGCAGCCCAAGTCGGTGTGAACTGACTGGTGAAGCCCTCCAGCCAGAGTAAAATAAAGTGATATTGAACCCTAGCAGTGAAGCAGCTGAGCTTGCAAGGTTTCGTCGACTGCAGATTTCGGCTGCAGTAAATTTCCAGCATGAACGTTAGTTGATCGCATCATGCGGCAAGCAGTCCCCCATTCCTTACCCGAGCACGAAACCCCACGGGCCCGAAAGGCTAGATCTGAAAGATGGCCCCGACACCCCCGGGGCAGAAACTATCCCGAAAGTGGACGACCAAGTACCCGAATGTGGAGGGAAGCTTCTTGCCCGTCCACATCCACGTCCACGTCCACGCAGTCTTGTCCCTCTTCTCTCGGCTGAAGTGGGCGGCTAATCGAAGAAGCTGCTACCGGCTCGCTTACAGTGGGATTAATCGGTCAATCACTGTTAAGGGCAGCCTTCAGCGAGGCTGAATTGTAGCCTTGCGCTGGAGGATCTCGTTGGTGTAGAAAATTTGAAGGCAGTCGGCCATGGCAGCCTTCGGAAGACAGCAGAGTCTCTCCCCCTTGTACGCACACAGGCGAAGCGTTGACATTGCTGGGATAACCCAGGTCATCTATCTTAATGACTGACAGTGAGTGTTGATGCCTTTTATTTTCATCCACAAGATGCTTGACCAGCATTAACCGTTCACTTTTTCCTTACAGCTGCCGCAGCAGTGCCTAAGGACTTCATCAACTTGCTCAAGTTCGCGATCAGTGGCAGAGTGCTGCGTTCGTTGCCACCATTCTTCTTCCTCAGCAGCTCCGCGATGGCATTCATCACAGCATCTGGATCGGCCAACGGCACGTCTTGATCCGGACCGGCTTCGTCCCCCTCCACCCATCTGCGAATGCAAGGACTTCCTTTGCCGAGAACCAGAAATCTCTGGACTTCAGGTCCGTCGTCGGCGTCGAGCCTGACAGACTGCCCATTCTGAACATGAGAAGAGCCTGATTGCGAAGGTGGACATGTTGCTTGAGCAGTATTGCGTAGGACTGCGGACTTGTAGGGAATTGCATAGGCCCACAGCACAAGGCTTGCCTGGTAGACCGCCACGGCTGAAGCTTCGCGCAGTGTTCGTTTGGAGTACTGCTTTGCTGCCCGTAGAACCTGTCCTGCATGGAAGATGGCCTGTCGCGACTCGGCCGAGTCGGTCCATTCGCTGAGCAGAGGAAAGACTCTCCTCGCCTCTTCCTCACCCTCCTTGCCCGCCAAAAGTTGTACGTCTTCCAATGACACATGCAGGTGCATCAAGCAAAGTTGCCGCAGCAACGTGGCCGGAGCATTCATGTCAACCTGCCATTCGGTAGCGTTAAGGCTAACATGCTGCATCAAATGTAATGACTCCTGATGGAGAGAATTGACTGTCAATGAATTGTTGTGTGGAACCCTCTTGTCGTGCAGAGTGAGAGCTTCTTTTAGCTTGCGATACTGCCAAATGAGAGCCCAAATTGACGAAAGAATGACCGCCAGGGTCATCTGGACGTCAACGATATGCTTGAGTCTGAAAATGCTGCCTATGTCGTGGAGGCAGTGTCGGAATGTAGGGTGGCGATCTTGTGTTTCGCCCACTGTGGTGAGGTACACAGACTTCCACTCACTGCTTGACCCAGCCATCCACAACTCCCTCGAGAATGGTAGGTCTAGCGTGATCTCGGCGAATGAGATAAGTGGCTGGTCCAAGAGAGACATGGACGTCTGGGTGTCACGCAAGAACAGATAGAGAGCGAGTCTGTTTCGTCACCAGTCAGAGGATAATTTGTGCATGAGGCATTGTAGGAGCGTACCGTTTAAAGGATTCCGCTTCCACCCACTTTCGCCATTTGGCATCTGTCGCTGCTTCGTCGTCCTCAGGCCGCGGCACAATCTGGGACTGCCGGTTGCGTCGAAATGAACCAGATCTACGCATCATCTAAACTTGACATTCAGCCAAATGGTAGTCACAGCCATTCAGAGCATACGTACGGTTATCAGCGGCAAAGCAAAGCTCTCCGCGATCTCCATCTTCCGTCGGTCCCCGCTCCACAAAGAGACATCCAGGTGCATCGCGTATGCTTGCAGAAGCCTCAGCTCCCGCGTGTTTCTGTTGTCAGCCTCGAACTAAGCCTGGATTAGCAAGCTCAAACAGTCTGTGATGTTGGTATGTACCTTGTCCGGCAGTGCCAATCGAACAGCTTCTTGGAACGCGAAGCCTAGCTTCCTGATTTCCGAGGCCTCGCAGATCGTTGCGCCCGTAGAAACCATAGCAGCTAGAAATTCAGGCGCCTCCTCATTGACATTTAAAGTGGCGCGATGGATCCATGGAGAATCTCCACGCAAATGATCGAAAAGGCAGATATTCACCAGCTTCGTCAGCAGTTCTGGTGAGGGAAAACATGTCACTATGAGACTTGGACTCGTATCTTTGCACGTCCCAAGTACCATTGACAGGATGCGATCCCGCGTGGGTAGACTCAATTGCCCCTGAGTGAGGTCAGTCTCGGGTCCTTCATCGTTGAGAAGATTGTGGTCAAAAGACAGGGACAGATTCGCATTTTCAGTTCCGGCGTGGTCGCCCAGAGCAGGAGTCCATAACCATATCGAGTCTCTGAAAGCTTGCTGGCCAACGTGGACACTTTTTCGCAGGATATTTCCTGGGGTGGTGTAACCGTCCGTTGCACGAGGACGTTCGTCGCCATCAATTCTAGCCGTGGAGGATAGAAATAGCTGGTCAGGCATGAATAGATTCGCAGCGAAGCCGTTCAGATCGATCCCGAGAGACTGATCGCCATTAAAGTCCAAGAGATCACGGGAGTGCGGCTGGAAGGGGTTGATATCGACGTGCCGACTGCCATTGAATGGCGTAGGTGTCATGATCTGTCGAAGGAAATCGGCAAAGGGTAGTTCATCCATCCTCTCCGATTCTTCTGGGCGTGCGGGTGATCCGCAAGGTCCAACTTCGAGTTCTGGCATCGCAGATGATAGCATGTCACCCCCGGGACCTTGGTTACCATGATCAAATGTGTGAGTAGTGGGCAGCTGATCGGCATCAAGCATCACACTAGGAGGTGCCTCTGTGTATCTCTGCCATTGACCGACAACCAAAGGATCTAGCATCATGGGATCCGAGTCACCATGCGGCGTGAATGATGTGGACGGGACATTGGAACTCTGCGAGCGATTTTCAGAATTAGGTACCCCCATATGAAATGCCGAAGGCGCCGTCCTGTTGGCTGAGAGGCTTTGTCGATCTTCATAACTGCTATCTGAGATGGTCGTAGACCTCTTGGAACGACGCTCTGGATATACGCACGTAAAGCCTTTATTTTTGCAGCGTCCACAAGGTGAGTTACCCTCACATCGCAGCTTAGCGTCTGCACAAGCCAGACAAGCCCGTGCAACTCGAGGTGGAGCAGGCTTAGCCGGACCTTTTGGGCGCTCACGAAGAATGCCTTGGTTATGGCCGTTGGCATGGCGTTTCAGCAAGTCGCTACAGTGTGGTCAGTTACCGTAAGTAGTTCGTCATATCGATTGGTATAAAAGCACTCACGCCCGTGCAAAACCTTTACCACAGGTCTCGCATTCGAAAGGCTTTTCCCGGGTATGGGACCGATAATGACGGGCTAGGTGGTCCACGCGTGTATAACTCCGTTTGCAGATGTTACAAGAAAACGGGTTTGATGTGGACAGCTCAGAAGGAGAACCGGAGGGGCCTGAAATTGTAATCGTGTCGCCATCTGCAGGAGCAGCCGCTCGTTGTGGTCCTGAGTCCATACTGATTTTCGAGCTGACATCTAGGTCCCTCGGCAAAAGAGTGCAATGGTGGAGGGAAGAACTTTTCACGGTTGATGAGGGGAAACGTCCGGAGTAATGGGTATCCGGCTTGTGGGGGACCCAATGATCTCCGCAGAGAAACGCGGCACACATGGGGATCCATGGACGTCACCGCCTTGGAATGGGGTAGGTCTGGGGTGGACTGACTTACTGACAGCATGGCAGAGAGCTCGATCTACGGCGTCGTGAGCTTGGAATTGAAGCCCGAATTCACCAGTCACGAACATGGACATATACCAAACTGCCCTGAACCCGTAGGGAGAACATGAGCACGGTGAGAGTTAAGAACTCAAGTGAAATGTGACCTTGCTCGTTATGTCCACTCGTGGTCGTTGGCCAGCCCGTTGACGCCCGAGCCGTCTTCCACATCCAGGTAGCCACATATGATGCCCAGAGGATCCAGCTGCCGACGCAATTCCATCAGCCTCGTCGCATTTTCATCTGTCCAGAACTTGGTGCGTCGAACCTGGAAGTCCGAGTCGCCCAGATATGCGCCTTCGCTATGGCGCTCGACCTTTGTCATGATATCTCGTACCCAGGCTTTGCATCTTGCATCATCAGATTCATTTTCCCACACAGTGTAGAGGGCAAAATAGTGGTCACTCTGCATGCTGAGAGCCATGTCAGGTAGACTTCGCCGGCTGCATGGGTTCATCGAGTACCATAGCGAGAATGCTTTGGGATGTGGCAAGGTGGTGAATGCTTCCTCGAGCACGGTGACGACATCTGCATCGTTACAGATGTAGGCGTTTTCCGCGCAGTAGCGGTGATTCTTCGGGTTGGCGGCGGCTTGATTTTGATACTCTTTTGCTAGGCTGGTAGGCTGGTTGACGAGTTCAAGGAGCGCCCCGTCGGGCCGAGACTTATTCGCCTGCGCCAGAGCCGCTCTAGCTTCGTCCTCCGAGTCCTTGAAAGTGACAAACAACGGCATGATACAAGGCTCATGAATACCCAGTTCGGTAGGAGGGGTGGCGCCGACAGCCACAATCTCTGTATCTCCGTCGTATCCTGGTGATATCTTGGTCACCCAATCCATAACTGTTCGATAATGGGAGAGTGGATAGAAGAAGGCAGTGGAGAGCATCTTGCTGTATGATGGCCGGACCTGGAGATAGAACTTGGTGACCACGCCAGGAAATCCAGGCCCAGCGCCTCTGGCACACCAATAGAGATCGGAGTTCTGCTTTGCGTTGCAGTGGACAAGTTCGCCCTGCGCATTCACGGCATCGATAGCCAGTATCTGTTCACAAGCCCAGCCCCAATTTTTGCAATTCCAGCCCATGCCTCCCTGTAGTAGAAACCCGCCCACACCCACGTCAGGACAGTGACCGCCAGCAAACATGAGGCCTTTCGCATTGAGATACCCGTTGAGCACGTTACCTGTGGAGCTGGGAGATACGGTGACGACTCGGTCATTCTCGTTGAGACTCATAAAGTGGTATCCGCCAAGATCTATGAGAATAGCATCATCCCGGACGCTCCAGGCAGCCCAGCTGTGGCCGCCAGAGCGTACAGACACGCGGCACCGTTGTTGGATGGCAAGTTGGACAGCCTCAACGACATGATGTTCCTCGGTAGCTTGCACCACCGCACGGGGGTAGCGGGAGGGCCTGCGTTGGTTGAAAATCCTCTCAACGCGTGCCTGCTCGTAGTCGGCTTCAGAAGCCTCGGCACGCCAGATGATGGGGAGTGAAGAAACCAGGATAGAACCCATGATTGGTGGTGGCCGGCTTCGATTGGAAAAGAATCAATCGCTTTGGAGAAGGCTTGCCTGGCTGAACTGCCGAGATTTAAGCCATCAATATTTGGGGTGTGAAAGTGGTCGGCTGGACGCTTCTCTGGTGCTTCTTATTCGCCCCCACCTCGAGCGAGGTGCCGGTCCCTGGTCAAGTTATTGTCCCTCCCAGTGGTCTCCAAACCTGCTGTAAATCCTGCAATGACCAGTCGTAGCAGCCCAACAACCTCCTCGATCTGGCTGATAGCTTTGGAGGAATAGCCATAAAAATTTCGGATGCACGTTCAAGGCTTGCATTTCGGGACCACGTTTAGAACCACCTTGAGTAGTGCGACGCAAGCACAGAAAGTGTTATAGCATCCCGGGTTTCCGATCAATCAATCGCCAGAATGCACTGTCTTTGTTGAGCACTGGCTTGACAAACGATCCTGCAAAAGCTCTGAGTATTCCTCGGGACCTATCGACGCTGCAGACTGCTCGCCATGGTGCAAACAACGGCGGAAAGAGAAGAAGCCGACCTGCAACGTGTCCAGACGCTGGGCAGTGTTCGACTCCATAGCCATGGCACCAGAAAGGTGATATTGATTCCCACCCCGTCCAACCACCCGGATGATCCCCTGAACTGGTATGTCGGAAGTGCCTCTGTGAGGATGCTGAGAAGGAAGCTGACACAGTTAAAGGTCCAAGGGGTACCGCTACTACATGGCTGTTCTCGTCTGCTTAGCCATGTTGATGTGCAACTTCCTGGCAGCAGGCCCTACTGTAGCCATCGTCGAAATCACCATTGACTTCTTCCACACTCCTCCCACCGACCCGGCGTTCGCTCATGCAATTGCCCGAGTTGCATACTTCTTTACCACGACAGCGCTCTGTCAAGGATTGGGAAACTTGATCTGGATGCCCCTCATTGTCAAGTACGGACGGCGACCTATCTATTTGTCGTCGTTCACCCTTTACACTGCGTGCGCGATCTGGAGTGGCTGCTCCAAGTCATATGGCTCTGAACTGGCTTCTCGCATCATCATGGGTTTCGCTGCAGGGTCAGGAGAGTGTGTCGCGCCACTGACCATTGCGGATATCTTCTTCCTCCACGAAAGGGGCCTCATCATGGCTTGCTACACTGCTGCTCTCTCCTGCGGAGTCGCTTTCGGAATAATCATCTCCGGTCTCATCACCATCGACCACAGCTGGCGTTATATCTACTACGTCGCCACCGCCATGATTGGTGCCTTGACGCTTCTGGTATTCTTTACCATGCCAGAGACATCATACAATCGAAGCCCGGCCGCCGTAACTCCTACCTTACAAGAATTGTCAAACTCGGATGCCGAGAGCAAGGCCACTGCCGAGCTCCGCGAAGATTTCGGTGGTCAGATCGTCAATATCGAAGCTCAAGGGCAAGTCTCGAATCCACAGCACAAGAAGCGAAGCTACGTCCAGAGTCTCAAGCTTTACAGTGGTGTCCTGACCAACGAAACATTCTTCACGATTTTCTTTCGACCCATCGCTCTCCTGGTCCTTCCCCCCGTCTTGTGGGCCACGCTCTGCATGTCTGTGACGATCGGCTTCTTGGTCGCTATCACGTCCAACTTTGCTTCTGCCTTCCAAACAACCTATGGCTTTGCTCCGTGGCAATCAGGCCTGTGTTTTGTAGCCGGCCTTGTGGGTTCACTCGTTGGCATCCTTTTCGGCGGCTGGTTCTCCGACTGGACTGCGAACATGCTTACTTATCGCAACAACGGCATCCGTGAACCCGAAATGCGGCTTCCTTCCATGACACTCGGGATGATTGCTGCTCCAGTCGCTCTCCTTCTATATGGTGTTGGCATCCAGAATCAGCTGCACTGGATGGTTCCCACTCTTGGCCTTGGTCTTCGTAAGTTGCCTGAATGGCGGAAGTAAGGAGGTAGTATTGTGTCCACTAACTGGCGATGCAGTCAACTTTGCCATTACTCAGGCAACAAATGTTTCATTGGTTTACACAGTTGACGCCTATCGACCCGTGGCAGGTGAAGTTATCACAACACAGCTTGCATTCAAGGCGGCGTTCGGCTTCCTTCTGTCGTTCTACACCAATCCTTGGATCGCCGAGTCGGGCTATTTGGATTCCTTTGGCGCCATGGCGGGCATTAGCGCAGCAATACTTTTTTGCTGGATTCCCTTTTATCTATTCGGCAAGAAAGTCAGACATGCCACCATCAAATGGCGAATCATGAAAAGGGTGAATTGGCATCTTGATCGTGAAGTCGGCGAGTGACATGTGGAGGACGTAGTTGAGAGAGCTGGAAATGCAATCGGAAGCTCGTTGGAGTCTGGACATCCATCTTCGGAAGAAGAACAGTGGAAAAGGGAGCCTTTGCCGACAAATGGAAGCCGCATGTATATCAGTAGTACTTCGGTTACTAGCGCGTCAGAGAGACGCTGTAGTGTCAACTTTGGTCAATTCCGCAGGCTTGTCCGTAACACGCAGCTCGCGTTGATTCTTCGACAGGTCCCATCTCCTGCTTTGGCTTCTTCTCAGGCTTCACTGTGTGCACTTGAACTCGGTTGAATAATCCTGCTTACTTTGCGTGTCCTCTAATGTGGTCCCGAATACCGGATCCTTGACCAAAAGAAGCTAAGCCCTGTCTTTCAAACTTGGTCCGCCCTGATCAAAAAACGTGCAGGGCACAAATTGACCCCAGCAAGTCCATTGATATCCAGATCAGACTCGCAACATTCGCCACCACTTTTGTCCAGGCCAACTGACAGTGACACTTAAGACATCATCTAGATTTTGCTTCACCGTACCTGAACCTAGAAAGGTCGCGCTGACCCACCGGAACAATGTCACAGGTGCCGCCAGAGCACACAATGAGAGGCCGAGTGGCGATCATTTCTGGGTCGAGCTCAGGAATCGGGGCCGCAATTGCTCGTGAGTTGTCATCGCGAGGGGCGACAGTGGTGATCAACTACCCCTATGCTGAGCTCCGGGCACAAGCCGAAGCCGTTGTCACCGGCCTACCCCAAGATGGCAAGGGGATGGCCGTGCAAGCTGACCTCTCGACAACGGACGGGCCGCGCAGACTGATCGACGCTGCCGTGGAGAAGTACGGCAAGATCGATATTCTAGTCAACAACGCCGCGCTTGCCGTCAACCTGCCGCTTGCCGAGCAGACGCTTGAACATTGGGATCGACTTGTCAACCTGAACGGCCGCGGCACCTTCCTCTTGACTCGGTCGGTGCTGCCTCATCTGCCGAAACCATCGGGTGGTCGAATCATCAACATTGTCAGCGTCTCATCCAGAGGACCTCCACCCGGTCAGACCATCTACGCCGGCACCAAGGGTATGGTGGACTCATTCACGCGTTGCTGGGCCAAAGAGCTGCCGCCTGTGTATGGTTGCACCGTGAATGCCGTCAGTCCTGGGCCGACAAGGACGGAAGGATTCGGCGACGCCGGGGTCGAAGCGATGAAGATTTTGCAGCCGGTCATTGACCAGACTCCCGTGGGGAAGCGAATGGCCGAGGCGGAAGAGATCGCTTATGTCGTGGGCTGTTTGGCCGAGGAAAGAGCCAGATGGATCAATGGCGCTCATGTTTGTGCAACTGGCGGATTGTTCATTGACTGAACCAGGCCCGCGGACATGCACAACTACTAGTACTAGTCCTGGCACCTGATAGATGACTTATTGTATGCCACAAGTGACCCCGAAATCGTGGACTCTTGCACGTTCAGAGTAACTTGCGCCGGCGAGAAACCAGAGTTGGCGGCGTACCCTGCAAAGTGGTCAAAGTCCTGTGTGACTTGGGAGTATGACCTGAGCACATCCTGATTCATCATGAGTCCTGACTAAGCCGTCCTCGAAAGTGGCTGTTCTTGAGTCCTGACTAAGCCGTTCGAAACAGTGGCTGTGCTTGAGTGCTGACTTCGGCTGTTTTGCGGCAGGGGCTGTGCAATTCTGAGCGCCTCGTGTGGCGCAAACAAACTGGTAGGTGACTTGCAGCCTTCGCAACGAATTGTCCCGGACGCTGTGACTTTTGTAGCTCGGGAGTGCCCACAGTTCCAAACGGCCATCTTCCGCTACAGCTGATATCGCGGCGTCTTGTCCTCTGCGCACAAGTATCGTGACGTAAAAAGGTCTGAGGAACAATTGACCCTGTTTCCAGTTCTCTGCATGACAGTGATTCCCTCGGCGAGTTTGAAGTGTTTGTTAGATTCCAACTGTAGACTAGCGTCAGGAGCTGGACACCACTTCGAAGAATGTAAGTGTCTCGCCGGCTTTGACCTTTTCATTCTAAGGTTGGCTGCTGAAGCCCGAAGAGTTAGTGGCGAATCCTTCTCGACATGAAGATGAGTTATCCTTGGCTAAGCCGTGAATGAGAAGGACACTTCCTATCAATTTCCTCGAAGGGACGATTCGGGTCGGCACGATCCTGATCCAAACGCGTAAGATCTTACTACATTTGTCAAGATGTTTATCTGCTTAGGTTACTCCCACCAGAATATTGTCTTTGAAGAGTCCTGCGTCTTCTGCTGCGAGTCCTATGGCTCGTCCGCGCCGGCTTTTGCGTGGGGAGATCACTTACTCTTGCGCCAAAGATGAAGAGACCAACATGCTGCATAGATTAAGTCTTTGGGAGAAAAGGAACAAGTTCTTTGACTATCTCTACCATAAACGCAGCTTGATTGAAGTGATAGCGGCATTCCATCTCGGATTGAGCACAGAAGCGAAATGCCACATTGCAGAGCCTGATGATTGGTTACACGGAAGTTTCAATCTCTGCATACCAGTTATTGTCGAAAGTGGCAAGAACTGCCCTGACCAGCATTTTATTATGCGATTTCCCTTACCTTACCGAGTCGGCGAAGCGTTCCGCCCAGGTAATGCAGACGAAAAACTTCGGTGCGAAGCGGGAGCCTATATCTGGCTACAGGAAAATTGCCCAGACATACCAATTCCGTATCTATTTGGGTTCGGAGTCTCAACAGGTCAAAGTGTAAGTCGAGTATACCTCAGATTCGACAAGACGACGTTCATTAACTGCTCACAGTTCACAGCTCTCGATAGTCTGCCGGTCCTCTCCCGTTGCCTGCAATACGTCCGTCGCCAAATTCTTTCGTGGCTTGGTTATCCAGTACCGTCTCGGTACATCTGTCAGCCGAATCAAAGCAAGCGCATAACTGATCTGGGCGTCGGGTACCTGTTGCTCGAGTATGTTGATAAATCTCATGGCAAAATGCTATCATGCACTTGGAACCAGAGGTGTCAGGAACCGAAGTTACGAAGCAGTTTTTTCCGGAGCCTGTCGCGGATCTTTCTAAGCCTTGCACGCGTGCCTCTGCCACAGATTGGCTCATTCACGATCTGTGATGATGGTGTTTTACGCTTGGTCAATAGGCCTTTATCTCTGGAGATGCAGGATTTGGAAAATGAGCACATCCCCGTGGGAATTCCACGAAGACTTACTTATTCGACCGTTGATGCCTACATCAATGGCATTCTTGCCTTTCATGATAGCCGACTACGACATCAGCCAAATGCAATCAACACGTTAACGGATGGTTTATACCAGATGGCTGCCCTGACAACCATGAGAGCCATATTTCCCCATTTTTTCCAGACCGAACTCCGGCGAGGACCATTCATATTCTCACTCACAGATCTCCACCAGAGCAATCTTTACGTTGACGACCAGTGGACTATCACGAAAGTTCTCGACTTAGAATGGGCATGTTCACGTCCGGTAGAGATGCTGCACCCACCATACTGGCTTACAAACCAGTCCGTTGATAGGATTGATGCACACGAGTATGAAAAAATGCACCGAGAATTTATGGAGGCTTTGGAAGACGAAGAACGAAGATTTGTCGGACAAGGGTCAGAGGGAATGCTCTTATCCAACATACTCAGCCGGGGATGGGAAACGGGATCTTTTTGGTATTCTCTCGCACTCGACAGTCCCACTGGACTCTTCGCGCTCTTCTACGATCACATCCAGCCGATATTTGCCAAAGACCACATCGAAAATCCAAATTTCTTTGAAATCATGGAAAGTTATTGGAGTAGGAACGCAACCGGCTTCATTCGGGCAAAGGTCAAGGAGAAAGAAGAGTATGACTTGAGGCTTAGGCACGAGTTTGCATCAGCTACCCGTAGCCCATCTCGGTGAGAGGCGAACTACTTCTGTCCGTCCTTTTCTTCCTTTTCCTCCCTTTTTGCCTTCTCCTCGAGATTCTTCCCAGCTTGCGCGAGAGCTTTCATTGCCTTGGCGGATCTTCTGTCTTATGCAGCTCGTCCAGAAGATGAGAGTTGATTGAGGTCTTTGGCGTTTCCTCTTATCCCCATATTGGCCTCGTCAAGATTGACCTTGCCAGAGTCTGTACGTCGGTCTTCCATCATGCGTCAATTGGCCAAGTTGTATGGAACTGATACTTTGTCATGCTCTTGTTTGCCTTTTCCTACTCACGATTGCTACGCATATGCCTCTACGTCGGGCTATGGCTTAGTCGCCCAGTCCTTCAGCTATTTCCCATATTAAAGCATATGTTTAAAAATGAACTGATCATTACTTGGGGAAGGCCGGTCAGGAAACAAAGCGTCAATGAAGAAGACTATTTTGCGACATTCCGTTGCTTGAAACTAGAGAATATTAAGTGCAGCATTGTCAGACTGGACAGCAAACCCTTCCAGCTCAAGTTTACCGATCGTGATCCGCACCAATAGCACGCTTGTAGGTCACAGAGAGACCGACGTGCTATCTGGTGCCATCGAGAAGAGCGCCGAAATTGGGAATTCTGACCCGAGAGAGAGACATGGCGAAACACAGAACCAGCTCCGAGCAAAAACCAAAGGTGTTCCCTTCCCTGACCCTGGACGACTTGCCGCGTCAATGTTCCTTTTGATGACAGAGGAGATGGGCTGCCCTTGATGACCTCCATGGCGTCCCAACGGATGCAGACAGCCGATGGGGGAAACAAAAGGCCTAATTTCTCGGGCCCATGCCTGGGGGTGGCGGAGGTAGCGGACCTCTCATCTCCGGCGGCCCCGGCGGCGGGCCGTTTCCCCGTCCGAACCCTTCAGCCATGAGCATGCGTGTGATGATGTCTGATGGTCCTTCTTGCCGACCTGATGCTCTCGACGCCGCGGCTATGTCCGGTGGCAATGGTTCAGCTGAGAGTATGCGTCTCAGGACACTAGTAGGATCCGAGCTACCACTAGGATTGACGTCGTTTCCAAAGAGATCAACGAGGAACCGGTTCGTCGGGGGGCCCGACTCTCTCTGCGCGAGAGGAGGAAAGTTCATGTTCCCCGGATCCGGGCTGACAATCGTATCAGTACATACGCCCCGAAACCAATTCAATGACTCACATTTTCCTCGCTCGGTTTCTGTGTTCTAGGTTCGCTCGCACGAGCGTTTCAGCCAGCGCCATTTCGGCGGGTGAAGTGCAACTGGCGAGGTGTTGCCCCAGAGCATACATGAACGTGTTCTTCCGGACAAGGTTCTCCGACAGAATGGACCAAGTTTCGAAGGCAGCAGGGTAGAAGCCCGCACACCTCCAGTCCAACAGGTAGATCGACTGATCTGGGGCGACGATGAAATTGTGGGGATGGATGTCGAGATGGCATAGAGATAAAGGCATGTTCGTCGCATCAACAGTGATATCCGCCTTGGCCTTTTCCATCATGAAGTCAAAAAATTTCTGGAGATGCTCGCGTGAGTTGAGAGGCGGGCCGATGCCAGACTCGCCGAACACCAAGCCTCGCGTACGGCTGCCGTCAAGAGGGCCAGGACGAGCACCGCAGAAACCGTGAATATGCTGTACAGCGCGCATGATCGGGGCAACATGCTGGACACCTTCGGCCGGAGGTAGCCGTTCGAGTGAGGCACCTTCAACCAGCTCCATCACTAGATACCCTGTCGTCCATATCGAGTCCGGACGTGTGAAGTATTGGAAGACCGATGGCACTTTGATGATTGCCCGATCGAGATTTCGGGATGCGAATGTCAGTGCGTCAGCTTCAGCTTCTGTGACACCAGTTCCAAATTTGACAGCAACCTTGTCCGCCAGCCTCACCACACAATTTGTCGAAGTGTGAGGACTGATGACGTTGACGTTGCCCTCTCGTTCCTCTTCACATCGTTGTATGATGAATGCTTGCAATCCTGGATCGGTGTAATCGATGTCCATGGCTTCGGTGGTGAGGACTTTTGCACTAAGCTGGGGAGTTGAGAGTTTTGGAACGTGCCGTGCCGCTGGAGAGCTATTTAATCTTTAAGTAACACGTGGAGTTTGTCGAGTCTTGGCCTAGCGGGGTAAAGAGGGGTGGAGGGGCAAGCACGGACTACCGCTAACTTAGGCTAGTGAGGCTTTGAAAGGTCTAGATCTGCCGTACCGATGAAGGACCAGTCACGTAGTGGATATCGCTGGCAGTTATCGAGTAACAAAATAAAAAGATAAAAAGATTTGATTAATCGTTGGGTACCTCAAATAACACTGCCGGGTGTCTCGGTCGAACATGGCATCTGTGGAACACGCTCGCGGTCTCCCGACCGTTGACACGCACCCAGCTCAATAGTACCGCTCTCTGCAGAGGCATCCGAGTGTCCTCTTTCTCCAGCTTCTCCAGAGTCAAATTGTCCCGTCCTCATGGCAGGGCAGTTGGCTGTGCTTCCAGCTGTCCATAGGGGGAGGGACCGTTGACTTGAGTGCACAGCTCCCGTACTTAACGATCGACATGCGCCACTCGCCAGCCCATTGACTCACCAACATGTAGACCATCTCTTGAAAGCATTTCCGCCATTGATATACCCAAGAACTTGTACATCGTTTGTCCCGTGGCAGAGTGGGAGAAAGGTGCAGCCATGTTACTCGTCAGAACTGCACTTGGCTTGGGACTGGGAATGGGCTGAGGGCCACTCGGCAGGAATCGAAAATCGGTGCTGTCCCATTCTGAGCGAAGATGCAGGAAATTAGGAGTCGCCTCGTGAAGTCTCGAGGAGCGAAGACAACTATGGCCCGAGACGAAGGAAGGCTTTGGGAGGAATGGTAGTCCGCCGGCGAGGGCAGCCTAGGTTGGAAAACTCGCAGCTTGGGTTGGAAGTAAGATTGAAGACTCCAGTGACTCGCAATATCCCCTGGTGAGTGAGTGGCTTTATCCCATCCAGACCGATTGAAGCGAACTCGCCCATCCAGGTCCGATAGACCCGTGCCTCATGCTGTTACCTGGACGTCGGGCACAGCCAGAGTTCCACGTGATATAGCACTCGGCGCACCTTCCTGAATATGACTACCGATAAGAGACGCGCTTCCCAGTATACTCAAATAGTCCGCAATCCAAGCAGACATGTCCAGTGTCACGTTCTGAACTTGCATCGATTGGACAGCAGATCTTGCTCTTTGACGACCTCGTGTAGCCATTTGGCAACAGCTGATATCCTTCATTAACCCCTTCGAAATGAAGATTCCCCATCCAAGGGTGCTTGTTCAGATTGCGGATTTCCTCTAAGCTCCTACCATTCCCCTCATCTAGCCACATCCCATCCTCATGGCGATAATAACAGGCATACAGGTACCGAGTGGCATTCCTCGAGATTTCAAATGCATATTTTACTAAATTAGGACGCCAAGCTTTTAAGGGGTCTGCACCTCTGTTCAATTCAGTCCTTCTCGTGTCGTCCAATCGTTTGCAATGTATTCAAAAACTGTAGCCACCATGTCTGAAGACGACATATATCTGCCATCCAATGCTATTTGCTCAAATTCCGGTATTGTGGTCTATGGCATCATCTTCAAGCGCCCGGTCGACCCGTCGGATCCGTATTCGGTTGAATGTATTGAACACGAAAAGGAAATTTATCGGCGACTCCAACACTGCGAAGGAGTCATTCCTTATCTGGACCTGTCCGGCCTGGTCATTCAACTGCCTTTTATGAATGACGGAACGCTGAGTCGGTATCTACAGAGCAACAGCCCGCCAATGCGAGCTCAACAGCTCGCGTGGGTGAAGCAGATGGTTCATACGCTGTGCCGAATTCATGATCGCCGAGTGCTAGTGATTGATCTGGCATCAAGGAACATGCTCATCCACCCGAATGGCTCAATCCTCTTCTGTGATTTTGGCACGTCGATTCTGTTGCCGATAGAGACGGATATCTGGGCGGCCGAAAGTCATGAGTCTTCCTTCGAAACAGACATCTGCCAGCTGGGCGCCATCATATACGAGGTGGTGACGGGGCGAGATATTGCTGATTACGATCAGATCACCGAGGATGCTGGGGGCTGGCCCCCACGAGACAAACTTCCTAGCACTAGGGGTATCTGGCTGGGATCGATTATCGAGGCCTGCTGGACCAAAGGAAGATTTCGAACGACGTACGAACTGGCCCAGATGCTCGAGGAGGAGCATACTCTAAACAGCGACGACATTGACCAAACTCGGTTGGTATGGAACTTGCATCCTGCTATATCCTCCTTCGTCTACTGACACGCTTACGACAGAGCCAATTTCCATTCATTTCCTATACGTCCATGTGGACTGTTACTCTCGGGTCGTCGGCGATACTTGCTCTGCTTTGGACGACTTGTGTTCGTCGTCGAAGCTGAGGCACATCCACTCCATATGGTCAGATGTTCTCCAGGGCAGAAGGAGTTGTCTTGGAACGGGACAATGGGCTTCTTAGCAGATAATTGAATGAGATCAAGAATTAATGGGCATTCTTGGATGAGCTTACAGTCATCTTCGTAAGAGCGTCGGACCTCTTTTCCATGGATGATCCGTGTCCCTTAGAGCATACTGGTCGAGGAATAATCGATCATTAATCAGTAGTAGCCATAAGGGATGGTCGCAAGCTTCGGCGGCATGGCCTGCATCGATACGCTAATGATGCCCCGACCTAAGTAGCGGGTCGAAAGGCTCATCGGCTAAGGGATAAGACGTGGGTCTGGGATGGCCTAACACCTACTAGGTATCCACACAAGAGACTTTCGAGGTCCACATTATAACCGGTTCCTCTTTTAGGCTGGTAGAGACCCAATCACCCCAGAATTCATGGCAGCAGAGGAAGCCCAGGCTTTATTCGTTGGATGTCGCGAAAATATTAAGATACTTCTTGAGGACAGCTGCACCGATATCCAGCTACTATATCGCGGCCTAACCGAGTTTTTTGCACGGCCTGCTTCTGCAGATGACGAAAATAAAGCCTCTATCGCCGTATCGAAACCTCTGTCCAACATTTCCGTACTATTCGACAGAAGTCATACATCGAAACCCCACATGGTTCTGAGCCAACCTGGATTCCACTCGAGCCACGTCAATGAAGAGCACCATAGCCAGCGGCATATATCCAGTCACTATCACGGCCATTGTGGAGAGGCTCGAATTCGCACGCTTCAAAGCCCTTTTTCGCTGAGTTGGTAAGACCGTCATGATATGCAGACTCACCTTTGCTAACCTCACAACGCAGTATCGTCTGCGCCCATGAGGCTCATAGGAAATCGCGAGGAGATTTAGACCCTCCCCGGCGACTGTCCTCGACAGAAGCGGAGACCCTACATGCGATCAAAACCTGGAAACCGGTCCCAGAGTTGCTCTACTTGCCGCACGCTTTGGCCGCCGCAGAGAGCGCTGAGTGGGAATCATCGACGCCCGCACCGCGTTTACACTGTTTGTTCAGCGTATAAGGGTGTTCGACAATGTGATCCCGATACTGTCGGTTGACGTCGCGGTCCAAATACCCAACTAGAGAGCTCTTAACTCAACGGTCTGACTGGGACCCCAGTAGCGGTTGAGCTCAGACCTCAACCTTATGTCGGCCGTTCGAGAGATACATACCAGCTACAAAAGACAGTTCAGGCACAAAAAGGACAGAGCATAGCACAAAGAATTGTCTGGAAAGCCAACAACTCGGGATGGGACTTCTTCGCGCCGCGCTGGAGTTCCATGGCCGTCAGTGGTTTTGGATATGTGCGATGCACTGTATAGAAGTGGGTAGACGGCTGGGGAGCAGCGTAACGACCTGTGACCTTTTGACAAGAAGGTTCCTCGCAGCCGCCCTCGAAGCTGCAACAATGAGACTTCTTGAGCACAATTGAAACATGGGCAGAGCTGAGGTGGGTAAATATTGGCCGCGGCCAAATGCATGCCTGGACCCTTCCCGATAATCGCGCCGCTGGTTGATTGGTAGGCACTTCTGTTGTACCAAACGGCACGGTGGTTCCTGTTCATCGTTGTCCTCGTGGACTTTTTGTGATACTTGAAATCTGATCCAGTCAACTGGGCTGCAGGGGATACTTGAGATCTGATCCGGTCAAGGGCTACTGTGGACCAGGGAAGGTAAATGGCCACACCGGTTAGGTTGCTGGTGCTGATCAACAACGACCGTACCTAACCTTCCGCTAGACAAGTTGTTCCGGATTTTCAACAGCTATTGTAAGAATGCCTTTGACACTCGTGAGTGAACCGATCAATGGCCAACGAATTTCGCAGGGGAGATATAAGTCCAATCCCGTATCCCCCGCGTTACATACTGCAAGTTGTTATTCCAAGGTTGACGTGCGAAGAGTTGGCCAGTGCTAGCGGATACCGACCTGCAATTCGAGACGAAGCCCAATGGCGGAATTTGAGAATCAAGTCGGATCACCTAGCGTCAGCATCACCAGACGGTCAGCAGAATGAAATAGTCAAAGGTACTGTGACGGCTCTGGTACAGGTCGAAGATGCCTTTGAACTTGGACGTTGAGCATTTTGTGCAGAAGATGAGTTGCCACTTTGAATAACTCTGTCCCTGCTCGGTGTGTCGAAGGACGAAGGTAGTACTGGGTAGCTTGATGACGTAAGAATGTCGGACGCCAAGGTGTCAATCAGAATGGCTCTAAAAATTACACCATATATATTATTACCCCCAAAATTGTGTTCAATTGACTCAAGAAGACACCTTGAGTTCAAGAACACATCTTCTCAAAGATGTGATTTCAGGCGCAATTGGTCTAGTGGTATGATTCTCGCTTAGGGATAACCCTAAGTAATATGCGAGAGGCCCCAGGTTCGAACCCTGGATTGCGCCCATATTTTTGATTTTTTGATTTTTGATTTTTGATTTTTTTTGAGTTGTGTTGGCCCTAGGACACCCGGCAACCTCCAAGACTTCCCCGCATCCACTGACTAATCTGATTACTCATAACATTGTCCTACCAGGCTCGCTGGGTGCCAGCCTCCCACCCTCGCTAAAGAAGATACGGCCGATCTTTCCCCCGAGAATGGACCCAACACCCAAGCCAGGCGTAGTCGTCGTACTCGTATTCAGACATGCCACATAATCTGGCACGAGGTCTCTACCATCGGTATGCACTTGACCTGCCGCAGTGAGGAGATGTTCAGGCAACGAATCGGTGGAAATGCCGCAGCCATACTTGCTCCTGATGCAGCCTAACGTTTCATACCCAGCGACCCGAATACCGGCACTGCTGCGACCTCGCTGTCTGCCTCGCCGTCTGCCTTGCTTGCTTTTACGAGGCGTGCGAGTACGCCTCATCTGAATGAGCTTGCCAATGGCCAAATGACCATATATGACGTTCAAGGACAGCCCTCCACACTTTCGACTTCTTTTGTCCTCGTTCTCGGGAGCCTGATTCAAATCTGCCTCGAAAATAATTCGCTGCAGAGAGACCACATTCAAGCAACCAGACACTACTCCTCAGGCTTGCGACACCTCCACGCACAATGTACGAACTATGTGAGCACTTCCTGCTTTTCAGACAAGTGGGATATCATGCTGAACCATGTCAAAGCCATCATTGATGCCTTCCTGGCCGACCCAACTAAAGGCCCATCGTCCGTATTCGCGATCCTCTTCATCATCTCTGGTGTTTTACACCTCTGGCAAAGCAGGCAAGGTGGTCCCTGAACTCCCATGGCCCAGCACTGACACCACTTCCTCCAGAAAGCATCACACCTGGACATCCACCTGGTATCTTCCCATCGCATGCATCCTCATGGCCGCCGGCTTCATCCTCCGCGAAATCGCAGCTTTCCACCACAACGGCAATGACATGGCCAGCGCAGTTCAAGGGCTTTTCTATACCGCAACGTGAGCACACACTGGACTCCAGCCACTGCCCCCATCCACGCACTGTCCTCGGCTAATAATTCTCTCGTAAAGATTCCTCTTCACACTCCCCCTCTACGTCGCGTTCGTCCACCTCGTCTCCCTCGCCCTGAGAATTCACCCTGCCTACTTCTTCTGGGCAACCACTTGCTTCACCTCGGCAATCATCACATGCACGGCTCAGGGCTGTGCATCGTATTTCAGCGCCCACCAGAGCCAGAGTACCATGAGTTCGGGCCTTGCGCTTATCAAAGCCAGCCTGATACTTCAGCTGTTCCTCAACGTGGTATTCGTGTGTCTACTTGCCTTCTACCAACCCCGCCTGAAGCTACGCCTCGGACTCCAGCATCAAGCAGAACTTTCTCATTCCTCGGCAGTGAACATCACGAAAATCATGTTGACCTTCGGCGTCCTGATCGGCCTGATCCTGATCCGCAACATATTCCGCACGGTTCAGATCTTTACGTCGCCGCGTTCGGAGCTGTGGACCAATGAGGCATATTTCTGGGTCTTCGAGCCTACGGTCATATTGGCATACAGTGTAATTTGGCATTTAATGTCCCCTGCGAAAGACCTCTCTTCAGGTGCGACGATGTGCTGCAATGAAGGACAAGGAGAGTAGTGGCGTTGAGGAATGATGGTTTGATGGAGGCATCATTCTGCGAAGGTTCGCAGCAGTTGGCTTGCGAAGGAGCTTTGAATCTGCGGCTGTTCCATATTGTTGGCATACAGCTGAAGAGGTATCCTACATCTACGTTAGGGGTTCCGTTGGGAAGAACCGATGATGGGAGCACGGCAGCAGATGGTGGTGCGGTCACTGCTGTCATAGCCGGAATCTCGGTTCGCACTGTCGAGCGGAGACCAGAGGAAGTGGCGCATGCCGGCCTGTATGGCTAGCTTGAAGCTTCGAATCCCCCTAGTACGACTTCGAAGCTATTGGGATTAATAAAGACATGGACACCACCATTCATGCGGTACAGAGGTCAAGTTCGTAGGTTGAGAAGCCCGGTGTGAGACTAACACGCGGGTGTGTGAGGAGGTACTCTGGTAGAGTCTTGTGTCAGGATGCAGACGTGAGCGAAATCGGGAACCAATGACAAGGCTGATTTGCCATATTCTAGCATATGAGGTCAATAGGAACAATAATTCTGAACCCGTCAACCGACGAAGGTCTATCTGCCTCTCCCTCACCCCCTTATCATAGCCTGAAACAAGAGGTCCGTCACCTTTGAAAGAACGATGTCCTTGTACCAACCCATCAAGCGATCCAACTGCATTAGAAACTCCGTCAAGCTCGTCACAGAATAACCTTGGACATGATTCATGTAGTACTCGTGAGTACCAGGTGTCGCTGTCGAAGGGTGGTGATGGTGAACCCATAGCTCATAGTTGTATCCTTTGAACGGAATCGAAAAGGCGAGCGGCGTCTCCCCATTGCCAGGAATCAAAACGCTATCCTGAAACGCCTCGGTGAGTTCTCGCTGGTGGTTCAACATATAGCAGCCGGCTCGGGCAGCTTGGGAGTACGCCACACTGAGCTCACCCTTTGTTAAGAATGCTTTTCCATCAATCACCAAAAACGGATATCGAAGGTTCATACATCCTGCTTTGAAAGGGTCGAAGCAGAGTGCTTCCCGATCTTGTAACTCTCCGAGGAATCGCTTGACGTCGCTCTCGTTGAGACCACGCTGAACTAGCGCCTTCACTATTGCAAAGATGTGAACACCCACTGTTACGTCCGGATGAGGAGCTGGAACTCGGGTGTCTGCCACTGGAACCTCAGTCGGCTGCGATGGAAGAGTAGATAGGGGGCCTTGGGTCGGTTGAGGTGGAAGAGATGTGCAATGCAGCCTAGCTGATCGTCGGACAGGAGGTTGTGACTCGACCGGCTTTGGTGGGAGGTTATCTATGACAGCGCTCTTGTTGGGTTGATTCTCCTGAGCAAAGATGGGCCGAAGTCTTGAGCTGAATTCTGAGTCGGCGTTAGTTATAAACCTTTAGTATTGAGAAGGGTATAAGTAATGAGGGAGATATCGTACCACCTTTTCTCACGAACGCGAAGATTTTGTCCGAATTCATCTCCTCGAGTGCTCGAACAATTATCTCGAACCAGTCGTCTTCTCTTGCAGTTCTTCCAATGTATGTGTATCTTTCATATGCATTTGCTGCTATTTTGACGATTTGTTCTTTTCTCTCCACAGATAGCGGGCGCTGAAAAATGACATCCATTTGAGACTGAATCTGGAGAGGGGTTGGGACGGGGACGATGTGGATGCCAGCCGATTCAAGATCGCTGTAAATGGCATTCAAACCTGTTGAATTTTGCATTTTTGAGGTTGCGTCGTCCGAAGCTGGAGGTGATTGGGAATTTGAAGACTTTGAGGCTCGTACTGGCAAGTTGAATCTCTCTAGATTCCTTTGGGTAAGTTGTGCAGGCTCGGCTGGAGGTGATGAGTCTTGTTCGCTACTATGTAGCTGAGAGTTGCCTTGGTCGTCCATGTTCAATTGACTGCCTTGACACTTTCATGTGTTCAAGTTTGTGACACAGTGGTTGGGTTTCACACAGATAGTAAGTCGGGCGCTCCAGGCCCACTTGCAAGAAGGAGTGGAATTGATGCATAGAAACATGTGTCACTTACAAAGGACGGTGGAATGTTGGAATGTCAAAGAGAGTACCGGATCCGGTATGGAATGAATGATTAGATTAACAAAGAACACACGCCAAGGTAGGGCTCCTGTTCATCCCGGAAATCGAGACCTTTTCCTGAGTCGGGTAAGAGAGTCGACACAAAGAAATGAACTTCTAGCTGTCTCGCCATGTCTCGCGATGAGCTACCCAGTTTCTCAATTAATCTTTGGCGCCGATGGATTTGGTTGAAGAATTGGAACTGCGCATTGGGATACGTAAGATGACCGGGGATATTGATTTGTCTTTGTCTGGCTTCCTTGTACGAGGTATGTGATCTGCCCGATGGTAGGGTCTGTGCGGTGGGCGTCGCAAGTGTATGGTTGAGCGAAAGTGTACCTGGTAGTCAAGGGGAGTGAAGGGGCTCCTGAAATCTGGTCATTTGGACATACGACATACCAAGGATGTATCAAATCCGGAAAGTATGACGAAGCTGTTCGAGCTATGTCTGTAAAGGATTAGCGTCTTTGATACTGGCATCTGGGCATCTGGCATCTGACTTCCAAAGGTTGGTGGTGGTCAAAGACATATTACACCAGCAAGTTCCTTTCAAGTTTCAACTTATTGCGAACCAGACCAAATCCAAATCCAAATCCAAATGGTTGGTTCCAGAATGCATAACGCCGGCGTTCCTTTGTGAACCCTGCTTCTGGCTATCTTCGTTTCCTACGTCTTCAAATAAAATGCGCGCTCGTCCTCGATGTCATCGCCAGTCGATATCGCAGCTGGTGCTGCAAAGCGGGATACACGTAGACTGCGAAGAGGTCACAACACACCTGGTCCGCAGCTGGTCAGGCCTACTCGCTCAAGCCGTAGGAACAACATTCGTCTCCTTGAAGTCTACATAACTGACTGACTACAGGCACACCTCGCCAATCTGCCCACAACGAAGACACAGGTGAACGCACGAGAAAGAGCCCATCTTCCGTAGCCACCAATGCTGACAGCATAAAGGGAAACTATCCGCAGGCGTCAAGAGTAGAAAAGTCGCTACCTCCAGCAAAGACTTCCTCATCCCAGCAGCGTGCTCACTTGACACTGCATTCCTCGATCCCACTCCATCCAGAAGGATCACCCGAGCATTCAGCAAAAGCGTTCAAGCGCAATTGACACCCTCACTCGACACTCCTGCCGCCGATCCCCTTCCGACCCAGTCTGTCCAGCCGGCTTCGACAGCTACCGGGAGCCCGACGGCGCCTCCGCAACCTACACGAACAAAACACAAACACGAATCCATCGAAGAGGAACCGGTCAGACGACGACGGGAAAGGTCACAATCGGTGGCAGAGTTGCCTCCATCCAAGGACCTCCTCACTTGGCAGAATCTGGAAAAGCTCAACATCGAGACAGCATCGAAGACATCAGACGGCATGGCAGGAACGAAAAGAAGTCACTCACTCCGCGAGAGCACTGCGGAATTGAAGCCGGAGACAGCCTCCATGTCCTTGCCAAGATCATCTCTCACGCTTGCCAACTACCGCTTGATGTCACTTGACCGTGCAAGGATCGTCGTTCAGCACCGAGGTATCCCAGAACACCTGATGCACAGAGTCAACGCCATTATCCAACCAAAGCTCGATAAAGACCAAGAAAGCCTTGTCTTCTACGTCGCAGACAACTTATGCAAGCAGTTTCCCAACGTTCTCGAAGATGCGGCTAGGGAAGATGACTGCGTTGAATTGCTATATCAGGCCCTGAATCTGATGAACGGCATGCTCTACGACGAAGCTTTCGCCCTCCCAAGAAAAGCAGGTACAGTAGACTGTCACTCTACGTATGTGCGTTTGCCATTTTGCTAATGTCAGCTTAGACTGGGACCCAGCTCTGAAACCCAAGGCTCAACGAATGTTTTATATGTCCAATCCTCCAAACCAGTCTCTCAATGATACTGGCGACTCCCATGACCGACCACATAAGCGGCAGCGTGTAGGGGCTTCCTACGTTTCGTCAAAGATTTCCGATGCAACCATGATGCCACTGCCACCGCGCCCATCAAAGCCTGACAACAACTATGTCAAGACCGCTCGCCCGGACATTACGATAGGGTTTTTCCACCACGTCGTTACGAAGAAGTTGTTGTCGTTGGGAGTCAACGAACTCGCTGCTAAGGAGTTGTTGAAGGATCTGCAGTACCAAGGGGAGCTCATGTCCAGTCCCACCCGTCCTGCACTCCACGTACGCTTTCCATCTCTGGTCGTCGAAGGGAAGGCATACGCAACTGGCAAGAGCATGTACGAGGCAGAGAACCAGGCTGCTGGATCTGGAAGCTCCATGCTCGCCATGCAGGGTCACCTTGCCGAGCTCACTGAACGTTACTCTCCAGGAAGTTATGAGAACAAGGAACCTCTGGCCTTCTCTGTCACCCATGAAGGGCCTCTCATGCTGCTCTGGGTGCACTACATCACATCGCTGGAAGATGCACGCTTCTACAACATGCATGCTCTGGGAGTTTGTCATACGACGATGCAGTCAAACACCAGGGAATTCTTCATGGCATTGGCGGGAGTCATGCGATGGGCCAGCACTGAGTTTTTGGACGATGTAGCGGCGCAACTGTTCTTGGTGTGGAAAGCTGCAAACGGGCAGACCATATGATGTGATGTGTACTTTGTCATCGACATCGTCACTACGGCTCGCAGCTCAGCGTCGCAATATACCCAAAGCATGTCCACAGGTAGCATGTCCACAGGTAGCATGTCCACAGGTAGCATGTCCACAGGTAGCATGTCCACAGGTAGCATGTCCACAGGTAGCATGTCCACAGGTAGCAGGTCTACAGAGAGCATGTCCACAGAGAGAATGTCCACCGAGAGCAAATCCACTGAGAACATGTCCACAGGTAGCAGGTCTACAGAGAGCATCTCCATAGGAAGCATATCCGCAGAGAGCACGTACTTAGAAAGCATGTATGGCCATCCTTTCACCTGCATTCTTTTCGATCGGGACTTCGTCTCAGCCAAGCCAAGCCCAAGTTCGACATTCCGATTTTTCCACATGGGGTGTTCCACCCGACGATCGATGCCGTCGGCGCGAGCTGCACTATGCGTCGGGGAGCCGCCAGGCTGACATGGGCGCAAGCCACCAATCAAGACCGGTCGCATTTACTTGGTATCGCATCTACGTGATATCGAGGCAAGATGAGTTCCCTTACTGTTACTCGCTACCTCAGTCACCTATCACAGGACAAACCCACAGAAAAAGTTGGGCCACGGGCGAAAGAACACGAGCAAAAAATCAGTCAGGATCAGGACGCGACAGTCGTACAGAGAGCTGTGCACATGTCTACAAACTCACGTCAATCGCAGCAGCATCCATCTTGACTACAGATATTTCAGGGCACCTTGCTCTCCTCAGCGTCCACCTTGATCATACTCTACCTCTTTGCGCTGTCGTCTGAGTGCGCCGCGGTCGCCTCTGAGCCGGCATGTCTCCTTGGGCGGCATTTGCGGGTCCCGGTGATTTCCGTCTTCCTTCTCCTATGACGCGCCGCCAGCCACCAAAAGATCAAGTGGCGGCACCGTCCCCTTTGTCCGCTCTGGGAGAGCCATCATGTCCCTGATTCCTCTGAGCATTTCCCGCTGCCCTGTCACGGATGACCGTAGCCCGGTACCTATCCAATGCGCTGCAAAGTGCTGACAACCGTGCATCTGCACCATCGTCGAGGATATTCTTGATGGCTCGCGAAACTGCTCGTATACCACTTGCGTCGTCCAAGAGATATTTTGATAGGTGTTCGACATGAAAACTGGGTTGTCCGCCTTCAGCGGCAGCTTTCACCCAGTGTACATTGATCCGAGCTAGCTCATGGTCCATACTGACGGAGAAATATTGGGGCTTTTCATAATCGAAATGTTCCAGTCCGAAGCTGCGCTCCATAAGTTCCATGGTTCCCTTTAATGCGATGGCTCCAGCACCCGCTGCCTGGTTTGTTGCGATCTGTAGAAACGGAAATTGAATCCTCTTGTCTGGTACGGCGTAGCTCCGGCCGAACTGATCGTCGACAAGTAGATCAATTGTCCCTAACTGGTCTTCGGTAAAAGCCGCCTCAGAATATCCAAAAGCCAGGTCAGGTTTAGGCATTGGTAAAGGTAGTGGGTTGATAAGAATGGAGGGCTGAAGCGCGATGGGGACGGAGTTGAACCACCGGTGGCCGGAATTCATTTCTAGTCTCTGGTCGGGGATCTTTTGCATAGAGGGGATGATTTCCGGGACCATCTGCTTGATGATCTTTTCCTCAGGGTCGTCTTGGACTCTTCGAGATATGTTCTTCAGCTCTTCAATCGTGGCGTCGTCGATCTCAGGAGAGGTTCACGAGCGCGATATCAGTCTTTGCGCCCTCCGCATCAACTCTGGCGGAGGATTCTCGCGCTCGACGAAGATGCTGCGATAGCTCAATGATACCCGATAATCCGAGACATATACACTTGTGGTAGATTTCTCGGACTTTCTGGAGGTTGATACGGGGCTTTCGAAGGTGTTTCCCGGAGACGAAGAGACGGGGGCAGGTTTGCGGTGCATGTTGGCCGACACTTCCAGAAGCTGGGCTTCGTTCTCTGGCGACGCTCTTCGAGACCAGCAGGATTCTTCTAACCAGTCCTCGATGAAGGCCTTCTTGTCTGGTGCGGCTCGCGCCTCGGTGTGTTGTGCACGCCTCAGAGCTTTTGGGGAGTTGTTTGATTCGTCTTCGTCAACCGCACGTCGTCGCTTGACTGTTCGTGTGTCCCGCTTTGCGGGTCTTTGCGAGGCGGCAGGTGTGCGCTTCGGAGGCATTTTGAGTGGAATCTATATATATGGAAGAAGAATCAAGATATGAACCAGGTGCTGAGGAAATATTAACGCCTATGCCAACGCAAAAGAAGCGAAAGCGTTTGGGGCTGAGGGGGCCTGAGGGAATGGTATGTTGGCCCTTGTTTCACGTGCTTCGCTATACTTGCCTATTGTAGGGGTGTGGAATGCTGTCTAAGATGATCGACCGAAACAAGAAGCTTTGGCGGGAAGAATGGTTGAAGCCTTACTATGTACAACGGAGTGAACGGAGTAGGTGAAGCTGTCATGATCATGATTGACCTGTCTCCCTAACCAAGCAACTCTGCCGAACCCGCCCACTGTCCAATCATCTTCATGCGATACATGTGACCGGGCTTAGCGTCAAAGTCCGACAAACATTCTCCCTCAGTCCAAGCAGGCCAGGGTGCCAGGGCTACGACGAAATACTAACGAGCGCTCGATCATTCAGGACCTCGCGAGACTTATTGTTTCTTCCGCGTAGTCATTGGGCGACATTGGGGAGCGAAGCATTTGATGTGTCTCATTGAAAGTGTGAATGAGGGCTGGAACAGTTCCGTCTCTTCCACGAAAACCCCACCTAGCCCCCAACCCAAGCCAGACGACTACTCTCGATCGTCGAGGTGGACGGCTCCTGACGTGGACCCTTCTCTATCCACCCCGCACTCTAAGTTAGTGGCCGAGCCGGGGGTGGATGAGCTAAAGTCCCAGTCTAAGCTAGCTACTCAACTGACATGAGACCCGATCTAAAATAGTTCCCGTGGTACAAGTGCAGACATCTTCTAGGGGGCCCCAGTCGCGGGGCTAGGATCGGTAGTGGACCAGCAAATGATGCCATCTTGGGACCCCAGCCCATCGACGCCTGTTCGCCTGTTCGCCTGTAGAAGCCACTGCCCATGAAATCGATCATCGTAAACTATCTGTATCTGGATGGCACAATTGTAAAGGAGGAGGTCACGGCTGTGGGCGGAACTGTCAAACTTAGGCATCCCAGCCACCTAGAAGCTTGTGTTAGGCTATATAGAGGCACTCGAACAGAGATCTCTTCAACCTTCTTTCTACAGGAACAGGCATGGTCGTCCATCGAGGGTACGCCTTCAACATGCCTCGGATATCGAAGATAGAGTCGAGGGCGACGCCGTATCTTTCGATAACGAAAGATTGACTCCCAAGGAAGGGGACTCCCAAGGGAAGGACACGTACGAGTGCGCTGTTACGATATGAGTGCCGATGTCTTTCGCTCTTTGCCTTGTTCGTACATTTCCACAACCCGTGCAATAAACTTCTCGGGTAAGCTGAGACAGGCTACGCCGTGATCAGTGACAAGATTCTGACTGTACTCGAGATATCGGGTGCGGAATTCAACCCACAGGCTGCTGTCTGGGGATTGTGCGCTGTTTGCAGGGCGAGGGAAGTACGGGTCGTTCCTCAAGAACGCATAAGCGGCTTGCTCGATGCCGGCGTCGTCCATGGCCAGCGGCTTGCAGCAGTCAAAATCCAGGACCCATAGAGAGTGAGTTCCCAAGATGTCGTGTGTGTATTCGTTGCGGCCGGTCTTTGTTTGTGTTTGCAAGCCTCCCAGCACAAACTCGATGTCGTTCGCGTCGATCTTTGCAGTCCAGTGCATCATGGCGAGTATCTCAGCCATGGCATGTGCGTACTTTAAAATCGGAAGCTCCAGGTCCTCTGCTTGGTTGAGATGCAAAGGATAGTTGCGCAGGGAGAAGAAGTTTCGCCCTCTCCGGGCCTCGTTCTGGATCTTTCGCCGACCCAGGTAGGGGCGTACCAAGCAGTCTCGGTCGGCGTCGTTGGCCTTGATGGTCGCAACCGACGCGGGTGGACAGTACCGGTCAATGAGACGATTCCTTACCTCCTGCGGCAGTGGTGGTATGCGTTCGGCGCAGAGCACGTTGCAGGTAGTGTAGCCGGTTGGAAATCTGGCGAGATTCATGTCGCACCACCAACTGTCGTCGTTCTTAACGAAATTCGGCCATCGTGGCACGCACACGCTGACCTTGTCCTGTGAAGCTGTCTCGAGCACGAGTTTGTGCATGTTGTAGTCGTTGAGCAAAGACCGCCCCGGACCGCCATCCTCTCTTTTCATCGCCGTCGTGCCTCCTTCGGCTGCCCATACGGATCCACAGAAGCCCTGGCCTATGCGGCGGAACTTGGAGGAGTTGTAGTCTTGCTGAATGATGGATTCCATTTTGAAGTGCAGCTGTTGTACAGTTGGTGGCGTTTTTGGGAAATGGTACTGTCTCTTATTATTGTGGTTGCGATTGCGATTGTAGTTGCTAGGATGTGAATGTCCCTGTCGACTCCGATGGACGTGGCTGCCTTCATATACTCAACCAGTCAGAATTTTCGCCCCATGTTGTGCGAGATGAAGCAGCTTATGGTTCAACGATGTCTAAGGTCTGGTCGGGAGGTTTGATTGGCTTCCATAGTGCTGGCAGAGGCCCATTACAACCAATGATATCTAAATTCAATTCCTCTACCAGCACCGAGGTGCCAGTGACTCATAAGTTGAATGGCAATCGCGGCCACTAGTTGTAGTCAGAGGAGACATTCCATGAAGAAGAAGAAGGGACGAAGGGACCATGAAGAAGAAGCGACATAACTTATCAGCCTCGAAACAGCTCAAACGCTTCGTACTGTATTCCATGCTCATTCTGTCATATCCTGCATCATGCCAGCCAGGGGTATCATCTCTTCCATGAAAATGCTTCGACCCATTCATTATCCAACGCTGCCGTACACGATCCAAGCAATATACAAAAAGTATCACCAGTCCAAGCCATCGTTCGCTGCCTTTTCTAAAGTCCCAATGACCGGTAGCAGTGTAGCCTTCTCATTGACCAAAGCAGCCTTGTGCCTTGTTCGAGAATAAAAAACGGGACAATCCTTGCTGTCACATCGAACCTCCTCATTCCAATCCCATCCCGCACAAGACCGGCATATCTTCGCCAACTGGGTGACATTCCGTTCTGCTTTCACAAGTCTGGACCGGAGTTCGAGCAAGCTGCGAGAAGATTGCTGCAAGCAACTGCTGCACAATGCGGACTCGGTGTCCAAGGCTTGACGACAGACCAAGCACGTTGAAGACTTCATGTACGACTCCAGAGTGGTCTTCTTCGCCAACCCCATGTCTTTGCCATCGGTGATAAGCCCTGCTTCGACCCTCCTGATGCGCTGATATTTGGGCATCTCGTCGTACCATTGTCGCACGTTCGCTCCCACCAAGTTGAAGATCCGCTCGAGAGGCGGGATGATGTTCTTCGAGATATAGTATTCGGCATCCAGCTCTGAATGTGCATCGTTGAGCAACACCTCCGGTGCTACACACCGATCAATGAGTCTGGCGCCAGGACCACCGGTGATCACCACGTACGGCACTCGCTCTCCGTATTGAGGTTCGAGCCTCGGGTCTTCCAACATCTTCCGGGCACTGATGAGTGCCCCTGGAGGTGGTGGACCTTTGTCACTGTAGGTGCCGAGCTTGACTTCCCTTGCAAAGCAGAAATCTTGGATCGACACTTTGCCACGCATGATCTTGGCGCATTGTGCTTGGAAGAAGCTCTTGACTTGACTAAGGTCCGATGTGCGGAAAAGAACCTTCAACGCAGTCTCCTCGATCTTCTGTTCTGCGGGAGTGCCGTCGCGACGTACCGTCTCAATGCCTTTGGCGTCGAATTCGGGGACAGTCTGGTTCCGACTTTCGTACTTGAAGCCGACATATCGTTTCTTTGCCAGTAGGACACAAGGGTGGTAGACTTTCTCAAACTTGAGCTTGACTGGGCGTGGGTTCATCTTGGTGATGGTGTCTGCAATCTCTTCTCCAATGTCAAAGGCCTGCTCCCTCGTCCGACCTTTCAAGTAGACGAAGAGGCTGTCGGTGTCGCCGTAGACAACCTCAGCACCCCATCGTTCCACCGAATGTATCAGAGCGATTGCTTTCTCCAGAGTTTCACGACCGGTCTGGACAATACTGTCTGCAATCTCGGAGCAAGGCATCCGCCCCGAGAAAGACGCGGAGGTATAGCCGTAGGTGACATTCGCGATGAGCTTGAGTGCAAGTTGTCTGTTGTTCAATAGACGTTGCAGTGTCTTGTCGTCTTTGTCGACTTTCATGCCGCTCTTGACCATCACTCGGGTCTCGAGGATTTCGCTGAGCATTTTGGCCAGCAACGATTTCCGAATCTCGGGCTTCGCATACATGATGCCATTGGGGGCGATGTTGATGTAGTCTTTCAAGAGCTCCAGCAACCTGGGCTCTCGACGATAATCCGTGAAGCCCATCTTGTTCGTGCCTCGCCAGCTGACGACCCGACCAAGGAAAGTCGAATAACAGTAGTTGTAAGCGATCATGACGCTGGGATAAAGAGACTGAAAATCCAGGACTAGCATGGGACTTGTGTAGAAATTGCTTTGAGGCTCCATCACCAGTGGCAGACATTCCAGGGCGTTCTGTCCTCCGACCTGTCTTCTGCTGGGTGATACCAGTATGAAATTCTCCGGTTTCGCGATACGAAACATCAAAGATTCGACCTTGAACTGGGAGCCGCGAGAAATGACAGAGAACCAGTCCACACCCAGTAAACGTGCTTGTTCGCTTGTTCGCGGGACCAGCTCATTCGCTTCCAGAATCTGAATGCCAATCTCCACTCGATTGGAGAAGTAGTCAATGACCTTTGCCAAATCGCGCGGGTTCTTGCTCTTGTACCACTTTGTCAAATCAGCAAAGCTGTAGTGAGGTATTCTTTGATGCAACAAATGATAGACGACATTTTCCATGGTGTATTGAAGCAGGTTCAATTCACCGCGCATTGCCCTCCAGATGTTGATGGTATGGCGCCCGGTAACCCGAATAGTCGAAGTATGGTTGAAACCCCATCTGTCGTCCTCTCTTCCGAATCGGCCATGAGACTGAGACTTCATTCGAGAGAGCTCATCGCAGTAGTTCAGGTCGTATTTGACACGTGCCCGTTCAATGAGATATCCCCAGGAACTGTTGTGCACTTCATATCCTGTCAAAATATCAGGGTCGTAAAGCCGGACAATGTCGACGAGCCTCGTGAGAAGGTCGAGTTCGGTGGCCTCCTCTTCAACATCAAAAGACACGTTGCGGCCTAGCTTCTTAGCCTTGTGTGGCTCGTCAGCGACTGTCAGAATCCCTTTGTGAATCCCTTCCTTGCTGCCCTTGCTCTCGATGTCCTCATCGTCAGTCTGCACACACCAAAAGACGCAAGCGACGGCATCTTCATCAGGATTCGGAGCAAGCGAACCACGAGTGTTGACATGTACTTCGAGAGCCATGATACTCATGTATTGTGTTTCGTGCTGGACGCTCGTGCTGGGCTGCTTTTGGGAATATTTGAATCCATACCGGCTTTTCTGCGTCGGCCCATCAATCTGTGAAAGTGCCTTCTTGGAGGATGATGGTTTGGTCGTAGAAATCGATTCTTCAGTTGCAGCTTTCTGCTCTTCCTGCAGCCAGGAAAGCACGTCCACCTTTCGCGGCGGCGTATCCGCGATGACCCATTCCTTGATTGTGCAACGTTTACGTCTTTGATTGTCCCGCACTTGCTCCGCAGGAACATCCACCAGCACTGGCGCTCGTCGACCGAAACATGCGGGGGATGTACCAGTCGGGTCGAAGTCAGGCAGATATGGGACAGTGTTGCTTTCGAGTTTGAATTCACGGCCTGCGTATGCTCTTGCTTGCTCGGGTACATCATCCTCATTGCTGTAATATGCTTCTTGAAAGAGGACGTTGGGAAGACCATGTTGCCACATTGTTGTTCTGACCTCTTGAACGTTCGGTGGCCGAGATTGGTATATTAGCAAAGACGCATCTTTGACTGGCACTCGAAGACCTTGGAGTTGGAAGTCGAAGTCTTGTGCCAAGTCATTGCTTCGACCTGTAGCTGGAGGGATGAGTGTCTGTTGCGATGAGCTCGGTACGCTCTTGAGGGGAGTTTCAGGCATGGCAGCGTACGTCGGCTGTTTGTTGGAGTCAGTCTGCGGAGACTTCTCAGAGGTGTTGCTCTTTTGACTCAGGCGAAGGCCTGTGTCCGGGTCATGAGGATTTTTGACGGTTGGAAAGCTTAGGGTTGATTGTTGTGAAAGTTCGACAGAGTTGGGACGTTCTTGTGACGGATTATTCGGTTCCGACTGATGCTGACCAGTTGCTGGCAAGCCAGTGACTGTACTTCGAGGTAAACGAACGCCGTCCATTTCTTCTTCAGTCGGCTCGTCACCATCACCAAACCCGTTGCCGTCAGTCGCGAAGTCTGGGTCTTCGTCCGAACCGGAGAAAGTGATGTCGGGGAGGACATTATCTTCGTCAATTAGCTGCCTCCGTCTTTTCCTTGGTCGGAATGTCGGTGCTTGTGCGAACCTGGGTCGTTTGGTGCCGGTGGAAGAGTCGAATTTACGGGTAACGTACTCTTCGGGTACCTCAAAAGCATCCTCATCTAGACGCGCTGTATCCCCTGCAGGACGGATGCCGTGTTTTTGATATTCGGAAGAACTGATCGGCGACGACACTTGGTCGGTTGGGATTCCATTGCTCCTGGAATTGTTGTCGTCCATGGTAGCTGCAGGCTCGAGCGATGCTTCGTTTGCTGCATGGGCTTCTTCGGAGCTCGGGTCAGATTCGCTGGCTTCAGCAAGATTTTCTGCCCGAGCTTCGTCGACAAGGACCTGATCAGGTCCCTCCTCCGACGGTGCTGGTCTTTCGTTCCCGGAGCTCCACCGTCGCCCTAGCTTGTCCGGGTAAAGATCTTCAACGCTCTCGAGCGCTGTCTGTACACTGGTCTCCATAGCAGTAGGCCTCACAAAGGTGTCAAAGGAGATTTTTCGTCTGTCACTGTTCTCGTGCTCTTCAACAGCCAGTTGACCGAGTCTCTCACGGTACTCTTCTTCATGAATCCATCCTCCAGCAGAGGTATTTCTTGGGTCTGCCGACATGGAAATCAGGACTTCCGGTGGAAATGGACTGCTCTTAGGATCTTTCAGGCCCATGCGGAGTTTCCTGCGCCGCGTCTCGTCTTTCCAGAGACCTGCCATGCTCTGGACCAATTTGGCATCAGCTGGAATTGGATCAAGTCGTTCAATGAAATCATGATGGAGGGGCCGGGCTTCCACGTTTTGGCGATTGAGGATATCTTTGACATGGACATCGACCTCAAGCTCGCAATGGCTCTGCTTCGGGAGGACGCCGTCAGCAGAAATGCAACCCGGAGGAATCGAGTGATCGTGCCATTGGTGCATGGGATTGGTCATGTCAAAGTATTTTGGGACAGGTGAGCGAAACTTGACTCTGGCACATTCAATGTAGCCGCAGCCATAAAGATTGTAGTCGCACATCCATTGCGCCAGGTATTGCATGTGGCTTTCGTAAGGTTGTAAGACTCTTTTCATCACCGCACCGTCACGAAGAAGATCGGCCAGTCTCGTCATGTGCAAAGGGTTGAGCAGGTAGATTTTGAGATAGTACTTGTATCCAACGTGGTATCCGTAGAACGGCACGCCTTTGACCAGAGAAATGTGGCCGACATATCGATGCTTTCCCTCATAAATGTTCTTGCGATAGCTAAGCGCGAGAGCATGATCGATGGAGAGCTGGAGCGTACGGATAGCCACATCCACATCCTCAGGTGCCAGACTACCACTGTACTCAATGTAGGTGTATTGAAGAGCTCCGTGAATGTGCATTAGCACTTTCTGACCGGTCTCTGTGGCGCCGAAGACGCGAATAACCGAGATCCGCGGTCGGTCTCTTGCATGCTGGCTGGCAACATCCTGTGGGAGGAAAGGATCGAACTCTTCGAAGGGTAAGGCTTGGTAATGGTCGATGCAGTTCAGACGGACTCGAAAGGTACCCATGGACATTATCGTATGAGGTTGTGAGACGCGTCTTCCGCATTTCGGCGACGCTTCATGACTGGGATGTGCTGTGCTTCAATAATGCAGGGAGGGAGTAGTGTAAAGTTTTAACATCGATAATTTGAGTAGACCTTTACCCATATTATGAGCAGGTCGTTGTGAATCGGCCTTCCATGGCGCATCTTTGTTGTTTGTTTGACATGCCGCACCGCAGCCTCTAAGCCGTCACCGTTCTCAATTGAGATCGCACCAAACGCCGCTTTTGGACCGGCGTTTTGGATCCGTAAAACGGCGTGAAGGGCGTCATTCACGGTCTCCGTTTTCAATTGACCTACCTGGCTCCCAAAGCCCGGCCTCACTTGCCTCGTTGCTCGCCTGCTAACACAGTACATGACTAAAGCTTCTCCCAACTCATACGCCAATCCCAGCCATGGAGTTGAACCCATCGGCTGCATTGTTGAGTGCGACAGAGATGGAATGGTTGGCTTGGTTCAAACTTTGAACCATATCGCCCACTGTTGAATGAGTTCTTCTCAACGTGCAGGCAAGCCGGAAGACTGGCTGCTACTAACCTTTGTAGGCTTTGATCAATGAACTTGGCAACCCTTGCCGTCGACATCCATTGCACCGGCCAGTGAAACCACAGTCGTGGAATGACCCCTTCTCCGCCTGCCTGCCTCTTTCCCCGGACGCTTTCTCCAGCCCCTTCCTACCTTTGCATGGACGAAAGTCTTCCTCATGCGTTGTTGCAAGACATTGACATCAATGAATTCACGCCGACACGTAATGCACCGAAGCATAAGGTGTGGGTGAAGAGTCGAGGTGCTCCAGAGAAGATTTTGGCAAGATACCAGGTACAGTCTGTGAAGGTATTGACGCCAGCATGCAGGCACGCAACAGAAGAGGATGCATCCGTGGGTGGCAAGCAAACAATGTTGATAGCATCCTTGTGCATGCAGACTTGCCACCGAGCATGGCACAGTTCGACGGTCACGACATGTGCGGGACGGTTGCATTGTGCTGCCCTGTCCTTTGCAAACAGCAAAGAGACACCAGCAGGACCGGAGAAGCCCAGAAATACTCGGTGCGAGGAACGCCTGGAAGGCAGGTTGATAGCATTCCGGTTTTCTTTGCGTTTCTCCCTACTGGCCTCAGAAAGAATCCGTATAGCTTGGTTGTCCTGCCGCTCCACACCTGCATACTTGTGCATGCAGATATGTCGAATGGGCACCAATTGCAGAACCCAGAGAATGGAGAGATTTCATGACGAGCAATGCGCAAGTGCAAGTGCAACTGCTTCAGCAGCAATTATCTTCATAGTACACTCATCAAAGTAGTCTCGTTACTTCTATACATACGTCGTCAAGCATACATCCCAAGCTCCTGTCTATGCAGTTCCTCCTCGTCATCCATGACAGGTTGAGTTTCGCTACTGGCACTGTCTAGCTCCGGCAACGGAGGCTTTATAGGCTCTTGCAGCACTGGAGGTTCTTCCAGCTTTACAGGCTCGTCCGGCTCTTCCGGCTCTTCCACCTCACCAGACTCACTGGGCTCCCCATGGCCAAAGAACTCATCATGATGCTCATCCGCCGCTGGACTCGCCGGGGCAGACTCGATAGGAGCTTCAACCACGAGCACCTCATCCTCAGCCGCGTCGTTCACCTGCAACGAGCTCGGGCGTTTCCGCCGTTCGGGCAAGGGTGGCTTTGTCAAACCTTTCGGCACCGAATCACTCGAACCATTGACAAGAGCACCAGCCTCTGGACGCTTGGGAAGTTGTGGAGGCGGGACCGGCTTCCGCTTCGATGCCATGAACCCACTCCGGGGCTTTTCAGGCGGGGGCAGTGGCGTTCCCGGTGGTGGCAGCGGTCTTCCGCGTCCCATCGGTTCCCTCGAATTCGTAGTGGAAGCCGTCGTGTTGGCTGACGCATCGTGCCCACCACTCGCAGCTACTTGAGCCTCGCGCTGTCTGTTCTTGGCCAGAACCCCCCATCCCCATTTCTGGGCGGCGGCGGCTGCAGCGTTGACCGAAGCAAGAGCTTGCTTCCGGTCGGCACTGGTCAAAGACCTCACTCCTTGCGCAAAGCTCTTCTGTCTGGTAGTCCCTTGATGCGCCGATCGAGGTCTCTTCCCTGCAGCTACGGTGTCGAGCGTGTCATTGGAATTGGAACTGAGCGAGGCTCGACTTGACATGGTCGACGTTCGCAGCGCAGAGGAAGACATCAGACTCTCGGCGTCCTCTTTGACTCTGGGTATTTCCACAGACGCTTGTGAAGCGTTACTAGAACTTCTTTCCTTTTGGCTCATTGCTGCCGCCATTGCGGCTGCCATTGCCGAATCTGCCGGAGGTGTACCAGCCTGCGAGCCAGAGGGCGACGGGGTCTCGGAAGTTGACCTGCTGGAAAGATCCTTCAAAAAGTTCGCTGCGCTTTCCCTCTTGGCGCTCGCATCAGGCTCTCGTGTAGGGCTGTTGACATCGGCGTGATCCGCCGTCACGGTGGGATTGGCCGCGCTGGCGAAAGATGGTGACCGCATCAGTCTTGGTGTGGATATTTCAGACCTGTTCACAGCTTCAGAGCTGGAGCCCTTCATGCCCAAGAAGTCGTTCAGCGATGAAATGGATTTCTTTGCGACGGTCGGCTTTCCCTTGGTATCGCTCAGTGCGGGCATGCTCATGATCCTATCATCCTTGCCGAGCTCCGCGGGGGTCCTGGTTCCAGGCGTGCCAGCTTCAGCTTCGTCCTCGGGTTCCTCATTCGGTATCTCGGTCGTCGTAATGGACACGGATTCCCGCCGCCAGATCCCGCCGCGATAAAGTTGGCCCCTTGTGTCGAAGAACGGAACATCGTCCCAGAATGGCAGGCAGACGCTTTCGGCCACGACCTCTCGGATCCGGCTCTCGATGGCTCGGAGAATCCAGGTGTAGGTGATCGACCGAGAACTGACAATCGGTTCCAAGACAAGATCCAGCTGTGGCATCTTCTCAAAGCTGAACCAAAGTCGATTGCTCGGCGGCGGCTTGAATCTCAAGAGGACGTGCCCCTGGAGTCCTTTGCAGGTGGCGGCCAAGATCATGTCGACCTCTCGCGGCTTGAAGCGTGAGCCCAGTTCAATGCGTGCAGTAGCTGCAATCTCGATTCTGAAGTTCCCAGTATAGTTGACATCGGCTTCGGCGGTGCAATCGCCATTCACCGTAAGGTCTTTCAATCTTGGGTTCGTGATGAACGGCGCTCCGGTACCCGTGTCGATTTTCCGCAGAGCCAACTTGGTGATGAAGGTGGGCTTTTTGACCCTGGAGATCTTCTTCGTAAGCTTGGTCCGGATGAAGTCTTCCAGCTCCGGTGTCTTGTACATGGCCAAGAACAGACGGCCGATCATGGCATTGAGCCATCTCGTCTGCAGATGCTCTTCTGAGGAGTGCAATTTCTGCACGAGTGTGACGATGTGCTGGACCTCGAATTCTTGTGCAACGGGAAGATCTTCCGTGACACTCTTCTCTTGATTCTTCAGCAGAGCGAAATAGAAGTCCTCCTTCTCCGAAGTATTCTCGCTGAAGAGGAAGAAGGGCAGCGACTTGGGTGTATCGCCAGCGATAGACTTCCTCCTCCGCAGCCGGATAGAATGTCGTTTGATCCATAACTCTCCCTCGGGTATCTCCTCTTCCCCACCATAGATGTCCACATCGTGGTATTCCAAAGATATCACATACCGCACTTCCAACTGTTGTATGTCGTCGTAGAGCATGAGGTGGCCGTGTCTCAGGACCACGTAGAACACATTGTTTGCCTTCTTGACCGTCTTCCCCGCTCCGTCCTTGTTTGGCTCGATCGTCGGCTTTTGTGATCGGTCGAATATACTTCTGTACATTGTCTGGTACACGCTCGGAGACTCCTGCGCAACGACGTCTCCCGCGGGAGTCAGCTTCTCGGGAGGCTTGCCATTGACGCCGCCAGGGACATATTCTCGGCAGACGGCGAAATAGCCAGCTGCGACGTCCGAATCATGCTTTCGGTGGAACTTCTCCACCAAGCCATCGGTGGCGCTTTTGAAGGCTAGCTTGTCGTCTTCCGGGCGAGCAAGTCGCGCAGGATCTTGGTTTTGGTCCGGCTTCTGGGAGGTGTCGGCTTGTTGAGGAGGTAAGGTGTAGTAGGCATGAAGGAGGAGGATGCCGAGCAGTAAAGGGATGAAGGTGAGGCCGCCTAGAAGATAAATAAACAGGAACCATTGCAGTGACCCCATTGATTAGCGAGGCATCGAGAAAAGCTATGAGCGTTGCTCGCAGTGGTCGCAACCACGAGGATCAACGACTCATAAGGTCTTGTAGCCGGATGGAGGTTCGAACAATGCAAGGCTGGGTAAATAGAGAGGATTGATCACAATTGCGACACCGCAGGAGCATCGAGTGGCAGGTTCAGGTCGTAGATGGCATGGCTATGGCGATGGCGATGGTCATGGTCATGGTTTATTGATCAGAGGCGCCACATCGCAGGAGCATTGCACGTTGCTGCGCTACTGGTATTCCCACTTCGCAGTCCCACTTCTGCACTGCTGGTATTTCCGCTCCGCCTGGCTTGTTTTGCACTACCGGTGTTACCGCTTCGCGGTGTTGGTGTCCAAGCAGTTCTGCTTGTCGAGCAAGTGTAGATATATAGAGTCTTTATTGATATAGTCAATGTTCGGCCTGCCTAGCAATTCTCAAGATACTGTTGGACCGCAGCGCGAAATTGTCGGTGGCTCATTCAGGATCTCACTTCTCCCCAGACGCCCACTGAGTTAGAAATTCGTCCTCGAAAAGGTCCTCCGCAGATGGCCTCTCTTCCGGGAGCCAGCGTAGAATTTTGCGGGCGAGGGCGAGGAGCAGCGCCTTATCCTTCCCCTCTAGACGCCTCTCGCGTGTCTCGAGGATTTGATCGGGGATTGGCGTTAGACCGATCCAGTTACCTTTGATCGTCAACGTAGCCATACCAAGGAGATATATAATCCATGGTCTCCAGCGCAGGTCTTACTCACCTTCGGAGTCCCAGTACTGACGGCACTTATCGCTGCGTTCCAGAAACTTTCTCGGCGGGGGTCCCATGAGCGAGACCATCTCGGCAAGATGTAGCTCATCATTAAGATGACCATCCTTTACTGCACGGAAAAGGCGGCCCCCTTCGAACAGGTCCCATATCTATATCTTGCGTAAGGGAAGATCTGCAGAGAACATGTGGAGCGTTGCACTACATACCATAACTCCCACAGACCATATATCGATCTTAGAGTCCCATTCCATGCCAACAATTATTTCAGGGGCTCTATATACCCCAGGCATGACGTCGCCAGAGTGCTTCTGCCCCGGCTCTCCCAAGCGAGCCGCCCCGAAGTCGCAAATAACCGGCTCGCCGTAGGTGATTGGCATAGTGTAGGAAAGATGGATAACTCGGTCTGCCAGAACCTTGCGCGGAGACGGTCTCTCAAGTTCTGTTTGCTCGACTTTTGAGAGCGCGACGCCATCTTTGATCCCAAGAAGGATATTGTTTGGCGATATGTCTGGGATATTACTTAGCTAGTGGGATGTCCGAGGTCCCAAGTACAAGGACCAACCTGTATGAGTCACGCCTGCTTGATGTAAGAAGTCCAAGCCCTCCAAAATCATAAGCAAGCTCTGTTGTAAGAGATCCTTATTCAAAGCCCTCTCTGGGAACAGATTTCGAAAATCGGTGTAAGTCAAGCCTAGAGGGGCGAAGAGGAGACATTGGTGAGACCCATGAGGCCCTTTGATCTGGAAGTCGTCGAGTACCACGCGCAGTCTTGCCTTCCCGGGATGCTCTGCATCAATTGATTTGATATAGCTGGAGATGCCGAGCTCATTGGTAGCATCTTCTCCAGCAATGCAGACCTTGAGCGTGAGAAGGATACTTTCCCTAAGTAGTAGATATCCTCCCTGTTAGCAAGATGCCACAGAGAAACCAGGGTACACGAATCGGATTCGGAACCATTTGAGGACATACCTAAGATCCCGGCAGAGCCAGACAGTGGAAGCTGTACCAAAACCGAGCTTAGCAACGACTTGGTACCTAGACTCGAAGACATCGCCGAGCCGCACAGGGTAAAATCTTTCAGCCTTGTAGCCTGGGACTCTTTCCTCTTCTATCTTCTCGTGCAAAGGAAGCACTTCAAAGCCTTCGCTTGGAAATGTGCGGGCCTGGGTATACCCTGTCCTAGCGGAGGTGGCCATCCGCAACTGACAATCCCTTGAACTGTTGCGAGGACAAAGGTCCGGCAAATTCCAACGTGTGGTAGAAGGTGGACATCGTCGTGTCCTGATAATCGGTAGAAGAGTAGATCGTATCGCTCTCATTGGCGAGAAAAGCGCCTAGTCTTACGAGATGTTGGAAAGGAGAAAGACAAGTTTGACTCCTGCCTCAAGTTTCTCGAAACTGGGAAAATTGCCAAGTGTAGGGTCGAGGTGATCGGCCAATCATACACTGGCATTTCGGAACAGCTCGGCACGGAAGAGATTTAGTCCAGTGCCGAATCGTGGAGCAAAGGTTTGTCCGAAACGCTCACGTGGAGGCTTTACGACGCTGTTGTCAGGATGCAGGAGATGAGCGTAACATGGGGGCATGCATGGTATTGTGTAAGTATGTGGGAAGTGTCTGACAGACCGAAGTAGGCTGCCGACCTATCTAAATGGGGAAGGTGCGGCGATGGCCCAACGACGCTATCCGCAGAGGCTCCAGTAGGGTGTTTTATATACATTCCAGACCACCAACCATCTCGCCCAATCATCTTCATAAATCTTTATGAATAAGGAAGGTTTCCCTTTCGCAGTCCCGCTACAGTTTCAAAGCCACCTCCGCCCTATTCTGTATTACCAATTGCACAAGCGCCAGCTTACCGCACCAGGGGCCTGCATCTCGAGATCAGCTTATCAAACCTCGATCGTCACAGCCGTTAGCGGGAGGACCCGTTTCAGCCGGATAGGCAGTCTGGCGATACGCTGGGCGACAAGCGTCTTCCTTTACTGGCCAGCACACCATCATGCTGGAACTACCGTAGAGTTGATGTTGCTGTATTGTGCTGGCTTGGCCAGACATTCCTTGTTAGCGCGTGTATGATAAAGCGAACTCCGCCGCGACTTATAAAACGAATTGTCACCCTTTGCCTTTTCTCCTGCAGACATTTTTTGGGAAATGCAAAGAACCAGCTCCCGTCTAATCAGCTATCGGGGGAGTACTCTGTTGCCAAAGGTTCCTCCTACATACCTGGTATAAACAACAATCGAAACGGCTAGCAAGTCAGTCGAGGCCAAAGTAAGCATAAGACCACCTCAAGCTCTTGTATTGACTCCGGGTTTAGTATCCGAAAGTTACGGAAGCCAGAATTCAGTAAGTAATCAATCATCTCCCCTGCATACGGGGTAAGAACACATTTCATCGTCCCGACTAACCACGAGCCTGTGACTAATCAGGGGTTCTGAACCTCATAAATCGAAAAAGGATACTAGCGACACGAAGGATGTCATCACTGTCAGTTACCATACTGCCAAGGGCACTCGTGTCATCTCAGTTCACGCACACGATGACAACACGTGGAAGGAATTCCCATCTCGCAATCAGAACAAGGGTAAATAAATGGAAAGCCATAAGCCTTGGAAAAGGACTGGGGGCTGGGGTTATGAGCCTCGTTAATATCAGCTTCCCAATCGACACGAGGAGCTTTGCCCCAAATACTTCAAATTTCCAAGATTAAACTGAACGCAGGCCGACAGGCTCTTGTTAAGGGTTGTTCAATGGGAATGGCTGAAGGCAGCATGCTCCATGACTGGGAAAAGTGTGTCTCCTGGCAAGCATTCGCCCGTGGGGGCAAGCGCTCAAGGGCATCTCAGGTAGACGGAAATGAATGCCATTAGGTTTCACCTGCATAGGACTCACCCACTGCTCAGAGGATGATTGAACGACCACTGCACGAATCTTCCATTTCCATGAACACCCCTTCCCTGCCCCCACTCGACAAGTATCCGTGACAGCTAGACGAATCTCGAAAGCACATTCCAAGATCAAAGAGTATGTTATCTTGCCTCGACGACGTTGTCAAGGGCTAATGTGTCTTAGAAGACCAAAGGACTAAGAGAAAGGGCTTGCCGGAGCAGATGCTTTCATTCGGCAGCATCACGGCCGACTTCTACCATACGAGGAAGACACGAACGCATCAAGGTATTACGCGATATCTGAAGGATAGATTCGTGGTCATGCCTTAGAAGGATTCTCATCTATCGCGGGCCCGAAAATATTCGTGCTTTTTTCCCAACACCAAGAATAAGAAATAGTTACCCTCCGAAACGCCTCGTCTTTCAAGGTTCGGACATCTCTGACGATACTGGAATGGTGATGAAATGCAACGTTATTTTGGCATGCCGGCAGCCTTAACCTTGATTACCATGTATACACAAATATGCATTACTGTCAGTCTCCATGCAGCTACTGGGGCTGTCAACAGCTGAAAGCAGAGTTTGTGCCGCTTGTTTGTTTTGATGATGTCGTCGCTAATCTCCAGCCTAATGATTTGCCGACTTCCACGGGCCGAGAGAGTATCCGACCCTCGTCGTTGTTCCTCCAAATCTCATCAGACAGACCATTGAAAAGCTGCTACAATTCAGCAGCGACCTTCGAGTTTGGGAATACTGGTACCATGGCGACGATCGGCGCCGCAACACTCCAGGTGCCCGTATGGTCAAGGGCATTCTCACCAAGGACCATAACCTAGTCTGAAGCTTCTTGATACCGACGCCGATCGCGACGAATTAGCAAACTCTTCGGGTGGTAAGCGAAAAAGAAAGTACTATCAAGCAGAAACCGAGTACTCCGACAGTGAGGAGGACGACGAAGAGCAAGCATCTGCAATTGACAAGGAGTAGATGAAGCGCAAATCCACCACCAATGGCGCAGACGCGTAAACCACAATTCATGTTAGTGAACGGACGTCCGCGTCCGTGAACCAGCTGGCTGTGACCTTCGAGGTGCGCCGAGGTTTCAGAATGCTGTTTGCGTACCAGCAATGTTGCGAGTCTCGACTGAGGAGCAAGGAGAACTACTATACTCTGCCTAGGGGAGTGTAGGCTAGACTCGATTTTGAACTTCAAACCGAGTCAATCCTGAGTCAGCCCTGATTTATGGTGCTTAAATCATTGACTCGGTTTTAAATCGGTCTTAATATATTTACAAAAAAACTTGAAAGCTTTAGAAGGCTGAGGCTGGGTAGGCGTGTCCATGGCCGTCATTGTGAACTCGGTAATAAAGTACTAGTACGAGTAGATTGCTCTTATGCCTGTGTCTCATGGAGGATAGTAATGTCAGTTGATATGCGCTTCAAAATTCAAAGGAAATCCTTGATCTTCCATCTTTCTGCCTTGTCGCTTCTGAAACGGGCTTTCTATTTGTCCTTCTCAATACTAGCATTCCATATGTGTCAGACATCTCGCTCTCTATCTTACACCATAGAGCCAGCCATCATAAGGTTAAGCAAACCTTGTCGCGGGCCGAAGATTGTAGCCGAAGGGGTACTACTATAGTGCCCCCCTCAGAGGAGTCAGCCCGGGGCTGGCTCCGAGGCAAGGGGTACGCCGAGCTAAGACACTCAGCTCCCAGCCAACCCAGAGCCAGCCCGGAAGTTTTCCAAAAAAAAAAAAGACTGTCTACGAGTCTCAGTTCCGAATTCTCTTTCTCTTTTCATATTACTAAACTGAAAGGTATATAATCTTTCATTTATAACCCAATAATAAAGAACATAGTAAGAATTTTAAAAAAAGGCTAGATCGGATTGAATTGAGCTGTACTGGGCTGCACGAGCTGAAACCGAGCTGAATCGAGCTGAATCGAGCCCAGCCCGACACCGAGCCGACTCTCTACTCCAGATCTTGAAAAACTTGAAGTCAAGTAGAATCGCATCATCAATCAATCCATAAGGAGCTAGACTGGCTCACCTAGTTCAGATAGGTACTAAGACCGATTAGGAGATACGGCGGCAGGATCTATGAGATCGTTCGATAATTCCCCGTGCCGGAGTTCATAGGTATCTCTGGAACTATTAACCGCACAGGATAGAACGGACTCCATAACTCGAGCTTAAGACAATCCTTTCGGAGGGGTTAGGCGTCCAAGGGTCACGATACAGTATGCCCCACGTCTTGAACGTCTCGCGGCGTCGCACAACGTAGACAAGAAACACGTGGAGTAGTACTGTAATGCGTAAGTCGTGTCGGGTAGCACCCACCCAGCACCTAAGAATCCTGTTCGGTGTCGTAGGGGCCATGGGGACTACGAGCATGGGTCGAAATTGTTGTACAGAAAACAATAACACGATTAAACCATCTTTCTTCTCGCTATTCGATACTACTCGATAGCCATGTTTCTGCTTTGCTCCCTCAATGGTTGGCTCTCAATGATCGGGATGGGTCACCAAAGGGCCTAACCTTTTAGGCACCGACCTCGTCCCCTTTTCTCTTTTTCTTGCCAATTTTATCTCATGAAACTCCAAGACCCTCTGTCCCTGGCTCTGTGCATTCACAGGTTACACCTACAGCAACACCGCCGAATCTACGCAGCCTTCGATCAATAATGAGGCTTCTTGACACCTCTACACTGAAGCTATCCACGTTCCACGAACCCAATCTCCCAGGATACGCAATTCTCTCTCACAAATTCTCTCTCACAGATGGTTTAGTGATGAGGATGAAGTCACATTCCAAGAGCTACAGAGCCTGAACGACGCCTTGCAGTGCCCGTGCCGCAAGAACGACCGTGACCAGCGTGTCCGCGGCAAGAAAGGCTATGACAAGATCGCCGCGTTCTGTCGTCTTGCCGGATCGACACTTGTTGCATCTGAGACGATTAATTCGATGTATAAGTGGTATAGGTCCTCGCGAGTCTGCTATGTCTACTTGGTAGACGTCCCCCGTGTGAACTACTCAAACGACGAGCCATTGATTCTGTTTAAAGCCTCCGAATGGTTCAGGCGTGGCTGGACGCTTCAAGAGTTACTCGCTCCCCAGCAGCATAAGTATCTGGCGCAGGATTGGAGTCTAATCGGTGTTACTGTACGAAATACCACCTCTGACACTAGTGCTACACTGGACAGCGGTGAATGCAGTTGTGCAACTTCTTTCCCCGGTGCCACGTGCCTTGAGACTGGAAGTTTCGGAAGCCTCTGGCATACGCACGGACTATTTCAGAAACTTCGACCGCAATGGAAGGTGTGTATCGCGGAGAGGATGTCTTGGGCCGCGAAGAGGGAAACATCGAGACTGGAAGACAAGGCTTACTGCCTACTGGGCATCTTTAATATCAACATGGCTCTCATCTACGGCGAAGGCGAGAAAGCATTCGTTCGATTACAAGAAGAGATCATACAGCATTATGTCGATAGAACGATCCTGGCTTGGGACAGGACCGATCACGAATCCACCCTCTCTCCGAAGGACTTCAAATTCACCAATTTCAGGTTCAGAAACAGGACTGCTCCTGCGGACGAAGTCCACGAGATTACTAGCCAAGGCCTGCTTTCTCATATGGAAGTGGCCGACCATCCGACACTGGAAGACACGTTGCTTGCTCGACTGGACCACTCTCATACCTTTACTTCATCCCAAAAGCAAGAGTATCAGATCCTAATGGTCCTTCCCATTGTCTCGGACATACATGATTTCGATCTATTGATGCGCTGGATATCCACTCGCCGTCAGGAAACCCACGTGCATTGCCCGCGCGAGCTCGTTGCCGTGGATCTTGAAACGTTGCAAGGTCGCCCGTGGTCCTTCAAGCGCAGGAAATTGTGCATTTCACGCTGGCGCATCGAACACTGGAAAATGGACCCTGAAGAGGGAATCGTACTCAGGCACAATCTTATGGTCCGCTCTTTCATGTTCCTTTCGATACAAGTTGGGATACTCACGACCTTCCTCACAAAAGCCACGACAGACATTGTCGCCGCCGCTCTCGGTGTTCTATGTTTACCAACACTAATTTTCAGCTGGATAAGTATCCGCCAGCTGACCATCAGCCGGATAGATATGCTCAGCTTACCCGAGGCCTTGGATTTGTACCACCTCACGGAACAGATCGATTACGCTATTGTGATACTGTTACAGCTGGCTGTGGTGATTGTGCAATCGATGCCTTGGATTTTATTTACCAAAGGGGTATTTTCTGGGCGTGTGCAGTTTGCTGGATGGATTTGGTTAACACGGCAAGCCACGCCGACACTCTTTGTAGGACCAATTGGGTTTGTTCATCTGGCGAGGATCTCCCGGAGGCGGACTCTCAAATGTATCAAAATCCGTAGTAGAAGCACAGAGAGTTAGTTAGCCCTCAATGGAACAAGAGGAGCACTAAGTTACGTCTGGTAACGAGATGCTTACTGTAGTACAATAGAGATGCCTGTAAAATTTATTTGCTTGATTGACTTGACTGGCACAGAGGACCTTTTGTTGCCTCTTCCCCGAACCCCTTAAGACCGTGATCCTAGTTTGAAGCACCTCTATAACAGGCGGACTCCCCGGGTACCTGCCTCGACATACCCTCTCTTCTGTAGATCTAGAGACCTGCATTAACTGAATTTGAGGCGGACAACGACAATCGGAGGGTTTTCGCCCATGGGCGTGTACTTCCAATCCACGATTCCAGATGCTTCCGCAAAGTCTCGAATACGTTCATAGCCGTAATTGCGAGTATACAAGTCGAGGGAGATTTTGCTCAGACAGCTGCCAACGTCGGCTAGGTTAACTTCATCGTCACTATAGCTTTAGGCGTTAGTTACTACTATTGCTAACCTCTTAAGTACCGCCAGATTAAGAGATCTTATTTATAGCTATATATAAATAAGATTCCTCAGAGACATCCGCAAGATGAGAAGCATAGCATGCATCGAGAACAGTAGGGCACCATCTGTGGTGACAAGGCGGTCGCCCGGTCAGGTGGTGCTGCCTAGATGGCAGTCCTAGCCTCACTCTTAGCGCTACCCACCCATCGGCTGCCTAGTTTAGCCCACTTGGCACTTCTCTTCTCTTGCCCCGCGCGCTCTCTTGTACTTACACGTCTTTTTAATCTTGTTAGAGACAGCCACAACTACGATCAATGTGCTCTGCAGCCACCAATACCGTTTTTCCCTCTTTCGCTCTGCCATCCTATTACAAAAGTGGCCCGATCTCCTTGTTGGTAGAAGATATCACTGAAAAGCTATCCACAGGTGAGAGCAAACACTACTCGACGTCGGCCATCTACGTCCCGAATTCTTTTCTCAAGAAAACATTCTGATTTTCATTCCAGGATTCCTCTCCTTCAGAGTCGTTCTTCCTTGCGCAAGCTCTTCACGACGAGAATCACTAGGCTCTGTCTGAACAAGCCCACGAATCAGGACTGCACTTAGAACCTTGCCCAAGTCACCATGAGAACCGAAGAACATTCCTCGGAAGAAGATTTCTCAGAGGAAGAAGATGCCCTCACGCCCTTGAGATCTCAGATCTTAGGTTGTCTGGATGGAATACATAGTGCAGGGTCTTTCGCAACATCTGACCACAATGTCGAGCACATTCACCCTGGTTTGACTGTCAAAGATATCGGTCCAATCAGACTTCCCTTATCTTCCGAAGATGCAAAGGCTCTCATTCGGGTGAGCAATCAGGCCCCTTTTGGCAATAGACGAGACAGTGAGGAAGACCTGGGAGATCAACGGGAAAGAGCTGTCATTCGAGAATGAAGGCTGGAATCGCTGGCTTGATCGTGTTGTTGAAGATGTATCGGAGCACCTAGGTGTCCCTGGCGGTGCAGGCAGCATACAAGCCGAGCTTTACAAGTTATTGATCTATGAGGAGGGTGCCTTCTTCAAACCTCACAAAGAGTACCTCGGAGCTAGAGGCTTACATACTGCACAGTTACTGACAGCTACAGTACGGAGAAGACCAAAAACATGCTTGGAACCCTAGTCGTTTGCCTACCATCCGAACATGTTGGCGGTGCGGTTCGGTTGATTCATGGAAAGGAAGAGAGACTTCTCGAAACAGACAAATGGTCTTCTTACGGTGTCTCTTATTTGGCTTGGTAAGCTGGCCCTCGTTTAGTATATGCTTGTACTAACTGGTTTTGAAGGTATAGTGATGTATCTCATGAGGTAGGGAGACTGCATCGGTAAGGTATCGTATCACAGCTCACAATCATAGGTGTTGCCAATCCAATCCGGATATCGATTCGTTTTGACATACAATCTAGTCAACACTGCACTTGAGCGTCATTTTCGGCTACCGTACTGGACAATGAACAATCCAAGATTGACCAGATGCTTGCTGAATGGTATGCCAAGCAAGGCAGACAATCCTTCATGTGTTACGTGCTTCAGCACAAATACACTGATGCCAATCTCCGACTGCACAATCTCAAAGGTGACGACTACTACCGCTGTTCTCAGCTTGACAGAGCTTGTCAGCCAAATGGTCGCTGCTGCGTCTTTCTCGCGCGGCTGGAGCTGACCGTGACTCGAATCAACGAAGAGGAATACTGGGAAGAGGAAGAAGAAAAGCTCTGTTTAAACGGTGTTGTCACTCTACAGGGGACTCAAATTCAAGTATCCCTAGTGATCTCCAAAGACTGCCTCGTCCAGAGAAATGTGCATGAGTCTCGTGAGCACGACGAACAATGGGGAGGGGAACACTTGGGCAACCAGCATGCTGACATCCAACAAGTTTACCGTGATGCTGTACGTGTTGTGCTAATTTGAAGTCGAATCTGTGCTTACAACGTATATAGGTCGCTGTCATTGTTTCCCGCGACCATATGACGGAATTTCTCCTTGGAAATGGTCATAGGCTTGAGGGTTACTGCAAGTTTCTCAAACGACTCCTGACTCACCTCAGGGACCCGAATGGCGATGAGCGTCATCTCTTCCGCGAAATGATAGCCCAGTCATGTCAAAAGCACATTGAAAGACGGTACACTAACACTGGCGACAAAGATCATTTCATGGGCGCAACAGCGGTAGCGTCACTATACATCGGGAATCCTGAAGCAGCCAAAGCCGCACTTCATGCTGTGGAGGATACCTTCGACACGTCTACCTTCGAGAGCCTCGGCAGAATGGGGTTCCAAAAAACGAGAGCATTGTAAGCTTGAAGTGAACTGTGCCTCAGCCTCCACTAAGTACTATTTTAGTTGCACAGAAGCTTTTTCTCGCATGTCGAAACTGCACCTAGTTGATCGTGGTCTCCGAGCATACCGCTCTGGTATACCCAGCGCTGATCAACCGGGCACCAGCAAGACATCAGAAGGTGCTGTCTACAAATGGGCCCTGGATACCCTCTGCGAGGTTCTGAATTCGATCATAGAGGTCTTGCCCCAGGATGCAGGTGCCGTGATCCAGATCATGGATACCTATGAAGACGAAAGACTGTGGAAAAGGTAAGCTTCTCGGTTGATCCCAAACCTAAATCTGCCTGGGTGATGCTTCTCTTTACTAGGATGCTCGCTGAATACTGCTCATATAGCGTGAACGCTTTTGTGGGTCGCTTTTTGGATGATGCGACATTCGCAAACGCCCTCCTGGCGGAAATTCTCTGCTACTCCAAGACTGTTCAGAAGTCAGACTCGGTTGCGAAACATCTTCTCCCACCAATTTTGGACAGGGCCATCTTCTGTTTCCGGTTGCAACACTTTTCGTCTCTTTCGAAACCAAAGTCACGCCGCGAAGACTATCCATTTTCCTCGTGGCCAGATATTGATTCACAACAAGAGAAAGTCGAAAGGGACGCCGCTGTTGTTGCATCACTGTATCGTCAAGTTGCGAGGGACAACTTACACAAGACGGGACAGCTGCTTGAAAATATCGCGGTTGGCACTGCAAGCATTGACCAAGACGATTTCGAACGCTTTGTTATCCCTCTCCTGCGCGAAATGATCGATATCACCGAGCATCAACCATCTGAGGCTTCTGTCTTCTATTCTGGGATCATTTCTACTTATATTGAGAGGGTGGTTCAGAAGGAGCCTCCAAAGCCCCAGGACTGGTCCCTGCCGGACGATGCCAGAAAGTGCTATGAATCAAATTGCACTTATTGCTCCCCTGTACGTCAGTTTCTGGAGAATACAAGCCAAGAATACCAGGAATTCCTTGTTCCTGAGGACCAGCGTTACGTCTTTCTTCACCATATGCCGTATCACTACAAGTGGACCGAGGAGAGAAGCGGAGAGCATCGCAAAGTCAAGGTCAATAAGTCACTCGAGCCTTGGAAAGGAAAGCACGAGGAATGGCGGCGAAGGGCTGACCGTGCCCAACGGGCTCTTCGGTCGCTACCTGAGACTCCATTACGCCAATGCCTTGGAGACGGCGAGTATGAGGACTTGATGGAACTTAGAATTGTCAAAGTGCCCACTGAAGATATGATCAAGGGCTCGGCAAACCCTGTCCAGGCAGAAGCAGCGACTGGGGGGACGATGGAGGGGAACAAGGAAGAGGCAAACACCGTGGGGGACAAGCGAAAGAGGGAAGACGCTGACCTTGGTGGTCAGAAGAGGAAAAGGTAAAGTCTTCTCTGATCACGAATGGCGTTGGTCCATTTGGCTTCAGGAGGACGTTCAACTGCCAAACTTCGCCGCGAGTGTCGCACACACTCTTGTTCTCGGCAACGAGTGAACGTTCTCGTTCTCTTCGGCGCTATTACTGAACTGCTGAGGCATCTGTTGCAGGAGCGGAATTCGCGCCCCAGTCTTCTCTTTAGAGTAGGGCATACTTTTCTTTGACGTTCATCAGAGCTTGTCGGTTATGTGGCTCGCACTTCTGTCCCTTCGGCGAACATAGATTGGAAGGATTATTTGAGACCCAAGACCGGAAAAGTTGGATGTACCAAGGACGATCCAAGCCACGTTCAAGCAAATCATCCCGGGCAAAGCGGGGCAGGAAGAGACAGCGCGTTACCATACCTCCATTATCTAAGACTCAAAAACTGTTCCTAAGAGAGCTGCTCCCAAACAGACTGCAGGTGTGAACTAGCCTCTGACTCATGATTCATGCAGCTAGCTGCTAATGGTGCATGCAAGACTCCGCCAAATCGCCTTTCGCAAACTTCGGAAGCGCAAAATCCTACATGAACGGACAGGTATGACCGCGGCCTTGGAGGAAGCGCACAGAGAGCGGCATAATTTGTAGGCGGAGCAAAAGATGTGCAAGGAAACAGCCTTGGCTCCTGTCCTGTGTGCTTGTCCTCCACATCGGAGTCAAGGAGATCAGTGCTGCCTTTTATTGTTACGGCATGGCCAACGAAGCGGCATCAATCAGATACGTTACACGTCCCACCACTATCAATGACGGGGCCTCGAAGCATGAGCTGAATTCTGCCCAGAGCATGTTCGTCTACGCGGTCATCCCAACAAAACCCTCGTGTAGGAATACTCGGAGAAATTAGTCCCAGACGGCTTGTTGAGGTCGGCGCAGAATTTCACTGACGCCATATCTTAGTGGAAGGATTCAGAATCGTACAGGCTATAGCAGTCACTAAAGTGTATGTCTGGTGAGAGAAGACGCACTGCTAAGGGAAAAGGTACCACTGTGAAATTTGGTGCTATGAGAGAAAAGGTAGGCTCAACGATCGATGGTACCAGTGTTGGTTGGTATGAAGGAACTGAACGCATACATATAGTGATGGGGCCTTCAGCAGCGGATGAAATCATTCACGCTCAAGTCATGAAGACTTTCGCCCATCATGTAGATATCGACCTTAGCCTTGAGCTCCATCATTCGTTGTACCAAGCAGCCAACACCTCGACCAGTCTGAAAGCCTCAGTTACTGTCCTGAAGAAGCAGCATTGATGTTCGGGTCTCCCATACTGGCGTCCATGGTCATTTCCACATCGGGGTCGATACCTTGTGGTAGAGATGTGAGATCGGCACCTGAAAGTGCTGTTGACTTGGTAGCGGCGACGCCACTGGTGGACATGGACGAAACACTTGAGAAACTTGCAGCAGTTCTTGTCCAGATCGTCTTGACGTTCGAAGACTGCCGCAGTGAACCATTCTTTCATCTCCTCTGCGAAGAGGACCATTGTGTTAGGATCTCTCTCAGCATTCCCACCAGATAGGACGCCGCAGACTTTGACGATGCCGTTTGCCTGAGAACAAACCATCCCACCGGATCACCCATGCCATGCACTGAGATTGATGAAACACGAGCTTGCCTTCTTTCGGAGTTCCGGTGAGTACTTGATCTTCCCGAAACCGAAACTGACAGTCCTCTCGTCGGCCTTGAGGAACCTCTCCATAGGTGGTTGGCCATTGGGTGAAATGAGCACTGGTGATGATTGCGTCCTTCCCGAGACGGAAACCGGAAAGTCGATTTGTTACTCCGAGTGGTGCGTTTGGATTCAGATCGGAAATCTTCAAGGAAGCAGCCGCAAGACCAGACTTCATCATCTCTGTGAATCTCTAAAACGGTGTTAGTTTGTCATGATGTTGTACGTGTACGGTAGAACCTACCGTGAGTCCTTCCAATGATTGTCGGATATCGGAGAGTTCAGACTCTTCTTCCGAGAAATGGGCATCATTCTCAAGACTGTGGAATTTGGACAGCTTTCCTGGATCACTTTCACCACTTGCAGTAACTCCTCCGAATAGCAGCCGGAATGGTTGAGGGGAAGGTAGGTCAGAGCTGATCGAAGGGTATTGAGCGCGGTGCGTAGGAGTTGTTGGGGAAGTATCGTTGGATTCCATGTCCTTAGCCTCAGGTGGCAGGTGTCTCACAATGAAGGCTTCCCGGTATCTGCGTTTAAGGTCTTCAGCAGTTGGATACTGGGTCTGTTGTGATGGTGGGTGTGAAGGAAGACAAGAAGACGGAAAAGATTGATTTCGTGACCCAAAAGACGACTGCGAGGCCATGCTGGTGCTATCTCCAGCTGTTGTTCCGGTGCAGACGGGTTGACGCATATTTTTCTTTGTTTGGCCTGATGTTCTGCCGCGGGCGAAGATTTGCCAGCCGTGCCAGAAAGTTTGCGTCTTCCTTTGAGCTGCAGTTCGCGGGAAAATATTTGGCAAGTCAATGATAACTTCGGAAGGAAGCGCGATAGGGGAGCAGTATATGGTGCAAGTTTGTATGATGGAATGTCGTCGTGAGCCGGTCTGTGTCGCGGAAGTGAAGTCATCACTGCCTACTTATATTTCCACGATTAGACTTGTTCAATTTACTCTGGCCATCGTTCGCCAGCGTCTTTCGGTTTCCCAGGTCCCTCCAGATGACGCCGTTGTTTGGCCCCCAAGCAAGAACTGGCCGCAATTTTATGCGCGTCATGCAGAACTCAAAGCCAAAAGGGTCTCGGTCGTCGGCAGAGGTGTCAAAACGAGGGTAGACCGACACGCAGCGCACACCCCGTTATGTCCGAGAGCAATACCGCTGTGATTAAACGTAAGGGTCTTGTGGATTAGGACATCTCGAGAGGAGATGTCAGACTCTATACTCGTTACTAGCGTCAGAGGCATTACCACAGATGCCACCGGAAGGCATGTCTTTACATGCCTTGGCGTCTTAGTAATCACACCGCGAACCGCAGAGGTCACGTGATTACCCCGCCTTCCCTGCGGTGGGGGCCGAAATCTCTCGCTTTCCCGCCTGCGCCGTTATTGAGGGAGATGCTGGATCCTCTTCATATCGAGTCAACAATAAGATCCGCTGGTATTTCTCCCCGGGTCAAACCAGTAAGGGATTGGCGCAATTGGGCAATTACGCAAACCCCTACCCTTCGATGCCGTGGCTCCTTGCCTAATATCCTTCTCCTCACGATCGCAGCGTCTTCGAGATCGAGAACAAAACTTCACACCACGTCTCCAATTCCAAAAGCGCAGTCTCCACCAGCATACTCGGAAAGCCTTGAATGTACCAAACCTGCTTTGGAACAGCTAGACTGAAGGAACATTCGAGCGGCTCTGAATTCCCAGACGCGCGCCCTTGCAGCCGATACTCGACGCGTTCTTGCGGAGCTGAACAAGACCTCCCAACTGTCACACCAGCCGTTGAATGTGTAGAGCATTGTGCTTGCAAGTGTCTGCCCTTCCAGGTCATATGAGGAGTCGCTAAGAGGTGGCCGTAATGTCGTACAATCACCATCATCAACGCTATGATCGCGGTGAACAGGAACAGATCGACTCAGATGAAGCAATGGCCGTCCGCTTACAGGCCGAGGACAACCAGAACTATTCACAGCAATATCCGTCATCGGGATCTATGAGGACATCCGGATACCTTGGTCATGGGTACCAAGGAGGTTCACCTCAAAAACAAGGTGGCGATCATTATCAAGGTAGCCCCCCTCAAGGCAATCACGGCGTACTTCCTCAAGGCTATCAGCGTGGACCTCCCCAAGGCCACCGACGCTATCAACACCAAGGAGGCCCAGGCCTCGAGAATCAAGGACAGAGTCAAGGTCAAACACAGACCCTTTACCAAGGAGCGTCACAACAGGACCCATATCCTGGAGGCCCGCCACCGCAAGCTCAACATCCATATCTAAGGTTACCACAGCCTCTTCGAAGAAAATCTCTGTTGATAGGAATCAATTATGTAGGTAGCCAACATTCACTCCGTGGATGTCATCAGGACGTGACGAATATGATGGATTTTCTAAAATTTAAAGGCTACTCGAGCGACCCAAAGGATCAAGTTATCATGCGAGATGACCGAGATACGGACCCACGGGGACCATTCTTCCCAACAGGCAAGAATATTCTGGCTGCGATGCACTGGCTAATATCTGAGCCCAACACCTGCAACTTTCTGCACTATTCCGGCCACGGGAGCCAGGTCAAGGATCCAGATGGCGATCGCGACTCAGGCTTTGATGACACAATCGTGCCGGTCGACTTTGAATCCAACGGCCAAATTGACAGTGACAAGCTGCATCGCACCCTTGTGTCCGCGCTACCTGCCAACAGCACACTCTTTGTGATTTTCGACTGCTGCCACAGTGGCTCCGCTATTGAGCTACCATACGTTTACCGTAGTGACGCCGACGGCAATGTCACCTTGATGGACAATGTTAAAACTGGCATGGGATTGCTCCACGAGGCCAGCAGCCTGATCCACGGCGGGTTCACGATAGACAAGCTCGCGCAGGCCAAGGAACTGTTCGCCGGCGCAAACACCTTCTTTAAACAGCTCCAGCACTCCAATGAGCCGCAGGAAGAAGGCGTTGGTGAGGAGCATTTCGTAGAGGACTGGAAATCCGAGCATAAGTTTGTGACCATGTTTTCTGGCTGCCGTGACGATCAGACAAGCGCAGACGCAAGTATCGGTGGAGCGAGCGTTGGGGCCATGTCATGGGCATTCCTGGAGACGATGAAAAGCAACCCAAATCCGACATATTTGATTGTCTGTTTACATTTGTCCCCATCCTAATATTCTTGCTCGTGCTGACTCCTTTCAATAGACATTGCAACAAACGAGATCAGTTCTTGGCCAAAGTAATTACAGGCAAGTGCCGCAATTGTCGATTGGCTTTAAAGAACTCGATCTGAACCAGCCGTTGAGGTTCTAGAATGGGGAGTCGAAAGCTAGAGCTATCCATGCTTGAACGAGTATTACGCGATATAATATGGTGGCGAGTAGGCATCATGACATTAGGCACATCAAATTGCAGATGGACTATGTTTCCGGATTTGCTCTCAAAGCCTTACAGCCTTGTATCGTCATAGGAACCATGTCTGATCAGATATCCTCAAGTTCTAACAGGAGCCCACCTTGATGGCCGAGATATCCAATCATGCGGACGAACAGACAAGAAAGTCTTGTGAGACTGTGCTCGTAACGCCTTGCTCAAAGGATCGCAGGCTCGGCACCATTCGGATAGGGACAAAGAAGCAAACCTAGCTATTTCCAACAATTGTGACGCAATGCTGACGAGCTAGTAATCAGAAGAGAAACACAGAGCCCTGGCGCCAGGCCTCGGAACAACGAACTTGCAAACTTCGTGCAGCGCATGTGTCCGTAGACAGGCTTTAGGCTGATAAAATAAGCCCTCTTTCTATTATCAACTATTAAGATTTTACCCTTTCGTTGCTACACCAGTATCTTTGCTCGTCTAAATCTCGTCATCGTCTGAACACCTCACATCTTGCATTCAGAGATCGCCAATATCAGTTTCCAAACGCTTCCTGAGCCACACACGTAATGAAAGAGATGCTGTCCAAGGGCAACCCCGTCGAAAAGCATCGAAGCCAGCCTGGGAGACATGTTACAAAGCGCTATGCTCCTAGGACCAAAACAGGATGTCTCACATGTAGGTAAGAATATGCTCCAAGCTTAATCTGTCAAGCTCGCTAATTGCTAATCCAGACTCCGTCATGTCAAGTGTGATGAGGCTCGTCCATCATGTGATAGATGCACGTCTACAGGACGCAAATGTGATGGTTATACCGAATCCTCCGAGATGGAACTTGGTCGATCGTCCTGTCCAAACAGGGCCACGGACGGCTAGGCTTGATGACTGTCGCCCCTCGACCTATCATTCGATCTGAACAAGAGAATCTGGCACAGGAGTTCTTCCATATCCAAACGGTAACCCAGTGGACAGAAGTTTTCAAATCGGAGCTCTGGGATCGATACGTACTTCAGTTATCCTTGACGGAGCCCAGTCTTCACCACGCCAAGCTGGCCATTGAGCCATGCACCGTTCTCTTACTGCGGATATACCCACGAAAGAATATGAACTTTTTGCCATTCACCAGTACAACAAAGCCATTTCCCATGTTGTGCGCCCCCTGAAGCCATTGCCACCTATAGTCGTCCTTACAGCTTGTTGGATGTTCAGCTGCTTTGAAGTAATGCGGGGAGATGATAGGCTTTGGGCCGACACCTGACGAGCGGACTGCAACTGATCTCCCTTCGCGGTCGAAAAGGCCACATCCAAGAGGTGGGACAAGGCTACGGACTTTGTGATAATGAGGAAAGTCAAATCATCGAAGAATGCCTCATTCAGTTCTCCTTACTAGACTTGCAGATCATAATCTACGAGCCTGATTGGATTCCTTTCTCCATGGCACGATGCCCGAAACTTACCAAGTCACCTTCGTTCTCTTCTTTTGCGGAAGCTCGACTTCATTTGACTGCTTTACTCTTGCGGACGATGGAACAGAAACGTCTGGAGGTGGGCCACGATGCTAATAATCCACTGGAAAACGGAATCATCTCCCCCAAAGGAAAGAATATCCTGGAAGATCTCGACAGGTGGTCTGCTGCTTTCAAATCTTTCCTCGCCACCACGACAAGAAGTCTGACAAAGGAACAAACTCGAGCCGCGCAGCAACTCCAAATCCAACACCTTGCGGGATATATCCACCTTTCTGTCGCTGCATCGGACGAAGCTACGAGCTATGACAAATTCCTGCCTGGATTTCCAAGGATTGTCTCTTTATGCTCGGCACTGCTGACGCCATCGGACACGCCAACGAATTCAAAGCATCCGAGACCGAAGAAGTTCCTGTACGAGCACGGCGTGATACCTTCATTATATCTAGTTGGATATAAATGCCGTGAGCCAATTGTTCGACGACAAGCACATAGCCTGCTTGCTTGTATTCGGAGGAAGGAAGGAGTCTGGGAGAGCGACCTGATGGCCAAGGTTGTTGAGCACATTATAGCCGTTGAAGAAAGCAATCGCGTCGTCCGCACTTCATCTGATGTTCCTAACGAAGCTAGAGTTTGGAGGGAGCATATACAAGCAGGTGGCAGCAGTAAGCTGCCGAAAGTCCTGTTCGAAATCAAAGGAAAGGGCAACGAAGGGGTGAGGATTGTCGAGCGAGAACTGCACTGACACGACGCCTGCAGTGCTCGTCATCTTAGCCAAGTCAGTTGTTAGACGCCGCAATCGAGCTGAATGATCATGAACACAAGAAAGGGCAGGGGCAGGCATGCGTTGACGGCTGATAGTACAGTCGCAGGGACTAGAGGTGACGTCGTGGCGAAGTCCATTGGAAATTCGGTTGTTGAAATATTGGCAGGAGTGTCCCAGCTCTAGTTTGCCTCGCAGGTCTCAACGGCAGTCGGAAGTAAGTCGCCCTTTTTGTCGTTCTGTTGGAGTAGATAGCCCGGACGTAAAGGATCCCTCGGGTCCCTCCTCTATGCACAGCGATACCTCACTTCCACACGTTAGCATACCAGCAATATATCTGAGGTTTTGTTCACGCTCGAGCTAGGAATATGATTCGTCCGGCGGATCCAAAGACCACGACGACCATCGAAGACACCCGCTCCCCATGGTTGAATCCTGGACTTCCCGGCCCTAGCCTAGCTGGACACACGACTGCAAGACCATTTTTATGTAACGAATACACTCAAGCCTTGTTTCTAAAGTTATTGTAAACTAGGCCAAATAATCGGGCGTTCCATAGACGAGCGACCCAATCAAGTAATCCAGTCTACAAGCCACAATGCTCGATAAGGCTTTGGCGAGGCGACATACTGACAGCTCATTCCCTGAACGAGCTAGAGGCTCTCGCATTTCGAGGCTGCTCCTCCATTCTCTTTCACCAGCTGCCGATCCCAAAGGAGACTAAGGTTCTTTGAAGACAGACTCAATTTCGATCTTTGAGAGAATTTGCGCGAATCGCAATGAAGGATGAGAGATGACATCAAGAGAACTTTGCTTGGATGTATGCAAGGACACTCTGGGAGTGCTTAACATATAAAAAGACAGGCGGCTCTCTTTCGACGGAAGGAGATATTATCCTCCTGCATCTTGTTGTATATTTTCACTGTTGTTAGAATCGCAGGGTACGCACAAAATGGCCACAAATACTTTGAGGAAGCTTGGTGCTGCCGCCATCGGGTTATCTTTCATGTTCAATGTGCCATATGTTTACACAAGCCATGTCAGCCCAAGAGCTATGGTGGATAATTGGAGCCAGGTATAGCTTCCTCGCAAATAGTGCTTTCGCTCAGGATCCTTCTTTTCTTTAACTCCTCGCATATAAGGGCTAACAGACCTTCGATAGATAATCCCTTCGACTTCGTTGAATTGGACATCATGCTTCCAAAATTACACATGTGCCAGGTTAGAAGTCCCACTCAACTGTTCTGACCCGTCTGTTGCCACAACGGCCATTGTTGCTTTCATCAAGCTGGCGGCGCAGAACTCGTCGGAGTCGGCTCAGAGCATCATAACCAATCCAGGCAAGAAGCAAGGTCTCGGCATTCCAACACGTGGCTGACCGTTGCAGGTGAACCGGGACTGTCTGGTGTTAACGATCTCATGGGAAACGCAGAAAACTATAGGATGATGCTTGGATCATCATACAATTTGGTGTCTTTTGATCCTCGCGGGGATTAACAATAGCGGACCCAGTGTTGATTGTTTCGGAGGCAACCAGCAAGCCAGAACCACTTTTGAAAGCATCTTCTTTTCCGAGGTCACAGATGCTTCTTCTACATCCTTGGAGACACAGTTCTACTCCTCGAGTTTGTTTGGTCAATGGTGCAGCAACGCTTTCCACAATGAGGATGAACACGGAGTGTATATCGACACCTCATCCGTGGCTCGGGATATCCTTTCATTTGCTAAAGCAGAACAACGCCTTGCAGGCAAAGCTGAGGACAGAGCGGAAGTCTGGTACTACGGACAGAGCTATGGAACCGTTCTTGGAGCCACCTTTGCGTCACTGTTTCCCATGCATGTCGGTCGATGGATCTTGGACGGTGTTGTTGATGCCCAAAACTACTACGAAGGGTCGTGGGATGCGAACTTATTCGATACAGATGCCGTCTTCCTCACATTTCCCAAGTATTGCTACGAAGGCGGCCAGGAGAACTGCTCATTCTGGGGCCCCTCGGAACAAAACATCACGGATCGCATTAACAATCTGCTCACGAGGATCAAACAGGATCCGATTCCTGTATCAGGCATCCAGCAAGGTGGAACGACGATAGACCTGGCCACATATCCAAATCTCAAGCAAACGATGCTCCTTGCGTCATATTTTCCTCTGAAACAATTTCCGGTATTAGCGACTGCTCTGACGGGCTTGGAAAATGGCAACGGCTCAATCATTACGACCATACCGGAGAACTATCTGTGGGGCGCGGATGCGGCCACGCTGATAAAGTGTCTTGACTCCTACGGCAATTATAACACCACGAGCATCGACGAGTTTCAAAATTGGGTCAACATCCAGACGGCGCAGAGCAAGTTGTTAGGAGACACCTGGTCGACTAATGCTGCTCCAGTTCTCTGCAGATCTCTCCACTTGGATTTATCCAGGAGGGACAGTTTCCCTGGTTTGTCAAGATTTCCTGCTCGCGTGTGGTTGGTACTGACAAGATGGTTCAGGTCCCCTTCCCCCATCCAGCAATCACACACGTTTCCCAGTGCTCTTCCTTAGCAACACGTTAGACCCAGTCAGTCCAATCCGAGGGTATGTACAAGAGCTATCTAGCTCTTCCTACTCCTTGATGTACACCTTTGCTGACTAGGATTGATGTAATGTAGAGCGTTCAAGATGTCCAGAGCTTTTGCAGGCTCCGCGGTCCTCATTCGAGAGGGCGTTGGAGTGAGTTGCTCCCTGGTCCTGCGCAAAACTACCTGAAATAGTCACTGACGAGGATTTATTTACCAGCATACTGTGGGAGGCAATGGTGGTTCTCCTTGCGTGTTCGAGCACGTCCAGGCTTACTTGCAAGATGGCAGGGTGCCTCCTACAAACACGACATGTCAGGGTGCTCCTGTACCTTTTGGAACCTCTTAAGCCTCTTAAACAGAGCTCGACTTCAAGAACAGGAAATTCCTACCAGGTCTCGAATCCCCAACACTCCGTAGGGCTAGGATTAAGTCCCGATGCGCAGACGTAACGCTTCAGGACTAAATAAGAGTTTAGACTTGGTGATAAGCGTGCCCCAGGAATCAATGAACAATCGCACAATTTTCCACGATTCCAGCAATCGCTCAACGGTGTCCCATCAAGGTTCGTCACATAGCCAGCAGCTGCCATACTGTAAGGAACGCCTAGTAGGAATAGGCAGGGCGCGATAATAAATGGTTTCTTTGATCGTATATTAGATGATCCTGATTTCCGGTGTCTAGAGGGACTCGAAGTATAAGGAGGGTAAGCACTTCTCATGCGAATAGCACCACTATGTCTGCCGAGTTAGATGGGAGGCCCAAGCCTCGGTAGCTGGTCGAGTCTGCCGGACCGCCTGAGACTCGCATGCATGTAACCGCCGGGCTTTCTGGGGCTGACACCCTTCATTAGAAGTTCAACCTTCATAATGATCTAGAACACAACGTGGAGTTAATTTTACTATTCCGCATCCCATGAATTGCACTGGCGTGGCTTTCCAGTATTCAAAGGCGCACATTTAACTCGTGAGCATAGTAGAGTACTAAACAACCTATCAGATCAAGATGATTGTGATTGTCAAGCTCGAATCCGAATCAGGCCCGTCGAAGGATCGATGCGAGCCTGCGTCCGCAGTTATCATGCCCGGGAAGGCAATAGTGTGTGCATCATCTGTGTAGATAGGGGGCGGCGGATGGCTGCTCTCATTGGTATGGGATCAGGGATGGCAGTCTGAAAGATTTCGGTTCTGTTCACGGAGTCCTAACCTTGCCTCCAATACAACTCAATGAAGGAACTATACTAGTACCAGGTACCTCTGGTGAGGATCCAGTTCTTTACCTTGGCCTGGGCGTGGGCAGTACTATCTCACTTGATGAGAGGTGGACGGTACAAATAGACCTAACGGGAACAAAAGACGTCCGAGTGGCTCTCCAGGTCGGTGACGGTATTCATTCGGTTTGTGGCGCCCTTAGATTGTAGGTACGATGGTCTCGTAACCCAGGGTTATAACGTATTGATGGACAATTCTCTCCTTCACGTAATGATGCCTCACGACCTTCCGCTCGGTGCGAGACGCCAGTATAACTCTTTCCCGATGACCACCATATCCTCCCCTCTGGCGAGTCGCTACCGAGCACCGGCATTCCCTCCAGAGAAATCTCGTAGACCAACCTTCCCGACCGACGTCGGCGCACTTGCGTGTGACCACCCACCCCATCTCGACCTTGGACTGCCGTCAATGGTGCCTCCAGGGAGCGCGATACACGGACCGCACACAACTCCAGTATCGCGGGGTTGTTTCCCTCGCTATTTCCCCGTGCGTGTGTGTGACCCTGGGACGGGTGCACGATCCTTATTCTTGTACCGCTTAGAGGGGTTCGCCCGCTCTTCCCCGCGGTGCCACCATCTCGTACGGCGAGTGGAAGGACAAGTATACCAAGCGAGTGCCCAATCGAAGGCCCCCCAGGTCGACTGGTCCCTTTTTCCGTCACTGCCTGTTTTCCCTGGCGATCCTGAGATCCACTACGGTTGCGAAGGGCCGAACGCTTCGATGTAGACGAACTCCACTCAGGGGAGGACGGGCCGAGCCGACCTGCTCTGGGCTCATGATGCGCGTGCTCGTGGGGACATTGGGTTGGTCATTAGGGGAGGGCTAGAGAAAAAGGCTGGAGACGGCGTCGACCGAAAGCTCATCGATGGTGACATTGTGGACTAGTTGGGAAGGGGAAAGACGGAATGGCCATCTGCGCAAATTCGGTGGAGAACAGTCGAGGAAGAACAACACCGAAGTAGTAATGAATCGGCTGCGATCGCCTACGGCCGGCTGCAGGTTTTTCCTTTTGATCGCTGTCACCCGTGGTGTAGGCTCCCTGGGTGGGATGCTCGCCGCGTGTCGACGAAGACGTTGATGACGGTCGAAAATCCGGATGTGGAAGGCTCGGTGTTTTCGCTCACCAACCCAACTTAGGGCATTTGCGACTTCTCGGCCCTACTGACGCTGCCGGGATTGTGCCAAGCCCCCTCTCCCTTGGACGTGTTCCAGACGCGTGCTATCACGTGGATTATTCGTGTCACCCTTCCCTGCTCCCCAGAAAGGCCGTAACGACGCGTTTTGTCTCTCTCTCGCCTGCCCCGAAAACCGACGGCCCGTGATACCAAAGCTGCTCAAAAGTCGGTCGTCGGCCGTGCGCGCCGTCTGGACGGAAAGCATGGCGTGCGACCAATGCCGGAAGCGAAAGGTGAAATGTACAGACGCGCACAGGGAAGGACCAGGACCTTCCTTTCCTCGACGCAAGCGACGGTCCCCGGACCTGTCTTCAGACGAGTCGACCGATGAGCCGCGTCGTCAGCGACGCCAGAGGACCGCCACGAACAACGGCGAGGAGGACGGCGAGGACTCCCCCATCTACGAGAACGACGACCCTTCTTCGGCAGACGTCCCCCAACCAGACCTCGTTCATTCGACCCGCGATCCGGCCCCAGACCTGTAAACCGATCTCACCGCCGAGGGCAACCTACCTCCTGAAGCTCCCACGTCCAACGTTAGATTTTCCCGACGGATCGGATATCCACGAGAGCTCAGAGAAGACGTCGAGGATCTTGTGGCAGCATGCTTATCTCCTTGGGAAATGGCCCGACGCCGCCTCCAAATGCAAGCTGACGATCTCAAGCAAGAGGTACGGCAAAAGGAAGCAGAGGCTGCGAGAAACCGACAGGTCATGGAAGAAGCCGAACGGAAACATCGGGAGGAAGTACGCGGACTTCAGGCACAAATCGATCATCTGGAACAAGTTGAACGAGAACACCAAGAGACACTACGCAGACTTCAGGCACGCCTTCACCATGAACAAGAAGTGGCAGAGAGAAACGAACAGCTCATAGCCCAGGTCGTCCAGATCATAGAAGGCTTTGCACGACTTCAAGCAGACGTTCTCGATCTAGATCGATACAATGGACGTGATGATGGCTGATAGATTGCAACAACCACAGGTGGCTGTGCAGGCGTCATAGACTCGCCTCCAAACGGGACATTTGAGAGACCCGCTATGATGACCCGGCTGGCAACCCAGCGCGGACTTTTTCAGTACTGATGAGGCGATCCGCCTGGGCGTGCTAGTCTCTGTGGACAGCGAGAAGGCCTCCGCGATATCCACGGCAGAATCGCAACGACAACACAAGACCAGGAAGTCTTGTCCATGTTTCCTCCACTACAAGACAAACCATTCCCACCACGAGAGCCACGGGGGTCCCAGTCTCGAATGTACCGGCAGATCCTCTCACCGGAGCTGATAGCACAACAAGACCGCAGTATTGCTTTCGTGGGATTCGTCACGACCGGATGATCCAGACAAGCATGTGCTGCGAGCTGATGACGCTTCGGGCAGTGGCCTGGATGGAGGACCTTGTTAAACGATGCTATCCCGGACCTGCCTTCGATGCAAGAGAGCGTCTCCACCGTCAACGCGTGGTCGCGGAACCGGTACGGCCTCCGAGAAACGAGGCAACACGAACTTATCTTCGAGTCAACAAAGTTTCTTCGACGTCTTGTGCCGGGATCTTGGGATCGAGAAGTGGAGGAACCGCAAAGGCGCCAAATGGTGGCAGAAGCCGCAGCGCTTGGCCGAAGAGTGGCTAGTACCTTATCGCGCAAAAGACTACAAAGGGTTGGTGAATGAGTTTCTGGAGAACAAAGGGTTGATCACCAGACCGGTGCAGTTGCCGGAGGTGGGACCGAAGGCTGTATATGCTTTGGTTGCCGAAGTATACTGTAAGAGGCTGGGTCGCCGTCAGGTTTGTCGGTATGTTTGTAGCCATGTTCACGTCACTGGATCTTGTGCAGCACAAAGATAGAAACAAGAGGTCTCGGGAGCAGAAAGACAAGTGTTAACCCAATGGAGTGCAACAAGCGCATTCTGGGGGTCATGTCATGCTTCAACGCATTTTATTTCAATAAGCACGTCGCTTCGTTCAGCTTCTCATAAATCATACATCATGGAGCAATGTGCTCTGATCATCTGGAACTGCCGAATTCATCGACCACTGCAGTTCGTGGCTCTCTTGTGCCATTTCAGCGAAAGAATACTTGTACAAGGGTATCACTCGATAAGAAACACATCTCTTCGTTTGTTCTCATGCCTGTCACTGTCGTCCGGTTTGGAGAATAACCTGGACCCTAGTGGGACCGTGCTATTCATCTTGGAATGCTTCGCCCAGTTCAAGGAATTGGTGCATCTTCTCGACCGGGATCTCGATTGTCTTGTTGCGCAAGCTGGATGGTACATCATCGGAACCCGCGAGATCGAGCATGGAGATTCGGAGAGGGTCGCCTGGAATGATCGCGCCATCGTCACGTCGAATGTCCTGCGCCCGTCAGTAGTTGTTACATAAGCCTGTGTGAATATACTAACTTGTTCATGGCATACGATCTTCTTGCCAGTAGAGTCGGAGCCATGACGTCTGAATACCAGTAGAGTGGTTCTCTTCGTGCCGCCTCGGTAGTCGCAGTCAATGCCAACAACCACTTGACACATTCTCTTACTCTTCTCGCCAAGATAGAATTCGGCTAGTTGAGGCATCCGGTCGCGCTCTTGCGCAGGCAAAATACGCATCAGGTTGGTGAAACTCTTTGCCCTGTCTTGCCTTGATGTCGCCGGAGCCGAGATCCGCAACCATTGCCTGGAATTCCTTCTCTTGTTCAGTCGAGCATAAGCTCGCGAGTTGTCCCTGAAACCACACGGATAGCTTGCGTGTCACCACCTCGTGCATATTGGAAGGCATTCGGTGGACGAATATCTCGATGGAGGCAAAGTAGTCGTACCTACATCTAGCTGTTAGCATGTGGGTTTCAAGATCGTCCTCTTGAAGTATACCGGAGTCGCACACCACGCTGTTCGTGGCTTTGAAGCAGCTCTTGAACCAAATCCCAGTCGCAGGCTGCTAGTGGATACTCCTGCCAGTCCGACCGAGGAGTTTGGATTGTAGAGGTGCTGGCTATGACGGCTTCGAGGATGTCCTGGGGCTTCCAGTAGCTCGCAGAGTTCGAATTTGGGGAAGAGGACAAGGGCGAGGCACTGAGCGCGTCTTCACGATTGACTTCGCCTCGGCGACGACATTGAGGTGAACCCATTGTCTCTGATCGTTTCGCGCGCGCGAGACAACACAAAAGACTGATGGGAAAGCGATGATGTTGTGAGCGACTTCAAAAGAAAGGTGATTGTTGTTGGACTGCGAGACTGTTATTTTATTGACGTGCGGGGTGAAATGCGGAGAAAGTCTCTCTTTATCTGATTGAGACAGGTTTGCCGAAAGGCAGGTTTACCGAGCAAGTGAAATGTGTTTCATACGGTGCTCCCACGATACCATGATTCTGAGGTCTCTGACCTGTTTCAACACCTCAAGCTATTTCATGGCCATCATTGACCACCAGTGTGACGGCCCGTAGACAAAATTAAAAGGAGCACGGTCGTAATGGAACAGAATGGCTCGCTCACATGCTCTCTCAAAATAGCCGGAGATTATCCGACAAGCCTTGGCACAGGGAAACTGCTGTTGCTGTTGTTTGTTGTCTGCGACTTTGACTAAGAGTACCAACAAAGAACAGCAACGTCGAAATCGACAGACGGCTTGCGATGAGCGACCCAGCATGCGACAAAAAAGTCACTACTCCTCCTGTGACCCTTCGTTCACCTCTCACACCCCCTCCAACAGACAAGGACGCGCCTGACACGACTTCCATTCGGCGGCAAATCGCGCAACACAGGTTGTGTCACCCGACTCAGACAATACACAACGTCGACAAGAAACTGTGGGATGACTTGCAACCGCTGCTAGAATACCATAAGACACAGTATGCAAGATTTATTTCACCGCAAGGCCAAAAATATGTCATGCTGATTTCGAAGCGCAGTTGTGATTATTACCCCTCGACCGAGACCCTTGTTTTGCGAATGCACACCGACGTGCATGAGTATTTCTCAAGATATCTTTCACAGCGTATCATTGAGAAGCTGCATGTAATCTCTCTTGAGTCTGGGTCTCTTGAGTCTGGGTCTCTTGAGTCTGGGTCTCTTGAGTCTGGGTCTCTTGAGTCTGGGTCTCTTGAGTCTGGGTCTCTTGAGTCTCTGTCTCTTGAGCCTGGGTCAGCAGCGGATTTTGTGAAGGGCATCAAAGACCTTGGGTCTGCAACAATATACCCTGAAGATCCGGAGTTCGGGACCCACGATCCTGACGGTTCTTTCCACCACGTCGAATCGCCTTACCCCACGGTTATCCTTGAGATAGCTCATTCACAGAAAGGGAAGGAATTACGAGTCCTTGCAGATGAATACCTTCTCGGATCTGATCTCGAGATCCGGGTTGTAGTAGGAGTTGACATTGAGTACAAGAAAAGCAAAAGGGCCACGTTCTCCGTCTTCCGGGCAGAAGAGCAGGGTCCAGACAATGACAAGGTGTGGCGTGTCAAAAGTACAGTGGCGAATGAAGTAAGTCTGGCTGAATCTATTATTGTGAGGAAATTGACATAGGACAGGTATTCCGGACCGATGATGGTAAACGAAATATCGACAAGACCTCGGGATTACGTCTACACCTAGAAGACTTTGCAGACCAGGAAACGTGCCGACGGTTCAAGGACTTGGACAGAGACATTTTCGTGTCTTGTGACGAGCTATACCAATGTCTTCGTGAAGCGGAAGTTCTTACGAAGAAATGGGCTAGAAAAAAAGCGGCACGTAAAGAAACTGCACACAACCCGCGGCCAAAGAAGCGCCGTCGAACAGAGACACCCGAAGAGCAACTTGACGACCGCGACGAGGCTGCTTTTGTTAAGGACGAAGAACGTGTCTCTAAGCGTCAGGAATTGGATGATTCTTCCTACAAAGAAAGCTCTTCGGATTGCATTTGAACATTCGAAGACCGAGCTTCAGATACCGATCATAGTTATCTTTCATGGTACCAAAGCATGAGTACTGTGCATTAGGATAGTTGATAGAAAGCTCATTCGTTTGTTCCATACACCCGTGGCCTAACTCCTCGACCTTTGCAAAGCATCAAATTTTTAGTCCTCTCCATGCAATGAGCGCAGCTCTACGGTGGGTCTCGCTTCCTTCGTTTCATCTAGGGCCTCCTTCAAGATTCGATGGTCTCGAGCTATATGTTATCACTAAGAAAACCTTCACGTGTCGATTTCGCCAAGTTGAAAGAGAGTAGATTGTCATACAAATTACTATGACAGCCTCGTCGGATCCCCCAACGCATTTTCAACCGCCAAGAGGATCTGTCCTGATTTATTCCCCAGAGTCTCCAACCACCCGGAGCTGGGAGGGTGGGTATATAAAAATTTGCCTAAACAGGCAGGCCGCTTTACTTGATTAGGGGCGCAAGAGCTGTTTTCATGACACGAACACAGAAGAAACCGCCTTACTAGATTAGGGCACAAGGGTGAGATGAACAGGTGCGGTTGCCTGGCAGGCCCAGAGGCTGTTACCAGTTCAGTACCTCCAGATTATCCAATCCCCTGCCCATGACTGCAAAAAGGTGTTTCGTGCAGACGTCTTGAAATGCTCAAATTTCCCCCCTTGCTGAATTCAGAGACCCGAAAACAAACACACAAAGCAACCGAGTGAGACTGCAGGTATGAGAAATTCCCACAACATGACATACTCCCGAGGCTGGCACAAGCCGATCCTCAATGGATTTCTGTGTCACCGTCCAAAAGCAAAGATTCCAATTGAAGCTTTGCGTTGCGCATGTGGCTCGATCACCGCTTTCTTCTTCTTACCATGGTCTGCCTCGTCCCCCTTTTCTTCATGCCATGCTCTGCTTTGGCTGACATTTCTTCCGCGGTCCAAGCACGTTGCTCGGCGGCCATCATGGCTTGCTCGGCTTTGATCGCACGTTTCTCGAGCTCCAGCACCATTTTCGTGATACCATGAGCGGCTGAGGCCTTGCGTACCACTAGATCACCTGATTCGTTCTGCCCGCTTTCAGTCTCTGATACCGGCTTTTCTGCCCGCTTCCGTCCCGACTTGGGTGATTTCCGTTTCCCCGGAGGGCTCACTTTTGTTTTCTTCGATCGACGGCCGGCTGTGGCGTTGTCACTTGTACGACGCTTGGCCGGCGTTGTCGGCGGAAGTGGTAAAGGGCTGTCCATCGGGGTCTCTCGAACAACCTCTTGATATCTGCTGGATGAGATTGACACAACATTGATTGTGGAAGACGCGGTGTCGGTCTCGGCGTCAGTGTCGGCCTCAGCGTCGGTGTCATGGAGATCTTCAACCCAACGCTTTGAATGGTCAACTGCTGGGCCCAGCGAAAGAGACTTTCCCGAGGGATACGACCCTGTCGCAATAGCGTACCCTATGCTCAGTGAGTCACTCGTTGGAAACAGGTTGCCAGTGAACTCGCCTTGGTCGAAACCCCATTCTTCAGACATGATCTCTTTGCCCTTCCGACTTCCTGTTGGTTCTGAAGATATGAACGCAGCTTGCTTGTCTGCACCAGTCTGTCTTGTTTCTCCCTGACCGGGTGTGCGTTCGGATATGTGCACATGGTATTCCTCTTTTTGCAATTCCCCGTAGTGTGCTAACTTTCTATCACGGCATGGCTTGTGCTTTGCAATGTCATGCACGTCGGGACGCCGATGTGACGGTTGCTTTTTCCCCGTCAATCCTGGCACAGGAGCTCGTCATGAAGTCATGACTCAGATATGCCGGACTTTCCAAGCGAAGGAGATCCTTTCGCTACCAGAGATGATTGCGAGTAAACCACTGGGCTGGCATGGCTGGTCGCCGACCTGGGTTTTGCTCTACCAATTACGAGTGGTTTGACGTGAAATGGTTGACGTCAGATGTGCGCCTTGTGTAACATACACAACACTCAACCAACCTACAGGTTGTTGCAGCCGGTCGTTGAGAGTTGCACATGTTGCAATTGATCTTGTCGAGAAACTCGATCCCCTCTGCTCTATGTTTGCCGTCGTGGACTGATTGGTGCCCGCCTGGTTAGATGACGGTCGATGGCTTACGGCACGGGTCTCGGCCTCAGGCGCCATCACTGAATCAGCACTCATTTTCGCGATCAGCGACTTGCTAAATGGTTGGAGCGATCAGGAGACGATCTTTTTTTCGATCTCCAGATTGTCGAGAACTGGTCTTTTATGGTCTGTGACGACACGACAAAGATTGGGCTATCACCTTTTCGGGAAGCATTCTGCGCCTGGAGTCGACCAGCAATCACAAGCCAAACACATCCTGGAAGGAGCTGAAAGAGCTGAAGGAGCTGAACTTGTCACTAGGCGCCGACGCAGATCTGGCGGACAATCTAGCCGGCCATCTCTGGATGTGTCAGGAACAGCCATTTCATTCGCTAGGGCCTCAGGCTTGCGTTGCCAGGTGCTGGAGGAAACGAGCTAGCGAGGACAGAACTCAATCTGCACCTTCCTTGCTTCGAACGAGCCTACGGAGTTTTACATAAAAGTACTATCTTTTTGAAAGATTAGCGCCCGCTTCCGACGCTTTTGTCGGCAGCCGAAGAAGATACAGCATCGATGCAGTACCGATGTTGCAAGCAGTACTCGTACTCTTTCTCGACCCCGCTTTCTAACCCCTCTTTCTGACCCAGCTTCTCGTCCCCTCTGTGCGACCATCCCGCTACATCACCCTTTTTCAACAACAGCATGTGCTTGTATGTCTAGAATGGACAGGGCGCGGTTATTCGATAAGTGTTCCGGCCTAATGGAGCCGAGGTCCCAGAGTGCTCTGGGCTCACCGGGCTGATCGCTGGCGGGGACGCACGGTGCTCAGCTTCCATCCCTCCCGCTAGAGAGACGAAAGTCGGTGTCATCCGTACCGCAGAATTGGGGCAAACAGCACGGCTAAACAGAAGCGAGATAAGCAAGCGCGGTTCTTTGGGCGGATAGCACACCGAGAGCCAGGTTCGCAGAAGTCATTCTCTGCTCACTCTTCGGATCTGTTGTGCTGAATCTGTGGTCATTGACATTTGCGCCAGCCACTTGTTCGACTTGGTGTTGCAGTAATTCCTGTCGTAGTGCGGCGAGAGTCGAGGTGCGTTGAGATCATCATGTCGTGTAGGACTCTAATGCGTAGAGAACTGATTGATTGTCATGTCATGGCTAACTTAGAGAAATCTATGAAACAATGACAGAAATCCAAGTAAGCAGCCGATTGGTGGGTGGCGCCAAGAGTGAGGCTAGGCAGCCGTTTAGGCAACACTCACGTGACTGGGCAACTGCCCTGTCGCCACAATTGCAACCGACGGAAGCAATCCTCTTTGATTTTCGGAAGGAGTTGGCCTGAGGCATGCGATAACCTTCGCTCGGTTCAAATTGGTTTTCTGCGGGGTCCAGAGGACAGAACTACAGATACACACCCAAGTGACAACGCAGCAAGCGATCTGTTGAATTTATTCGCATGATCCTGAAACGTGGATATGGCTCACTGCGGCGCTCAAAGAATCCGGCCGGACGACTCCTGCGGCGTTCCTAGCAGATACTCGAAGCCTGAAATTCAAAGGATTACCAACACATTTAAGAGCGCTCTATAGAGAATACGAGCCGCTTAGACTGAGTGTTAAGGAAGATCTCTGGGGTACAGGCGGCTTTCTCACTACAGGATATACGAAGACAGGCAAGTTTTCAGTCCCCTCTATCACCACTATAAGAAAGTAACTCCCAGAGCAGCCGAAGCAGCCGAAACAGCCGAAGCAACCTCTTACGGCGGAAAATACTGTCTAGCCGACATTGGCCTCAGATCATCGTCAAGGCGAAGCAGATAGAGGCGTGGTTGACTAGGCCATGATTGATTCACAAACGCCACGGCGAAAATAAGGATGAGAGTGAGGGTGGTGGCGTTTCTGACAGTGACGCCGGTAGAGAGGTTTCCTGCGACCTAGGAAGCCCTGCATCGGTGATTTAGAGAGTAGCGAGGCAGACACGCGCCCGTTGTTCTCGCCAACTATCTACTCGACGATGACGTTTTCTTATGCGGCTCATTGTTGTCTTCCATATCTCCCTTCGTAGTGTCTAGCAGACTTTGATCTAAAGTGTATCTCTTCCAGCGGCCGGCAACTAAATCCCTTGAAAGTGTTGTTCCAGTAGAAATCCAAGACCATCTCTATAAATCTTTCGGTCTAGGCCTACATGGTCTCACTCTATACAGCAGTAGAATGGCTCTCAGAATTAATTCGCCTTCGCTTGCATCTGTCATCGTTGGGATGTTCTTGCACTGGCGTTCTTGAAGGTGCGGATTACCCTCTGCCCGACAGAACCGGTTTGGCCTATAGACCGCTCGAAAAGGTTTTTGATGTATATCCTCCTCTTCTTGCGCATCCATTGGCGCGATATCTTGTGCTAACGAGAGATAGAGGGCTGAGTGAAATGCGAGATAGGCGGCGTCGTTTACGTGAGCGAGGGAGAATTGACATATGGCTCTGTGACTCCATGACTGACGGATCTTATCGGCGTCGGCGTTGGCGTGGATAGTCAGCAGTCTTGTGTCAGGCAGCAGGTGCGGTAACACGCAGGGATAGGAGGGCAAGTTTCTTGCCGTTGTTCCAGTGAAAAGCACTTCACGCGTTTGGTGACTTGTGCCATTCACCGTGCAAATTCGGTCAGGGAAATAGAAGATGCATCCAGTGAATAAATCCAGTTGTACCATAGTCAGCTGCTTCAGCAGTTTTCGGCACTCTGAAGCGCGGTCTATCAATGCTGCTTTTGATTGTGACTCTCCGTGTTTCAAGATGAGACAGGGACACCCTAGGTGCACAGATAGACCTCCTGGCCTCAACCCTGGTCGCCAAGGCCGGGCCTACTTAAAATTCAATTTCTGCCTTATCCTTCTACCTTTCTTCCTTCTTCCTTCTTCCTAGAGCAGATATCGGCGCCCAGGTCACCAGCCAGGTCGTGATAGGTGCAGAGATATATGAGTATCTGAACATTGAGATCACGACTGTGACCAACTCAGCTCAACCAAGCCAGAATGCCACCCACCGGAAAGATGACAGAGGAGCTGGCCGTCCGTCGTGTCAAACGTGCAGTAAAGGCGCGCACAACCTGGAATATAACCGACATACAATTCCTCAAGCAACAAGGAAGACTTGACGAGCTGTGTGAGAACATCAACTGCGACCAATTCACGGAGAAAGCGAGAAGAGTCCCCGAATGCGAGGTCCAGATACCGATAGACGCAGTAGCTTCAGGACTTGCGAAAGCACGCCCAACGCATGCAGCAGAAGGCAGTGATGACAGCGGTCATGATTGCAGTGACAACCACTCTGATGGCGGCCCCGACGACCAGATCATCGAAGTTTCCAAGACCCCATCTCTCAGTCACAAGAGAAAGAAAAAAGATTCTACGCTGACGTCGAGCAAAGAGGATGAACCGACAAGGAAGAAGACCACGACATTCTTACCGAAAGAAAGCAGGCTGAAGCAGAAATTGCAGCCATGGGAGCCACCCAAACCAGAGGACGAGGTCCCTCAAGTGCGTGATGTACGAGAAGATGAGATACCCGTTGGTCAATTTAAACATGATCCCGTACCAAAACGCATCGTTGTAGCAGACATTACGTCGGGAATTCTTGTTTACCGTATCCGGAACTGGACAGTCAAGGCAGAGATCTTGAGCTGCGGAGACGGCTATGACGAGAGCTACCCTTCCGATAAGGCGTATTCCTGGGATTGGGACGTTGCTAATCGAAACATTGTGTGGTTGGATCATGTCAAATCTGTTACACGAACATTCAACGACTTCTTCGTTTTCCTCATTGACGAGACGAACAAAAACGCCAAATCGAGTGCAAAAATTCCATACAGGAACGGAGACGACTTCCGAGCACACCGGTGGCTATACGACATATGGAACATCACGATGCCGGGCCAAACGGCGGAAAGTCTGAGCGATCCGGAAAGGACAACAGTGGAGTTGCTTTCGATGTTGAAAGACTTCGATGAACAAAGTCGATTGATGTATCGAGTGGTTGGGAAGGTACATGACCGCATAGAGAAGTGTTCCCAGGATGAAAGCACAACTTTACCGGAGTTGGCCAAAACGACCGAGCAGGGTCTTGTGTACCTCTGGGAGCAAATGCATGCCATGGTACACACGCTGTACGCTACACGAAAGCAGCCAAAGTTGAGTTTCAGAACACGCCTCAAGCTCGGTGATCGGGCTCTAAGTCTGTTCGGAATGCGCCTGACTGGAGAGGGATCAGAGAAGACCATAGTTGCATTACCCGATCCACCGAAGTTAAAGGCCATATACCATGACGAGGAGGTACGTCACAGTGAGCAAAGTATGCATCGCGACGCAGAGTGTTCGATGGCTCGTAAAGCGAAACAAGCACAACAAGGGGGCCAGGGTTAGACGCAACTCTTGCCGGAGCCAAAAAATGCTCGCCTGGTCGTGGAGCCAGAGCAGGCCGAAAAGAACCGAAAAGAACCGAGAAGAGCGAGACTGATTCGTCGAGGACAGTAGTGTCTCAAGGAGCAGTGTATTTTTGCCCAAAGGGCACTTTCTAGCGGGCGTTATATAGGCATCCACTTTTTATATCCATAGGTAGATATCCATTATGCAATGGTCATAGAATCTAATCACAAATTATTTAGGGTTTGCTGTCTAGGCGTCCGTTGTAGCGAAATTCATCGTCGGCGCGTATAGAGCGGTGAACACGCCCGCCGGCAATAAGCACAAGCAGCGAGGTACTGAAGAGATGTTCGGGCTCCAGTCGAACCTTCGCGCCTTCGGAGAGTATGCCTTGGTAGATCACGAAACTCGCGCGGATCCAAGTGGCAGTGCGAAATGGTCAGACAATGTACTCCTCTTTCTCTTTGTTGATACGGACTCGCGTTTACGAGTTGCTCCAGCGGGCATCCCGTCCCTAAAGGGGTCTATGAAAGCGGCTTTTTAGCGGTCCCGACCTCCAAAGAACTGGTGTAAAAGTTGCAAAGGTCCTTGAGTCACGGCGCCGCACTGCGACGGGAGTCCAAGCAGACTATGATAAGCGAGTCACAATATCAGAACCACCGCGCTCATGTATCCCACAAAATCTAAGCGTCGACCAATCAGCTTTTGATCCGCTGTCGACACTCTAAGGTCGGCAGGTGAGGGCGCTCGGTGAGTGATGGTGGCCCTTTGCCTTGCAACCTGCATCATATGCACTCCCACAACCTTCTCCTCCTGCTACTTGTGTCATTTTCCGCTAGTGATCCCACTTGCTCCCGCTTGTATTCTGCTAAGCATACGGCTGCCCTCATTCTACACAAGACCGATTCACCACAAACCGCCCTCTCAGCCGTAGGTGTGTCATGGCCCGCGTATAGCTATTCCATCACCGTGCAGCCCTTTGCTTCGTCTGCAAATTAGAACTGTGCAAGTTTGCTGACTCCTTCAATTCCCCCCGTCCAGTATTCCGCCGCCGGCAACGATAATAACCAATACCAACATGGCTGTCGGCAGCCCTGGCATTTCCGCAGAGCTTGTGACCACTATCACGATCGGCGTGGTGATGTTCTGCATCGGGATGTACGGGCTCTGGCAAACCCACCGAGCACGCCGTCACGTTCCAAATACCTTCCGTTTAGCCCATTCCATCCCTCGATGACCGCCCCGTCGCTGACCGAAGTCATAGAAGTGTCGATCGACCTGCGTCCTCAGACCGCCGATGGTTCAAACCAAGTGTGACAGACCTCCCATTTGTGCTGCGCCCTATATGGTAAAGAGATGGAACACCGTGTCGTGGTGCTGAGCTATCTTGTGGCAAGGCCTGAAGGTCGTCCGAGGACTTTCCCAAGTCAGCGCAACAGTCCAGAGTGGAGTTATATAAGAGTTGAAGTTGATATTTTTGAAGGGTCCACTCGTTCGATATATAGTTGCAACAGAAGGGAAAGGAAAGGTACACATATTTGAGAAGTCGACTCAGCTCAACTCAATTCAATTCAGTTCATACCATAAACCCCGGGGTGCTGCCGCCTTCACCCCAGCTGAAGGAGAAGGCCGTACTGGTGATTAATTCCTGGACAATCCTTAACAGAACGGAGGTCTTTGTCATTTCGACTTTGGCTAAAGTCGCTATGACACAAGGTCATTGAATGCCAGCAGCATCCATAACCAGCGGAAGAAGATTCGCAGCAACGACACAGACGGCCAATTTATACATACTTGTGTCGTTCAATGGTTTTATTTATCACTCCCTGAGCCGGAATCGTGGAGCAGTCCGCACTTAATGCTGACCCGAGATTGTGTATCTGACATATTTCGTGTCCGGAGGACGATCGGTACCCCTGATACCTTAATCGACGTTTGGCGTCCCGAGATGTTCTGCTCCCCAACGTCCGACACGGAATTTCATTTGGCGCCCGGATTTCGTTTGGCAGCCCAAACACATTTCAGAATGTTGGGAGCCCCGAAGACGTTGGCGCCTGAAGACGATGCAGCCTGGGCATTTTATGCACTCCCGGCATATTTAAGATTCGCAGAAGGTTCGGAGCACGACATATTTGCAGTTCGCGGCCACATTTGGCGGCCCGACAGGTTCAGACATGTTTAGCAGGTGGTATTGTTTGGGTCCGGAGACGTACAACGGCCGGAAACTATTGTCCGTCCGAGATGGGTCATTAGCCCGCAGAGCGTTTGGTACGGGCATTTGTTTTGGTAGCTCGGCATTTTAAGCACGGGAGACGTTAATACCTCCAGCAGGTTTCGCACTCCCGGCAAAATTAATGCACGAAAAACGCTTGCACCTCTAAAGACGTTTGGCGACTCGAGCCGGTTAGCCTCTGGAGCCATTTGGCAGACCCGGACACGTTTGGCTTCCGAGGACGTTTGGTGGCCCGAGACGTTTGGTGGCCCGAAGCGTTTGGTGGCCCGAGACGTTTGGCTTCCGAGGACGTTTGGTGGCCCGAGACGTTTGGTGCCCGAAGCGTTTGGGCCCGAGATAATTGGTGCCTAGCGTTTAGCACGGGTCTTTTTTTTGGCTCCGCATACGTTTAGCGCCGGAAGCGTTTTGTCCCCGGCGTTTAGCAAGGGTATTTGTATGGCCCCCCGCATGCGTTTGGCAGTCCGCAATTTGTTTTGCGCGGGGATTTATTTGGCAGCCAGAGGTATTTGGCAGCGGAGACGGTTATTCCCCAGTGAGGTTGAGGCGCCCACGCGCCTCAGCAGTTTAATACATCAAAACCCAGATAAATCAGCACCCGATAGATTGCGCGACGCCGCGGGACGTTCAGAGACGGGGAATCTCGTGACCCTTGGGCGCCGAACCCTCCGAAAGGATTTTCTTAAGCTCGAGTTATGGAGTATGTTCTATTCTGTGCAGTTGGTTTCTAAAGGTCACCTATAAACTCTGGCGCGGGAATTATCAAACGATCTCATAGATCTTTCAAAGAAAAAATGCAGCTGGGAATCAACTCTAGGTTGTCTGTGCTTTCCTTGCCGCCGTATCTCCTAATCGGTCTCTAGTGTGGCGGCAGGGCAGTTGCCCAGTCACGTGAGTGTTGCCTCAACGGCTGCCTAGATAGACTTCTCTCTTGGAGGATCCCTTTGGGTTATGTGGAGGATGTTCACCACGGGATACAAGGACAAGTCGTTTGAAGTAGGAAGTCTCCCATTTATGCATGCTTTTCAGGAGCATGCAGGTCCTCGTGATGTATTTACGCCGAATCTTCTTGCGTTCCTGGCTGGTGTCCCCTGTAACGTCTCAACTGTCCGGACAATACCCCATGCGCAGCGTTACCCAGGTCATGCATCAACTGGCTCAGATTTTCAATCAGAGGCAAAGAAGTTCCGTTGTCGCCGCCATTTCGGTTCTTCTTCAACACATTGATGCACAGCTCCATCAGTCCCTTTGGGTTACTCAAAGTTACCGTTCCATTCAAGCTTTCAATGCCGTTACGTACGACCGGAGTGCCGCGGCCGAGACTTATGAATCGCTGGACCGCAGGAGAATCGTCTCCATCTAGCCAGATTTGAATTGCATCATTTGCGGTCATGTGAGCGCTCGATGACTGTGTCTGGGTCTGATTCTTAGTTGGAAGAGCCGCACGAACAACGGCGTAAGCCCAAAACGTAAGACCAGCGTGGTATAGGCAGATCGAACCGAAGTCGTGAAGTGCCTGAGCATGACACATTCTCGCAGCTTTGAGAATCTGGCCCGCATGCCATATGGCTTTGCGAGATTCGCTGCTCTTGGCCCACTGCTGCAAGAATGGGAATGCGCGGCGCGCTTCCTCCTCACCTTCTTTGCCGGCGAACAACTGCACTTGCTCAAAGGACACGTGGAGATTGAGAAGTGTCCTTTCGGAGACAAGCACCATTTCTGGCCGAAATATCCCGTTCCAATCAGAAAGGATCAGGACTAGTTGTTCTATCAGATGCACGGCCCCGGGCTCATGAGTGTTGCTCAAGAAGAGACCTCCATGGTTGAGACCAGAAGACGGCGATCGTATGAGCGCGTTTAGCTGAAGAACGCTGTAGGCTACGGCCCAAATGCTGTAGGTGACGATGCAAGCAGCGAAAGCGAGGTCGATGTTTGGTTGGTTTTTGAGCTCTGCCACATTGCTGATGCCTTGGCAAATGGCCACGTTTTTCTCTTGAGGATCGAGTTTGTGTTGGAGATAGACATCCCTCCATTCTTCCGCAGTACTCGCACCCCATAGCTCCTTTGAGGCCGGAAAACCGAAAGAAATTTCGGATGCTGATAAAAGTGGTGGAACTTGGTAAGCCATAGAAGCCTGGTTGGCATGAATGAGAATATGACAGACAAGCCTGATCGTGTCAGCATATTTTGCAGAAATGGAGAGTATCTTCGTAACCTTTTGTATGACTCGGCATAGACCCATTGCTTCCATTTCAGTTCCAACGTATCTGGGGTGTCTTGATGAGTAGGATGAGATGGCTGCCCTTTAGGGCGTCCAAGCCGACCCGCCCTTCTGACCATCTGCGTGCCTCAGTTAGTCTAGGACTGGCTGAATTTCAGAAAGTACTAGTACTTGCAGTGATCAGAGGTTGAGCAAAACTTTCAGCAAGTTCCATCTTGCGCTTGTCTCCACTCCAGAGACCTATTTGAAGTTGTAGTGCGAACGCTTGAAGGGTTGTAAGATCTCGAATGTATCTATTATCTTTCTCAATCTGTGCAAGAGTCAGGCGATCCAGGAATACACGGGCTAAATGTCTACCTTTTCGGCAAGAAAATTTCGACATGCTTCTTGTAACGCGAAGCCGAGCTTTCGTATCGATGACACGGAGCATAGGACAGCCCCAGCAGCAACCATGACTGCGGCAAGCTCAAATGACTCGCCCAGATCCAAGGTGGGCAAATGCAACCAGGCGTCCACTTGATTCAGATGGATTGTCATGTAGAAATGTAAAAGCTTGTTCAGGAGCTGGGCGCTCGGAAAGGACGACGCAATGGCTGTATAGAGTGAGGAGTCGCAGGTCGTTAGCACACAGACAAGAATTTTATCCCGCCCGGTGTTGTCGAGGAAGTGGTTGGACAGTCGATCATCTGCCACGGCCTGAGTTTCAGGACTTTCCATATCGGCATACGGCAGGGAAAGATTGAGATTGTCCTCGCCGCCATAATTCTGATTGGTGGGTGTCCACATCCAAACTGATCGCATGAACGCGGCGTTTCCTGAGGATACTCCGTCCCCAAAAATCGGGGTTCTAGTGCCTGAACCTGGAAGTGGATTTAAGGGTCTGTTGCTCGCTGAAGGTATTGCGTCGGCGTGTTGTGTCCCAAGCAAAATGTCCAGCTCCGGAATATTTTCCAGATTGATTCCAAAGTCTAGGAAATCCCGAGGTGTGCGCGGGAGGTAATGTTGTTCGTTCAGCAGATGCTGGGCATCGGGAACAGGAGTCACCGGAAGCATGATATCATTCAGAAAATACGCGAGCGACGACTCGTCGAAATCATAGGAGAAATCGGTACCCAAATTGAAGGCTTGTGAATCGTCGTGGCTTCCGTTGTGTGACGCTAGATCGGGGGTTTGCGCCTTCTGCTCTGATGTGGCAGTGAGAGGAGGCTTCGACCCAAGGTTAGAGCTTGTGTTGGTCCGCCCATCGTCAGATATCATAAAAGCTGGTGCTCCAGATGAATCAGGCATATGAAATTGAAAGTCGGGAAACGCTCCTTCTTGAGTCATTATTTGCTCAGCCGGCGGCGCTTGCACTGGGCCAAGTCAGTACTTCAGGTGAGCGCATGGTCTATTTAATTCACCTTGACCAGTGCCATCATCAATAGGTGCAGTGGAATCCGTGTAAAGGCAGGACAGTTGTTTCTGCTGACAACGCCGGCAGGGTTTCTCCTCTTCGCACTTTAACTTTGCCGCTGCGCAGGCGCTACATGCCTTTGCGACACGACATCGTCCGTTGAATATCGATTTTCGTCGTCGCTTTGCTAATGGGTCGGCGGATTCCTCATGGTTGGCAACATGGCGCTTCAGCACGTCACTAGAATCCGGACAATCAGTTTGACATGACCCAAGAAGACAACTCGACGACATACGCTCTGGCAAAACCTTTGCCGCACACTCTGCAAGAAAAAGGTTTCGTCTGGGAATCTATGGACACATTTAGCTGGCCACCGTCGTTGGCATGATTAATGAAGCTCACGAGAACGTTGATGGCGCACTAGATGGTCGGGTCGCGCATACACCTTCCCGCAAGTCTTGCATGATAAGGAGCCTGCTCGTTGACCTTTTCCCTCAACTGAGATGGACATGACTGGACTTGGCGAGAGGATCGTGCCATCTGGCACCAAGTCTAATGATTCTGCGGCGTCATCACTTGGTAACATGGAGGGCATAGTGTGACTGGGACCTGTCGCGTTGCGTCCACATCAACCGCGTGGTCGGATTGAAGATGAGGAAGAGAAAGCGAGATGGGTTGGTGGAGGAGATTCAGGGGGGCCCCTTGGGGGATTGTTGTGGGCGAGCGGGGAAGTTTCAGCAAACAATTTTGGGTGACACGTGAGACGTATCGGCAGTCAGGGTCACGTGGTCTGAACACGCACGCGGCATATACCCTTCTTCGGAGTAGGTGGAGGAGTGGCGCCGTTCCGAGGGTGGCAGATGTGGAGGAGACCAACAATTACTTTGCCGCGCCATTGTGGCCATCGGCAGCAGTGATGGCCGGAAGAGAGCGATCGGATCTTGTAACGAAGTCATCGATCGGCCTTCAGTACGCTGTATCCAGATTGTGTACCTCTTCATCGATATTTTTGGGTGGCCACACTTGTGGTGCAAGTATGACCAGACAGGGTGAGCATTTTCAACGCAAACAGTGGGCTATACATTCCGTACTCACAGATGATAGCGCAAAGCCCAGTGCACTGGTTCTCTCATGGATCCACCATGATCCTGGGGGAGGAAAGCGAGTGTGCCACGATACGTATCTCGTCCTGATTAGGATCAATGCCTGCCTCCCTCCTGCCCCACGTGAGCTCGCGCCGCTTTTGCTCAGGCTGGCTCGTGCCCGGCTCAACTTCGGCTCCGGGCCGGCTGCGGCTGGGCCCAGCTCACCCTCCACCTTACTTACTACAACCTGTCCCCTCTCCTTCACAGTTGTCTCAACAGGGTTGCGGGGATGTCGATGTCATATTGAAACGTCTCAAACACCAAGGAGTGGCTATACAAAGACGCGACAGCAAGGTCTATCTCGAACAAAGTGCGCCGGTACCAAAGTTTGTGTGCTCATGATTGCCGAGGTTGGTGTAGCTGGTGTCAGTCGGCCACGGAATACTAACGCTGCGACCCAGGAATGAATGTCGCAAGGACTGAGTGTCGTCAGGAATGAGTGTCGTCAGGAATGAGTGTCGTCAGGAATGAGTCTCGTCAGGAATGAGTGTCGTCAGGAATGAGTCTCGTCAGGAATGAAACATTCCGCCACGCGCTCGGGCCCCTTCTAGAGCCATAAGGAGCTCACTGAGCGCGTCCTTTGTCCTGTCTTACACTTTTCACCCCCACCTTTAAGCTGCTGGCTGCCCTTTTGTCTCTTGTCTCTCTCTCGTCCGAGGGTGAGACTTGTGTCTTGTGTCTTGTGTCTTGTGTCTTGTCGGAAAGCGAGACTTGACGCACCGCGCCTTCTTCGGTCTTCCCTCTTGTCCAAAGACGAGACTTGAGTTCACCACCATATCTTCCAGCTTCATTCAATGTCTATAAACATAGATTCAGGAGACGGTGTGAGCAGTTCGGGCTTACCTATATCTCAAAGACATGGTCAGAATACCTTCACGCTCTTCCATTCTAGCCGTTAACAACTCTCAGCAGCTACACAACAGCCTACAACCGGAACCGAACAAGCGCGTATATTTCTACAGCAACTCTACAACCCGCAGTTGAGAGTCAGAGATTACGACCTCGACGAGCCGTTTGTCTGCAGAATATCTGAGCTTGAGTGGTCACAACTGTGTGAGGAGTTCGATCTTGACGGCCCGAAATCTGAAAGCAATAGGTACGTTCATATTCTTATTTTTCTCTCTTCTGACGTTCTTTATCTATTAAAGAATACTTTACTAAGTACTTTCTATAGGTTGCCTAGATTTTCATACAACTCCGCCATATCAACTCTCAAAATCTATACTATACCTTCCTGCTTACACGAAATTATCATCAACTTTCTTCACAAACACTTCACTCTTCTATTTGATCGAGTCCTTTCTAACTACCTTCTTAAAAGAATTGATATTTTCACAAATCTAACAATCCGTACTGGGTTTGAAGCAGAATATGAAGGCTCAACCAAAATCCCCGATCTCGGAATTTTTGTGAGAAACAACAATACTCAAAAAATGGAGCTGAAATGGGCTCTTGAGGTTGGCTTCTCTGAAAAATATAACGACCTTCAGAAAAACATTGGACTTTGGCTTATCGGTCAACCGACATGTGCTATGGTCGTTCTTATCAAAATCACGGAAAGTCCAAAATATCGACGCCCACCTTATACAGAACTTAATATACCTCAAAATCAATCTGAGATTCTAGAAGAAGATTTCTCTCTTCGAGGAGAATATGGCCCAGTGGAGTTCAAAGGATATCAGTGGGTAGGACAGATCTCAGAAGTATTTCTAGAGATTTGGACTCGCCATCCTGAAACTGGGGAACCAAGGCGGCGAATAGGACGTCAAACATCTATTATTCCTCCAACGGACTTATCTCCTCAATTTGAACTCGCCGAATTTCTCGATATTGACGGTTCACAAATGATATCCTTCGATTGGGACGAACTCCGAGGGAAACTCAAGGACTACCTTCGATCCGAGGCTCACTTGAGGTGCTGCATGTGGCTTCGGGAAAGTAAGAAACGTGTAGGGATGGACGACAAAGCTGACAGGCCTTCGTAATGGGGTTTCAATCAATGCGGGTATGGTTGTGGTGGACGACGAATCTGACAGATGTTTCCTTTGTAATGGGGTCTTGATCAATGCGAGTATGGAAGAAGGAAAGAGAGGCCTACTGTACCGGGTTACTGAGCTGCCTCTTCAAAATAGGTAGTATTTGGCATGTGGATGGGGCAAGGCTGGAGTGGCAAGGCTGAGGCATGCCCCCATCCCGATGGCGAAAACACACCTGACCTTGTAGATATTCATACATGCGAGTTATCACACAAGGGGATACAAGTTGTCGACCCGCGCACCTTTCGTACTCTTTCGTTTTGTTTTATGTTCTATTCGAGCTACTATGTGTCCTTGCATGCGCGATTGAGGCCAACATAGGCATTCTGAGGCCGTGCCGTACACTTTCTTGTGCCATCCGCGGGCATTCAACATCTCAATACTGCGTTTGGCCTTACCCCATCCAGAGACGTGGGCTACCCTGCCTACCCTGCCTAACCTGACCTCTCCGATATTACCAGGGCTTTGTCACCCGTTTACACTATGAAGTTGAAGTAGCAGCAGGCAAACTCAACGCACAGATGCAAGGCTGCGCAAAACTGCCTCGTCTCATGTTGAACGCCACAGGCGCAATTTCTCAGTCTCAGAGAGCGTCGCCGTTACCTATATCAAGTCAGCCTTGCTCAGCCTCACGGATTTGGTCAGACCAGAGTACTTCTCACACGAAATATTGATTTTGCTAATCAGCTGCTGGATTTTGAGAACCAAACTCGACCGAGAAAGCAAAGGGGCCTCGGAATAGGCCCTTCCGAAGCTTGATGGGCCCCAGCCCTAGACTCACGACGCGCTCGTGCTCAGGTTTGCGCAGCCACAGCTCCAAGTGGCTTAATCAGGGGAGCCCAACTCCATGTTAATTCGCACCCGAAGGTTCCAATGACGGGGTCTTCTCTTCCACCTTGAGAGCTCGCATGCCTACAAACGTCAGTTGCCATTATTCCAGGTTCTCGCCAACTAGGTGTGCATGCCTAAAACTTATCTAGCTGATCCTAGTCCGCATGCAAGCTTGGCGGAGACATTGTTTGGAGGTAAATCGGCAATTATAGGCAGGTGCCGGTTACAGGGCCCTGGCCCGGATATGTGCACGATTGATCCGTTGCTCAGGCTGATTGAACACCGTGATCAGCCACGTTCCGGACTTGCTCAGGTTGAAGCGGCGAGGCTCAGGTCTTGCTCAGGTCCAAAGATGGAAATGGAAAGTGCCCATGTCGAGATTCCGACGTTGAATTGCGGCTTGCCTGTTTCCCCAGAGATGTCGACCAACGGTACTTGTCTCTATGAACGCTCGATATGATCCACATTTCCACATCGAAGTCGGGACTGCCTTGAGACCACTTCGCAAGGAAGGCTATCTCATTATCGGCTCCCGTGGTGCCGTGCATAACCTTTATCGCCAAAAATGGGAAGCTATGCTGCAGCATCGAGACAATTTCGCCCAACAGACGCCGCCTGAAGCGTGGGCTCTACAGTTCCGACAATCGGTAGAGGTCTGGGTAACTCAGAACTCGGGACCACGACTGAGGAGCGCTCTTACTCGATTAATGAAGCACCCGCAGTATAGAGACGCACATGCTAGCGATCACCACTTCATGGCCGAACTGTTTGTGGCAGGAGCCGTTGGGGACAAAGAAGATGAAGGCACCTACGGCAAATTGTGTGTGGAGACCTGGGAATTGGTGAGCGTTGGAAAGTCACGTATCTCTGGCCGAAGCTAATATGAGTTCCAGACGAATATGTGAAATTCGCAGTACACCTTTGGATCATTTGTCAAAGCTACAGCGTAGCAGTGTAGGACATAAGTGCACGATCGACAGACATGATGCTTCACCAGCGCGTCCGACGCTCGAAGACTAGCTACGCTCGAAATGAAGGGCACTCAGAATTGCAGAAGGAAGCTATCACGTAGTGTGAGAGAATTCGAGATACCTGATCAGGCAAGAGGCTTTCCCGATTCAGCTGCGCTTGAATTTTTGATGGCCCAACAGCGGGCGCTTATTCTGAAAATCGGGGATCTGATTGGCTGTAAGCTCAGTTTTCATGTCACTTTTTAGCCTGTCACATGGTCTTCCTGAGGCGGTGGTAATTTGTTAGGATAAGATGGCGTTGTTATTTAAGCTTTGACCCACGTATTTTCGATTATCATGCATAGTGAATGTCAGGCCTGTGGGACTTTGTGGTGTCGCAGTACGCCTGCGGTGGAATAGACCCTCGGTCTTATGGACTTATCACCCGGTCAAGTGTTTCAATTCTAATATGCAAGGCACTTTGCGGCCGACCTGAATATCAGGTCACAAGCAGGAGCTGCGGTGATGCGGGTAGTCGACTCTTTATCCAAGCATAACCTAAAACTGGCGATTGTTTCAGCGTACCAACTTTCTCGCCAGCAGTGGCACTCCATACTTCCACAGAAAAACACTGCTTGCTATGATCGTCGTCAGAGCAAGGCTAAATTCCTACCAATATCCCCTGCTCGAAGAACCCAATCGCACGTCCCGCAGGCTGATTCATCTTGGTTTCCAGTGATTCAGCTGCACGTCGAAGCTTCATTGCCTCACTAACCTCGTTCCCATCGATCAGTCTGGCTAGATGACGGCTCCTATCACTGTAGGAAATGAACTCTGGCTTCGGCAACTTGAACATTTCCCGAGTATAAAACCCCCTAAGACTGGTGCCAAATCCGACAGGTGACACAGGCAGCGGCTCCTCTGGATCCAGAAATAATGACCTCTGCACCCGCTTGTTCGAGCTCTGGGCTGATATTTTGGGTATTCGGGCCTTGACCGTGCCTTTGGGGCTAGGACCATTGACCTCCAGCTGTGTAGCGAAATACTGGCTGGTGAGCTTGGCGATTTGTGCGCAGAACTCCTTGATTCGAAATTCATCCACGAGCACAAGATCTGGCGCACGAGGAGATTGGCCTGCAAAAGAGAATCGAGCCCGGGAGATGGCCTTTGCTGCTTTCTGCATATCGGCAGCACGGTCAACAATTGCGACGGTCCGAGTGGAAGGAGGGACCAAATCCGTTCTCGAGTAAACGACATTGGGTTCTGCGGAGCCAAAGAGTCGGACGCTGTGTTGAGGCAGACTTGCAACATCTATCCTTTTGTCAACGACAATGAAGACGTCTGGATCAAGAGCTGCTATTAGTGTCGTCTGCGTAAGTTCTGAGGTCTTTGACAGCATCTTGGGAACCTGCATGCCTGTGAAACGGCAAAATGGTGAAGTGAGCGCGATCATGTCTTACCTCGAGGATGACACAGCTCCCCGCTGCAATTGCTGCAGCCACCGCTGTCACACATGCATTAAAGAAGTTGTAGCTCGAAGGTAAGATGTAGGCGAGTGGATAAGCGACCGAATGTGACAGGGAGCTTTCGCGTCTCGCGAGCCAGTACTCGACCTCAAGCGCCTTCTCCAGATTGCTCTCTGCGAACAAGGCGGCCACAGCTTCAAGTGCTAGAGCATATTGGATTTGAATCTCCGCCGTCGTATGTCTGCTCTCACTCTCGATAGTCGCTCTGATCGCCGGTCCTTCTTTCTTCAATGCTGCATGAAGACTGCTGAGTTGACTCTGCACGAAGCGTGGGCTTTGAGCTTGCCCTTCGACAGCGGAGGCCAAAACCCGGTCAATTGAGTTTGCCATTGGTATGAATTGCAAAACTTTGATGCTCCTTTGAGATTTCAGGCTGTTGACATGAAGATATCCAAAAACTTCCAGGCCGGTAAATTGGCTGGTCGGACTTTCTCGGCACATGAATCCTACGCTTCAGGCGACGACCTCCACCATCGCCCACTTACCGAACGCGCCCATGAACTACCGAGAGTTTCTTGCTTGTCATATCATTCTCTGGGCTAATGTTAATTCCATCTCTTTGCCGCTCAAAATCGTCAAGAGTGAACCCATTGCGGAAATGTCAGCGACCACAACCGCAAATCCAGTATCTGGCGCCGTCCTCAATATTCTTAAGGACTATGATATCCATCATGGTAATCCAGAGAACCCAGGAACCCCAGAGCCACCGAATTCACAAAGAGACACTCCCAAACCCATTCTAAACCCGGAGCACTGGGACAACGAACATCGACGTGTCCCACCATACAAGCCTATCGACAAGAGAAAGCGCGGCCCTGAAAGGCCAGACGGCTCCAACCCAATAGAGGTAGCCTTTATCTTTCTGATGTTGAATGGGTGTGGTCTGATCGGGGTAAGTTTATGTCTCTTCCATTGGGCTTCAGACACTGATTGCATCACAGCGAGGGAATTCTGCGTGGAGAGCCACGGGCGGGAAGCTGAATGCTCACATTTTCAGATATAAGATTGGAGGCGAATGGTAATGAGATGGTATAAAAGGGCACGGTGGATTGCTGATGGGCGAGTACGGTGAAACTACAAGAGCCCGCCGACATCTATATTTCGGGCTTTCACACGATTGTGATTTTATGCGCAAGCAAAAGACTTTGAATGGGAAGCATTCTCAGGTTATCCAGTTACGATTACCGTCCAGAAGACTTGACGTCCTGCGGCATATCGCCATAATCTTCGTCGAGTTCTTTGCCACCTATAGTGATTGGTTTTGATTCCTGCAAGACATACAACATGCGCACCCAAGAGTCCGGACTCGGATTGCGCCATGCATGGGCGGTCGCTCTTTGAATCGCAACGTCCCCCCGCTTCATGGTTCGTACCTCCCCAGAGTCCAGGATTCATTCCACAGTCCCTTCGAGAACGACTCCGTAGTCGAGACTCACAGTACGGTGCATAGGTGACGTTGACCCGGGGGGCATGTCGACATAACGCAAGACCGTGCCACCGGGAATAGTCAGACCAAGGAGATCTTGTTGATATTTTTTGTAGGTATCGATGTCTTTGTCGTCGTTCAGGTCGACAGGATATTTATTGGTCGCATAAGAAAATGCAAACTCTGCTTTGTTGCCTATGACTTGCCACCCCAAAGGCTCATCGAAGGCCTTATTGAAGACTGCTTTGACATCGCTGTTGTGGTCCGTCACGAATCTGTGGACAATCGGGAGTCCTTTAGCGTCCATTTTGTTTCAGTGATCCTTCGATCAGGGCGCCCCGGTCCGATCTGTTGCGTCTGGTCGATTCGCCTGTGCTGTGGTAGGTCTCTGATCGGAAAACATGTACATTTGCAAAATGGAAGGCTTCTGTAAGTATCGCTGTTCAAGAAGTGCCAACATCTATCCGTGATCATCGGTATAGAAAATATGGGGCACCCGACAGGAGAGGCCCTCCACTTCCCGGTACCACCGGCTCTCAATTTTGACTCGCCATATCTGTTGACGGCATGACTGCGTCAACCGTACTCTTGGATTTCCAACATCACAAGACCACAGGCACAGACGATACGCATATTTGCTGAGAACATGCTCTTCTCCTGAACGACAGTTGATTGGACCGAGTGTTTGAAGCAGCACGATGCCGAATCCGATTCAAGATATTGCGACGGTCGACAATGACAGCTTCCCCTACATCTTGGAAAAAAATGTTTCGATCCCCTTGAAACGCAGTTCAGGCGTGGTGAGAGCCAACGTGTACCGGCCGAAGAGTTCGACCACCGAGCCTGTGCCTGTGTTAGTCACCTACGTTCCCGTGAGTATCCCCTTCATTAAAACACCAGTCTTTCGCTTTATTTCCCTTCCAGGTTCTTTACCGACGCAGCTTTCTGACGATTCCCAGTATGGCAAAGACATTTATTACGGAGAGCAAGTCGAGTTTGAGCTAACGTTTCGATGATTTGCTGAATATGGTTCAAGCTTTCAGGTCCAGTCATTCTCCGAACTGAACCCAGAACAGAATTCAGCGCACTCGGCTTGGGAAACCCCCGATCCTGGCTATTGGACGTCTGTCGGGTATGCTGTTGTACGTGTCGATGAAAGGGACCTCGGACAGTCACCTGGGCTTTTGGACACAATGTCTAAGTCTGCGAGCGAGGCATTCTTCGACGCCGTTGAATGGGCCGCCGAACAGCCCTGGTCATCGGGTAAAGTAGGCCTTTTAGGCATTTCATAGGTCTTTTACACAGGCACAGCTGGCGATCCTGTGCCTCTCACCAAGGGATGGTTGAGAGTAAGCTTGCGCAAGGTCAACGCCGCCCACCGACGGCACAGGGATTATCTGCCATACCGAGACTGTTGCAAATCGGATGTGCAGCCCGTCCTGCCTGGTGAGGCTTATACTGTCGACGTCGAAGTCTGGCCTACCAATGTGGTTCTGGAAGAAGGCAGCCAACTGGTCCTCGAGGTATCATCTGGAGACACCCAAGGTTCGGGTATTTTCACACACGGAGGACGAAATGACAGGTATACAACCCCGAACACTATACGAAACCCAGACACTGACATTTGACGTAGGACAGAACAGCGCTTCGGGGGGATGAACCATATCTGCTTTGGCCCCGACTATGACAACTACATCACGTTACCAGTGGTACCGCCCAAAATTGCATGAGTGGCTATGGGTAGGGTGACGATGTGGGAGTCTCGACAAAGCTGAGGCTAGAGCACTCCTCAGCATGAGCATGGCAATGAGAACCTTTTGAATCACCTGTGGTATCATCATGCCTGCTTGCTCGGTAAGAACTGACTCGGGTGACGGGGCGGGATAATGTGAAAGTGGTCCATTTCGGGCTACAAGCAGACCGGCTTGTGGTTTGACGTCGCCAGTCATCTACACTCAGAGATTTTTAGATTTGAGAATGCCAAGAGGGCTTATTGGTCATCGCCACGGCCTGTGCGGAGCACTTTTCAATCTTATATAGCCCCTTTGTTCCAAGCTTCTGACTTTCTCGAGCATCTGGATTGTAAATGCTTCAATGTCAATATTTCGAACTTCTCGTGACAATCGTGCCGACGCATTCCCCAAAGCCGACGCCAGCAAGAGTCCCATCATGATTGACCGCTTGACCGGTAATCAAAACCGTATCTCCATCTTCTAAGTATTTCCTTTTCGCCCTTGACCCGCCTTGTAAAACGATCTCAAAGTCCTCCTTACGGCCTCGCGTGGTCTCAAGCAGGCAACCTGCCGCACCCTTCCCAGGGCCGGAAACTGTACCCGTAGCAAGTACATCTCCTGTATTCAGTCCACAGCCTCCCGAAGCTTGGTGAACGATGAGGTGGGCAAGCGACCAATACGACGAAGAAAAGTGCGATGTGCAGATCGTGGTGTTTGTGTCGGCGGGTGGTGAGACATAGGGTGGAAACAGTTTTGCTTGGAATTGAATGTTGAATGCTGTGTTTTGTGCTTCTAGATGCGGTGCGACGGGTATGTCTCGGTCAGCGATCGTGGTCCGGAGTGGCTCTAGGGCATCAAGTGTGATCACCCAAGGTGACATGGTGGTGCCGAAATTCTTACCCATGAGAGGGCCTAAAGGCATCATCTCAAAGCCCTGGATATCGCGAGCTGCTGACAGTAAGCATTTTTGCAGGCACCAAACACATATACCGGTCGATCGTGAAGATCAATCTTCAGACTCGACACGACTTTACATACCGGACCAGTCGTTTAGCATCACGAGACCAAAGATATGCTTTTCGGCATCATTGGCCTTGACGGAAGTTCCAAATGGCAATGGTTCGCCTACTATGCATGCAATCTCTAAGTCATAATCTAGTGCACGGCAAGCATCGTAGACCACTTTTTCACCGTTGCGGTAGTGCCCAGACGGTCGTGCTATTGGCGTGCCCGAGACGACGATACTTGAGGCACGTCCACCATACCCCATGGGGAAGTGTAAAAAGCTAGGCGGAAGTTTTCTGATGTTGAGGATGGCTTCTCCAGCCTTCAAGTTGTGGTCTTTGGAGCAACTGAAGTCGGTGAACTCAGAAACATGTATCGGAAGATGCAGCTTCACCTCCTCGATAGGGACAATGGCGTCTGATGGGATCGAGCCCCGCGTCTGGTTTTTTAACAAGTTCTGGAAGGCTAAGCGGATCTTTCTTCGAACCGACCTGGAAAGCCGAGCAAGATCATTCAAGGTTTGCTTCGTGAGGTCAGACATGTCCAAGTTGAATGATGACAAACGCACTTGTCGTAAAGCCTGGTCGACTTCTGAATCCAGGTCTCCCAAAAGCCCCGCATCCAGCAGTGGAGGGATGAAGATGACACTCCCATATTCTCTCGTCGCTATCGAAGGACTCAGGTACTTGGCGGACATCGCAATACCATACGGAAGATTATTGATTGAGAAGTGCTCGTCATACATGGTGAATATGTTAGGGGGTTCGAGCAAGTCAAGGGCGCTTTGCCGTTCCCCAGGACTGGGACACGAGCAGTCTGGGGGGCAAAGGTGCCTTGGTCAAGAAACTATGATGCCCTACTAATTTCTCAGCGAGTGACAAATAACTCCTCGCAGTGCTGTGTAGATTGGGCTGCCTATTGCACCTTAACTTAAGAGTCAAAAATGACGTTCTTGGTGAGTGGCGTGCCAAAGGGGTCCCGGTCCTCCATTCCCCTGGCCCCTCCACCTCGCCCGCAGCGACCGACAACGCCGCGTCTGAGAACTCGGTAAGTGGTCCGGCCATACCTCGACACCATATCTTGTTCATCACATGTGTTAACACCACAAGGGTTTGAGCCGCATCTCAAGAAAGCGTTGGTATTTCCCTTGAAGATCAGGGCAGAGCTTTCTTGGTGCCTACACATTGCAACCGCACGTCATACATCATGGGTCAAGAGAGATGATGGAGTTTGTAATAGGACGGCACACGAGGAGGAAGGAAAAGGGATTGGTGGCTGCAATAGCACATTGATTGTAGTCTTGGTTGTCTCTTGTCTCTGACAGATAGAAAAGTAGAATACGTACAGAGAGCGCGGGGCAGTGGAAGGGTGTGCCAATCGGGCTAATCCGAAGTCGGCCTAGCGCCACATGTGACGACTCACGTGTCATCCCCCCCCGGGTTCGCCGAGTCTGGGGAAAGACGAACCAAGATGACGATGGGCGATACTCCTGGGCGGTCAGCACCAGGAAAGAACAAAATGGAAACCGGAAAAGATTTATGTATCCAAATACACATGTGCTATTTCCAGGCTGGTCGAATTGCGGGGTGCAGGAGGGGGCAGCCCAATGTTGGCTGATCGAATTGAGGGCGGACTGCCGAATCAGGCACCTGAATCTACCGCACTAGGCAATATTGCGACAGTGAATTTTATTGACTGATCCATGTGAAAGGCGGTCTCTTGCGCTCAGTACAAGTATCACAGTATTCGCAGAGGGGAAATCCAGGTTGAGATCGCATAGATTGAACACGGTATCTTGTATTACAGTGGTAGCCGAATTGAATTTCTTGACATCAACCAATGTTGACTCGCAGGTACCAAATATTATTAGGCAACAACACTATACTTACTTCCTACCTATCTTCGCAGTATCAGGGGAGAGTCTGTTCTTTCTACTTTACTGTAATCAAATTTCTGCACAGCCCTAGTTGCTACCGTCCGCCGCATAATCCAATATCAATCGCAGCTTAAAAGGACAGTATCAAATTCTTGACCTGGTCCTTTTAAACCACCGTTTCAGACCACCTTATCTCCATGGCATCAGGCGGATCTGAGCTGCAAAACCTAAATGAAGATGCCTTAATCCTGGAAATCATCTGCAGAGACTGCCGACAAATCTTGTCCCAACCAGCAGCATTTACGACCGTGTTCGAGGCCGGTTTGAGTTTCCAGAAAACTCTGACTCGGCTCCGTTCGGTTTCCCGATTGGATTGTCAAGTGTGTGCCTTGTTCCGCTCAGTTGTTCTAGAGGACGCTTTTACCGGCCGTCAGGGAGATGAGAGTTACCGGTTCGGCGAAGATCTATGGAGAAGTCCGAGGTGCACGTTTACTCTCAAGGCCGTTGTCGACACCACGCAAAGTCGATACACGAATTTATACGGTTCGATATCTATCTTGTGGAACTGGGACTCGGACCAGGATCTTTTTGGGGCAAATCACTTGGATTTGGTCATTCGACCTGAAAGTCCAACACCACATCTCGAATTTGCCAGAAAATGGCTAGACGAATGCATGGTGTCAGGATTTGGGTGAAACGGTTCTTCCCACTCGAATTCTTGAAATTCTACAAGAAGACGGCACACCAGATCTCAAACTCCGCGCAAGCAGTGGAGCCTATGGTCGCTCTTGACGCTGAGCTATTGCTGGGCCCAGCTTCACCTGCAAAATTGACAACTGAGAATCTTCACGAATATGCGCAGGCAATTGAAGGGTCCACCCTACCTACCACTATTCGAGATTTCATCGGCATTGCCCGTGCGCTCGCTGTCCGCTTCATTTGGGTGGATGCTTACTGTATTGTACAGGATAGCGATGATAATAAACATACAGAAATTGGTAATATGGGTGAGATATACAAAAAATTCATTCTTGATCATCATTGGTTCTAAAGCCAGGAGTGTAAGCGATGGTTTTGTGGACTGGGCCCCATGCGTGTGGCCTTCCTGGAATATCCCGTCCCCATTACCACAACGAAACAACTTTGTGTTCACCCTCCAAAAGATCCGAAATATCCACGTTGACCAATAGCCAATCAGTCACAGAGCGTGGAGTTTACAAGAGCGCCTACCTTCTGCCCGTACTAAGTATGAGGCTTTTTTCTGGAATACCCGCCTTAGAACGGCGGTGCCACTCGCTCCACGAAAGCAATATCGGACCAATCGAGCCACCTCATCATTCCGATATTCGCCTATATTCGTATATGTTACCGCGATGTGGCGCTCCTACTACCACTCCAGCTGTATATTGTCTATGCTATCGTTGGGCAGATATCGTGAATACATATTCTGTAAGGGCGCTGACGGATCCTCACGATAAACTTCCGGCTATTGGAGGTATAGCCCAAAGATTTCAATACCGTATTGGTATCAACCTATTACGCCGGCCTTTGGGGCAAGTTGCTCCTCAAGCAATTGCTTTGGCTATCGTTGGGCTCTCATGGACGCCATGTTGCAGAACACCACGGTATCGTGCTCCGTCGTGTTCATGGGCATCGATGGACGGACCAATTGAATTGGATCCTGCGCCTCATTCAACTACACCGCCGATATTGACCATCATAGGCTGCGATGTCACGGTAAAGGGACTTCTCAAAACTGCTCTTGTGAGAGACAATGAGCTTCTTGGCGTGGGAACAGGGCAGCGTGTATCCTCTGCCAGGTTGGACACGCAGCCCCCTCCAGTCTCTGTCCTCACCTGGTGTCTGCCGATTACGAGTGGAAATGGCGAGCATTGGGAGGTAGAAATGATGACGAGTGACACAAGCGAAGACTATCCAGATTCCCTCTGTGCTTTCCTTGGCAGTAGAAGGGACGAGGATATTTCAAAGGATTGGTATAGCAGAAGGATGGTCGCAAACATCTTTACAATGGTTTGAAGGCGTTGTGAAACAGAGATTTCGAGGTCGGAATCTAGACACGAGTACTTTCCATCTTTGGACCTGAGCGTGGCCCTGAGCCTCGCCGCTTTAACCTGAGACGCTCCTGCATTATACCCTACGAGCCAGAACAGATATCCCGACTAAAGGACCCGTTTGTCGTCTCGAGGACGGGAAGGGCAGCCATGAAGGAGAGCTTTACAGGGATACTTCACTAGTCTTACGGCCTAGGTGGCACGTAAGCGACTTATCCTAACGACGGGATGCGACGGGATACGACGGGATTTCAGCCAGTAGCTTAACATGGTGGATTTTGTTCATGCGAAATCGAGTCAGCTAGGTAACTTTTGGACCAGGAGGTTGATTCATGGTGCACACCCAGGTGGCGAAGACCTAGAATGAATGGCACTGAACGTTGGTAGGGGGGTGGCTGTTGAATGCAACGACATCCCTGTCGCGGATTCTCTCCCTGTTGGGGGAAAATTTCTCTATTCCATGGACTCGTTTCCATGCCATTCCTTCAATCCCTGTGATTTCCTTTGTCTCAGGCGTCGGAGATTGCTCATATCATAGAGCTGGCGGCCGTAGCCCTTTCTCACCCGATTTTCTATGTTATTGATGTATATAAAGCCCTAGTTAGCACCATCTTCTCGTTCCTCCTTTTCAGAGCATCAGAGAATGATCAATCGAGCCGATTTGACAACAGGGGCTGACTAGGCAAACCGGTGACAGGGGGATTGCCGCAAAGCATGCGACCTCTCAGGGTGGAAGTGGAAGTGACAGTTCGACATGATGTCGATAGAAGCATGGATATGGTAGTTGGAACTTCCAGTCATTGCCCTGCGCTTCCAAGATTTTGCATGTGCGCCTTTAAATTGACCAGCGATTTCGTTGCCTATTCTGCCAAGAAGACTGCTGCCTGTGGACAGGCCTCATTGGCGCCCACCATACCCAATCCAGGGCGCGTGTAGGCTTCGAGAGAATGTGCGGGGTATCCGTTCTAGTTGCCCGCCCGCCTCACCAAGAACTTCCTGATTCCACCAGAGGAAATGATCTTTGACTTCACACCATTATTCAACAGTTAGCCTGGAAGAAAAATGGATGTTTTCACGTCCGCAGCGGGAAAAACTTATGAATACACGGCCCTTAAGCCCAACGAGGTTCGGCTCATGGTTCTGCATCCAGGAAGACCAGGCCACAATTCCCACCGCGATCAACCTCTTCGATGCTCTCTCCTCACCTTGACCTTCGATGATGCTCAAAGAAGAGAGTATGAAGCTCTCTCCTACGTCTGTTCGGCCAGCAATCTTTATGGATATTCAGCTCAGAACTACCCCGAAGAAGTGGGAAAACCCAATCTGGAGGCACCGCTGCCAAATGAATGCCGGATCTGGTGCCAACATGAAGTCGCTGAGAAGTCTGGCTTCCGTAACGTGACCAAAAATCTCATCGAGGCACTCTCACGACTCCGATATACGTCTGAAGACCGTGTCCTGTGGGTGGACGCCATGTGCATAAATCAAGACGATAATGATGCCGAAAAGGCCACTCAAGTGCCCTTGATGGCCAGGATATATTCCTGTGCTTCACAGGTAATTATTTGGCTGGGAGAGACACTGTCACGGCCATTTACGGATGTTGTGTTAAATAGACGCGATATCACTGAGTCGGCATTTGACTATGTTACCTGGGTAAACAAGCTAGAGCCCAAAATGAGGGATCTCGACTTTTATCGTTCCACCAGACCCGGGGACATGCTTGGTACAGTTAACATGATGTTAGCTATGTTTCAAGAGCTTTTGTGGCGTTGTGAGTGGTTCCAGCGGACGTGGACGTTCCAGGAAGCAGTGATGGCGAAGCAAGCAACAGTGATATGCGGTGGCCATCAAGCAAGCTGGGACGCGTTACATGAGGCATGTCGTTTCAACAGCCGAGGCATGCAGCTACCGAGTGACATACTTCATCACGAGAGGATTGTGAATGCTATTGTGCTAGTACTTGAAGTACAACGCCTCCGCAAGCTGCGGTGTTTACCCGAAAATACGAACAGAGAATGTCTCACCAATGCCGATCCTTGGAGGTTCGATCAGCTATTACACGCTATCCGATCCAAAAATGCCACTTGTTTACACGATAAGGTCTATGCGGTTTTAAGCATGGCAAGCGGCCAAAACCTACCACGCCCAGACTACAGTGCTTCCCTTAGCAAGGTTTATTGTGACGTTGCCCAATGTCTTTCTCGGAACCTGGAAAGAGGCTGGATTTCTGTCCTCAGCTACGCTGAGTTACCTAACCGAGATATCGCGGATGAACTAAAAGAGTTGCCCAGCTGGGCACCGAATTGGAGTATGCCGACCGATACTGCTCCAATATCTTGGTACGCAGATTTTCGAGCTGCCGGTATCACAGTCGACAATTGCTTCGTCCTGGAAAACAAAGAAGGAAATCAGAACCCCCCACTATTATCAATCCGTGGTGCTCGCCTATTCACTGTCCATACAGTGGCAAAAGCCTCACATGAGGATAAGGATGAGCTTATCAACATGCCATGGGAACCAACCGAGAGCTACCCGCTGACCAATGAAGAGTATTTAGTGGCGTACAGTAAAGTAGCAAGACCGGACATCATGGAGTTGACGAACCCACAGGAGGACCCCTTTCGTCCGTGCCGATCACCATTCTGGGAAGGTTTAAAATATTTCTCGGCTCGCCAATTAGCGAAGGCTGGACTCGAATATCATTATGATCGGGCGATTTCTGGCCACCGACATTACAGTCACTTGCGGCAAAGTAGGCCGATCCCCGGTCGTCGTGTTGGTTTCGCTCCTATCCATATGGACCGGCGGCTCTTTCTGGGATCTAGTGGATGTCTCGGTTTAGCGCCTCTAGCCACCAGGAAAGGAGATTATGTTTGTCTGTTTTTGGGCGGAGAAGTGTTGTACGTAATCCGACCTGTCCTGAATGGACGTTTTACGTTTGTGGGTGAGTGTTTCGTGTATGGGCTGATGCATGGGGAGGCGATGGAAGGTCTGAGTGAAGCGAGAGTTGAGGATTTCATCCTCCAGTGACCTTGGAACAGCTCAACTGCCACATCTTCGTCCTTTTCATCGCCTGATAATCCCAGGCAAGAGCATGGTGCCATGCTAGACCAGGTAACATCATACAGAAGGTTTGGATTGATAGAGGAGTAAGCTCTCGCAACAGCATTGCGCCACCCGCCATATTACTCTGAAGGAAGTATTCCGCGACCAAGTATTCATTTCCCAAACACCCAAGGCCCTGCTAAAGATCTGACCCGACGTAAATACAGGAGGGGGGGACCTCCAATGGTGGAATAGCGACGCCAATGGCAAGAAATACGGTTAACGGGTTTTAATTAGCCTTGTTTCTTGAAAATTTAGAGTACTCTTTCATAAATATAAGTCTTGCAAACCTTACGGAATAGGGTATCACCGGGTACCCTAATAACACTATCCAAGTTATTAAGAAAGTCGTTACGCTAAGTGAATCTTAACACTAGCATTAGCGTCCACACTAACGTTTAAACAGCAAGAAAAAGTCTATCTTACTAACACTTATTAATCTTTTAGGCAATATTTATATAGTACCGATCCCGCCATGGAGACAGGATCTGCCATCCCAAATACTGACCGCACTAGGCAGTTTTCTTGCATGATACCTGGAGGCCTAGGCGGGTACCGAGTGCAAACCTCCCACTGGACGCCTACAGCACATCGCACCGCGAACCCTACTGCATAAATTGCCTCTTCGTATCGCCCGAGCCCAAGATGCCTATATGAGGCAGAGATAAGCTTCTGATAAACATAATGGACAGTACACATCCGAGCATGTTTCTTTGCAGCAAGCGACATCACTCCACTGTGTACGCGAGCGACAAACGCGCCTGTGGTGCGGCGTGACGAGATGCTCGTGGAACTTTCCATCTTGTCGTAAATGCCGGCCGTTTCCCCCTCCCCAAAGAGTGTAACGCCGAATTACGTTACATTCCCAGGAGGTGGTGTTAGGGTTGGGCGGAGGGAGGGGGGATGGGCCGGATCTCGGCAGCGGGGACACCGGAGTTCGATCTCGTTGCAGACTGATCAGGCAAGAGACCTTCCTGATCCAGCAATGCTGAGAATCTTGGTGACCCAACAACAGAATTCGAGCTTGACGTGCAGGTGTCACACTTGTCGCACTTCTTGGCATCAGTCTGATTGGCTGAAAGAAAGACCTGTCCAATCCAGGAGTCACGGCTGATTCCTTGATCATTGCCTGGAATCCTGGATCACTGATGACGGTGCCCTGGCCGAAGGAGACTGTTCACGTGACGACTGTCTTGCAAGATTCTCACAACCGGGTCTGTCTTTCTTGTCGATAATAGTGTGGAATCCCTTGCTACCCGTTCGGCATGTTGTTCCGGGTCGTGCTCTTTGTGTTGCTCTTTGTGTTGCCGTTTGTTGGCTCTTTGTCTGGCTCTTTGCCTTGCTCTTCGTCTTGGATATCCCCCGAGGTGCAGCAGCAGTGCTCCACGACTGGCTCGCCCCATCAATACGATGAGCACGACTCCGTAGTCTACAGGAGACAGGTCCGTCTCCGGCGCTCTCTGTCTTCCTATTCTCTTTCTTGTTCTCGTCCTTGTTCCTGGTCACCGCGGAGAGAGCACCCTGTGGGCACTCTGCAGTCGATTTTCCCGCTTCTTCACTGTTCATCATTTGTGCTTTGTCCCACCTCTCTTGATTTTGCCGCTGGGAGATATTGAAGAATTCCTTAATCATGTGATTGTATTCAGTACGCCAGTACTCAACCGAGTTGATGGACCTGCGATGATCCGTCGACGGATCGAGAAGACGGACTCGGTGGGTTTCCTAGATCGCTTTGGCCTTGTAGTACTCCAAGGGTTTGAGGATTTGCAAAAGGTAGTCGGAGGGATAGACTTCGGGGGTAGAGGAGCCGCGGTATTCGGGGCTGTAGCTGCGCTCGGGTTTGCGGCTTAGGTGCCGATTTAGTTCTTCGAGGTCGGGGATCGGTAGGTGATGGGGAGAAGGCGAGCGGATGGGCGTCCGGTGACGCACAATCCGCCATTCTGTCTGCATAAAGGTGTCTGGGGGAAGTGGTTTGGAATTAAAGTCGGACGGTGTGAGCTGGGACGCGAGTCGCGACAACAAAAGTTCCTGGCATTCGAGAATTCGCTAAACCTTCTAATCTCGGTACTGTAAAGTGACAGCATTAGTCAGAACAATCATGACATGGTGTCGGCAGGTCAAAGAGAATAAAAATACTTACCAGCTTAAAGAGTAGTGACGCTCTAGGTATCGAAAATGGATACACCGAGTGGGCGCTTTCAAAATGAGCTGTCAAACTATAGGTCCTTGTCATGCGTCTGTGGGCGCTGACAGATCCACGCCTCCGTGATTGCGCCCGCCACCCAATGAGACATTCGACCGTCAAGCATCACAGGGCGACTTAAAACGTTACATCTGCGAGCGGCCCCGTATGCGTTGTCTGGCCATGTGTAGTTCCACGGGGCTTTCGTTTTGCCATTTATACAATGCGAGGGGTGAGGGAAAATTATGGCTCGTTCATCCGTTCACGCATATCTATCCATCTTGACCTCAGTCCTCTCCTCCAGGCACTCCCCAGAACAGAAGCATCTTGCAGGCTCCTTGCGTCTGCCCACCATGGATACCTCCCTCGTCGTACTCAGCATCACCGCCGTCAGCGATGAAGCCGCTACCGCGTTGAAAGACCCTCGCAATGCTGAATTCCTCGTGCCGAGGGGCGACATTCCCGAGTCTCCGAGCCTGGACTCTCGTCGCCGCGACGGCACGCCGTTCATTGATAGCCCCTCATTCATAACTGCACTGCGAATAGACCACTACCCTTTCGATCCAGCGCTTGGGTGGGTCTTCGGGAGAGAAGGCGAAAACGTCGACTTCGTGCTGGGAGGCTTGGAGCAGGGCGTCAGCCAAAAGCACTTCCGGATCGACCGTAACTGGAAGGCCATGGTCCTGGTACTAACGAACCTGTCCGGCAATTCGACTAGGTGGATCGACCCAGAGACCGGCGAGGTCGAAAGCCTCACGGGATCCCGGGCTATCGTTGGGCGTCGACAGTATGAAATCGCTGCGGGCACCGTGTGGTTGACGCTCCAAATACCCCTGCGTACTCAAGAGCAGCAGGCTCGGTACAATGTCCTCGCTGAGCAGCTCCGTGTAGAGATCGTGCAGGCGGCTCCCACAATGCTAGGGCTCAAGGTTGCCCGCCTCGACGAGGATCCTACATCACTCGTCGCCAGGCGGTTTGTCCTAGGACGTGTGGTTGGCACAGGCATGACGGCGGCGGTCCATGAGCCCGTCGACCGAGAAACCGGCGACCGCTTCGCTGGAAAAGTATACAAACTCGGGACGAAAAGCGCGTGGAAGTCGATGCTGAGGGAGATCAAGCTTCTACAGAAATTGAAACACGTGAGTTGCCTCTCCGCCTGTTTGATGAGGAGTCCGCCTCGTCCATCTCGTCCACATATTCAAATCAAATGACATCTTGCTTTTCTGACATCAGTTCTTGCCCTGGGTTAGAAACACATTATTGATTATGTCGCCTTCAACGGAACCCCCGACCCTATCCTGATCATGGAAATCGCCCTCAAGAGCCTAGAAAAATGTACTATCGCCTCCACCAGCGAGTGCGTGGACCTCCTGCGACAGGTGCTGTCGGGCCTCGCGTTCCTGTACGACAGGAACGTCATGCACCGGGATATCAAGCCAGCCAACATCCTGCTTACCCACGAAACTCCAGGCGCGGAATGGAAGCTGGGCGACTTTGGCCTATCCAAAGCTGACCGACATTACGGGAATTACGGGAACGTTCTGCGGGTCGCCACTGTACCTGGCGCCCGAGGTAGACGGGTTGGTGGGCAGCGTGTACACCAACGCCGTGGACGTGTGGTCTGCAGGTGTAGTAGGAGTACAGTACAGCTGCGGGTTTGGCGGGCGCGACCTGAAGAAGATGAGTGACCACAAAGCGTGGGTGAACGCAGTGGCTTGGCGAGCAAAAAGCAAGGCGAGCGTGCTCGCGGTATATCTCACCCCGATGCTGGACGTGATGCCGACAGGTCGTCCTACAGCAAGGGGCATCCTGGAGGGACTACAGGGTTGGAGAGACTCTGAGGCGTCCGGGTTAAGGGAAGGTGATCAAGCCCGTTCTAAGGGAAGGGAAAGGAGAAAGAGGAGAATGCAGCAGAGTCTCTCGAAGACGATTGCGAAAATAGTAGAGAAGCCTCCACGATTCGTGCTGCTGGAGACGGGCACAGAGAGAAGAACAGAGAAATGCTTTCAGTGAGGTGACGTCCCCAGAGGCGCCCGTCCCTGTGAAAACGGAGTTACGGCGTAGTTCAAGGAAGAGGGCACGTTGGCCCCCGAACTGAAGGCGAGTTTCTTGAGTATTTTGGTATTCAGCCCGCGACAATACGTCTGGCTCTATTACTTGCTCAAGATATTGGCCCTACCGCTTTACCCAGGCATCATGTGAGCTGGCTAAACTTCAGAGTCCATTCCACCATGTAGGCTGGGAAACCTCGAAGGAAGTGCTCAGCATCTTCTCATCAGCTGAGCTACATTCAACGAGGACATCGAATATTCCTTTCTCTGTCGCCCAAGAGTTCTTTTGCTCGTCCCAAATCTTGTCGCATATTTGAAACTAATTGGAATCTGCAATGTTTTCTGCTCACCTTCCTGAAGAAATATCTTGGCAAAGCCCTTGAGTTCTTTAACCGGCCGAACGATAGAAGCCTGGCGTTGTGAAACATAAACTTGAGCAATATAGGCGCCGTCACAACATCCACTATTTCGCACGCTAATGACACATTGAGTGTATCTTGCATCTGAGAAGTGTTTACCTGAAGTTCGTCGATCGCGAAGTCTGTGTATGAGAGGCCGTGACCAAAGGGGAACAGAACACTCTTCTTGGTCTGCTCGTAGAAGTGATAGCCAACAAACATGTCTTCACCGTAGATCGTCCGGCCTCTTTCAGACCCGAAGTTCAAGAACGTGGGTGTGTCTTCCAGCCGCACAGGAAACGTCAAGGGAAAATTTCCGATTTGACTAAAGACAGGTTGGAAGACCGGGCCTCTTTGCCCCAATCCTGTTGCACGTCGCCCCTAGGCTCCATGCCGAATAATATTTCGAAGCCCAGTATTCTGCTCTTCGTCTGCTTTCCCTCTCGCTCTAGACCCGGTAAAGTTTGCGTCGGCGTTGGCTCCCTTGCCCTCTCTGCGACAATTGCATCTCGTCTTCTGTAAACTGGATCTGAAAGGTGGAAGGGCCGTGCGTACGTGCTAACTTTCGCTTCCCCTTGACTCAGCCCCCGCGCAGTGTCTACCGCGTCCAGATTTTGACTTCTTGTTAGGTAGGAAATCGAGCTCAGGAACGATCATGCGTCGGGTTAGCATGGTAAACCTGGATTGTCACTACTGGATCGATAGTCAACGGCGGCTCAGCTCGACCATTGTCCGCGCCAAATCATAAAAACGCAATGCGACTGCCTCCCAGCACACGAGGGTCGACCTGTTTTGCGCACGACCCTATTGATACCAATAATATGCATTCATTCAGCAGGAATGAACTATCTCTCTTACGTACAGGATTTAAAGGTTCAAATGCCAAGACTACTGCCTATAAGCTTTATGCGTGAAGCCCCTAAAACTCTGGGCGCTTTAGGTAGCAGCTACGCCCAATCCAGGGGTGATGGGTGGTTCTCAGATCACTTAGTGCCCTTAACTTAGTTGCTGTTTGAGTCTGACCTTGCCCTGAGGGGATTCAACTAGTTGTTAGTGAAAAGCTAGACTCACTGTTTATCGCCAAACTAGAACAGAATAAGCAGCGACACCTTTAACACACCTACAGCTCGTATGCGTTTGAGCTGAGGATGGATCCGGTATTAGCATACTCCGTATTATGTACCTCTTTATGGTCAATGTGCTCCCTCTCTCAGATATGCTTCTGCAGATCCTTTCCAAATGAGGTTCAGCACAGTCGACTGACGAGCCACTAACGCTGTGGTTATTCTGCTAGTTTGTCCGGGCACTGCGACTACTCATCTCCAGCTGGGGAAATTGATGAGCTAGGAGCAGTGCGATCTGCCCATCACCAACAAGGACGATGCATGCGCGACAATCCCTCGAGGCTTTGCTGGCGGATGTACAGGGTTGCAGTCCTCAGGCTCAGAATAGGTAGGCCCTTCATATCGCCAACATTCCTTCCTTGTACCGCTGCTACTTCAATCTCCATGCCAGTAAGCCCAATGGTCCAATTTCGAACCTTTGTCGGCGGCGTGGTGGTTATCGTCTCTACACTCTTCCCTGGCGCTGATGCTAGCTTCGAGCAGAACTGTGCACAGTTGTCTAGAACATTGAGCATCGAAAATGCCACGGTCTGGTTTTCCGAGTTCGTCGCTGCCGGTACAAACCTGACCTTCCCTGACAACAACGCCACCTGCCTCCGGCCAAATCAAGTCGTCAGTGCCGACCTATGCCGCGTGGCTTTGTACGTCGCTACCTCGCCACGGTCGGGGATTAGCATGGAAGCATGGCTACCGAGGAACTGGACAGGGCGGTTCCTTAGTACCGGCAACGGGGGAATTAGCGGCTGCATTCAATACGAGGACATGGCATACACGGCCGGTCTCGGATTCTCCACGGTCGGCGCGAACAATGGCCACAACGGGACGGGCGGCCACGCTTTCCTGTACAATCCTGATGTGGTGGCCGACTATGGCTGGCGCTCGATCCACACCAACACCGTCGTAGGCAAGCAGATCACGCAGGCGTTCTACAACCAGACATACACGAAATCATATTATCTTGGATGTTCGACCGGCGGTCGCCAGGGGTTCAAGTCTGCGCAGGCCTTTCCCGACGATTTCGACGGGATCGTCGCGGGGTCTCCTGCTATTCGATTCAACTATCTAGATGCGTGGTCCGGCACATTCTACCCGCTCATTCGAGACGCCGGTCCTGCGGGCTTCCCACCCAACACGACGTGGCCGGCAATTGACAACTCTATCCTGAATCAGTGTGATATGATTGACGGTGCGGGCGATGGAATCATCGAAGATCCAGATCTGTGCATCTTCCGCCCCGAAGCTCTGATCTGTGGGTCTGGTGTCTCGCCCAGCAATTCCTCATCCTGCATAACCAGCCAACAAGCCGCGACGGTCCGTAAACTATTCTCCGACGTCTACGGCGCCAACGGCACGTTCATTTACCCGCACATGCAGATCGGGCCGGGGATCATCGAGCCGATCTACGAAGCTTACTCACCAGGTCAATTCCCCTATACGGCCGACTGGTTTAAGTACGCGGTCTTCAACGACCCATCCTACGACACCGACGCTCTCACACCGCAGGACTGGGCGTACGCGTGGGACCAAAACGCGGGCGACACGAATACGTGGCAAGGCGATTTATCGGCGTTCCAGAACAAAGGCGGCAAGCTCATTACTTACCACGGCCAAGCCGACCCAGAAGTCTCCTCCACGATCTCGCCTCTATACTACGATCACGTCTCGCGGGCGATGAATTTGCCGTCAACGGCTCTCGACAACTTTTACCGCTTCTTCCGTATCTCCGGCATGGGTCACTGTGGCACGGGCCCCGGCGCGACGTTCATCGGGAACACCGCGGCTGCGCTCGCGAGTCTGGACCCCAGCGAGAATGTGCTCACGGCCATGGTGAGGTGGATCGAGGAAGGCGTGGCTCCCGAGACCATCACAGGTACAAAGTTCGTCAATGACACACCGGCGCTGGGCGTGGCTTTCAAGAGAGCACATTGCCGGTATCCCTTCCGGAATGTCTATGTGGGAGGAGTTGGAGGAGACTGGAAGAATGCGAGGAATTGGAACTGTACCCAAGTTGTTTGAACAGTCTCCCTTCGGCGCTCTACTGTCTAGTGAGCAGAATCACCCAAAGAGCTGCTAAGGCGTCTCGATGATCCCTCAGCTGAACAAGACTCTCGGCAGGAGCTTGTTTGACCTGCTGGAGGATTCGAGTCGCGTACAAGGATTGCCTTGTTGAGACTTGATGACCATGATATCATGACGCGGCCGGACTGCGATCAGTCGTGGGTTGATGACTTTCACTCAATAGAAAACCATCAAACGAACCAGGTAAATCTAATGTTGTAACACTCGAGCTGAAAGCCTAAATGTCTCTTCCTCTATAAGCAGAAACCCCTCGTTATAGTTGCCGACTCATTGAAGATAATGCGTCGCGTACCTCCGGCTCCACGTTCGACCAATGTTCCTACCTGCGCCCTCACAACATCTCCCACTCCCGAGTCTTCCGCAATACGGGCGTCCGCGGCTCCATGTCTCCGCCCAGCATCACGAAAACCATCTCCACGACGGTAGCTGAGTTACCGAGAGACAGCGGCTCGACCATCGAGCTGGTGGAGACCGCTACCAATTGGTAGTGTTGTGAAGAACGGTAGACTCCGACCACAGAGGCCACCCCCTTCCCCTACAGCGCACCTCTGGCGGCGGATCTCAGTAGTCTGCTGTTGCCTTTAGCTTTCCTGTCGTGGGACATCGGCTGAAGGATTGCTAGCTGTGATTCTGAGTTGTTGGCACGTAACATTACTTCTTCGATAACTGCTTATAGTCCTTTCCGAGGCTGATATGGCTGCACGTATATTAGCTAGTCACATGTTTTAGTGTAGTATTTCACATGCATTTTGTTTCGGCGGCGCCTGGATCCAGGCTGCCATCTGGTATTGGCTGACATTTGCAGGTGTCAAACCCACATGGTACTTTTCTTTTCCGGTCCAATTGAACAAGAAGCTCATGGGAAAGGGAGGTTGGTAATCCGCAGCATTTTGGATAGCTTCGATATCTCCTCTCGAAAGTTCAATCCGTAGTGCTTCGGGCAACGCTTTGACATGTTCAACCGTCTGTACCCCCACGATTGGAAAGACATAGATTGACTGGTGTAGTAAATAGGCAAGAGCCTTGATTTTGACTAGTCAGCAAACACAATCCTGAAGAGAGGTCACATAGAACTTACTACTGCCTGGGTTGTGGTCTTGTTGGATTCTGCGACTTTCTCCAGTGCTGTAGACACCTTGACATCCACATCGCCGAAACCGTACCCTCTATGAGCCTCCGGGTCTTTCAGTTTCTTCTCCCCGTCTTCCGCAGATATCAACTGTCCTCCTCCAAGAGAAGCCCATGATACAATCGCCATGCCTTGATCTTCACACATTGGGATGTTCTCGGCTTCCATATCTCGGTAGGCCGCATTCCATCGACCTTGATACACAGAGAATGGTGTAAGGCCATGGCTTCGAGCATCTGTCACATCACATCAGCGTGGTACCAGTGGCGTAGAAGCAAGTGTATTAAGGATCAACGTACACGCATTTGCCTTTACAGCAACCCAGGCTGGAGTATCAGAAACACCAAGGTACAACACTTGCTTCGCCATAACGTAGGCGTGAAGATGTGTCATGATCTCTTCCACTGACGTTGCAAAGTCCCACCTGACACAGTCAGTCAATTTGACCATGTCGTGCTGAACTCATCAGAACCGTACCAATGGACGTAGAGGCTGTCAATGTAATCTGTCTTCAGTTTTGCCAGACTGTCTCTCACAGAGATATGCATGCTTTTCGCTGAATTGCCCGTGTAGTTACTCTGCAGTGGGAATTCATTTCTCTGGTACGCCTTGTACCCTGCCGAGTACTTGGTCGCGACAACCATCTGGTCTCTGTTTCCCCGCTTCTCCATCCACGCTCCGATAAGCCTTTCGGAGTCTTCGCTATTGTACGTGTTAGACGTATCGATGAAATTGCCTCCCAGAGCGTAGAATGCATCAAGCAGAGAGTCTGCACTTTCGTTTTTGCCAAACATTTCGCTCCATGAGCTGCCAATGCTGATCCCACCCAGGCATAAAGGCGAGACTTTGACGGATGCGGTTGGGGAGAGGATGCGGTGGTATGCCAACGGATTATCGGGCTTCGGAGGCGGTTGGAAGAACGACATACCCAGAAGGAAGCGAATATAATTCTAGCTACTGGAACTCTCTGTGAAGAAGGTAGAATTGGCCTCATATATCAATTGAAGCCCCCGTACTGCAGCTGACGGGAAAGCAGCGCGAGATAGGGCTGATTTTGATTGGAGCATTTGGTTGCCAGTACCAAGAATCGAGTCCCCCCATAAGCAGTGTGCATTAGCGCCAAACGCTAGCGAACAGAAGGTCCCCGCCTGCCGCTTCCCCATGCCCAATTTTGGCGAAGATCGTAAGCAGACGGTAGAAGAGCCTTGAGCCAGGTATCTATGTTTGATGATCCAACTTTTGCTATGACGACTTAGGCCACGCCTCTTCTTCCCAGATAACACCGCCAAAAGAAGTCGTCTGGTGACAGATATAGCTATCATTGTCTGCTCCATGCCAATGCTTTATGCCAGGCGCGCACCAGAGAACGTCACCAACATTGATCTTAACTGGCTGTCCGCCAAAGTCATATATCCAACCAGACCCAGCGACAACTATGGGGATCAAGCCCCTTTCGCGTGTGTTCCAGCGCGTTCAGGCACGTGGGCGTGGCGTGAGAGTGACATCGGCAATAATGGACATGCCATGCACGTCGAGGATAGAATCCACCGAAACTTTGTTACCGGTGAAAGCATCCGTAATGACGTCGTTGCGGTGAATGGAGGGGGTTACCTGGCCCTGCGCGAGGCACGTCAGTTTTGTGATTTAATATCAGCATTGTTCGATTGCCAAAGTCAACTTTGGAGAGAAGAATATTGTGACAACGAGACCAGTCTGCAGAATCTTTGAGACAGCTCCAACTTGCTCGACGTATAAGATGGGAAAGATCATACACGTGAATTGGCAGGAGGGTGGATTTCATCAAGCGTGCACCCACGAGGGGCATCTAGTCTTGCATGTAAGGCATAAGCAATCTGCAGGAGCTTGCGTCAATCGTGGGCTATGTGGCACGACAATCGCCTTCGGAAGCTAATTCGACTACGACTACTGCATGTAGATGATAGCACATATTTTCGATGAAGATTGCTTATGCAAAGGTCCAAAGTGGAACCAATTTGTGAGCAGATGCAATTGCAGATACGGAGGCGAAAAGACGCCTTATCGTGGAGACGTTAATATAATATATGGTATAAATGTCATATCCATCGTCGCAATCGAATCCAGCCTTAGATGCTTTCCAGTGCTGTTGCCGTCCTCTGGTAACTCAAGCTACCTACACAAGCCTCCAGATTCCTCTTATCAACCGCTGAGAAACAATGACTAGCTCCACCGACTACAAGTTCATGGGATGGCTAGGCCTCGACAGAGATGCCGACAATGGTAAAATGGTCTGGCAAGAGTACGAACCCAAGGCTTGGGAAGAAACAGACGTCGACATTCAAATCACGCACAGCGACATCTGCGGTTCGGACCTCCATGTCCTCCGAAGTGGCTGGGTAAGTCTCATGATCGAAAGGCAAAGCCTTGAGGCGTACGCTGATTCAATCTGCAGGGGCCGACGCCTTACCCATGTTGCGTCGGTCACGAAATCGTTAGGCGAGCTGTACGCGTAGGCAGCAAAGTTGATGGTGGTACCAAGGTGGGCGATCGAGTTGGTGTCGGCGCTCAAGCTGACTCTTGCTTGGGTCGTGTGCAAGGCCAGTGTGACGAATGTGCGTCAGGAAATGAACATTTCTGCGCCAGGCACGTGGGCACATATGGAAGCTTCCATCTGAACGGCGACAAATCATACGGTGGTTACGCATTGTACAACCGCACTCCGTCCCACTTTGTCTTCAAGATCCCAGACCAGATTCCGTCCGCTTCAGCAGCGGTAATGCTATGCGCTGGTATCACGACGTATTCACCATTGAAGTATTTCGGATGTGGACCAGGCAAGCGTGTCGGTGTCATTGGCCTCGGTGGTCTGGGCCAGTTCGTCGTTCTGTGGGCAAAAGCATTGGGCGCAGAGTCTGTTGTCGCCATCTCCCGGAAGGAGAGCAAGAAGCAAGATGCCATCAAAATGGGAGCAGACAGTTACATTGCCACTGATGACCATCCAAAGTGGGACACCGAATTTGCTGGCTCGTTTGACCTGCTCATCTCAACCATCTCTTCGTCAAAGGTACGTTGTTGATCCCGTGGTCTCCATACCACTATAGACGTTGACCGACTACTTAGATGCCCGTTGCCGGCTACTTGGCTCTCTTGAGACGGGATGGTACACTAGTTCAGGTTGGCAATGCTGACGATGGGTTGTCCTCCGTACCGGCGCCCGGCTTGAACATCGGAAGGAAGAGGCTTGCTGGTTCAATGATCGGCGCACCAGGAGAAATTCGAGAAATGCTTCAGCTGGCGGCTACGAAGAATGTAAAGCCGTGGGTGGAAGAGCGGCCAATGAAGGATGCAAATCAGGCAATAGTTGATATGGAGAAGGGTAAGGCGAGATATAGATATGTGTTAGTAAATGAGGATCCCTCACCGCACTCATAAGAGTAGCAGAAAGTCCATCACAATAACAACAGTACATGCTGTGTCGTCAAGGAGTACAAGGAGCATCCGGAAAGAGCTTCAGCTCGCCCCGTCTAATTCTCCAGTTATTCATTGATTTGAATAGACGATGACAGCCTTGCAAAACCCAAGGCCACTTTTTATAGAAGTCTTCTCCAATCTCCCAGCTCTCCGGGTTGCACGGATCGCCCCAGACTATAAGGCCTTCTGAATCACTGCCGTGACGATTGTCTGCGATGTCATGACAGAGGGGTCCATCGTCATACTCGTCGCCAAGTTGCAAAATGTTATTACGCATCCTTGGATCGGGCAATAGATCGACCCATGGATGGTGATCAACAGTAAGCTGCAGACTTGTTGGCCTGAGGTCTGCGGGACAAGTCTGTACGGCTGCCTGTGTTGTGTCGTAGGAGCGAAAAAAGGGTGAAATTGCCTCACAATGAAGCCACTGGTTAACAAAACCAAGTTTTTGATCATTCGTCATGAGACTACCCTGTTGTGCAAGCTGGGCGTCTGCACCTGCGTCTTTAGCGTTTACACCGAGCCTTCGTTGCATCACCTGTCGCCTTCCTGCAAGGACGAGTCAATGATCATGACCCGAATAAGCTCAGTAAGTCTAGATATACTTACTCCAGGCCCTTTGATGTAGGCGATTCTGCAGTTTCCTCCGCTTAGCAGGATCAGACGTGCCAGTCCAATCATCGTCCGGACCATGCATCTCACTGTGTTGACGCACACTTAAAATAGACGGTAGAGTGATGTCGTCGTACGACGTTCCAGATCGGGGATCGATATGTCTGTTCATAATGATATGACGAATGCAGAAGATAAGCTGTACGAAAAGCTCCCATATCTGAAGACCACTAGGGCTGTCAAGCACCAGCAGTCATAGATACTCGAGACGATGGAGTCATTTAGGTTGAAATATCTGTTGGGCGAGTCAAAAAAGCAGAGGACTCAAGATTGCAAGTTTGCCGAGGCTGCTGCATCTACTGCCAGAATTAGCCCGTTCTCGAAGCCACTGTCGCGGTGGAGTTGGGCTGACCCTAGCCCGGTTGATACATTGGCGCCAAGTCTAACAGGCAGCAGTCTACTACGTACTACGCACTATTTTCTGTCAAACTCTCACTGTTCAAGGACTTAGATGAAATACCTCATCTCGGCAGGTTCTCCTTAGATCCCTCCTCGATTGGACGTCAAGCCTAAGCATTCGAGATGCGCGGTGAGTCTGACTCGCCCAACTCGCAATTGGGGAAGATCGAGTCTGGTCACAGTCTTGCCAAGTCGAGCCTAGTAATTTCAAGCAGGGGCAGACAGTTACCTACGCAGCGACGCTCTCACAAGAAGTCGCGAAATGGGTGCTTCTCGTGCAAGGCTCGTCGCATCAAATGTGGAGAAGAAAAGCCTGAATGCGCAAATTGCGCTGGTGGGAATGGAAATTGTTCCTACCCCTTAAGCTACACCATTCAAGCCCAGCCCATGGATGCCGGCTCGATGCAGTGTTTTAGCATGCAAGATCTACAGTGCTTCCACCATTACCTTCACGCGGCATTGCCCCATTTGCCTCTCGGAAGTGGCAGATTATGGGGCGAGGACATCCCGCAATTAGCGTATTGCCGGCCATACCTCATGCATGCCCTGCTTGGCCTAGGAGCGTTCCATCTAAACGCGGTCTGCTCAGAGGACGGAATTTTTCGTCAGAACGCGTTGGATCACCGAATTCGTGCGCTACGGAGTTTGAAGCAAGCTATATCGAACACGACGGTCGAGGTCAGCGATGGAATCGCAATCCTTGCAGCTTGTTACGCCCTGACCTTCCAATCAATATACCTTGCCAACGGTATCGACGATTACATCCTGCTTGTCCGTGGCTGCTATTTAACGACAACCGCGTTCCGCCACCATGGGTCCATCACGGCGCTGCCTGGTCAACATCTCCACCTCATCGCGCAAGAATTGGAAAATATGCCGAAACCAAAGGCCCAAATGATACGAGCAGGCATAGGAAGCCTCCAGCAGATCATACCTTTGCTTCAAAGCACGCCAGAACTTGAATTCTATAAGGGCATTGAAGCCGTCTTTGCTGGCCTGCTCGAGTGTTCGCGAGTCGGATATGAACGATTTATATCCCTGTACGATGCCTGGACAACCCAAGAGAGCTTTGAAACTTTGAAAGACAACAACAACCTCACGATGCGGCTACTTTTGTTCTTTTATATCCTGGAGTCCTTTATGTTTGCTCCTTTCGCCCCTTGGGATTTCCCTGATGACGTCCCCATATCCGAACACAGACTAAACGGAATGCTGGAATGGTCCAACAGTATCTGGGCAGATCTGCCAGAAGGACTCAGAAGTTATCTGCAGTGGCCGAAGTCCATCTTTGATAGAGCGAAGCTGATCAAAGCTGACCGAACAGGACGGTCACTTTGGAAGGATGCCCTCAGAATTCTTTTCATTGATGGCGAGACGTGTTAGTGGCGGACTCGGCGCCGTGTGGACTTCTCGTACGTCTTTCGGGATCCAGGGAGGCGATGTACCAAATACGCTTTGATACCGATATGGACTGGGCCAACACTACAACAACAGCCGCATCACAAAGCAATGAGACTCTCTTGGCTTTCGGTCTGAATTTTCCTAGAGCTGGAGTTGGTCCTGCTGGGTGGAATCCGCCGGAAGCACTTGCATTTACAATGCTCGTATTTCTGGCCCATCGAGTTGCTGGTCCCAATCCACTGCCCTTAGATCGCTCTGACGACTGTCCATTCTTAGCTTGCGCTTTGCCATCATTGGCAGTCTTCTGCCAAGATGCTTGGTCGCAAGCACTCCAAGTTGCTCGTCAGGCCCCCGGACATGCCAGGAGCTTGGCTAGGCGCTAAAGTATAGACCCGCTAAGAGTACGTGCCGTATTCAATACGACGCGTAAGGCTCTAGTCCCCTTTCGCGTTCTTATGAGATAGCATGTTGGTCCAGCGACAATGCTCAAGTCGGGTATATATGCATGCCTGTGCAGTGCGGTGCCGGATGATCTCTTCTCCAAAGCTCTGGCTCCCAGTGTTCCCCGTCGCTATTTCGCGCGCTTGAAGCAGGTGGCTGTTACGCTATCGATTCCCCCACCAACCTGAATACCCTCAACGTTGCTCCAGATCGACCATGGCAAAATGCGATCTCGTTGCAGCTCGCGAAGATGACAATATTGCATGGGTTTACTGCCCATCATTCGGCGCAGCTGTCCTGTTTGCCGTGCTCTTCGCCTTGTCCACGGTCGCCCATATCGTTCAAGCCTTTCGATTTCACAAGGTACGATGCAAAACGTGGACCATCCGGTGTCCTCACGCTCACAATTCTCAACAGAAATTCTGCTGGACGATCATCATGGCGGGCCTATGGGAGACCGCTGGCTTCGCCGTCCGTTCCTACTCAGCAAGGGAATTCCGTGGCCTGGGTCACTTCATCCCTCAGCAGCTTTTGATCATTCTGGCCCCGCTCTGGACCAACGCCTTCGTCTACATGGTCGCTGGACGCATGATACACTTTCTCATCCCCGAAAAAAAGGTCGTCGGCATTAGTGCCCGACGGCTTACGCTAACCTTCGTCATGTGCGACATCCTGTCGTTCCTCATCCAAGGCTCCTCGTCTAGCTTGATGTCCTCGAACAATCACTCCACTGTCAAAATCGGGATCAGAATTTGTATGCCTCCTTGCCGATCCCCGCCGCTCATGTCGTGACAAGTTCTGCATCTTCCCCTACTAACTCTTCTGTCTCTATCCAGACATGGCGGGAGTCGGTCTCCAGGAATTCTTCATTGTCCTGTTCACAATCCTTGCCGGTCGTTTCCAGTACCTGATGAATCGAATCGACCTCGCCAACCCCTGCCCCTATCCATGGCGGCGTCTGCTGTACACATTGTACGCCGTGCTGGGTCTCATCACGGTTCGCATCATCTTCCGACTCGCCGAGTACACCGATGGCGAATACAGCCATGTTGCCAGTTATGAAGCATACTTCTACTGTCTCGAGGCTCTTCCCATGATTGTGTCGCTTTTCCTATTCAATATCGTTCATCCCGGCATTGTCCTTGTCGGTCCGGACAGCGAATTTCCAAAAAAGGCGAAGAAGACCAAGAAAGGGAAAGCACGTGAAAAAATGCTGGAGGAAGATCCAAATGGTACGACAGTCTCGATGGACGCACTCTGATTACATCCATGACACGACACGGATGATTACTTGGAGCTCAAGATTGGGTTTAATCCGCTCGCAAACAGCACCTCGAGTGGCTTCGTTGTTCTTTGCAAGGCGTCAAGAAATCTCCATTGTTTCGTGCGAATTCGTTCATTGCTCTTACAGTGATCACCCACAACTCAATAAAATAAGTGGAAATGGACCAGCGAGGAGGATGGTAAAGCCTAGCCAACAAAGGACAAGATATGTGGGAATCAAACCCGGAAATAGGCTACTGAGGAATGAGCAGGACTACGGAGGTATTCTTGGAGTTGTACCCCCGATTTGTGGCCGATTGGCTATGTTTGGTGTAATGGATGATGGTGTAAATGATGGTATGGATGATGGTCGATATGCTTTCGCCTTCATAAAACTCTCACGAGGCTGTGGACTCATCTTATGGGGGATCCACTTTCTGCAACCGAGCGAAGTGCAGGCGTCTCAGTTCGCTGGGTTCGTTCCGTCGACTTGGGTCAATGCCTTGATTGCCACCAAACGCATCCGGTCTGCCACCGATTTCAGAAACGTGTCGGCACCCCAGCGCAACACATTATCCACCGCAATGAAGAAGTCTTCGATGGTCTCTTTCAGCATCGCGTTGCAGATCTTGACCAGCTTCATGTTGAAGATACGCCGACCTTCCTCGACGCAGGTGTAGTGAGCCCACAGCTCGTGGTAGGGTCCTTCGGTGCAAATGGAAAAGAAGAGAGGATATTGATATTCACTATCGTCAAACTCCGAGGCTGCGCCCTTCGCCATCTCCGTAAGATGAAGCTGAAAATTTAGGGCACTCGCTCCCGAAACGGCGGCCTGATTTTGTGCTTCGGAGATTTGCTTCCCTGATAGGTAAGCCCTTGCCTCAAGAGTCGCAAATGGAAAGAATACGCGACCAGTTTCCAAGACCGTCAGGAGTAGCTTTTCTTCGTTCTGGTCTAGGGAGTCGTATTCTGTCTGAAGCCTTCGAAGAAATTCCTGGGCCTGAGTTTGGGAGAAAGCCGGAGAGGAGAGAGAGTTCAAGAACGCTTTTCCGCCCATACCAATTGTGATACCCGGACAAGGTGTTCTGATTGCGGGAGCCCCTTGGTCATCTCGGAAAATCGGTTTGCCCTTTGATATACCTGGCTTGAATTCATATCGCCAATCGGCTTCATGTTGAAGGGAGATATTCGGTCTCAACATATCCCGAAGCGCATCACGACAAAGACCAACATAACTTCCTTCCATACTTTTAGTGTCACTGATCTCCCGACAACAATTGTACAATCTTTCAGCGGTGTTGTAAATCACAGCTCGGCGCTCCTCGGACGGAACTTTTGCTTTCACAATGTTGTCGATCGCAGCTTGGAAGGAGTCAGGAATATCATCATCAAAGAAGACATTAACGACATTGAGACGGTGGATGCGATAGCCGCCATTAGTGCTAGGCGCTTGCTTGCTCAGAGTTTGGGTCCGCTTTGTGGTTGTTATGGTCTCTTTGCCGATTCTTTTCCTCTTGACCATCTCTTCCTCGTTGAGTATTCGTAGGTTCTCCTTCGTCAGGCTATGGATAGAGGGCGGGAGTTTTGGAGATTCCAGTTTCGATTCCACAGAGTACGTTTGTTCAGTGCGGTTTCGGTGGGCAGTTTGGGCGTAGAAAATTGGAGGCTTGTTTTGCAATCGTCCACTCCTCCGACAGCCAGAGCCGGTTGCAGCTTGCAGCCGTTTCTTGCTGGCGGTGGTAGGACGACTCGCTCGCAGAGCGGGAGACATAGAAAGAGAGGAGAGAGGAACTTAACTGTCGGTGGGAAAGCAGGAGCGTCTAAAGCAGGCAGATGGGTTGGTGTCTTTGTTTGTTTGCGATTTTATGGAAGACTGGCCCTAGTGGGCTCTTACATTCCATTGACCAGCGTTGGTATTTCACCGTGTGCGGGAGTATCCCGCCGTATTCGGTCCTTACGCGGCGTATGTGTTCAAACTCGCATTAGATCAAAATATCGACTGCACTTTTTGCAGAGCCGATGCGAGATTAGTGAAGGGTAAGCGTAAAGGTGAGCGACGTGAATAAAGGGGAGAGGGAGGGTAAGTCGTCATAAAAGCGGCACGCTCGGCGCAAGTCGCATATAAGCCTAAGACAGGTTATACTTATCTTTCAGTACTAAGCCCTTGCAATGTGAGTCACAACGAGCGATCGATCAAGACTCCCAGGATCCGAGAGACGCACAATAAGGAGAGGACAGGACTGCACATTCCCTTCTTCTCTCTACCTCCGGTCTCACGTGACCCAGCGCCGCTTTTGCTCTGGCTGGCTCGCGTCCGGCTCAACGTTTGGCTCAGGCTCGGCTGGACCAGCTCACCCTGCCACCCCTGCTGACTACGTCGGGGCAGTAGCAGGTCGAATTTGTCCCGCTGCTAGTCCGGACCACTGTCAAGTACTCATTAACTCCAACTTAGTGCGGACATCTTATCATCGCTCAAGAGTAGGTGAGTCTGCTCCCACTAGTTGATTCCAGGATTTCATCCGGATGAGGCAAGTTCGGGCATGTAAACTGGCTCGCACTCATCCCGAACAAGGCAATCTTGGGCGCAGCACGGCAGCCCCCACGAGGCGTTGACCGACAAAGGATCGACCTCCGCTGGCATCTCCCAGCCCGCACGGGCCGCTGGCATGCCGTTTGGGCTTCCCGCGGAGGGTCCCCAATCGAAGAACTATGCGGACGAATTAAAGAAACATATGTGAACCTTTGCTGACTGCTATTTCCAGATGTAGCCGGACCGCTGGCTTTCATCATAGTGGGAGACTCTCGCCGTCCTCTAAGAAGATGAAACCAACCATGGCCGGGCAGCTACACTTTGGGCAGTGGCAAGGGGCAGCAATCAGCGACGACATTCTCAATGCTGCTGCGGATTAGAGATTATGACTAGCAATGTATCAAAGTGTCCAGTCAGTTCACCACCATTTTAGCTTCCGCCACCATCTTTTTTGTCCTTCTGCACGATCTCGAGTGATTGTAGCTGCCAAATGTGCAGCTTTGATCTGTCCCTGGTGAAGCGAGTGGCTGTGGCCTCCGCTTCAACTTGGAATTCACTGACGAGGTTTGAACCCGCGAACCAACCGTCCGGCTCAGTAGGCGGCCGAGAAGCGCCAGGCCCTGTCCCCAGGCTATTGCTTCCTTCAACGCTGCTGCCATCAACGTGGACATATCGGTAGAGGAGCGGCAGTAAAGACGCTTTCCAGCTTGGCGCCTGCATCCTGCTGGTTTCCCACAGCGTGAGTGCGAGTGTCACCACACCGAACAAAACAATAGCCGCTGGCAGCGTGATCCATGGCCACCGCACGACCACGAAGGTCTTGGTCACGGCGTTGTCGCCAACCACAGACACGTTGCCGTACCGCTGCACGATTTGGCTCGTCAGGGTGTTTGCGTTGTCCAAGACCCCCGTGAAGTCGGGTGTGAGGTCGATGCCTTGCCACGCCTCGGTGCTGTAAGCCTCCAGGGTTCCACTGTTCGAGGTGACGGGTATTGAGCAGCTCCAAGTGTCATTGTTTGCTTCACACTGGCCGCCGTAGCTATGCGTACTGTTGCCCAACAGGTAGTTCGTCAAAGTCCCGATTCCCACCCCATACGCCAGGAACGAGTCGGCCATGAAGTTCGTTCCGTTGACTTCGGCCGACCAGCTGAGACCACTTGACGTTTCTGGGTCTCTACTGACTTTGCCATAATGCGTGGACAAAACATTCAAGATCAAGGCGCCCTGAACCACAGAGGGTTTGTACTCTCGGACGCAGTACGTCACTGCGCATTCCTGCGAGTGGTTCAAAGCCGGCACCCCATCGTCGTCGATGGTGAACTCAGCAAAACCGATGGCTGCCACGGGCTCGTCGATGCCTGCGAAGCCTTGCCTTGTCCAGCCACTGGTGTCCAGAAGAAGGGCACCGGCACCGGCAAAATTGAGTGGCCAGACCACCTTTTCCACAATCGAGGCATGCACCTCGAGCGCTTGCGCGCCGCCATCCAGGTCACGGGTGTTCACAAATGCACTCAGGTTGGAGGGGACCCGCCATGTGCGGCCGAACTTTGGTACGATTTCCCACGTGAAGCCGGATTCCATTACGTCTGCACCGGACACTTGCCCACTTCGCGTAGCGGACACCATTGCCGTCAGGTCCGAGCTATTGGGCGACAAGTTCTTGATGGCCAGTTCTTTCGTGGTTGTCCGACACTGCGAGCAAATATCGAGGGCGTAGTATGGGTCCCAGACGCAGTTGCCACTGGGGCAGTCAGCTTTGAGAGGCGATGCTAGCCTCTGTATTGTTGACTCAGATCTCTTTCTCCCCATACGGCGCTCTGCAACCGACGCAGCCATATTGTCCATGGGCTGGTCCTCTTGTTGCACGTTTGCGAGCATTGCCGCCGTGAACTGCGCGGCCGTTTCTGGATAGTCCATCGCCGAATAGATATCCAGGGTCATCGACGTTGTCGAATTGATACTAATCCCGTTTGCTGGTACGGGCACAATGCGAGTTTCGGTGGTCAGCAGCTGCTGTACGAATGCATCGAAGCCCAAGGTAGCCACGGTCAAGAATGCCGCCAGGTAGGGCACAGCACTGGATGTGTCAGTGGTGAAAGATCCGACAAAGATGCCAATGCCTTGGACTCACCCGCCTCTGAACTTGGAGAGCATAAATGTCGAGCCGAGTGGCCCTCTGCTCGCCTCTTCAATGTCTTGTAAATCCTTCAGGGAGCGCTCCTTCTTGTACCAGAGCCATTTTCCTTGCGAAAGAACGGTGCCGATGCAAAGCATGATTGCCGTTCGAGATATCGTAGCCAGAAAGGAGATAACGGCATTCAGCTACAAACCAGGCGTCAGCCGCCCATGGTCCTTGTGCATGCGGATAGAGATAGACAAACCGTGATTCCTTTCCACAACGGGGGAACGGGCTTCTGGTCGTAGCCCCAAAGTACGCCAATGATGCTGGCAATGGCAGCAAAGCTGACAGCCCCTGCAAGGAGCTCGATTACCCACGAGTCTGCTACCAATCTTGACCACCGGCTGGGTCGCTTTGGGATAGGGTTCTGCGACGTCTTCTCGACGACCTCGGCAAGTGAAGGTCGAGACTCGTTCTCCATCGAGGCTGGCTTGGGTCTGGCGTCGGCATGTTCTGAAAGTGGAGAGACCGGGCTGGGAGGGCCCGACGTTCGCGTTCGGCAGTCCATCCGAGGGACTCTCAAGGTCTTCGGTTCAGTGCCGAACTCCCTTTCAGCAATGAGCCACGTTGCGTGATCCTGATCGTAAGGCTGCTCCTCAACAACGTCGTCGTGGGTGGGGTGGAGTGACTGGCCGTTAGCCGGAGACGAATACAATGTTAAAGAATATTGCAGCGAGCACGCGTGACCGAGAAGAAGGCTGGATTACTTGCCGTTATGGATGGCCGACAAGCGCTCAAGGCTGGCAACGGGCGTAGTTAAAAGCCCCCAGGGTCCACGAAATGATACCAACTCACCTGTTCGTGCCGTGCCATCAGGCCCCCTGCGGGCCTTGGGTGCCGGCCTGAAGCTAAAGCAGAGCTAGCTAGGTCAATTACGGCAACCGTGCCATAAAAGACAAGGCACCTCAGCCTAATAGCATGTGAGTGAGGTTTGCACCTACCTGCACCCTGGTCATGGCTCTACCGCCATGAGAGTAGTGCTCGACGATGCGATACCCTGTTCTTTCTTTTCTTCTTCTCCATTTTCCGGGCGATGCTTCGGCCAGGAAATGGACGAGGAAGACAGGCCAGCAAAGTCGCACAATTGTTGGAATTCTCACCGCGACGGACCGCCCAGGCATTCCCTAATTTTGGCCCCCAGCAGGGATGTTCCGGGTATTATGTCCTTATTGGCCGAGGTTCAACACCGCCTCAGCTGAGAAAAGCAGAGCTCTCTCGTGCGAATCGAGGGATCATCCATGGGTGCCTGCCGTCTTGGCGCTTGGCATTCATGCCATTTGGGGAGTGATGAAGTACAGCCACGGTTCGTCGGATGGACTTCTATGGCAAGAAGGCTCGAGATCAAGAATTTGTTCTCCACCGCATTGGCCATGGTCGGGAGGAGGCCTGATCAGTTGGTGAGGATGGAGGATATTCAGAGGATGTATAGGCTGAATCGACCAAGGCGAGTCGCTGTCAAGAGGAGGCACTGGGTTGTAAATATGGATTGTCCTTTGACTGTACAGTCATAATGACATCGACTACTCACACTATTGGGAGGGGAGAAGACCAGCATGAGAGTAGAGTAGGGTTGCGTGCTCGGCAATTGACACGTGACTAGTCTCGGCGTCTCGTGACACATCCCGTGACACCCCTACACCCTTCACGTGACCCTCCGTCTTTCGCGAAACAGCGACGTGGTGACGCGTCCCTCCTTAGCAAATTAGTGTAGCCCCGGCAAGTGCCGCGCCAAGCTCAGTCATTGTTGTCGTTGTTCTCACTGATCGAAATGTGAAGCAAGTCCAACTATCATGATCACAGGCAAACGGCCTCGGTCGATTAATGATTATGACATCGACACGCCTGAACCCGAGCAGAAAGCTCAGAAACATGAAGAACCGCTTAGCTATACCGCTGAGCTTAATGAGAGGGTGCTCAAGAAGATAAAAAGGAGGCTCCGGGAAAACCCAGATATTGACCTTACGACTGTCATTCCGTCGGAATATTTAGAGCGTTATGCGGAAGGAAGGAAACTTGATGGTCTCCAGGAGACAGTGACGGAATATTCGGAACCCAAATGCACGATATTTGAAAGCTCCCCCACCAAAGAGCTCGATCAAACGAATGCAACACCGATCGATAACCTCTCGCAATCACGGAACGACTTTGACATTCCATTTGCACTTGCACCGAACGTAGAACAGTTATTGAATTGTGGATGCAATGATCAAGATGCGATGGAACGCAGACTTCAAGATTTAATACGGTCGGGTGAGATAATTTGGCGATCCGAAGTCTCGTCTGACCTTGTTGTCGTTAAGTGCAACAACGACATCGTTCTCAAGGTCATCCCATTTACGTCAGATCATACCGAAGCCACGACGATGCGATTTCTTCAGGACAGTATGTCAGAGATTCCAGCACCACGCCTTCTCGGAATGGTTTCGTGCCACTTCCGTACTTACGTGTTCATGACATATATACCTGGCACTCGGCTGGACTCCATTTGGTGCCAACTGGATGAGACGCAAAAGCGCGGCATTGCGACCGAGCTAGAGGTTATTCTTCAGAACATGCGACAACAAGCCCCTCTGGGAACACCACTTGGAGGAGTGGCCAGCGAAGGCTGCAAGGATACCAGACGCTATACCCGCACCTGTGAAAGAACCTTATCCACCATTCCCGAATTCATCGACTTCCTCTTTTCCAATCCGCACTTCGGAGGTGAAGTGTACACTCGTCTCCTCCGGGATATGTGGACAGATCAGCAAAGCTCTGTCGTATTCACCCACGGAGACCTTGAGCCTATGAACATCCTGGTACGATCTTGTGATAATGGTTCCTATCAAGTTTCCGGTCTGATAGATTGGGAAATGAGTGGCTGGTATCCGGACTGGTGGGAAAGCATCAAGGCAACAAATTGTCTGTCGACTATGACATCAAAGAATGACTGGGCCTTATACCTTCCTACTTGTATATCACCCCGGAAACATAAAGTGTCATGGTTGCTTGATCGTCTCTGGGATGCGCACGTTCCTTAACCCTCGAGTCCCTAAACACGCGCCCCGAAATGCCTGAGAACGGCCCTTTTCACTTTTATATAGTCATCCTTGTAAGGAACGCCTAATGGGAATAGGCAGAGTGCGATGATAAATGGTTTCTTCAATCGTATATCAGATGATCCTGACCTCTGGTCGTTACAGGACTCTAAGTATGAGGAGAGTAAGCTCTCCTTAGGCGAAGAGCATGGCTATATCTGCCGAATGGGATTGGGGGCCTAATCCTCGATAGCTCGTCGAGTCTAACTGCCGTGCCGGCGTGCCGCCTGGGATTCGCACGCGTATAGCTGCCGGGCTGTCTGGAAGACGTGAGTGTATTCCTGGCAATCCTCTTCTATGATGCATTCCTCCACAAGCTTATCAACGATCTCAATCACATAGTCCTGGCAATTCCAATGAACGGTTTGATTGTCCACCCTTGCTTTGCCGATTTCTTTGTTTGGCAGCTGGAAGGTCGCGGGTGTTGATTGTCCCAACTTGAAAAGATCGCTTGAGATTGGCGCTGGCCTGCGGTCTGGCACTGACACTGTTCTTTTCAAAACTGGGATGCTCGCCGACAACCTCATAGATGGTGTTGTTGGCTTCATGCTCGAGATGTAGAGCCCAGTGTTCGTAATTGCCCCGCCGTGGCTCGTACATGACGATATTGAGCTTCGCAGGCGGCGCCTTAGGAGGCATACTTGACGATGAAATTAATGGAATAATCCCAAAGTGATGTAGTTAATAATTTCGAGTTTCGAGACTTGGTGAGACAATCTCCACCAACTCAAGAACGACTATTCCATGCTCCTCGGGCCATGATGCGATACACTCCTCCACGCATACATCCCGGGAGGTGATGCGTGGCTCACGTCTATTGGTCCAAGATTCTCAGGCAAGCCCGTGCCATAACCAAAAATGGGCAGCTGCCTGCACAGGCACTCAGACAAAGTTGACAGCGCCTAACCAGATGTATACCGTTAACATGCAAAACTCGGAGCAGAAACGCGCCCTTTCCTTGAACTGGAGAATAGTTAATCAGACGCTCCCAAGGATGAGGAGATGGTCGTCCTGCTATCGTGTCCTAGATATGATCACCTATGTGATTTTTGTTCCTATTTCGCAGGCTTGCCGCTTGTAGGGCATTTTGTTCCTTCGAGACCATTGCCTCGGCAAGTTTCGCAAGGCATCTTTCGCTTTCGATAAAGTGGAGAGAAAGTAGAAGTTTTTTATTGAAGATAATTAAAGTAGTCTTTGGAGATGTGTGGGCTTAAGACGTGGTCAGTTGAGCGAAACAATACGGATCATGGCCTGGCGGCCCAACTTCGCAGCACTTTAAAGGTATTTATTTATACTTGAGGGTGCTCCGCATGTGTCCTCGGCAGCCCCAAGCTGACGCGTTCTTTGTATTGAGCCTATGCGGCGGAGCACTTGTTGGCGTTGTGCCTGTGTGCTCCGCCGCACACCTAGGCCCTGCCTGTTACAGGCCTTGGTCCTACAGGCCTTGGTCCTCGGCATTCCTGACACAGTCATTTAGAAACTCCAAAGATTTCATGGGTTTCGCGCAGGAGTGTCATCAATCGAGATCAAACATGTCATGGACTAGGATCTGAAAAGCTCTTGAGAAAGCTAGAGATGTAACAGACATTTCGGCATCGGAATCTCGACGTGAGCACTTTCCATTCCCATCTTTGGACCTGAGCGGTTGCTGCTTCGGCCTGAGATGTCTTGAGCAGCCCCTTTACGAGCCTGATCTGTGCTTGCGTCTGGACCTGAGCAACAGGTAGGGGTGGCCTATATCTGGCCTCGGGGCCATATTCCAGGAACCCTAAAGTCCTTCGGGTACTCCGTTGCGTTTCGGCCAATCAGTCTGCTGGTCGCCAACTGCATATCCAAGTTCAACATGTGAATTGCGCTCACGAGCCAAATCTAATCCTCTCACTGTAGACCTTTATTTTGACAAGATTACAGTTCCGATTTTCAATACCTCCTTGCTTGTTGTAGCTACGTATTAATGGGTACATTCACTGAAGCATACCCATACGATGCCGGACCTGACAATACGAATGAAGGGAATGATTGGACCATATGGCGCCTCACTAACCTGAAGACAGACGAAGGAGTCCCTGGTAGGGACCTAATCAGGGGATGGTGCGTACAGGAGGGCTGGTTGAGTGGGGCAGACATTGACAACGAGTGCCGCAGGCTAGACGGATAGAATAGTGTCATGACAACCTGGATGGGTGGAGGAGATTAGTTTGAAAGAGATAGCACTGACCCCTGGTATAAGCTGACCGCCTGAGCTAGTGACGACGTTGGGCATGGACAATTGATGTAATATCTGAGCGAACAACAAGGCAAAAGGCGTCGTAATGACGGCAGAGCGTGGGCTGCAATACCCTCAATTCAGTACATTGTGATTGTCTAACTCTCAGAGAGAGAGAGAACAGACCACAAATCATGAATGAGCGATGGGCTAATCTTGCTTGTTGACTTTTCTCGCGCGCATCTTGATAGGCGACCGATATGGCTTGTCAGAGCGAAACGTTCTGGCCGACTTATATTCATTCTCAGGCGTAGACTCTTGGTGTTCATCGTCTTCCTGACTCAGCCCGGTGGAAATCGAACTGGCTGGCGACAAAGTCCACTCAAGGTCTGTGGGGAAGTCTTCATAGCGATCCTTTGCGACATTGTTGTGGAAGTCCTCTGCGCGCTTGACCATTCCGCATAGTTCTTCGGCTGTGATAATAATGGTCTCGTTTCGTAGAGAGTCGGGCAACAATTCAGGAGGCGCCATTTCTGCCATTGGAATTTCCAGTTGCGCACCGGGGACAGGCTCAGCGTTCGTGTTTCGTATGACCTAGGCACCAAAATTAGTATCTCGTAACATATTGTGGACAAATATGGGTGTGTTACTTACTTGATCAACATGTTCGGCTGTTAATCTCGGCGGGGGCAATCGCTGGTGATACAGGGTCTCCAAGCCGTCAGATCCACCTGTGAGTCTTGATGAAGTTTCACTGTAACGACCAGACGTATCTGTCCCTTTCCCGCCTTGGTGATACGAAATGCTTTCTTTTCTAGGTACTTGGCCGCTTGTGAGTAACCCACCTCTAAAACCAGGCCTGGCTGTTCTGCGTCGAGGCACATGATCTGGTCATCCGGCATGAACACATCGCCTTGTGCGGCTTCGATATCTGACTCTCTTCATGGTTCGAATGGACACACCACTTGATGTTTGGCACAGAGCTGTTCAATCTTTTTTTGCAGAAGACGGCTGAACCCTGAATGGACAACCTCATGCTTACGCTTAGGCATTCGAAGGACGAATTCGTGGGTATCGGAGAAGTAATCGTATCTGTGTATTAAATGTTAATCCCTGATCGGACGGACTATCGGGAAAGACTCGAACTCTCCATACCGCACACTTTCCTGCCAACGCAGTTTCTGCTCATACTCGCCAGTAAATCTGGTAAAGTCTTCTGCACTCAGACGATATCGTAAGCGATCGGGCATATAGCCTGCAAGCCAGCGCTCAAGCTGATGAACAAGTATCTGCAATTCGGAAGTCGTTGTTTTCAAGTCAAAAGGGTCTTGAGGAGGTAGGGGAGAGTCTGAGCAGTCACTATGGGAGTCGCTGTCCGCGGCGACCACCCTAAGCGGGTCGGCATCTGTTGGGGCTCGTCATCCTACGGTCTTGAGAGATCTTCTTCATAGTTGCTCATTGATTGTCGCAAGGGCGCGAGAAAAAGAACACGCTCTGAGTTCAAGGAAGAGTTGTGAATTTGGCATCATCATCGCAAGGGAAAACTACGGCTATACCTCGGCATCTCCCACAAACATTTCCCAGGGATTGTCGTGGTAGGTGTAGCGAGAACGCGATTCAATCAAAGGGACAAGAGCAGCAATCCGCAACACCTAATTAGTAAGCAATCTGTGCCGCCGCTTTGACGGATTGCGGCCCCGCCTGAAGAAGTCTCGTAATAGCGGCAGGCTCGAGTTGGGAGCTGGTCCCATGAGCCAATCAGATTGCGCCGACAGTCGACCGTCGGGGAGGTTTGATTGGCTGAACTTGTCAGCTCGGGACCATGAAAATTTGCTTTCTTCTACCGAACGCTAAAGAATCCTAAACACACCCACCACCCTCACTAGGTGCACCCACCATCTCGCCTCTCTTCGAATCAAATCACACAATTATGGGAAAGAGGGTCAAAGCTCGAAACAAGCCCGCTATGGAGCCAAGGAAAGACCCAGCGAGGCCCGCTGTCATGTCAAATAGCACCAAAGTTACACGGACCTTGAGAAGCGAGTCCAGCGAGAGCTGTCCTACCAGACAAACCGGAGAAGCGCCTGTCAGCAACGACTCCTCTCTCCAGGGAAAATGCCCCAAATGTCTCTTGACCGCACATCAGCTTGGAATTCCAGACCACCGCATTCAAAAAGGGGACTTCAGGCCACATGTCATCTTGTGTCGGGGAATTGGCGACGATGGCAACCCCCTGGGCATGCAGGAGATATGCCTTGTCACTGACTGCACAAGGCGCAAAACCCAAACGGCGACTCCAGCTGCCTGGACGCAACACTACTGGCGATCCCATCAGATCAAACTGAACGACTTCCCCGATGTGAAGTCATTGCGCGAATTCCTCCAGCCCTGGCATGCTCCTGATTTCGAGATGAATGGCGACTGGGGCTTCTTCCTGACCAAGAAGCCTCCGATCCAGGAGTTCGAGCACCTGACCAAACTTTGGCATGCAACCTCGGACCCGGTGAAGTTCCGAGCCAAATTCCAGCATCAGTTGGTGCACGATTACCGACACGCCTTTGAAAGCACCTTCCATGCGACTCCAATCTCATGGCACAGTCATGCTAGCGACGCCTGGCCTGCTCTTCCATCTGTCGTCGCTCTTCTCGAGGACGATGGTCCAGTTCGTTCCAAAAAATTGACCATGTCCCAGATGGAAAACAGTCGAGTTGCCACCTTTGAATCGCAATTGCTTTCGTACCATGGTCCCCTGGTATGAGTCCTGCACGGGCATTCCGTTCGTGTCTGCGCTAATCTCCCTTAGGCAAATGGAGGTAGAGGGATCAAGTGGGCTCAGAAGTGCATACAGCTTGGCAAGGCGGAAACGATCAACATGTCTGCCGCTGGAAGCAAGCAAAAACTTTTGGACAAATTCAAGGCTCTCGTCAACAGTGGTTATGTCGCAGTGGCGTTGGAGATGGTGCGGCAGTGTGATGGCAGGGTTGTCAGGGCACAAGAATGGAACACGATTTGCGAATGCTGTGAAGAAGCAGGTCTCTATCTTGTTGTGGATGAAGTCTTGACCGCTTGGCGCTGCGGTGCCCCTTTTGCGCATCAACTCCCAGAGTACAGCAAGCACAAGCCGTCGTTCGTGGTGTTTGGCAAAGCTGTTGGGGCCAGTGGTCTTGCTGTTCATTGGGATGGGGTCCATCTCAAACGGCTGGGTTACGCCGATCCCGGGTACGAAGTGAAAGCGACGGATTTTGTCCATCACTGGGACCACAAGTCTTCGAGAATCATCGACCCCAACGAGGCCCTTCGGTCATGGGGCTACATCCTACTGTCCGAGAAAGACGAGTGGTCCAAACGGGCGCTACAGATTGGAAAAACCCTGCGGGAGAATCTGAAAAGACTATATCCCGAAATCAAGGTTGCCGGTCGTGGAGCTCTTATCTACCTTCCCGATAGGTATGCCCGAAAGATGGATATTGTTGGGGCAGCAGTCGATGGAAAATTTATCCGCTGGCTCCCATACCTGGACGAGGGTTTGAATGACAGCAACATTGTCAGCGAGTTGTTCAACGAGTCGGGAACTACTACACGACGAATATTGACAAGGTCAATCAGCAACTTCAATGCATTGAGATGCATTGCTTGTGGCGATTACCTTCACGTGCCAGGATACGGACCGTGTACTCGGTGTGCTGGGTTCATCTGCCAAGTATGTGTGGAATCTGGAGACGACGAGAGGCATCGGGAGGGGAGGTGCTTGTTCGGCGCCAGCGAGTAATCTCGCCCAAAAAGATCCCCTTGCTGAAGGTTTGATTGACTCCAGAAGATGGATGAGGCATGGCTGTGATGGATGGATCTCAATGCAGTTATCTTAATAGTCTGCCAGGTATTTCTTTGGAGTTTGGTGATTAAATTGCTTCATGGCTCGATCTTCTCTCAGAGTTCCCCTTGGAGCAGGTACCGATGATAAATCCCATTGCGGCGATAAGTCTCTTCCAGGAATATGTAGCATGCATAGCACTTCATTCTTTCGTCCGCAGGAGGCCAAGTTGCCATCACTCCTTGCCCAGGCGACTATATGGGTTTTCTGGTACTATTGTCACCGCAAACTATTGCACCCAATAATGACATCCAGGCTACGACTTGGGAGAGCTCGGAGCGCCAGCCTTGCGAAAGCTTCAGCCCAAGATCAGGCAACGATACAGTGACGTTGGGGTTATATTCTCCGTTGAGTGTGGCCACGGTGTAACTTTGGGGAGAATCTGACTGCGCTGCCCCAACCACTTTGTTTTTGACTGCGGCGCACCTTTCATCAGCCTCGAGCGATATAAAGCGGACGATCAGATCATCAGCTACGAATCACCTTAGATCCTACTAGTCTTTTAACAATTTTACACCTGCTCCCGTCAAGTTCTGGACTCGGCTCTCGGGAGTCCGCACCAAAGATCTCTCCACGACAGTGGACGACCCGTCGCTGAAGCCCTCCCACCTATTCAAGTCCCCACCATCTGGCCATCGTACTGTCACTATGCGAGGCCTGCGATTGCCCCTGGCTATCGAACCCTCACTCCTATTCAGGCACATGCCGTCCCACTAGCACTCGAAGAATGAGACATGATAGCACTTGCTGAGACAGGGAGTGGTAAAAAACTGCGGCAGATGTCTTGTCCATCTTGCAAGCCATGTTGGATCAACCACAACCACTACACTCTCTAATCCTTGCGCCACGAGGCAACTTGCACACCGGATTGCCGAGGCTGTTGATGCCACTATATCTACCCGAAGCGTCCTTCTAATCGGACGAACCGAAGCATAATTTCACAAGTGATAGCCCTTGGGAAAAATGCCACATATCTTGGATGCAACGCCGGGGCGTTTACTGGATCATTCCAGAAAACACCAAAGGGTTCTCACTGCGATCGTCGAAAAACCTAGTCATTAAGGAGGCGGACAGGCTGCGAGATCTAGATTTTGGGCCGATATTGGACAAGATTCTGAAAGGATTGTACCGGGCAGAAGGACCTACTTGTTCTCTGCAACGATGTCGGGCAAGGTTGAGGCTCTGCAGCGAGAGTGCCTGCCGAGTAGCGATTATGCTACAAAGGTCTGGCTTTCTCTACAACACCTCTGCATGGTCAACTCCCACAGGAGGCGCGGTTGGAAGGGTCGAACAAGTTTCGGCGCAAATCACGAAGCTTGCTCGTGGCCAGCAACGTGGCGTGCCGTGCGATCGATATACCTTTGGTCGATGTAATCGCCAAAGAAAGAAGATACGATGCTTGCTCGTGTGTCCAACGTGCGAAGAGTAGCTGCGCTCGAAATCGGGGGCTCCCCTAGGGGCGGAAGGGGCGCATCACGTGGCGTGTGAGATTTCGAGATTACCTGATCAGGCAAGAGGCTCTCCCGATTCAGCTGCGATTGATTTTTGATGGCTCAACAGACATCGCTTAGCTTAGAAATTGGGTGATCTTATTGGCTAGAAGCCCAGTTTTCCCGTGACTTTTTAGCCTATCACATGACCCACTAGGCCAACCTGGGATTAGCCGCGCTGGTAACACCTCGTCTCTTGTGCCGCCCGCTCTCTTGTACTCCGTACTTACTCTTCTTTCCGATCTTGTCAGAGATAACCATACAAACAATCAATGTGCTTATTGCAGCCACCAAAACCCTTTCCCTTCTCTTTGTATGCCAACCCATTACACCAGTCAAAACCAGCTGTGATCAGAGGTGCTTTGGATGGACTAGATGAAGAGCGAAGGCATACTAGCGCCTAGCTCGTTCGTCCACGACATCATGCGAGGCGGCCACGATACCTTCGTCCGGAATCAACGAGTTTGACTCTGTCTGCTGGAACCATTCGGAATTGGAGAATTAAAGAATTTATTCCCAGACATGCGCTGGGGGTGGAAGAGCAGGCTACTAGTATGTCCTCAAAGTCTGTGGAGGCAAGAAAGGGTTTGGCCTTTGGTTGGACCGAGTTCGGGCTGGATTCAAGCTGGCTCTTTACCTTATACAGCTTTAGCACACCATGACGAGCCTGCAGAGCCCGTCGATTTTGCTCAAGTGGACTCCAAATCATCTCAACTTTCTGCAGGTGGACGACGGCCAACCTTTCTTATTCCTGAGTAATATCACAGTAGAAACCGATAAAGGTATGTGGTACAATCTCTGCCCATTGCGCGATAAATTTTGACTTTCGATCTCAGTTGACGATGAATTCCTGGAATACTTTTTGATTCCCACTCAAGATGTACTCAACTTCCTCCATTGCCGTTCCAGAAATCGGACAAATCCTTTCCGTTGGGTTTTCAGCTACCTCCATCGCGTTCTCGAAGTCGCAGACGATCCTCCCGCACAGATAGGTCTCATGGAGTCTCTTTTGGAGGCGCTGTTGAGTTTCAGCCCCAGGCGGACCAGACTGTATGGGACACAGCTGAAGAAATGGACGACAACTAATAAGATGTAGAGTCACAAAAAGGGCCGAATCTCTGAAAATTGGAGGCATGCGAATCAAGTGCGACGGACTCTTCAGGCAAGACCAGTGGACACTCGTCCCGGTGGCGACATTCTTGGTAGCAAGAGACCAGGTTCCTCGAAGAATATACTTCTAAGCACAAACTGCAGGTTTTGAAGGGGTCTGACGACGACAAGATTCGCGAAATTCAACAAATCCTCGCCCAAGCAATTCTTGCGTTCACTCAACAACCCGAGATGGATGAATTTATTGGCTTTGTGGTGTGCTCAACCGGAGCAGCGTTGTACTTGGCTGGTGCCCACATCACCCGGGGCTACATCGAATCTCTTCGCAAATATCAACGACCGAGCCTACATTTACAAGTCTGTCGCTCCGCAACCTACGATCTGAAGATTCCGGATGGTAGGAAGGACGTAGCGATGCTTCTGCTGAGGATGCTGAAATACTTGGACGAGAGAAAACTGCCCTAAAAGACTTCATTCCACAACGTGTTCACCAAGGCATGTTGGTCTTTCCACCCATCGAGTTCTTAGGATTGAGCAGTGGCTTGGCCTAGAAGTTCAGCGGGCTCTTGACCCAGTGGACGCGCTGTCCACTCTTCCGTCTCACCACTGGGTCGATGGATTCCGCCTTCGCTTCGCCTTTTGGCCTGAGAGCGAGTAAGTTGGCTCAGCACTCCACGAGTCCAAGCTGGTAAGATGGATGCTAAAACTGACCTCCACAGATAAGACAGGCACGATACCGTATCGGTCCGAGCCCGTGAACCTTCCTTGTCGAGTGACACTGACGCCGCCGTCATTTATGACTGAAATGGCCTGGCTAGTGCCAAGACGCACATGCATAATCTGGGAACTGACCACGCTACAAGTAGTCAACCCGGGTAAGCAAAGGCAACGGTACGTATTCATACACCTGCAGAAGATATCTGATCGATCCAGTTACGGGGATCAAGCCGTTGTCCTCAAATATGAGTATTCTTCGATCAGAGCTTCCAGTGTCTGCTTTGATGTTTCCCCGGGCTTGTCCTCTTGGCTCGAACTCGACAAATCGCTTGCAGTGCTTGGGTTCCTGGCGTGGCTTATAGTGCCCGCTATATGAGCTGGTCGTGTCGCGATTGCGGCCGCCACTCGGGAAAACAAGGTGCGAAAGGGGTTTAATCTATTTTTTTTTTTGCTGTGAGTTAAATTCCTTCAGTTCGTCCTCGCTCGGTACTAGAAGCTCTTTCTTTAGCTGCTGGTACGCTAAGGGACATCAGCTTTGGATCGAGTCTTAAGAGGAAGGTACAATGCCTGTTAAGGGCAAAAAATGGGGAGAACCGGCCCCATCTTTGCTTCTTCATATAAGGAAGCCATCGCAACATCGCCGCTAGCAAAGGAGTGTCGAGCATTTGCTCGGCTAGACTCATACAATAAAAATGATACTTGGGCTGTCAGGTGTTACAGTCTCTCCCGAAACTGGCCTCCCTCTTATGATACATCGAGACTTCCTTTGGTAAGAGGCTAATATAATATATAAAGCTAAATATAGAGTAGTTTGCTCTAAAGATTCATCCCATGATAAATAGCGGTTTGAAGCCGCAGTTTTACGAGGGTTTTCTAGACAAGTTGTAAAGACTGAAATGTATTATATAATGTTCCCAAAAGGTCGATGCCAGTACATGCTCTGCGCTGAAATAAATCAAGCTTGACCCGTAGTCGATCCTCTCCCACATCTACGCAACAATATGCTTCGAGAGCCATCTCTTCCATCACGATATATGTCGTAGTGCGCATCAATAGTGCATAAGCCCACGCTCAGCCGTAATCAGAATAGGTCTCCAGTCCAGATCAGACACAGTCGACGACTTTGATACCTGCCCGTCCACGCTCGCACTGACTCTGCGATTTCACTCAAGTTATAGGGCTCTCCATGGAATCTCAGGCAGTCGCACAGTGAGGAAAGCATATAGGACGCTGTATTACCTTTGCCCTCGTATGCTATTCGCAAAATCATTTCCTTGCTGATTTGCGTAAATCGATCTTCTCACTCTCTATACTTAAGCCAGAAGTAGACCCGACTGAAGGGCCCCGAAGTACTCTCCTTGGCAGGGATTGAAAGGAAGGCTGCAAATATCTCCTTCCTTGCTGACATCCTTGAAGGATTATCCGATCTTTCTTGGGAGGTCCTCTTCCGCGGGAATAATGCGGCGTTCGATCAAGAGCCTCTGCAATGGACTGTGCAATGAGTGCGGTAGCCCATCCGAGAGAGTCCACCTCGCTTAGACTTCTCGAAATCAAATCGGCCGATTTTTCTCGTTCTGACACATAGAGTAGGATTCGACAAAGATGGTGGTAGCCAATGCCAGATAGAACTCCATATAGCCTTTTACAAGTTAGGCCGAGATGATGGACTTCTTGAAGGGAGTGGAGACTGTGACAGATTTGGATAAGGGTTTCATTCGGAAGACCAACGAACAATGATCGCATTGTGGACATGTCGGCGAGAGTCTCTTGATCGCCAAAAGTCGCCAAACGGTCAAGATGAGAGAAAGCATCCTGCTAAGCCTGCAGTTCCCAAGCCACAGGAGCTTATGGGACAACCACGTCTCAGCGACGCCACAAGGTGTGGCTTCGGAGCAGACCATATGGAAGGTTAAGCGATTCACCTTCCTTCTCGCCTTTCTTCGAGCTGGCAGTGTCTAGATTTCATTTACTGTACACTTCGAGGGAACAACAGTGAATATGTCGACTGTACAATATCGATCACCTCGCCCCATCATCGCCATCAAGCGTCCCTCGAGGGAGTGATTAATTTCTTCGCAGTAACTCCGCCACTCAGCCTCGAACAAGGACAGATTTTAACGCGTGTGTTTACTGCGGTCATCGACGCATGCGAACCGTTGCAAAATCCAAAGCCATACAAACAGATCACTCTCGTACGACTCACCTACGTATACGCGAGATCTGAAGCATCCAGAGACAACTTTCTGCGTTTCTTCTTCCAACAAACAAAGATCTCGAGTGATAGTTCGCCGTCGGGATCGATCCCTGCGTCCGAATATGCACCAAGATTGATAGCGTTTGCACAGACACTTTTTGAAAATTTCTTCCTTCCCTGTAAGACGATTTTGATCAGAGTTGATAGTCGACACCCGCTGACAATGTGCCAATCAATAAAAGCTGCAACGAGAAAGACCCCTCAACCTTCGCCTGCGACCGTTTCCGATATACAAAGTGCACAGTCCCTCGCCGGAACTACCCAACGGCTGGCTACTTTAAGAAGAGATTGTCTTATACGTGATCGGTATCGCTGTGTGATCTCACGCACATTCGACCGTGATGAAGCAATGAGGCGCGTGTCGCGGGATGGCGATTATAACGCACAAGACGATGAAGGAAATCTGTTATCTGAAGAAAGCGGCACGTTTGCTCCATTAGAGGTGGCACATATTATTCCCCACTCATTAATGACTTTTCCAAGTGGGAAGACGGAGTTGGTATGTCCACTACCCTTCCCGAAGGATGAGTCGAAACAGCTAGCGCTTGCAATTTTGAACATGTTCGACGATGGCGTGGTACATCTGATTGAAAGCATTGACATTGACCGCCCGCGCAATGCGATCACATTGACTCATGATTTTCATCAACTTTTCGGCGGGTTCGAGGTCTACTTTGAGCCCACAGGTAACGAACCACATACCTATCGCGTCGACTCTACCAGCACTGGCATTCTACGCCATCGGATTTTCCCTGTCAATCGTACACTTTTCTTGACTGACACTCGAACGATTGATCCTCCTTCTCCACGATTACTCGCTATCCACTCGGCCATTGCACATATACTTCACATGAGCGCGGCTGGCCGCTACATTGATAGTGTCCTTGAGGACCTTGACCAGGGAGAAATCTCAGTGGATGGGTCAACCCCGTTAGGCCATTTCACTGCTTTACGGATTCATGGCTGGTGGGATGGGCGAATTCGTGCCTACTGATTATTCTGCAGTACTGTATGTCCTTTTTTGTTTTTTTTTGGAAGGAATGTAGAATGGGTGGGAAGAATGGCTTGCTCGTTAGACTCCCGGGGCGAAACGTAACGGAGTATTCTTCTCTTCGTCCCGCAATGCATCCAGTCCAGTCTCCTTAAAGCGAGCCTTATATCAGACACTAAAATCCACTTCCCAGGTAGCTCGGCAATTGGGACATCGGTTTTGAGCGTGCGAATCGGTACCTTTGATTATGCCTACGTATTCACAGGATGGAATCGTACTCTCACGTGTGTTTAAAGGGACCACCGACACTGCCATGTTTGAGGACTTTATCGAGCAGCTCCTACATCACTGTGACGACATTTCGGTGCTGGTCATGAACAATGCGTCTTTTCATCGGAGCGATCGGATCGTGCGGATGTGTTCTGCTGCTGGGGTTAAACTCTGCTATCTTCCTCCATACTCTCCAGATTTAAATCCTATTGAGGAATTTTTTCGAATTCCGCCTTTAGCAGAAGATCTCGGACCTTGGACTGTTGCCATTCGGTGTATTCTCGTAATGCATCGTCACGAAATCCGGGAATTCCTAGCCGCTGGGCATTAGCTGGGGTTGAGGGATGCATAGAGACTGCTCCTCCCTATTGTCCAGCCTACAGCGGTTGTAGATATAAATGACCAGGCAAGACATTAGTGATATTACTTGGGGGGATATTAAGGGGAGAAGATTCATTCTCTTTAGCCTTACAATTCTGTCTCTGCTGTTCCTCCAGATACAACTGTTGCCGAACGTCTGGAGGAACATCATCATGGGTTTCCAGGATGGCGTCCTTTACGATATCCTCGATGAGACTTCTCATGTGAGGTACTCTCAGCCTGTAATGCTTCTTCCCGTCTAGATCGATCTAGCAGTAAGGTCCACGATCGTATAAGCCTGGATAGCGTAGGATAGTGTATACCTTCTACTAAACCGTAGGTCGGCCCGACGCTTCCTCTTCTACATTGACGTACAGATCCCGTTGCGCAAGCATAAGTGTAGTGGCTGAGGCTGATCCTCATTTGTCACCCTTTCTCGTAGTAAGCCGGGGAGTTGGTCGGGTCGCTTCTACGTAATTGAATAAGAGTTTTACCCTTCTAGAAGTACTGACCCCAACTACGCAGTTTTTTTTCCGCAATGGCCCAATCGATGTTGGTTTGATCGAATCGTTGTGATGAGATCTCGCTGCGAGCGTTCCGTGGTGGAGACTACCACGGTTATATCCTTAGAGCGTACCCGTCGACTTCTAGTGAACTTTTTCTGTAATAGCTCCTCGAGTTGGGCTTGTAAGTCTAGCCGCCAGTAATAACCAGGGGCTAGTAACACTTCGGGCTCTATATCCTTTGAGATCGCTTTGCCGTTGAGCGTCACTTTCCACTCGATCGAGTAGCGCAGGCAATCTGGAAAATTGCTCCCATATGTCTGATCTGGGCTCCACTCCCCCTCTTGTAAAAATCTCGAGATCGATAGAGATGGGTTATGACACTGGCTTGGTGCTGGTGGGATGTTGTTCGGTGTCACACAGGGTGTGATGCAGTTAGGAAGAGGAGTTGCAGCGGTTCCGACACTCGTTACGCTTTCTAAAAACTGGGTAGAATTCTGCGATGCCCATTCCTGGAACTTGAATAAATCATCTAAATCGTATAGTTCATCCATGGCGTCGGGTCATGGCTTTAAAAGTGAGGGAATGACACGATGTAGGTTCGACGAAGGTGTGGTACCGGAGGTCCTAAATCTGGTCTCGCGTCAGCAAAGGTGAGCGAAGGGTGAGCAACTGCACACCTCGAATAATCCCTTCGCGAACATCTGTTCCGTTGCACAATACTTGTATTCCTGTTTACCACCAGTTCACGAAACATTGACGACATTCGACTCCTTTCACCTAGAGTAACACTCTTATGGTCCAACTCGAAGGCCGCAGGCCACTGATGCAACTTATGGACCATGACCAATTTATTCTCTCCTCTTTCATCAGCCTGGCAAATCGCGCATGCTCGAATTCGGTCAATTGGCCTTGCTCTGAACAGCACGAACGCTTCTGCATTGTTCACCGATGGACAACCTTCACTCTGTTCAGTCTCGGGAGGCACGACTAATATAAACGGCGTGAGCGGGAGTTGCAGCAGCATATGATTTTGAGCTGTGTGAGCGATCGCTAAGTCAGGTCTGCGCGTCAGGAGACAACAGCAATTCAGGTATGTGGATGAGACTGTCGAAAATAGCCAGAGAGCATTGCGGTGATCCAGCTCAATGCGGCGGGGCCTATCGCACTTTGCGGGGTATGGTTGAGGAGAAGGTGCGGCTTCTCCACGAGAGCTGCGCACGCCGAGAAGAAGAGCACTAGGTAGAGGCGGCAGCGCTCTAGCTGGGCTGACGTTGGCTCACGGCTTGCTTCCGGCCGACCGCGAGTGGGGTCCTTCCGATCCTCACATAAATGTTCATCCACCAAAGTCGCCAAGTCTTCCCCAGGCACATATCGAGCAATGTCTATTTGGCTTATTAAGCCAAAACAACGGAACTGGAGAATATTTGTTCCGAGAAGTCCCTGCGTATCGGTCACGGGCCAGCTACGGCAGATCGACCGGCGAGCCGGATAGCGGCAAGTCCTACGTCCGCGTCACGCACCCACTAATGCGGAAAGGCGTGAGGTGCCGAGGTGCCGAGGTGCCAAGAGCTGCGACATCTGCGCAGCTGGTCGAATCTCCTTCGAAACCAATCTTCCCTCTTGACGTCCATGCGCCTTGAAGGAAAGCGAGATGCTTGCACCTCAGCCTCCCCCGAGCCCTCAAAATGCTCTCCCCTACTCAACACGCCGATTCCCTACCAACAACCGTGCGGAGCACGTCCGATGTGATGGGAACCTCATTCATACCGACTACTCCCTCACACACCAACTCTTCCCTCAACCGCCGGCATGACTATGCAGTGAGCGGTTCTCATGCCGACGAACATTACAAATGTACAGCGGACCAAGATCAGGCGGAACACGCATATTTTGAGGATGTCTCGATTGCTGAGCGCCTGCACGCAATTGGTGGCTCGGCCATACAAAGAAACATGGATGGAGCAGATCTGGCTCTCACTTCGAGGGAAACCCAATTCCACGGTCAAGTGGAGGACTCGCCGGTCTGATTGCCGCAAACTAGGCCGTGTGCTTCTAACGACGAAAGAAGAAGCTGACCGAGTTACGCAGGACCGCGTCCACTCCTCTGAAGTTGGAACGGTGACGCGAAAACGAAAGGCTGAGGCACCTGAGATCCCAGTCAAGAGGGCCCGGTTGTTCGTGGAACATGCAACATCTGATCTAGAAAACGCTGGGTACGGCAGCTCCTCTGATGAGAAGACGACAAGTGATGAGGATGATGGGAAGTGGTCTCCAGGAGACGGTGTCTGTCCCTCGACATCACTTTTCAATAGGGTCTACCAATCTGCCTACAACACTTGGTGCTCTGCAGCCTCGAAGACGGCACGATGCGATACTATCAACCCCCTTCTCTCAGAGACCTTCTTAAACATGGTGCAGGATGTCCCCGACTTTTTCAGCAACCCTCCGGAGGAACTTGACCTTGGAGGAGGATCGAAGTCTCCCCTTACGCTACGTTCTTCCTTACACCTGGTGACCACGGAAGATGGCCTGTGTGAGCAGAGTTGGAGATCAATAGACTACCTTCAATGCCTCGGATTTCCAGAACCTATGACATACAAGTGCGAGGATGAGAGGTCAAGTTCTTCCCCCTTTCCCTTTGAACCTGCACCTGATCGATCAGGATACCTTGCCAGCATCACGCTTGCCTGGTCCTACATTATATCCTGCCGCTGGGTGGAAGCTCTTCAACGTGCTGGCCAAAAAAGCTTCCTCAGACACAATCGAGGTGAACAAATTACTACCAATTTCTGGGATTTGGTCCTTCAAAGTCGATGGGATGCTCGAGTGGAGACTAAGAGAGGGATTTTCTACTCGCCATGGATGTTACGCAAGGAAAACCTTGTGATACAAAAGAGGTATGTTCATTTTTCCAAAATCTTGTAGTGTGGAGCCACTGACTCGAGACCTGAAAAAGCCACAACATGATTCAGATTCACCCGAATCCCTCCATTGCATTTGATATTCTCAGCAGATACTGTGCTGTTTCGGGATTGGAACAGGAGTTTCTCGTGGGATTTGCCACGATTCTCATGCTGACATCACGCAACGTGCCTCGCCGACGCTCGCTGTGCCGGTCAGCATTTCTGTATCTTCCGTGCAGTCAACAAAGCGAGACGTGAGATTTGAAGGTCTTTACAGGTCTATCGACAAGTGCATGTCCATCAGCTGCACACAAGATGCTTTTGACTCCTTGCTGTGCAGCGCTTTTTTCGACCCCGAGGTGCCTTGTAATCTGGTTGGTGCCGTGTCCCTGGGCATCGCGAAGGCACTGCTTCAGGTTGATGCAGACTACCGAAGACTTATCAGGGCCATATCAGAGAGAGCCCCTCACCTGTCTCTGTTGTGGTTGGCCGTTGTACGCAACGGCCAGGCCAAGCATATACTTGACATGGCATTACAAATGCTGCCTCCCATATGTCTCGTTGCAGGAATTTGGACCAACACGATCCAGTCATTCTTGCAGGTCTCGTACAGTCCGGCAGGTACGATGGAGAACTCGGTCCTGCGCTCGTTCGAATTCAGCACCTCATATTTCTGTCGACCCCAAGCATCCGCACCCTGGAGCCCCGCTCCCCCTTTCGGATCAACAAGAATAAACAATCTCAGTTTAGAAATTAAAGAACATTACGGACATGAACACAAGCTTCTATGGTGGAGGACATGTTGGAACCTCATCTCAGGCGAGAAAGTCCCGTTCGGCCCGCAGAAAAGGGTTCAACCGATGCCCGTCCATTCGTTTCAGGATGAGCATCTGCTGGATCCAACTGAACAACACGATCATGACACGTAAGTCTGCGCATCCAGATTGACAATCTCAAGTGTTAAAACATGCGCTCTAGTCTTGGGCTTCCATTTCACGAGCGGAAGGTCGCAGACGAGCAATCGTGGAACGCTACATCTCGGCTTTTCAATTGGCACAGGCAATACGACGATGGGCTCTGGCTCGATGATGGAACAACAGCGGATGTCGAAGTCATCCGTAGGCTGCAGCAACACCCATGGGTCATCGATCCGTTTCATACAAGTGGGCGAAGCGATCCGCCACAGGATTGTATATTTGCTGAGGGAGACCGGGAAAGAATTCTGGCATGGAGCGCCGAAGTTGACCGATATCAGGCTTGTGGGCCAGTCTAATTGTTTGGAAATGATTCAATCGGAAGGACCATGCTGCACGTTACAACAACATTCATTCAGACCGCACTAGGAGCAGGACTAACACTAGGCATAGCACTGCTGCTTCGTTCCTCCCCCCGAGGTATCGCCACTGGTGTCTCCAGTATTCCTATAATCTCGTTTCTGATGGCAACATGTTGGAAGGGGACCACGGCATCGTCGACACCATGCCCGGACTCGGTCTACAATTCAAATCCCTACGCAGGCCTGCCAATGACTGGCAACGGAATGACAGGCTACATTCTCCAGCTTGACGAGGAAACATACTCACTGGGATCTCTATGTCGGAACACCTAGCTTTGATGACATGGAATATATAAACGAGATCAATCGCAAAACACTTGAACACGAAATAAACATCTACCAGCGGCTTGGTCACTACAAGGGGATCATCCCTTGCTTTCAGACATCTAACCATGGGGATTGAGTTGGCCTTCGCTAAACAAGGCAACCTGGAGGATTATATCAAAGCAAAAACCTGAACCGCCAAAATCCTTCAAGATCGAACGGATTTTTATCTGTCATTGACACCTTATCTTACGTTAATTCCCAGAGAGTTTTAGTGGACGAGATTGCCCTGCGAAATTTCCTGGCCGCCGATGCACAGCTTAAACTTGCAGGCTTCGGCCAGTCCTTATTGTTACCCATGTCGACCGATATGGATCCGGTTTGCGACAACGATTTTGACGACGAGAATCGAGATACTCCATCTTGGTTGGGGTTAATCCATTCGATACGCTGTTTGACACGTACATACATATTACTTCTTCGATAAGGAGCATGACATGCAGTGGCCAAATCCACAAGAATTACCTCCATCAGAGGGCCTTTTCTGCAGAACTATCGTTGAGAGCTGCTGGAATGGACAATACATCAACGCAATACATCAACGCTCAAGGAGGAGGCTTATGAAAGCCTCATCTGCGACCGAAAGCAATCAATTTGCTGTCTGTGACTTATCGATATCCTCCGCTCACAAAGACTGCCTCCTCGCGGATACAATTTACGATGTGAGCAACGCCAGCTACACTGACAAGCAACGCAGCTTAGCTCGGAAAAGGAGCCAGGTATGTCGCTATTAGCCCCGTTCTGCCCTGTTCCCAGTCAATTCTGTGTCATACCTTGTCCCTGGTCCTGGCTGATACCTTGGTTGCCCCGGTGAGAAAATTCGCTTGGCTGGCTCATCAATGTAGAGGATCATGTCGCTATTCATACGGGAAGCCGTCGTTACCAAATCCATTGGGTAGCCCATTGAAAAGCGCAGGTTCCCTTGCATCGTCATGAGGCCATCATCCAATTCGCCGAGTGTCCCCCGGAGCTGAGAAAGCCGGGGCAGGGGAAGCATTATTCCCTTGGAAAGGTCCAGCAGTATTGGGTTTGGATGCCGATAGACCTGGAGTCCTTTGCATGACCATCCATCTATAGGTCCTCGACTGTCTGGGATTTTCTAGAGCGTGCCACGAGGACCCAGACGGTCCTTGAATGGCACCACTTCATCGTCCCTTCATAAGCTCTGCTAATTGCTCGTCCCTTTGCTTTAGCATTTGCCAAAGGTCTTTTCGCTCTTCCCGTTGTTGCTGCTCCAGCTGTAGTATAAGCTCTTTTTGTCGTTGCTCTGAATCTTTTCGCTGTTGCTCTGAATCTTTGCGCTGTTGCTCTGAATCTTTGCGCTGTTGCTCCATTTGTACTAAAAGCTCTTTTTGTCGTTGCTCGGAATCTTTGCGCTGTTGCTCCATTTGTACTACAAGCTCTTTTTGCCGTTGCTCTGACAGCGTCGACAGCTGCTGAATGTGTAGCATCATCCGTGCCTTTGTGAATCGGCCTTGTGGCATCTCGGGCTTGGGAAATTCTAGTTGCGACCTCAGTTCTGTCGAGAGAGTTTCTTGAGAGTCAGGCTGAGAGTTGTTCAAACCGAAGGATTGTGACAGAGGGTCAGGAAGCTCGCCGATGACCTTCTTGATTCGTTTGATATGTTCAGGAGCAAATTTCGAGTAGAGATTATACACGAAGGTATCCGTTGTCCACTTCTCCATACCATCTTGATGCTCGACATGATATACTCCAATGCGATGTCGGTAATAACTGGTTTTGTCACCATCAATTTCCGGATAATGGCCATAGATCCGAACATTCCCGTCGTCGTGAGCAATGGAGAAGCCTAGAAATCGGCGATGGACATCTATCGCACGACCTGCACGGCGATACAGTGCAACCACACCCCGTAATGCGATTGTCATGCTGTTTGTATTGGCTCGATCGGCTATGTCCAGGGCTTGCTTACCACATTTTACCTCGCAGGCGAAGAAGGGAAAGCATGTTCCTTCTCGTCCGGTAAAAAGGGAACTCACATTAGGGAGAATATCCAGTTTGCGGCGTTCTTGGTCGGTGAGTACTGAGCTTCGATATGCCACTGAGTGATCTGGCTGCGGGAGCTTCTCGTAGAAGATGATCGCTTGGTTCCAAGATTCGTTATATCCATCGACTAAACCGTCAAATTTTGAAGGTTCGAATAAGGACAGATATCCCGCTGAAGGTACAAGGCGTGAATGTAGAAGGATGCAGACCGACAGCTCAGAGCGACCACGTAATAGTCCCAGGAAACGTGACAGTCGTTGCTCTTGAAACGCGGGATCGCTAGGGACAGGTCGGGTCCTGGCGAAGAGTGTCTTGCTGAACGCTAATTCTTCTGAGAGAGGTCCTGCTTTAGAGTCATACATGAAACTGTTCTTGCTCTCGAGCACTGCATCGTATCGTGAATTTTCATAAGTCGAGTACTTTCTGCTTCGAGAGACTGTGGTGTCTGTTTCACTGTCTGACTGTAAATTTCTCTCGCTGCTCTCTGATGGTGAACGTGGCCTCTTTGACTGGGTCTGACTCATGTCTTCAAACTCTTGTGATGAAGTCGGTAGACTCTCGAGCCAAGTAGCGACAGATCGAGGTATCTCTGAAACCTGGCTTCGACGCCTCTTTCTACTATCTTCACCGGTAGATTCAGCGGGTCGTTTGCGAGGTATGTGCTCCTCGTCGAAGGTCTGATCAGGCTGCGGTATCGAAGTAATCTCTTGCACTGAGCAGTGTCTCAGGCGTTTCGCGTCGTGGTTTGATTCGTCTCCGTCATTCACAGGACGTGGCCGTTCTGCTGTTTGCATTAGCAACATGGTTCATTGTATGTGAGAGAGGTGACCAACTGCTCTTTTGTGCTGCTGGGTTCGTGAATGAGGCTGTAGGTTGGCCTTCGTTTCTCTCTTTGGGGCTGTGGTATTGCTTTACTTCCTGCCTCTGTCCTTGTGTTTCAACTGGTTCAGGGGATGACCTCGTCTGGGTCCCTCCTCTTGCGGTTTGCCGTTTGTTCACGTCTTGTATCTCTTGTGGTCGCGGGCTTGTGCGTGATGGTTTGGATTTTTCGCTGTGTAGGGAGGCTTGATGTTGCTTGTTGACTGCAACCGGTCAGTGACATGACAATGCGCAGCGAGAACAATTTTGTGAGAGGTAAGGAACTGACGGATCTCTTGAATTCTGAGGCTCTTTCGCCGGTGGTTTGTCTCTTCGTCTTCTTCGTCGTCTTTGGCAGAAAGGCGCCGTTTGTCTGTGGTCATTCAGTCAAGTCAAGTTTCTAAAAAGGTGAGATGGTGTTCGTACGGCTGGACCGATCAGGCCTGACCAGTTGCTCGTCAGGTTCGTTGTGACCTCTTCGCGCCCTCCTCATGTCTCGGTCTGCAACATCAGCTGCCATCCTGTATCGATTGGCAGTGAGGCGGTAGGAGCGCAGGAAGCGCAAACAGGCAGATGCCGGGGTTCGCGAGCGAGTCGCAGGGAACCCGAGGAACCAACCATCTGCCCTAAGCTGCGTGGAAGTTGAAACTTGCTAAGCGAAATGACGGTGCCCAAAGCTTGGCGGCAACAAACAGCCAATCATTGGTCACTGGGAGCCGCTCTGCTACTTGCGAACATCCTGCAAGCTGAACACTGACGATGCTCGTGGTTGAGGCCGTATGGAGGGTGTTTTCAGATGGCGTTCCTACGTACCACCTTTGTATGGCATTCGACGCAAATGCTACACGGTTCCTTGGGTCCTGGGAGCTGGCCTTGCTGGGTGCGCTGTTCTGGGCGGCCATCACCGCCCGGTCTAATCCGAATCACGTGATTCAATGCCAAGGAAATGTGATTTTGCAGGCGGTGTACTGTTATGGGCAGCTCCAGAGATTTACTCCAAGGTCGCTGATCCGGTTGGCGCTGCCGAGGATACGTATAGCGTGGCCGTTGACATCTTGTCTCTCGGTGTTGTCGTCGCTTCGCAGGAGTGTGGGCTCCCGGTGTTCGAGGAAGAGTGGGAGAAAAACGCTGTGGCCTGGGTATATGCCTTACAGAAACATGTCAACAACAACTACGTTAACCAAGGCAGTGAGCTTCTCTACCTCGTCCTCGACAACATGCTGTTTGAAGATCCGGACGAGAGGTCGTCGGCAGATTATGTCAACACCGAGGCGGCGAAGCTCTTGCAAAGCATGGCCCACGAGTCGGATGACGAAGGCTCAGCTACGCCAAAACCTTCGACTGACGGCGACCAGTCCGTTGTGGAATCTGAGGATTCCAACGAGGACAGCGAGGGCGTCGAGGCGACTGATGCCGAAGAAGAATGGGGGTGGCTAGGAGTTCCGGTCCCTGAAACTCGGGTGAGCCAGGTTCTGGAAACCACTGAGGCGATGTCGCAAGGAAGCATCGTGAATGGCTTGCTGTGGAACTCTGGAGGCCCTGAACGAGGAACCTTCGCAAGCAGCAACTGCAGCAGCCAAGCTACAGTACTCGGCACTGTTGAGGCCGCCCAGGCCGAGGAGGAGGGCCCGCACGAAGAAGAGGCCGAGGCCTCCTCGGTCGCTGGCTCCCTCCCTGGCGGCGACGAAGTCCAGGGAGATGGGGGGCAAGATGCCGGCGTGGCCTCCAGGGGAAGTCGATCGATGCGCAAGAGAAGCTGGCCAGAGGGAAACTTGCTGTTATCGCTCCCCCAGTCTTGCAATTATCCGCCCTCGGCAGATCAAAAGTGTGCCATCAGCAAAGGGCCGGTGGATCAGAAACGGAGCAGGGTTGGTGGATGTGTAGGTACAGCCCAAGCGATAGGCGCTCTGGACATGGGCCTGTACAGGAGAAGCCGAACACTGGTAGTAGTGAGCATCTGGTAGGTGAAGGCCCAGAATAGGTGTACAGCAGCGCTTCAAGACCGATGTGCGTCGAGGTGTTATATACCCAGGTAGTGTTGAGGTGTAAGATGTGACGCTGTGAGGGTTGGACCCTTGGAGGCTTGGCCCACGGCGCCACAGCCGATGATGATGCAGCCACAGGGACGCCACTGGAGGCCCGCACCGGGATCCGGGGGAAGGCAAGGAGCGTCAGCCACAAAGGCAAATGATACCTACATAAATGATAATAAATACCTGACACGCTCCCCAAACCTCCCAACGTCTCATTTCCCTCCCCCGCCGCCCATCTTCCTGCCCGACTCACCCACAATGCTGGCCGTCCTCCGTACACGCAATCCCAATGTCTCAAAGTGTCGGTCGCTGGATCGCAAGCCCAATCTCCTGCTCTGACTTACACGGACCTCGTGGCGTACACTGAACAACAAGTCGTTGACTGGTTGAAGAGACGTGAACGTGGCGGGGTATTGGACGATTCGAGTCTTGTTGGTGTGAAATCGCTTTCGAAGAGCCAGCGAGACGACTTGGGGCGGATACTTTGGTCAGTGTGCTCGCGATAGCCAGTGCATGGACCTGTCACAAAGCTAACAAGCGTTTCCTGGCCAGCAACGCAGCAGAGCTGCTACCGTTCTCAGCCGACGACCTTCATGCGCGCCTGCAGAAGGTGGCCAGCAGACAAGACGGCTCTCCGGACGTCGAGCCCTCACAATCCCCGTCTGAATCGATCGCGAGCGTTCCGGCGTTCGACGCCGCCCAAGACCTTGAAGTAGCAAGTCGCCAGGCACTCATCAAAGCTGGCGGCCGTCCAGTGTGCTCGATCCAAGAGCTGTCTGACATCCGCGCGGCGCCAATGGCCGGATACGAAGCGGTTCTGTCGTGGCTCACCAACGATCCAGACTCGGAAGACGGAGCTGCAGATCTTCAGACGGTCTTCACGCGGCAGTTCATGCAGTGGTGGGACTTTTGCAAATCGCAATGGGACAGCCGAGGACTGGGTGACAGCGAGGCGGGATTCTCCGCGTTCCTCGACGCAAGCAGGCGCAGATATGACGCGATAGGTTTCAAGGCGATGGTATCCGCCCCTTCGTTCAACGAGACCATCCGGCGGCTATGGCAATTCATGCCAGCATCCCGACGACCACCTGAGGGTCAAACGTTTTCGCCTACAGTAACGCAGTCAAGATACGTCTCGCGCCCCACCACTTCACCAAACCACTGCAGCTGAGGAAGGATCCACAGAAGCAGACTGCGTGGACCAACTGGCTCGAGTATCTCAGCTTCGAACTGAGGTGTTTAGAAAGGTTGACTGCCGCTGCAGAATCTCTGGAACCGGCATTCTACCAATCCACGAGGAGGCTGCTCAGGGTAAAGCAGCCGAATGGAAACAACGCTGCGAGCAGTTCGGCTGCTTTTGGTGCTCTGAAACCTCGACAGCGTCCTCTGGGTGGAAAAGGTGTCGACATGGCCAAGGAGTTGGCGGCAGCTCGAGCTGACCTGGACGCGAGTCAAAAGTCGATTGACAGCTTCATTCGAGAGACGAGAGCATACAGGCAGGCGTGCAGAGGCGCCTTCTACCAAAGGCATCGAGTGGATTGGGTCCTTAAGGAAGCACGTCTGATGGAGACCGAGATGGCCCTACAAAGCAATTCAGCAAAGAGCAAGAAGAGGAAGCAACGGGATGAGGAACCCCTCGAGGCACAACCGAAGAGCGCCAAACGGAGCGACGGCGTAAGAATTGCAAGTCCAGGCGCAGCGCCGGCCACGCCTCATCTTCGTCGGAACCCTCGCCGGAGTACGCGTCAGACAAACCCAAAAGCCTGAGCAGCCCTGGAACCGTGCGTTTGAGCCCATCTACCGATCGAGCACAAGGCAGCAGCATACTTGCAAAGCAGAGATCACCCAATGTCTCGCCTTGTTGGTGAGTTGGGGGGGGGGGGGGGGGGGGGTAGACTGTGTGTTCTGTCTAGCGCCCTGACTCCGCTTGTGATCTCACTCACCCTACTCAAAAGCCCCTGTCGAGGCTTGGAGTTGCTTAACTCAGAATCCACCCCCAATCTTGTACTTACTATCTGTAAAACGATTATAAGATCGGGGAATAATAACACTTGGGGCGAAGCTGACAAAATCGTCTTGAATGAGATACATGCCGCCCTCGACAACCGCATCGATGCTGAAATTGAGAAGCCACTGACCAGCCAGCTCCTCGCTCGTAGGTCTCAATCATCCCGCTTTCTTTCGGATTGCAACAGCTGCGTCTCCAAGCCTTGCAGCTAGGATGTCCAATTTATGTGATTTGTCACTGGTACAAGACGATTCAGCTAATGTTTTGACCCGATCCTCTACATATACAGTAGCCTTTGCTCAACAGCTCAGTAATAGTGGCCATGAAGATAGTGTGAGGATGGTAGATAGAGGTATGGAATGGAGGATGTGTGGAATGGATGGGGGTGTACTTAGGGTCTTTCGCTGGGCATGAGTAGGGCACAACTAAACGAACATAGGGTTACATTGAAAGCCCAGATATCGAGCACGTTCTCAATGGGGTCAACGGTGCCTATAGCAAGCCCGCTGTAGTCGCTCAATTGGCAATGGATCTTTGTCCCTTTCAGTCTTTGGTCACAAGCTCAAAGAGAAATCCGAATGTCAGACATGTGGAAGCGAGTGATAATTAAGAATACTTATGGACCTCAGGCCTATTTGCCCCCTTTGCTCCTTGCTTTGCTTGTGTTGGCTGCCTCGTTCATGGTCTGCCTCTCCAGAAGGGGACAGTTTATCGATCACCTCCTGAGCTGTAAGAAGCTCTTTCAGCTCCTGCTTGTACTGTTCTGAACTTATTTCGCCAAAATTACAAGATGCCAGGAGATAAGGATCGCCTTTATATCGCACTCTACCCTAGAGGTGTTGTAAACAACGAGGAATGAAAGTAAAAGCTCCATTCCCTCACATCCTTCCAAGCCCCAACGTTAAGCTCACTATTTGTAGATATCATTGGGCATTCCTAATTGGACCTAAGGTGGAAAAGGCTGCTTAAGTCCCAGGCCGACGTTGCCATGTTAAGAATCAGCTGAACCCCAGTCCAAATGGGCCAAGCAGCCTGTGGAAATACGAAGAGGTCGAAATACAAAACGTTCAATACACTAACACCCTCCTCGTCCGCGTTGTGATTGGGAAAATTACAAACTTACGACGTCTTCTCCAAACGCTTCGAAGTGTCCCTGTGGTTCAGAATGATCCGGGGTGGAGATGCCGCAGCTGGTGCGCTGACGCCCTAGCAGCTCTCGCAAGAGATGGCCAGGCCCTGGGAACTTCAGTGCTCGATTGGCAGCGCATTGAAGAGATAGCAAGGCGTTACGTTAGAGAGAAAACCACCCAGGGGCGCTTTGACAATTCTGCGCTACTACTGAGACCGAAGCCGACCTGGGACTTATTAGAGAATAAAGAGGTGGTGGCTTAGAGATTTCATGAAAGCAAGCTTTGACTGAGGTGAGGGACTTGGATCTGCAATTAAATTTACATATAGTACAGTGAACATATTGTACTCATTTAGAATTCTCCCCACCATTTTTGACGGATAGCCTCCATCTTCAGCTCGTCGGGAAACGGTTCAAGCAGCCTATCAATAGTATTCCGCCATTCTATTCTCGTTGCACTACCGAGCCATACGGAGGTATACTCCCAATAATTTGGATACCATCCGGATAATTCCCAGTCAACTAGGCCGACAACTCGATCTCCACTGATTAGAATATTAAATGGATTCAAATCAGCATGTGTAAAACTGGTGGTGGCCATGACTTGTCCTGAGCGGCTGCCATATCTCGAACGTCCTGCCAGTCTGAGTCGTTTTCTCGGCCTTCGATTTGGGATGGTTGAAAGCCCTCTCTAAGCCAAATGTGGAACTCTTGAATCGTTTTGAAAGGACCAAAACGGGGATTAGAGCGAGGATTTCGAGAGTCGCGCAATGATCCGCCAACGCAGCTCTCAATTCCCGTCCCCGGCGGCGGCTTTAGCAAGCGCATCTCTTGTATAATGCTCCTCAATTGATCAAAAACTCTCTGGCGAGACTGTTCGGACAATTTCTGCCATGCTGTTGGTATGTCATTGCCTCGAATCCTTCTCATGACAATATAAGCGCGGTTCCGATGTACAAAAGAGCAGTATACCCTAGGCACTGGGATAGATGTATTCTGGGCGATAAATTCGATAGTTGCCCCTTCAATGAGGTGAACGTATGGACCGGTCTTGACTATCTTATTTCTTGTGATTGGAACACAGGAGCCCATCGATGTGTAGAATCTTGCCGTGGTTTTCAATGCAAGTAGGGACAGCCAGCCACGGAAAATAGTGTTGTGGATGGCCAATTTTCCAGTACCTTTATGCTGAACATCCCTCTTATTACTTCCAGTCGAGTATTGGTCGCACTCAAATTCCATGATGAGGTAGATGGCAAGGTTTGTGGGGATGACGATTTCGTACACGATGGATTTCGAGATAACAGGACGATATCGGTTGAAGGGTGATGCATAGGTTACTCCTGTTGATATGGCTAGGATTTGCGATGGTAGCAGTCAGTCAAGTTATGCTTCTCGATGACCATCAACACATTGACGACAGATATACTTGACCGATAGTGGCGCCTGCCACCCTGTGGTCGTGGAGGCTTACTGTGTGATATTAGCGTCGGGATACTTGCCCAGCCTAGTATTCCCCCTCCTTACGCTTAGTTACGAGTGACTACATATAGCGGCCAGTCTTTCCCTCTTAGATTAGTTAGTTAATCAATCTCTTCCGCCGCTACAACCATAGGTAATAGTAACGAACCTACTTATAAAAGCAGCTGTATTCTCTTGTAAGGGTAGTTAGCGGGTCTTATATACCCGCAACGATTCTAACTACTTCGATCCTTTATTATCCTCTATATTGACGACAGCCTTTAACAATAACTTTAATAACGATAGCGACCTTAATTTTAATACTTTAATATAAGGGATTTTTACTAAAGAGATTAATAGAGTAGTAACGAAACTACTTATATTATACTATAATTATATATATCTAGTTTCTAAAAAGAGAAGAAAAAGTATCGATAAGGTAGACTTTAAGACTCTAAAACCCTTAAAATATATAGTAATTAAATATAATAGCGCGAAGAAACTAAAGTCTTATAGAAAAGAAAACTTTTTAACTAATAAAGATATTAGAGAAGAAAGAAGAAGACGAAATAAAAGGGGGTTTACTAGATCTCTATTATTACGGACGAATATACTTTAACTCTTTTTTCTTCTAGACTCTTCTATTGTAGAATAGATCTTTCTTCTTCTCTAGAGATTAGCTATACTAATAATAATAGTAGTAGCGACCCTAGTAGCTAGGATAAGAACCTTATATCTATTAATACTAATTCTCTTAGTGTATTATATAATATTTCGCTCTTTATCTAGTTTAATAGTATTATTATTAGATAACTTAGCGAAATATTATAAATATATACGTATATTAGCGAATAATGTTATAGCGTTATAGATAATACTTTTATTTCGTAAGAGTTAAAGATATATAAACTACGCGCGTATAATAGCGACTATAATAATAGTTAACTCGATAACTATATACGAGATATTACGAACTAAATTAACTTTTATAATTAACGAGGATACTAGATAAGTAAATATAAAAAAGTAAAAATAATATCTACTTATCTTATAGAATATATATATTAAATATATATATTAACTTACGGTTCTATATTTACTATTATTAACTATCTTATTTAGTTACGCGAGATCTTTAAGAATAATAATAAATAATCCTAATTATATAACTAATAATATATATATATTTAAGGCGATCGCTCTACTATAGAATATACTTAAGATCTAATTTACCTTATAACTTGTATTTAGTCGGAAAAGACTATATTAAAGATTAAGAAGTATTTTCGTATTAGCCTTAATAATACTATTTAAATAGAAATAGTAGAATACTCTAAATAGAATAATTTAGTCTTATTTAAATATATTAAATATACTAATCGATAATAATAAATTAAGACTATTAAAGTATATATCTATAAAAGAGTAGGATAACGTAGAATAAATTATATCTTTACTCTCTCTAGAATATCTCGTTAAGATAATATATAAAAGTTAGTATATTTTACTATAGCGTATACTATCGCGATATCTAGTAAAGATATAAAAGAATAATAAGACTAGTATTAAAGGAATACTACTTACTTTAAATATAGCTTTATTAATTATTAATTTCGTAGTTATATAAAATCAATATTAATTACTTATAAGGGTCTATTCTATTAAGGCTAAGAAGGTTTTAGTGTACGATAATCCTAGTAAAGTAAAGAGATTAGAAAGTTTTAACTATAGTAGAAAAATAAAGGAAAACTAAAGAGTTTCGAAAAGTTATATACTATTATAAGACTTTATAATAATTAAAGAGAATTATAGATAAATAGAGGAGTATTATAGATAACTAAATTAATAATCTAATAGTAAAATTAAAAGAATTCTAATTAATTCGATTAATTATATAAAATAAAATAAGTCTATACCCTTAAGATATATTTATAGAATATCGCTATCTATTAATTATAAAGTATTATAAGTATAACTTAAACTTTTATATCTATATAAGTCCTAGTTAACTTAGAGGTTATAGAGTAATACTTTTCGACTAATATTGTTCGTAAGCTATAGATAAAGATCGAAACTAACCCTTTACTATATTAGGTTTAAGTCGCTAATAGTATATATATCGCTAATTTAGAAAAAGCTCGCTTTACGCTCTATATCTATTAGTATTTTATAGATCTAACGATTTATATACTTAAAATTCTAGGGTATAATTTAATTTTTAGTTTCGAATAATTATAAATCGCTAATCCTAAAATCGAT